TTAAAAGATCATAAACAGCAAATGATTGGCTGCTAAAACTTATCGCGTGGAAAAGGCAGAGATTGATTTGGAAGCAGAGCGGGGTGCTGTTTCTGCACTTTGTCTCCTGAAACGAATGTCTCGTACGTTCAAATAGAGTGTGGTTTCCTTTTGTTACACGGATTTAAATCCAACGTAAGACACAACAGACCGGATTTGACGTCAACACAGGAACACGAATCGCATACCGTGACAAGGACCGGCTCACAATACAACATTAAGCAACGTAATAACTTTCTAGGAAAGGAGAATAATGGGTTGACGAAACACTTTTGTTATGAGAAAGAGCTCAATGGTATTGCGAGGCGTTCCCTGTAACGGTAACGGTAAACGCTGGATTTAAATCCGTTTGACAAGAGAATAAAAACACTTTTTTTGAACGTTCCAGACACATACGTTTCTGGAGACAAGATACAGAGACAGCTCCTCCCCCTGCTTCCAAATCAAGTCACTACACTTGTCCAAGCGACATGTTTTAGATGCCAGTCTTTGGATATTCAGCTCTTCCTCCATAAAAAAAAGGCTCTAATTGATTAATAAAAGACTACAAACAATTATTGATTAATACAAGACTATAAAAAAAATGATAATAGCGAAATGTAGCATAACAGGAAGACGTTACCAGCGAAGCAGTAAACCATTAAGTTCGGAAACAAAACTATGCCCAGTGTTCAATTAACCATTAAAATGTTGTGTATGATAAAGAAACCTTGACTGCGCTCTGTTCTGTTGTAAAGCACGAGGGAAGCGGCTATAAAGAAGTGAAAGGGGATACGGAGATGTAGTCGAGTGTTTTTCCCTACTTCTTGACTGCTCTATTCGCTTTCTTTTCCTTTTGTTACACGGATTTAAATCCAACGTAAGACACAACAGACCGGATTTGGCGTCAACACAGGAACATGAGTCGCATACCGTGACAAAGACTGGCTCACAATACAACATTAAGCAACATAATAACTTTCTAGGAAAGCAGAATTTATTGGGTCTACGAAACACTTTTGTTATAGATAAAGAGCTCAATGGTATTTTGAGCGGTTCTTGTGACGGAAGGAAGACGTTATCAGTGAAGCAGTAAGCCATTAAGTCCGGGTACAAAACTATCCTCAGCGTTCAATTAACCATAAAAATGTTATGTTTGTATGATAAAGAAACCTTGACTGTGCTCTGTTCTGTTGTAAAGCACTCGGGAAGCAGCTAGAAAGAAGTCAAGGGGGAAACACGAGATGTAGTCGAGTGTTTTTTTCCTACTTCTTGACTGCTCTATTCCCTTTCTAAGTGCTTTACAACAGAAAAGATTACAGTCAAGGCCTCTTTATTTGTTTTATTAGAAATAGCCCGTCATTTCCCGCTCGCATTACTTTCCATTTTGAAAACAAGTTCTAATTTTGGGGGTGAAAAAAAGTGTCTACAGCATGTTTTATACTCGCCTAAAACACGCTAAAATAAGCCAATCAGAATTCTTAGTTAAAATGCTTCAAATAATCTGTTTGGTTGAAGAGACCAAAGCTGGAAAAAATTTCAAACTATCAAGTTCACAAACCATCAAACTTCACAATCTGCGATAAAATTGGGTCACAAACTGAACAGTACGGCACGTCGAATTCAACACTTCTGCTGTAACTTTTAGTTTTAATACAGAATTGTGAAGAATTGAAATGTTCAGCGAAACCCAGCCGCATTGTGGCTCATAAAAACGTTCAAGTCTTTTTAACACGACAATAAGAAAACAAATTGCTCAGGGCGCACGTTTTACGCATAAACGAACCACAACCGAATTTACAGGAACATGAAGATTTCTCGAGGCGACAGCGCCGTAAAGCAAGCTCTCAGTTATTCACTCGAATGGCGCACGATAAAATTTCGGAGACTTCCTTCACTGTGATGACTGGATATCGCCATCATGAGCTAGCCGCGTTGGACTACAGCATGATCGCAGTTGCCCTGACATCATCATGATTGTATAAATTTTAACAGATATGTCAATTTGGTCATATCTTTCATCATTTCTGTTTGGTCCTTTTCTGTTTTCGAGTTGGAAGCTACATATATGCTATAGGAGTGTTAGCCCTGTTTCAGTTTTATTTCCGTACGAAAGCCGGTAATCTTACTGAGCGTGGAAGCCGTCAAAACTCAGGCAGTACATTTCATTTATCGTCTCTGCTCTCGTTATAATGACGTAAATTACGGCGCTTGGCATGTTTAAAAACTTTCTTCTGGTTTTTTCTGTTGCTATTGGTCGGTCAGTCTTTCAATTAACGGAAAAAGGCTAGACGGAAGTTCGGGAAATGGTCGGACACAGTACAAATTGGCAAATGGCGTGACAGCGCGACTCCGTGTTTTGTACTCTGATGGAACACGCTCTTTCAACCAATGACAGCGCGCATTATATCCGAACTTTATCGTATATTCGAATAACCGTCAACTGAACAGTCATAGAGCCTAAAAATTGATGGAAGACGTCACAGCTAATCTCCCACTGAGACCCACCACAAACTTAACATTCGAAGTACATCGAAAAGTCCCATTCGTTTCTTACTTGAAAAGGAGGGTCTGACGTTAAAAGCGTCACTATAAAATGGCCATTCATATTTGAGGATTGGACTTATTTTACGTACTAAAACTTATTTTTTACTCTCTGTTTTCTGTAAAGGTGTTGTTTTTGTTGTTGTTGTTGTCGTCGTCGTCTTTTTTTTAAATTAATGAATTTATAATTTATGGATAAATTTTGACAGTACACTTTTCATACGAAAACAAATGTTCGGTGCAGTTTAAACACTCCTCGCACCTGAACTGTGTTTCTTGTGATATTTACCTCACCAACTACCGTGTTTGGGAATCACAAGGTGGGGTTGAGGGTAGGGTTCGTTTGTTTGGAGGCCCCGCTAGATTTAAAGAGGGTTAATTTCCGCTTAAATGAAGGTACACACTTCAGCACTGAGGGTTGGGTGATAGTAGAGAAAAGTTTATTAGCGGACGGAGTTTTTAAATTTGTTATGTCAGGTGATGACTGTTGTGTTTCGGCAGCTGTAATCTCGTGAGAGAAAGGGAAATAAACAGTTTACAAAGAAAAGAAAATGGTGTCTTTGTCTTTAGTGGAGCGATTCACTGTATTTGAGAAGGTAATTCAATAACTGTCCTTGAAGAAAATTTTTATCTGCTTCAAAAATATGGTAACTGGGCTTCCTTCGAAGAAGAGCAAATCCACAGGCCCAGTTTAAAATTAACAGTCACATTTTAGTATCTATTTGATTCATTACAATGGTGATTATCATTTCTCTTTGTTTCACTGAACGTTGTAATCAGGTTCTATTTGATAGGCAGAGACACCATAGTAAAAAGCAATGAGCCAGGCCACAAGAATCACCTGAGGGCTCTGGCATCTTATAATTTCAACAGTTAACAAAATCACATTAACAAAATCAATGATGACTGATTTATATTTCCTTTTACGACCACTTCTGGTAACTTTCGTTTAGTCGAACGCTTGGGGAGACACATCACTCAGAATACTTCCTCAACTTAACTTCTACACTGAATCCATTTTTAAGGTTGACAAAGACAACTCTGTTTCCCTTGTTTGCTTTAGGTGAAGATAGCGACTCAACCCGAACTATTGGCAAGTAGTCTGCCGGGGATCCATGAGCATATGCTTTTGTGGGTAGGGTCTTTAGTAGATCATATCTCAGCGCCACTTGCATTTTGGTGTCTTCGCTCTCCATTTTGTACTCCTCTTTCACCTTTATGTCTTGTATTTTCTCCAAAGGCTTAGACGTAGGAAATGCAAGATCAGGATAGCTGATGCTCAAATAAAGGAACTTCGAATCTTCTTTCGCCATAATGAGGCAATCTTTGCTGACAGCCTTGATTGGACCTTCGGCTGGGAGCTCCATGATGGACCCGAATATTGCATAACCATACTGGGCGTCAATCCAATTCCAGCGTTCTGTGGTCATCTCAAATTTCACCACATGCGCTTTGTTATCCTGTTTCAAAACTGTGTATACTTTTCTTGTGGTACTAGTCGCCTGAGATTTCCAAATATCGCTGGCAGATTTTGGATACGATGGTGTTTTAACATAAATGGCGTACTCATATTTGTCATCGGATGAACTATGTTCAAACCAGGCGGTGGCATAATAACCACTGGAAGGTTTGTCAGCTGGAGTTTTAGAGCTTTGGTTCTCAACTTTAACTTTGAGACTCGAAGCACTAGAACTTGGAATGTAGTAGCTATTGCCTTTCGTGTCAGTAAGAGTGATGTACCCCTCTGAACTTAAAGCCGGTGTCTCAGCGGGGAAAGGAGCTGACATACCTTTTGTTACACCATCTACTTCAATAGTGAAGGTCGATGAACCTCTTTGAAGCTTGTCTTGAAAGAGTGTTGTCTGTGCCTCTTTTCCAGAACCATTTTCAATTTTGATGTTGCTGCCTAAGCAGACCAATACGCTTTGGAAAAAGAAAACGGATTTTTTAAAGTAGAGTTTAATATTACGATGACGATCACTTACGTTTAAGAACTGGTAATCTGGTTGATGAAAGTCCATGGCGAAGAGTCCGCTCGCGATGGGCTCTGGCCCTATAAAGGTAACTCCTCCGGCTGAAGATCGCGGACTGAAATACCTCGCTTTCTTGAGTAGCGTTTCATAAAGGCTTAGATTCATTGTAGTGGCTCCTGGTATTTTTGTCCAGTCCCATCCGTTCTCTATATCATGTGCCTTTAACGACTCCTCGTTGTTTGCAATAATCATCTGGCCATGGCTCTGAAAAATACCGTGCAAATTTTGACCCTTGCCTTGCTCAAAGTCCCAGACAAATCTGTTAAAGCCTTTCATTGTAACTGCCCAGTCTTCACGACGATGAATAGAAAGAGCTGCAAAGTTCTTGGACCAATGCCCCTCCGGAGATGACTCAGCAGTCATTTTCTTATTTACACTGGCTTTCTGGAACACCTAATGACAAAAAGGAGTCTTTGTCACTTGTTCAAAAGAAAAAAAACCATTGTCGCGATTAATGCTTCTAAATGATGTCATGGCACTGATAGCTTAACTAGTCTCATAACTTTATACGGCATCATATGGAGGATGAATCCATCGGATGCTTGTGAGTGACAACCCAGCTTATGTCAATATCCCTAAAACATAAGGCGAGTATCCTGGTGTAAGATTCACCAAAATATCCAATTGTTTACACGCCAGGCCCCTGTTGTTCAAAGGGTGGATAACGCTGTCTGCTGGATAAATCTCTATCCGTTGGATAGTGCGGTATGTTTTGTTAACACTTATCCGCTGTAGAGCGATTTATCCGTTGGATAGAGTTGTCCACCAATCGAACAACCTCACTCTGATTTATGACCCCAACTCAGATAAATTGATCACTGTTAAACTACCATGAACTTATGACTTTTTAGTTTACTCATGAATAAAATCTGATACTCCAGACGATTTACATCATTTCGATGCAGACCTCATAAAATAAAAGGAAAAAAGTGGTGTTTATTTGTAACTGGATTTTTTTATCATTATTGTTATTATCAGTATCATTTTATTTCATCATCAACCGACACGTTGGACAGCAGACTTAAGACGATCAGAATGAAAGCTGTATAATGCTCCATATATCTCAAGCACTGTTGCACGCCTATTACGTTAATTCGGATGTTACTTACTTGGCTCATTATTTCCAAAGACCCAAGTGTGTTCATGTAGGATTTCCCTCGTCGAATTGTTCCATCATTGAGGTATTCAACGACTAACTCGTCTGAAGGTTGGTAAAGACGTATAAACATTTTCACATCGCTAGTGACATCAGGCACAGATGCGCCAGCTTTTGGTGTTGAGGCTAGAGATCCTGAATGAGATACGCTGATGTAGGCGTATGCAGGGATCGTTTTCAATAAAACAGCCTTGGAGTACTGGGGAAAGCGTCCTCCCACACTACTAGGCGTAGAGTATTTCACAGCTATAACTCGTAGAGTTTTGAGTGATTCACGCAGGTTTCTTTTCGATGAGTCCGATAGAGCAAAATCAGTTCCCTCAAGAAGGTACTGCAGTTGTGATGCTGTATGCAATGCCTGCGGTATGTAAGCGGATCCATAAAACGCCTTGTGGTGGAAGCCAGTATAATCAGGCTTTACAACTCCTCCAAATGCTTTGTTGATTTTCAAGGCATTGTCCATCCATTTCTTACAAGCGTCCATATCTCTTTGCCTGGCTTTTATCTCTGCATCTGAACTTGTAGGCATCACTAAAACAATGATGAGCCGAAACAGCATTATAGTAATCATTCTGTCAGCATTTGTTCCATCAAATTCGAATTTCTTTTGATACACTTCTCCAAAGTCGTTGTACCATTTTGCGGTCTTGATCAAGTTAAGCAGTCTGCTCTTGTTTGTGGAATGTTTGTGTAGACTATCTTTAAGTAAAAGGATAGTATGCATATATGCAGCACCATTTCGATTCATCTCTGCAGTCAAGGAACCTAAAGCACTGCCATCTGCCCATCCTTGGTCTTCTACATAATCCAGTAAATTGATGATTCTTTGAAGACGAGCTTTGTTTAAGTATTCCAATGACCGGCGCACTTTTGTTTTGTCGTAAGGGACCTTCTGTTGATTTTGGAGGAAGGAGTAAAATTCATCTCTTCTTCCTTTATGGTTTCCTGCGATCCGTTTTACGGACTCTTCTACCTTTGCTGGATCAGTAGAGAGAAGGGCTTGATTTGTGGTCTCTTTCTCCACTATCTTATCCATCTCTACTTTACGGGACCTCAAGTAATACTCCACCGCTAGAGGCAGCATGATTTGTGCCATAACAAAGCTAAACTTCCTTGTAGGATCCTTAGTAGAATACTTTCTGGTTCCTCTTTTGCAGGTGCGGCAAAACAATGGAGGACCACTGATCACTTTCTTTGAGTCTGATAACGTTTTGAAAGTAAGTCTATCATATTCCTTGTTTGCCTTGCCAAAGCTTTTCGTCATTGCTTTCCAACGTTCAAGCTCAAATCCAACGAAATCATAACTAGTTTTCTTCTCATTGCAATAGAAATTTTTAAAACGACTTTCGATGTGTTTTAGACTCAAAGTTTTTGATGCATCGACAGCTTTGGGAAGATCAGTTGGTTTCTGTTTACTCCAGCGATATGTTTGAAACCTTGAGGATGTAGCCACCTTCCACTTCGTTGTAAATGGTGGAACTATTTTATCGCGACTCTGGAAAGCCAAATTGTCTACAAAATCCAGTATATCAATAAAGATAGTATCCTTCTGGCTTATTACAAAACTGACTCGATCTAATCGAGCAGAACCGTAAATACTCCTGGAAGATGTCTTGCACTCAGAGTAGGCCACCCATATTCCTCTCCATCCTTTAAACCCAAGATCAACTGGAATCAATCCAATTGTTTTTTTCTTATTACTGTCTCTCAGCCGGATTTCCATCTTTCCGTCAGATTCCCTTTCCTTGTAAAGCCAGATTTTCATTCCTCCATACCGAAGTTTTTTCCCCCGGATGGACGACGAGGAAGGCCTGGTATATACTAGTCTCGACCTGCCAGTAGACTTTGACTCCCACTTGAGAGAGTACAGACCATTCTTTGCTCTTTCTTCAGATAACGACTTTGTGGAATCTCCTCGAGTTGCGAAGCAGTTGAGTTGATTTCTGTTCTCGAAATCCAGTAGTTCATCGCATTGGTCGCCTTTGGAATGAATTATTGAAATACAAAGTTTGAGCAACTGTAGCTCTTCTTAAGAGGAAACATCAGTTTGATAGAATATAATCATGAGAAATTCTATAAGCGAACAACTACTTCTATTATTTTTATAATCATTGCTATTATTATTATTATTATTATTATTATTATTATCATTATCATAGTCATTGATTTTATCAGCACTATTATCATCATAATTGATGTTTTGCATGAAGCAGCATGCGTTGTAGAAGCTATGAAGTATGCTTTTAAACAAATGGTGATTTTTCACTTGAGCGCCATTATGCTTTATCTACTGACTTTCATTTCACTTGTTCTCAGTTTCTTTTAGTTAAGCTGTTCATTTAACATACCAATTTCTGATGTCAGACTCTCTGCAGAATCCAGTAAGGCTAAGGCGAAACTGGTCAGTAAAAGAAAAACAAGTCTGGCTCTTTGCATTCCTGTAGAAAATGACCTGACGAGAAAGAGAAGCCATCGAGTGTGGTGATTTTTTGAAGACAAGACGCAATTTAAATTAAATCAATTGTTATGAAGTTCTTCATATCTTGATATAATTAGAATGTTTTATACCTAAGTAAGGGTCCAAAGCCTTACAAACCTATTGTCATTGTTAATAAATCCAAGACATTCGGATGCTGCTTTTTGTGTGCACTGATTGGCTGGCTCTGAAGTGATTATCAACAAAATTTACTTCCGAGCAGCTGAGGAGACAAAATCGCTTGACCAGAGTCTCATTTCCTATTTATCTTCAGGAATATGGACAGTTATGTCGGCTTGGAATTCTGATATTATGACACTAAATGTTAAACTTACTTCAAAAATGACAAAAGGCTAAAATAATTAATAAAAGCGAGTTTCAGCAATGAAATGTCACTGAGAAAATACTAAGAATCTAACTACTGAATTCACTAAGCCCATCTTATCCATACCCAAGAGCGCGAATGAATTTCCATGTGAAGTACAGGTTTCCACCAGGTGTTATGACAGGTTCTGAAATAAGCTTTCTTCTATTATAGCCAAAGAAAGGTAGCACAAAAATGATTTGTTTGATTTTGAGTGAGGAGTGTTCTAGGCCTCAAGTTGAGTGTGCCAGGTTTACATTTCCAGTGCGGGCATATACAGGATGATGAAGACTCACTGCGTTGATTCAGTTTATAAGAGCGATTAAAAATATAAATATCGCTGAAGCATCACTTAATCGTGGCTCTTTTCTTTTTCTTTTTTTTCGACACCGAAAGGAATAAAGCGAGGGTCTAAGTGTTTAAAAACAACTGGCTCACGTTGATATGTTCGCTTGATAACCAGGAAAACTAGGAAAACATTGCGAAACGATAAGGTAATGTTACGCGGAAGAACTAACGCAAAACTGGAGAAAAAAATCTCTTCTGGCGGGAAATCATTGAAAGAAATGAAAGGTCACACTTGAAAAGTCAAAGCTCGACTAAAAACTTTTTTTTGCTTACTTTTATTCATTTCGCAATGAAATTTTATCAATTGGGCTAAGTTGAAATCTGTTGGACCAGACCCATAATCTCTTGGCTCGCGTTAACTAAGAAGGACGCGACCACCTCGTCTTGCAGGTTTGTTGAAGTTACGTTTAAGCTTGTTTCCCTTACTGAAATGAAAACACTTCAAATTTCTCAAAAAGGGCTTTTTGTTAACCCCTCTTGCTCTGTGGAGATGGGTTAGTTTAAGATGTCCAAAATTGTAATGGGTGTATTATTCATTACCTTACACTAAAAGCGTGCTTTTGAAATAATTTCTGCAAGTACCCATGTCTAGAAAGTTTAATCCCACGCACTGGGAAAGCTTGCTCATTGATTTCTGAATCAACTGATCCTGTCATTGGGCTGACATTTACAAATTAATCTAGGTTATCGCAAACAATATGAATGTCAGGAACGGGATACGCTTTGAATAAATGACATTGAATCCGGAATTACATTGGGAGATAGCAGAAAGATAAAAGACGATCCAACCAACCTTGTCTCAGTAAAGAGATAAAATGCTTTTGCTCTTATTGTTTTTCTTCCAGAGCTAGCTGATCAAAAGAATATTAGAGGGTTACGCTTCTTCCATGGCTAAAAGCAGGTCCGGCTAAGGTGGAATTGGAAAACTTGGCGAGCCATCATTGGCTCTCAAGACACATAGTAAATCTGCTCGGATTAGACAATATTGCAAGTGCACAGGTTCATTTTTCAACTACCCAAGGCATTGTGAAGTAGGCAACCTGCTCATACGAACAGGAAACTTTGACTTAAAATACACACATGTAGGTCCAGGTGAAAAACCGTAAACGCTCATTAATGAAAACTGCTCGTTTGTTGGATTACGTTCGATTACAAAGCAATAACATAGAAGAAAGGTTCTAGATTGTAATTTAGCATGCTCCTTGGCGATTTGCTTCTATGAATTATGTATCTAAGGTTCTTTAGCTTCTTGTTAAAAATTCTGCCTTCATTGTCCGCTACGTCATTTGCAGGGGCACAACCTTCTACAGTTCAAAATTACCTAAATAGTGAACACCATGCCATCAAGCTTTCAACACAAAACAGAAAAAAAATGGCACGAAAGAGTAGCTAAAAGTGCTGTTTAGTAAACCAGAAATAGAAGTGTTCTTCACGATAACTTAAAACAAATAGAAATAAAATTATATGTAATCAAATATTCGTGAATCGTTCATTTAAAGAGATAGACCTATCCAATAGTCAAAGCAATATTTTAAATAAAAAATGCAGAGGTAAATAACCTAAGCCGAATGAAAGTCGAGAATTGTATATCACAAGAATCAATTTCCGTCCATTCTTATCTCATCTTTAGTGCAGAAATGTATTTCCCTTTTCTTTAACCTGCCCTCTCGATATATTATTTCATGCGAACTGTCACTCATAAACAGAAAAATCGATTAAAAAATTTTGGCTGATCTCTTTTTCCGTCTTTGATGACTCACAGACATTATTGATATTTATGATACGTTCTGTTGATTAAGAGGAAGCCATGATAAGGGTGGCGAATGGTAAACTCTAGTAAGAACTAGTAGCAGTTTTGGCCTCCCGCCACAGAGATATCATTTCAGTCCCAGAGATCAAAGTTCCCTGTTGATGTCAACAGGTTGTCTACTTAAAAGTGCTCTGGTTACTAGAAAAGTGAACCGGTACATTTTGTAATATTGTCTAATGAAAGCAGATTTAATGAATATTTGAAGGACCAGTATTACCTTGCCAAGGTTTCCAATACCACTTTGAACTGACTAACTTTCAGCCAAAGAAGAAACGGTTATCTAAGGGTTATTCTGACCTGTTCTGAGAGAAAAAATCAAATCGTAAACTCATTTCAGTATTTCATATCTTTACACTGAAACAAGGTTGGTTCGACAATCTTTGTCTTTTACGCCATCTCCAAATGTGACAATCCAGTGTGAGATTGAGTGTCATTTGTTCAAAGCACTGCCTGTTCCCCACATTGATATTGTTTGCGATGACAAAAAAGATTTATTTTTAATTGTCAAACCAATGACAGGGTCATACGATTCAAATTCCAAGAACAAGCTTTTCTGGAGCGTGGGACAAAATTTGCACGAGGTATTTGTATAAGATATTTTAAAAGCACGTTTGCGTATAACCATGAATCAATGATACACCCATTGCAATTTTGTACACCTTAAAACATCACTTCTCTAGAGTAAGAGGGTCTAAAAAATAGCGTGATGGGATATTATGAGGCGTTTCTCATTTCTGATGGGAAAACTACCCTGAAGGAAAGCAAAAATCTTGGAAAATGTGGGCTAAATGGGTACCGCCCTTACGACTGAGGTTTGACTTTTCCACTGACTTTTCTTCAAATTATTTCTTTACCATGATATATTTTTTTTGGTTGTGCGAAAAGCCTTCGAAAAAACGTCGTTTAGGACTAGAATGTGGTCTCAATGTTTCTTCCAGTTTTCCTGGCTGCCGAATCGATAAGAGTGGGGCAGTTCTACAAAGCTCAAACCCTGACTTAATTTCTCTAAGTTCATGAATTCTTCAAGTTACTTTAGTGGCGAACATAAAAAAAAAATGCCAACGGCTAAGTGAAGCTTAGATAAATTCTAGACTTTCTCTTCGAGAATAACTCTATTTCTGTAAACCCATCAATTCAAACGATGCAGTATGGAAGCGACTCATGGTTCAGGGAAACTATCCAATGAGACTCACTCAGAATCGTGAAGCTCTAGCGTGGTTAGGGATTTGGTCCATTTCATTCTTGCACCGTCTTTCTTTGGAGGCGATGTAATTAAAAAAAAGTATTCTCCCTTTCTTATCTGGTTATTCTCTACAGACATGCAACAAACCTCATTTGCATTTCTTGTTCTGATCAGCCTCGCCTTTTCCTTATTGGATCTTGTGGAAGGTAAGACATTAGGAAGTGGTATGTTGCAGAACAGCTTCATATAATGAGATGAACACAATTGATATAAAGGAGATCAAGTTTAAAGTTCACGATTGATTTAAAACTATACTTAATAGATTCTAAAACGCACGGCGCCAACGGTTAATAGTGATGATAATAATAATAGCAATAATGGTAACGATGATAGTATTAAAGTTGTTGGCAGGACAAGTTGCTGGTTAGGAAATTCTTTTTACAAGTATTCAATAATTGCCGAACAGGGAGCAAATGTAACAATTTTGCGTATACACGTTTATTCTTAGGCTAAAATCAACAACCAGTCAGCCCTTTACAGTTTCATACGCCATCTTTTCTTTTTTTCTCACGAAGAATTACCAGTTTCAATCTTGGGTTTCAGTCTTTTAAGTCAAAGAGTTCCCTGATATTTCAACCTAAGAAGAGTTTGTTGCTCAAACAATACTTTCCTTAAATTCATTTATTTTAAAGGCAGCCAATGCGATGAGCTACTGGATTTCGAGGACAAAAAACAACTCAAGTGCTTCGCAACTCGAGAAGGTTCCATTAAGTCGTTATCTGATGAGAGAGCAAAGAATGGTCTGTACTCTCTCAAGTGGGAGTCAAAGTCTACTAGCAAGTCGAGACTAATATACACCAGGCCCTCCTCGTCGTCCATCAGAGGAAAAAAACTTAAGTATGGAGGAGTAAAAATCTGGCTTTACAAGGAAAGGGCGTCTGACGGAAAGATGGAAATCCGGCTGAGAGACAGTAAAAAGAAAAAAACAATTGGGTTGATCCCAGTTAATCTTAGATTTAAAGGATGGAGAGGAATATGGGTGGCCTACTCCGAGTGCAAGACATCCTCCAGGAGTATATACGATTCTGCTCAGTTGAATCGAGTCAGTTTTGTATTAAGCCAGAAGGGTGTTATCTATATTGATATGCTAGATTTTGTAGACCATATGGCCTTCCAGAGTCGCGATAAAATAGTTCCACCATTTACAACGAAGTGGAAGGATGCAACGTTCTCTTGGCAACAAACACATCGCTGGAGTAAACAGAAACCAACCAACCTTCCCAAAGCTGTCGATGCATCTAAAATTTTGAGTATGAAACACATTGAAAGTCGCTTTAAAAATTTCTATTGTAATGAAAGGAAAACTAGTTATGATTTCGTTGGATTTGAGCTTGAGCGTTGGAAAGCAATGACGAAAAGCTTTGGCAGGGCGAACAAGGAATATGATAGACTTACATTTAAAACGTCATCAGACTCCACGAAAGTGATCAGTGGTCCTCCATTGTTTTGTCGTAACTGTAAAATGGGAACCAGAAAGTATTCTACCGAAGATCCTACGAGGAAGTTCAGCTTTGTTATGGCACAGATCATGCTACCTCTAGCGGTAGAATATTACTTGAGGTCCCGTAAAGCAGAGATGGATAAGATAGTAGAGAAAGAGACCACAGATCAAGCCCTTCTTTCTACTGATCCAGCAAAGGTAGAAGAGTCGTTAAAACGGATCGCAGGAAACCGTAAAGCCAAAAGAGATGAATTTTAAAAAAAGTGCGTCGGTCATTGGAATACTTAAACAAAGCTCGTCTTCAAAGAATCATCAATTTACTGGATTATGTAGAAGACCAAGGATGGGCAGATGGCAGTGCTATAGGTTCCTTGAATCATGAGATGAATCGAAATGGCGCTGCATATATGCATACTATCCTTTTACTTAAAGATAGTCTACACAAACATTCCACAAACAAGAGCAGACTGCTGAGCTTGATCAAGACCGCAAAATGGTATAACGACTTTGGAGAAGTTTATCAAAAGAAATTCGAGTTCGCAGGGACGACAGCCGACAGAATGATTACTATAATGCTGTTTCGGCTCATCATTGTTTTAGTGATGCCTACAAGTTCTGAGGAAGAGATAAAAGCCAGACAAAGAGATATGGACGCTGTTAAGAGATGGATGGACAACGCTTTGAAAATCAACAAGGCGTTTGGAGGAGTTGTAAAGCCTGATTACACTGGCTTCCACCACATGGCGTTTTATGGATCGGCTTACATACCGCAGGCATTGCATACAGCATCACAACTGCAGTACCTTCTTGAAGGAACTGATTTTGCCTTATCGGCATCATCGAAAAGAAACCTACTAAAATCACTCAAAACTCTGCGAGTTACAGCTGTGAAATACTCTACGCCCAGTAGCGTAGGAGGACGCTTTACCGAGTACTTCAAAGCTGTTTTGGTGAAAATACTCCCTGCATACGCTTACATCAGCGTATCTCATTCAAAATCACTGGCCTCAACACCAAAAGCTGGCACATCCGTGCCTGATGTCACTAGCGATGTGAAAATGTTTCTACGTCTTTACCAACCTTCAGACGATTTAATTGTTAATTATCTCAATGATGGAACAATTCGAAAAGGCAAATCCTACATGAATACTCTGGGGTCTTTGGAAATAATGAGCCAAGTACGTAAGACTCGAATTATCTTAATATGTATGCAACAATTGTTGAGATACCTAGAGCATTACTAATGATGGAGTGCTTTCATTCTTATCATCTTATTGCACTCTCCAACGTTTTAGACCCACGTTAATACACATTCATATTGTGGCAGAAAGAATAACTTCTCTTCAATCAATAGAGGATCGGTGAATAATACAAAAGAACAACAAAAAGCAAAACAAAACAAACCCGAATTTGCAAAGTTCCAGTCATCAATAGATACTGCCTTTAAACTTTTGAGATTCCTATTGGAATGACGCAAAAAGTGTTAAACACCCTATATGGCTGATACGTCAAAATTTAATAGTCAATAGCATCTAGTGAATTTTTCCGAATTATAGACTCTAACCAGTTAGACATGTAGGTGAATATAACCCCATGATACCTGATTTTTGTTTTAGGTATGTTTAGATAAGCTTGGTTCTCAATCACAAGTATAAAATCGAGTAGTCCTCCGGACACATTCCGTACTTTATTAAGAAATTAATAATAATTAGTTTCTATACAGTAACTTTAAGCTATCATTGCCATATTGTAGTCCGATGATGTTTATCAAAAACCCTTTTTTGGTGACTAGGTGTTCCAGAAAGCCAGTGTAAATAAGAAAATGACCGCTGAGTCATCTCCGGAGGGGCATTGGTCCAAGAACTTTTCAGCTCTTTCTATTCACCGTCGTGAAGACTGGGCAGTTACAGTGAAAGGCTTTAACAGATTTGTGTGGGACTTTGAGCAGGGCAAGGTTCAAAATTTGCACGGTATTTTTCAAAGCCATGGCCAGATGATTATTGCTAATGACGAGGAGTCGTTAAAGGCACATGATATAGAGAACGGATGGGACTGGACAAAAATACCGGGAGCCACTACAATGAATCTAACCCTTTATGAAACACTACTAAAGAAAGCGAGGTATTTCAGTCCGCGATCTTCAGCCGGAGGAGTTACCTTTAAAGGGCCAGAGCCCATCGCGAGCGGACTCTTCACCATGGACTTTCATCAACCAGATTACCAGTTCTTAAACGTAAGTGATCGTCATCGTAATATGAAACTCTACTTTAAAAAATCCGTTTTCTTTTTCCAAAGCGTATTGGTCTGCTTAGGCAGCAACATCAAAATTGAAAATGGTCCTGGAAAAGAAGCACAGACAACTCTCTTTCAAGACAAGCTTCAAAGAGGTTCATCGACCTTCACTATTAAAGTAGACGGTGTATCAAAGGGTATGTCAGCTCCTTTCCCCGCTGAGACACCGGCTTTAAGTTCAGAGGGGTACATCACTCTTACTGACACGAAAGGCAATAGCTACTACATTCCAAGTTCCAGTGCTTCGAGTCTCAAGGTTAAAGTTGAGAACCAAAGCTCTAAAACTCCAGCTGACAAGCCTTCTAGTGGTCATTATGCCACCGCCTGGTTTGAGCACAGTTCATCCGATGACAAATACGAGTACGCGATTTACGTTAAAACACCATCGTATCCCAAATCTGCCAGCGATGTTTGGAAATCGCAGGCGACTCATACCACGAGAAAAGTATACACAGTTTTGAAACAGGACAACGAAGCGCATGTGGTGAAATTTGAGATGACCACAGAACGCTGGAATTGGATTGACGCCCAGTATGGTTATGCAATATTCGGGTCCATCATGGAGCTCCCAGCCGAAGGTCCAGTCAAAGCTGTCAGCAAAGATTGCCTCATTATGGCGAAAGAAGATTCGAAGTTCCTTTATTTGAGCATCAGCTATCCTGATCTCGCATTTCCTACGTCTAAGCCTTTGGAGAAAATACAAGACATAAAGGTGAAAGAGGAGTACAAAATGGAGAGCGGAGACACCGAAGTGCAGGTGACGCTGAGATATGATGTACTAAAGACCCTACCCACAAAAGCGCATGCTCATGGATCTCCAGCAGAATACTTGCCAATAGTTCGGGTTGAGTCGCCATCCTCGCCTAAAGCGAGCAAGGGAAATAGAGTTGTCTTTGTCAACCTTAAAGATGGATTCAGCGTAGAAGTTAAGCTGAGGAAGTAGTTCTATATCCCCAGGAGTTTTACCAAACGAAAGACCCCAGAAGTGGTTGTAAAAGGAAATATATATCGGCCATTCTTGTCGCTGCGATTACTCACAATTTAATACACCAAATCCTTCAGGTGATTCTTGTGTCTCATTGTTTTTTTGTTACGGTGTATCAGTCAGTCAAATGGAGGTTGATATTAACACTGAGTGAAGCAAATAAAAGTAATGATGAAAATGATAATAGAATGAAAACAAAACACATTCAAGAGTGACTGTTAATATCTATCTGTTCTTTGATGAAAACAGGGTCTGTAGATTTTTCTTCATAAAATAGGAAGCTCAAATATAAAATTGTCTTAAAGGAAAGGTATTTTCTAACTAGCTAATGAAAAGACTTGATCTCAATTTACATCAGTTTCGGGCCGTTTACTTTGACACTCCTCAGTCTTCAACATCGTTCTTACCATCAGTCGGCGAAAGATCTTTTATATCTCACAAACTTGTACATACTCAGTGTATGGACTGACAGTTCAAGTGATTTTTGGCGAAGAGAAACAAGTTTTGTCGGCGTCTAGTTGCTAATGCGGAAGGGCCCTTTACCACCGTGAACATAATTACGCATCCCCCCAGACGGCGGAAAGTCAACAAAGTGTTCAGACATTAGTTCAGAAAACTCCGGGGGAGGGGGGGGCTCGAACAGGATGGGAGAAGGGAGGACTGGTGTAATTCTCCAGCTCTTCGCTATCGGAATCTTTTAATTCCTGCATCCACCACTCGCCCCTTTTTCTGTTAAATTTTCCTCTTCGCGCGTTCTTTTGATCTTTTATCTCTTATTGCTTTCTTTGTTCCATCAATTTTCCCTCCCTTCCTACCTCCTTCTTTTTTTCCTCCCGTGGGCAGCGGGATTCTCGAGAGGGTGGAAACAGGCGAAACACGATGTCATTGCGTCTATTTTTTTTACTGGAAATGACACATTTTTTTCATATTTTAGCTCCTAGATGTCTGTTTACGGTTAAATCATGATTTTTAGATAAAGCGACGTAAGTAAGACCTGTTTCTATTATGTCGTGCGGTTTTTTTTTATGACTGCGTGTGAGCATGCACGATTATGTACTACCGAGGTGTGTTCATACTGTAGAAGGTAAGGCGCAACAGCGGTCCACCTCCGCTTTCAAAGGCATCAGAGACGTTAAAGGAAAACGTGACACTGACATGGCAAATTTTGACGCAATAAGTCACCGCTTCTAGTCTGGAATTAAGTGAAGAGGTTCATTGTGTTTTATCACAGCAAGTATGCAACTCAATTAAAGAGGATTTCATGTTTTCTATACGATAAATATATAATTCAAACTTGCTTTGTGTTTCTTTCATGAAATGCATTCTTAAGAGCTAATGTCAGCATGCATCAAACAAACAGCGGCAAGTCACCCAAATTTGTTTTCACTCCTACTTTCATATCTTGTAGCCCAATATGTTCTAATAATTGTAGTGTAGTTTTTTTTGTGAAAATATATTTTAGTTTTCGAGAAATGACTTTTTTCGTTCGACCGCTCAAATATGCAAATTTTACCGTGGATATTACCGAAGTTGTGTGACCTCATGTAACGAATGTACTAGATCTACGGTATTTCTGTGAACCTAATCCACCATGTATATTTCATAGTCGCTATCAAGTAAAGTTTGCCGGACTATGAGTTCGTTTCAAGATAGAACAACACAAATACACAAGAAAATTTTTACAGTAACTTTATAACCACCCTTTGGCCTTTTAAAAGCTTGAAACTCAGTAGATTTTGTCATATCGGTCATTGTTAAAACTGTCTTTGTTTTGATGCTATTTTTCGACATAGGAAAGTATGTCGGACAAAAATATTCACCAACAAATAAATATTTCTTTGCCAGCTTAAATAAAGACAGGGGATTAAGTTTAGATGATAAAACAAAGGATTATGTTCACAGAAATACCGTAGGTCTAGTACATTCGTTATATGAGGTCACACAACTCGGGTAATATTCACGGTGAAAATTTGCATATTTGAGCGGTCGAACGAAATAAGTCATTTCTCGAAAACTAAAATATATTTTCACAATAAAACACCACGACAATTATTAGAACATATTTGGCTACAAAATATGAAAGTAGGAGAGAAAACAAATTTTGGGCGACTTGCCACAATATTTCAAATTTGATCGATGGATGCTGACATCCCCTCTTAAGTAAAAGTAACATAGTTTTCAAAAATTAACATAATTTTGATTACATTTGGGAAAAAAGTCTGGCAATGCTAGAAGCATAACAAGCTACTTTACTAGCACAATCTAAAAGATACTACCTCTTATTGCAAGAATTCTTTGCTCGTATGACTTGTCTTCCTGATGAATTCCCCTTTATGTTTTGTAATTATGCCTATGGACAAAGTTTGGAAGACACAGTTCTCCAGAGTATTGTCACATGATCCTCATTAGGAACTAAACATACTGCACTGGCTAAGGAAGTCCACTCAGCCATTTCAAACTTTCCCATCATATTTGGGAGAGAACTAGTACTGAAATTCAAGACTTATAGTAAGGTCATGCACAAGTTACACATGGATATCTATCTGGTTGCATTTATTTAATTTCTAACATTAAGCAGTGGTCAGAAATGACTCAGAAAAATGTAACGTGATAATAGAACTGGAACACTTGAAACTACATGTACACAAAGCCCTGGGTTATACATGCTAATGATTATTAACTGCTAGAGTGTCACAGGAACAGAAATTATAAAACTCTTCGAATAGAGAATTCAATACACTAATTGGTTCATTAAATTCATATTATCAACTTAAATGTGACATCAATTATAGCAAATAATAAAATATTGTGTTAATTTGCATATAAAAATATATTTTTTTGTTTGTCATTTTTCACAGAATTACATTGTGTACAATTAAAGTTTCAATTTAAATCCCATGCATGAGGTTGTTGCATGGTAGTAAATTCTAAGATTTTACCAACCCTAAAAAGTTCAAAAGGAAACTGTTGCTAATGCAATATTCTCACACGTATGTAGTCTTAAATTTTCAAAATATGTCAGACCCCAATTATATCAAGGGCTGTAGGAAATGTACATGGGAAAATGTATTTTACCCACAAAAAAATATATTCAATGCTTTTTTCTGCAAGTACAAGTAAGATTCTCAGCCTGGCATGACACAAATATTGTGTACAAAAGTCATAAGTAAAGGGGATGAAGGGAACAGAAATTTGTGCATGGTTCTTTCCGAGTGCCTTCTAAATGTACGTATCTACTGGTGCATCTTGATTTCTTTATCCATCTGCATAAGAGACACAGTACATTTAAATTTTTTGAGCACTTATTACAAATAAGTTGAAATGTAATGTTTTGGAGATCATTGTGATCATATGATAATTCAGGTTTGAGAAATCCTCAAACTAAAACAGAAAATGTAAAACTGGCAGTCCTTCTTGCTGAAAGAATATTTAAGCTTGCTCCCTGAATTGCCTCATTTCAAAGAACTGATACTCTTGAGATCACTACTTTTCAATTCTCAAATACTTTTTTTGTAAGAAATTGCTTTTACACAAGATTACACAAATGACCAAATTTAAAGTCTGATGTTCAGAACTTCAGTATAATAACAAGTTCTCTACTTTTACATAAACATAAACCCTAAAGGTGAAGCATATATATGTAACCCCCTCATTTGATTATTTGTTGACAATAATTGGTAAAATGAAAGATGAAAATCTTCTGGTGTAACATCACAATTTCTGAAATGGGGTGACAAAATGAATAGAAAGTACCTTCTAATGTTTCTAATCCTTCCTCTTGCCAACTGCCAAAGGACATGAATTTCATGTTATAACCTTACTGTAATTCACACTCTCAAGGAGCTACATCTCTAATATAGTTCTCATACATTCTTCACCCTTTTAGCTGGGATGTCCTCTGATTCTGCCTCAAACTTCCTCTTTGCTTCTTGGGCTTCCTTCTCGAGTTCCTTCACTGCACGGTTATCATCTTCGGAAGGATCACTCCACAGCGAACAACTTTTGCATTTTGTGCACGGCTTTCCAGGATCCTTTGGATGCTGACAAAAGTGGTTATAATGAATACTTGGCTTACGGCAGACATAGCACATTGTGGCTCCACACCGACATGTCATTTTGTTGCACCCATCTGATTTGGTGAACTCGCACCCACACTTTGGGCATTTTCTTATCTTTGCCATTGTCATTCTTTCTTCATATGAAAGTCTCACATCCTTCTGTGCTGATTTTTCAACCTCAGTACACTTTAAGCCAAAATGATCAGACCATTCCTCTTTGCAGTACCGACAGGTTTCTTTGGCACAAGAAGGATTCTGGCATTTAAAAACTTTCTCTTCCTGTGGCAAAATTGCTGCAAAATCACAATAGGGGCACTGCACGAAATCGTCCATTTGGGCCAATGTAAGGGATTCCTCTTGCACACGATCTTCATATTTCTCCAGGATTTTGGCCGGCAAGGCCTTCTTCAGTTGACTCATGGGAAATGTGCCTTCACAACCATCACTCATGCACACAAGAGTTGTCTTACCTTGGCCAAAAGTAGCCTCCTTTGCATAGTTCATCAGACAACTTGCACAGAAAAGATGACCATCCAGGCACTGAACCATGTCTTCAAAAGCTGCATCTCCATAGCAACAGCCACATTCAATTTTCTGGCCTTCTTCTTCATACTGCTGGTCATTTAAGCTTAAGGCAAATAATCGATCCTTCTCTGCAGTTCTAGAAAGATCCCACTTTTTCACATACTCCATCTCCCTTAAAAGTTCCTCATCCATGTTAAATGGTGAGTAATTCGACTGTACTGGAGAGCGTCCACACCTAAGAAGTTGAATTTGAGGTGGTCGCTGGCTAAGTGCATAGGGAGTCTCATCAACAGTGGCTAATGGCACCTTACTTGTGAGTTGACAAGAGGGTGCAGCTGTCACTGTGGCAGTTGCATCCCTTTGTGTAGAAATGCGAAGTTGTTCCTGCAGATATCTTCTACTCGGGGCATAGTGATATCGAAATATTTGCAAAGCTTTCTTAATATGCCCCTTGGGAATCATTCTGAATTCATTTTGAAGTAAAACTAAGCACTGATTTTGGTATTGCAATGACACTGGACCTGAAAAGTCTTTGAAGAAGTCTTTCTCTACACAGACATTTCCAGAAGTATTGGTTCCCAGAGGATTAGTTAATTTAGATGCTTTCTTAGGATAATCACGTTTCTCAATTAACTCATTGCAAGCATGATTGATGGCCACATCTCGAGGGAGATGTGACCACCTGTCAAGCAAGCTTTGAAGATAATCATCTCTTACATCGGGGAATAGAGCGTGAAGGTTTTCCATAGCTCCTTCTGTGGGATCTAGAGGATGTTGAGCGTGTGTAACCTGAACATGTCGATTAGAATCTTGAAGATTCGCTGACGGCATATTCGAAAATGGCGCACGAGGAAATTGTGTCTCTCCTTCGAACGAAAGATTTCGGCTCAGGTCCCTTGTGTTACAACCAGCATTTAGCGGAGGTGGATTAGATGCGCCTCTCGGGGTGGACGAAGAGTGGTATGCCGTAATCTCCACGTCATCAATGATCATTGGTGCAATTCTGGTTGCAGCCGCTATCTGAACACGGCTCGTTTTCGAGACAAACACTACATCATCGTCTTCTTCTATAACAAACGAGTTTGCTTTTTCGTTTGTAGGTTTTGTCACAGGCACAACTGATCTGTTTGCCGTTAAATTTTCTTCATTAATAGTTCTACTCAAGAGCATGTCAATGCATCCGGGTAATATAGTGGCAGGATCACTTCCAACGGTTTCTTGAACATTCCTTATGCATTCCGTTAAAACACGGTCATTTAGCTGCGGGAATATGGGTCTTAAGGAATCCAAAATCCTCGCCTCAAACGACATTTTCACTCACTTCATGTGCTAGAGGTAGAGTATGGAATATTTTTTCAGGATTTTCAAGGCAATATCACTTCGGTTTCGAACTAGGCGCGCAAGACGACACGTTCTAGTTTTTATGTCATGTAAGCCGTATTGAGTGTGATTTCCTGGCGCTGCTCCGCTGACCGAACAATCTGTGAAAATCACACGAAAATTACTGATATGTGATACGATGTCAACGAAGCTTTACGATTGCACAAATCAGATTGATCGGTTTTTTCACGACGACTTCCGATCACTTTGTAGTTTTATCAGCGGTCAGTATCAAAACTACTTTCATCTTCATTTAACACATGGAAATTTCTAACCATAACCAACAAAAAAAGAAACATTGCATCTTCTGCTATAAATAGTAACAAAATGGCGCACTGGTTTCACAGAAACCCAATCAAGGCTTCTGCTCCTGTTACGTTTGAGTCGATTCGAAATGTAGCGACCAATTCTACCTCGTCTAAGATGCTCTCGTAAGTCCATCATTTTCTTTCGTTCTTATCTAACAACCTACACCGAAAAACTTAGCTGGACAAACACGGCTTGAAATCATCGTTTTCCAGACTAGCGCTTTTAAAATGTTAGATTTTGCTCATTTGACAAATGTCCGCAGATTATATTAAACGTATCCAGTAGGAAAATTTATTTTGTTGTAAATTTTATTTACTTGCATACCTAGCTTAAAATTAGATGTTTTGGATTTGATGATACAATTGTTTGATAGGCAGATTCAGGATTAAGATTTAATGCAATTTAATGCAATTTAATGCTGTTGGGTAAAAAATAATATAACTTAGAACATGACCAAAAATCAGAATACTGGGTAAATTCAATTTTCATCCTAAGAATGAGAGTCAGAGAGAAAAAAAATTGAAGAGGTGGAGTGTTAACTTTCCAATACTTGTGCACTATATGAAAAAAAAAAAAAGAGAGAATTGAGTGATTCTACAGTGCTCAGTATTTGGTCCGCCATAAGGGTCTCAGGTGCTGATTACCTTGAAATTAAAATTAACTGAAATGGGTTATTAAATGTTGCATTATTACTGTCAGGATAACATGGTAGAAAACTCTCACTTTTGATGTTTAGCGCATTTGGAAGGAGTGATAATCATTGGTTAATTTTGTCCATTAGGATATGGTCAAGAAAATTTTGAAATCCTCCTTTTTATGAGGGGAGTTAGCTGTAGGACTTTTCCATCACCAATGTCTAGCACTTTGAGAAACAACAATTGCACATGTCTAGTGGTAGTTCAAGGATGTTATAACACAAGTTTAAAGGATAATTATAATACCTATCTGTTTGTTTGTATTGCATTTTTATCAATCGATAACTCCCCTCCTTAAAGAAAGATCCAAAGTGTTTATTTTCCTTTTGCAGAGAACTGAAGATGGCCAGGGTAAAGCTGTTAAATTCCTTGACAGACCCTTCAAATGATCCCAAATCAGTCCAACAGGCCACTGAGCTTTATTTGTCACTCCTTCATGGTCTTGTGAATGATCCAGCCCAAGGATCTGGTGACAGCAAGCTTCGTAAACTAGTCATGTTCAAGTGGACAAACTCAATTTGTGGAAACACTCCAACGTAAGTTTATCTAAGGCTGGTCTATGCAACCAAAGTAAAAGGGGGCATTGACTTGTGGGACATGACATGACATTTGTCCTTTTTGATGTCAACAGATTGAATGGTTTGTCCCACATTTCTTACTTTCTTCAAACACAATATTCTTTGTTTACACTGCATTTCAACTCTGCTTCCCCAAAAAGCATTCTGCACTGTATATAGTTCTTCATCTCCTTTTGCGCCTCCCCCCTCCCTCCCCTTGCCATCTTACCCTTTTCCACCCTTGCCCCTTGATTGGATAGGGACTAAATAGACCTATATATGTAGCTCTATAAGAAAACAGAAATGCCATATATCAATGGCCTATTTCATCAGTTTCAACAGGGTTTGAGCTAGGATTTGACTATTTAGAGTCAATTTGTCCCTTTAGGTTATTTTTGGGGGGACATTTTCCATTTCTGAGGGTCGCCCAAGCATAGGGAAAATTTCAAACTGAACTAAAATTTTAAACATTTAATGAAATAGCAACAAGTTACATTGTAAGGTGGCATACTTCTTTTTATCTTTCTCTGTAAACTCCTAACTGTATGATTCTCTTACAACCAGCAGCTGATCATGGCCACTAAAATAATTAAGAAAGTGACTATTTGTAAAAGAACAAGACCAACAACTCTGTTGTGCCATTATCATTTTAACAATATCATATTTGTTCTTGCTTCCACATTTCATTGCAGATCCTTCTTAGTTAATTAACATCTTACATGTACATGTATAATAGCAGTATTTCACGATTTCAAAATTCTCCTGTTCTTTATAGCCCACTCTTCAAGGGCTAATTAAAAATCAAAGTCCACAGAAGGTGGATCCCTCGATGTCTATGGTCATAAGTACATCTAACCTGTTGGCTTTTAGTCTGTTTCTCAATGCATTTTTAATCCTGTTTTGGGCACTGAAGCCTCTCTCACCACAATTTGGGGGGAAAAAGCCGCAATTTTGAACATTTTGTCAAAGTATCCAGAATTGGATGAAACACTACTAAAGTGGTTTTGGGAGAAGAAGAGTCAGGATAAGTCTAAAAGTCTTTCATTTTGAATCAATTTTGTAGTTTAAAAAAACAACGCTTGACTCAGCCGATTTCTGTCAGATCGTGTTGCAATGTTTACACAAGCCGTGGGAATGACTGCTTCTGATTGGTCAGTTTCCGATGTTGTCAAAATGAGACAAAACAAACATCTAAATCATGCTTCTCTTATCTTTCACAAAAATTGCTATGAGCGTATTAATTCTGCGGCTAAAACCAAATTGTTTTTTGAAAAATTGTGCCGTTTATAGTCGAATTTATGTTGAATTTCAACTCTTGCAATTTTTTTTTTGGGCACAAATACTTCAGTAAAATTTGTCGCAAAAATCGCTCGCTTTTTTAGGGGACAAATTGACCCCTGAATCATTTTTGGACGGGACATTTTAAATTTTATTGCGGGATTGGCGCAATGGCGCGGCCTGGCTCAAACCCTGATTTCAACCACTGACACCAGTCTGAGGACAATTAGAGTATTATGATGATCATGTTCTTTTGTTAATGTTGTCAATTTTTTTCCTCAGTTGTTCAGCTGACAGTGTGTTTGAGTTAACATCTGTCTGCTTGAATGTTGCCATCTGGTATACAAAGTATGCAGCAAAACTGGCTGCCAAGGGAGAGTAAGTTTGATGATATTAAACATTAGAATAATTATTATAAATCTTTGTAATATATAATAAAGAAATTATTATTAAATTGTTAAGGTGACAACTGATGATTTGACTACTTTTCAAATGAGTTTGTCATGAATTTGGCATGGGCACCACACATATTCATGATGAAATAGAGAATTTTACTCCATTTTTATTTGTTCTACTTTGTCCTTAGTGACTTGATTGTTGCATGTCTTTTTGATATTTGAAGTTTATTGCACTTCCAAGATGAAGGAATTAATTTATGAAATGAATATTATCAGGGTAACCATGGATGAAGCAAAGGAAGTCCACACATGCCTTAGAGCTGCAGGAGGAATGTTTAAGTTTGTCAAGGTATTTAGACTAAATATGATACACTTTGGATATCCCTTCCTCTCCCAAACTACTGGAGGTGTGAAGTTGGGATATTTTTGGCTAATTCTTTTGTCTGCAGGAAAGTCTGATGCCACGCCTTGGTGACTTATCAGCTGAGAAAGGTGCTGATACTGATCAGCGAGTGTTGGAGGCTTATCAGATGCAGTGTGTCGCTGAAGCACAAGAAGGTAAGTATTACCGAAAGTGATAGTAAGACAAACCAGAGAACATAATACTGCAGCCAATGGCTGAGCTGATAAAATGTGTTTGTGGAACATCTACCACTTTCAAGTTGTAAATGTTGTTAAACAGGTGTGTTTAGGATATCCTTTTTTCTTTTCTGTTCTTTCTCTTCCTCTTTAATCAAGTACTTTACAAGGGAAAGAGGGATTAATAAACTTTTAAATCCTGTATCTCAATCAAGTGGTATATGTAGTTTTTGCAAATAATTCCACATGCACAATTGCATACATGTACTTTGTGATCATGTGCTATGAGTATTTTGACCTTTCACATTTGACCTTGTTACATTGCAAATGTCTTTGGGTCAAGCTGTTGTTTGTTTGCTCACTTTTTGGTTTGGTTTAATTTTGTTTTCTGAAGTTAAAAGACTTCACTGTATGTATGGTTCAAAATGAATTTCCACTCATTCTAATTTAAACTAAATTGAAATTGATGTGTTTTGTTCTTTTCTCTTAGTACATTACCATAATAATCCTTGAATGTAAAAGAAGAACAGAACAAACAACATGTAGTTTGAAGGCAACAACTAAAGCTGTTACTTATACTTTCTCTTTAGTTACTGTGGCACGAGCAGTGGAGCTCAAACATAAAGCTTCTCTCATCTCTGCACTTACCAATGAGACGTCAAAACTGTTTACAGCAGCAAGTATGTTTTTTGTATCTTAAATTATAATTATTTCTATGACCTTGGTTCAACTTTAGAAAAATTGCAATTCATAAACTCTGTCTCACCCCACCCTCCAGCACCCCACCCCAACCCTCCTCTTTTTATTTAACAGCAAACCCTTTGTTCAAAGTGGGTGTCAACATGTGATACCCTTACTGTTGGTAATTTTTTAATAATGAGTTATTTGTAAATATTTAACAGTGTCATTATTAGTGTCATTTCCATATTCATTATCACAATTGTTCTTTTAGACAGTAATTCCAGCCTTTAGCTAAAGCTATTTATTACTAAATATTTATTTATTAAAGGTGATTCTCTGAAATCAGTGGAGCCCACTAAAGCTGGTAAATGGAAGAAATACCTTGATTTGAAAGCTGCATTTTATCAGTCCTATGTAAGTTAACATGTCATCAATTATTAGGTATTAAATTCACAATGGGTTAGAAAGTTGATGGTAGGGGGTGTAGTTGTCTTCACAAGTTATATTTTGTGGCATTTGTTTTCCATTTACGAATTGCCTTTAGCCTCTGTTTCAAAGTGAGTCCGGGTGTTCATCCTTCCATATGATAATAAGTTTTCATTCACGTGCAGATAAAACTCGTTTTCATACAAATGGTTCAGCACCAGGCCTCATTTTGGTAAAGAGGCTAAAGGTAATTCAGAAATGGCCCATTGCTCAGCTTGCTATCAACGTAAAATATATATGATGGTAAGGGGCAGATCCTTGGGCTGAAGTAACTATTTGAAAAATGATAGGATCCTGATCAAGCACAATACATTCTAAGCATGCACAGAGAGATTTCTTTTTATTTTACCAGCAACTTTTAATCTTCTTGCTTCCTTTCAAACATATCCAATCCTCTTCTTCAACTTTTATGATTTACATGATCCACTTTTTTTCTGGATACATGTGTGTTCATTATCTCCAAACAATTTTGTTTGGAGATAATTTACACAGAATAAGATTCTTTACGAGGAATCTTGAGCTTTTAGTAAAAGTTTCCAGCAAGTTGTTCATCACATTTTCATGCTTCCTGTTCCCTGTAGGCTTACTGCTTTTGTGGGGAAACACTTCTTGCTGAAGATCAGTGTGGAAAAGCCATTCGAGCTCTACAAGAAAGTGATAAATGTAAAGCTATTGTTATCTTTTGTGTTAAACTCTTCTTTCGTTTTAAGAGAAACAGATGTACCTATCCAGTAGTTAGTCAGACAGACTGACTGTCAGTCTTTCCGACTGGCAGTCTTAGGAGACCAGTCTTAACTAAAAGATGGTGGCAAAGATGATAGTGTTCAAAGTGAATTTAAAGGAACCTTTTTTTAACTTCAGTGTACAAGAAGGCTGAAGCAATTTCCCACGAGTACTCCAGTACTAAAGGGCCCGGCACAACAGCTAGACCATGGCAACATCCATTTTTCCTAAAACTTGGTCCCATCATACGAAAGAAGCTGGAGAAAGCCAACCATGAGAATGGATTCATGTAAGGACATCACTGTTTCAAAGTGCGGTTACCCATATTCAGGGCCGGTTTGATCAATGCTGGGTTGAGATAGTGTGAAATTTGATTTCAGATCTGAAAGCTGCAAAATGAAATTCATTTTTATTATTTTTCAAGTTGTCTTCAATTTGATTATTGGATGCTCTAAAAAGAATAGAGGAAATTATCCAAAAAAGCTTATTAACAGAGAAATAACGAAACCCGGAATAAAATCTAACCCTGGGTTAGCGGCAATCGGCCTTCGAACAACTATGGCCAGTACTTCAAACAAGATTAGAGTATTTTGCTTATTCACAGCACTTATTAAAGAGGTTTTCTTATGATAGAGTAGCTTAGAAGGCACTGGCGTATTTTGTCGGGACGATGCACTCTGGATCGAGAGGTCTGAGCTCCAGCCGCGGACGGGAGTTGTTAGGCGAGAGGCTTTAATTTCACACTGCTTCTCTCCATCTGGGAAACTGTTAGGGAGAATTTTTCCACAGTACTACCCCTACTTCTCTCTGAGCTCTGTACCGCTTATAATAATGTTAATTAACCTGCTGTGTCTTTGTTTAGTTATTTCCACAAAGTCCCTGCCGAGCCACCCGAACTTGAACTGAAGGCAACTCATGGCTTAGCAAGTCCTCAAGAGTTCACCCTGCCCGCTCCACACGCCTTATGGTCAGGGGATACTTATACTGGATTTGACGCGTCCAAAGCTCACCCTCCTCCGGTAAGTTGCTGTTGTTGTTGTTCTTATTTGTTGGTTTGTGTCTGCAATATGTCGCCAATCAGTCAGTACTACCAAAAACAGTCCTTCTCTGGAATACCCTCACCCGGACGATCGGATTAAACGATCAAATGTTGCCCTTCAAGTTCAGACTATTTACTGTGATAAAATAAGAATATTTTTGCGTAGTTCTCTCAAGTATAGCCACAGTGACGTTTTCAACAACGGTAGCCTGTGCAATTCCGACCTTAGTGAGTGAAAACTAACGGAGAGCGCACGAAAAGCGGGTTAGACAAAGCGCAACCGCTGTTTTTCTATAGCCAGCTATTTTGCTCGTGTCCATCGACTGAGAGCCTGGGACGTGCTACAACAATGCCTGACGGGATGGTGCTTGAGTGGGTGCTTAAACCAAGATCTATATTCCATTGCGGTGTAATGCACAACGAGCAATCTTCAATAAGGAGAGTCCCCTCCTCGTCGTTTTGGCTATTTTGTCTTTGTGACCTTTGTCAAATAACATTCTGTTAGTCTGGTAGAGTATACCGTTTTCCCGATAGTACAGCAAATACTTAAATACTATCTTGAATATGACGAAGTCTCATTTCCAAGATACTCACTTTGAGTGCCTTATTACTATAATTTGCACAGGCTTCCCAAGCTGCGTCAGGTGATGTGAAACCAGTTCCAGAGCCCGAAGATTCAAGTCCTGTAAAACCGGCTAACAATTCGTCTGGATGTTTAGTATCTTAGTTAGAACGTCTCCGTATAATTTTTCATGCCAGTTTTAACTTTTGTTTACTTTGGTGTAAAAAGTCACGAGACTCCTGATTGAGTGGATGGGGAAGGATCTGAATGGATAAAATGCTTTTGCAGTTTGAAACCTTACATAAGTCCTTGTGCCATTTCTCCTTAATTTCAGTGTCACAGTTTGAAGAATTCATCCTAAGTTTAACAAGTTCATCATTCAATTTTTATTCCTTAACCCGGCACGCTCTCTCTTAATGTATGTTTTGATCTGCCTCACAAAACGAGCCTAGAGAGACCTCTGTCGAAAGGCAATCTGTTGTGACGCGAAGAATTCCTCAGAAAAATGTGGCATTGCCCCGAAAAAGTTTAAGTACAAGTACAAGGATAACATAGACTGCTTTCGCATTTCGCGATTTAGGAATTATAGTCATGAATGACGTTTTTTGTCAGAGGTCAAACCGTACGAGTTACCATAATTTTTTTAAAATCGTATATAGCACGCACTGACACAGTTGAACGCTTTATTGAGAACATAGATATAAATAATATACTGTTGCAGCACAGTCAACCATCTATCTTTGCATTCAAAGTATAAATACAACCTCCAATTAAACTTGCTGGTGGAGACAATGAAGCTTAGAAACATCGTAATTTTTGTTGATTGTATTGTGCAATATTCTCTTAACCCTTTAACTCCCAAGATCTGATTGTTAATTCTCTCCTTCAGCTGCTACAAATTTTCTTGTAAATTAGTGATGGGAACTTGGTGCTAGATCAAGATAGCAGCTTCTACCTGCTAATTTTGAATATTCTCGTTACCTGTTTGCTGAACAATGTATGGATATTGTAGGGAGAAGTTTCATGTTAATCACTTCTGGGAGTTAAAGGCTTAGGTGAGTTAAGATGTGTCGTGTGGAACTGCAGATTATGCGACATGTTAGTGTCCTTTGAAGCAAGGTGTGACTGAGTTAGAATCAATTCGTGCCTTTAACTGAGGTTTTCCCATTGAATGAATCCCATCTTATAGCCCTCAGATTCATTTACTTTTGCATGTTCTGGATCTGATGGTAAGGTAAGAAATAATTGTCTAGCTGCAAATAACTACCTTTTACACAAACTTTTCTAGGGGTTCATTTTGAAAAAGTAACGAAGTATCACGGACTGAAGCTTTTGAAGTCAAGGATTAATAAACTCAGTATGACAGTAGTTTTGAAACCATGTATCTTTACCATCTATGTGGATTGACATCATTGCGCAGAAGCATTACATATCAACTTTCCTATCTACCAGTATGCAGGTAATTTGCTACCATGAACTTAGTTAACTGAGTTCTTGTTCAGCAACTATCAACATGTTATACTGATCCTAACTGTTCAACGTATCTTCATCTCGCTGAACTCGAAATTGCCTGGTGAGGTCCAGGAATTCCACTTCGGTCCCTCTTTTTTATTGAGATTTCCACATCCACAATTCTTGTACCACCAGCCAGCACCATCTTTCATAGCACAATTGATGTTAGACTGTTTGTCATTATCCGAGTCCTTTGTTGTGAAATACTGCCATGAGGAAGAACCACCACAGTCTCCGATAGACCCTCGGTAGCCATTTGGAGATGCCATTTGAAGACGGTATTTATTAGCCACACCATTCACTTTAACGTTGCTGTACTCAGCAAAGCCATTTTCATTTCTGTCTGTCCTGAGCTCAATTCGAAGAAACCGAGGTGTTTTCATAAGCATGTGGATCATTTTGTTACCGAGCCAAAAATTACCTCCTTGAATATTCCCAAAGCCAGCTTCGTAGTCAGTCCAATTTCTGTCGAAATTGACCCTCGTAAAAGGACGTGTGCGTCTTTGCAGGACTGTCCAACCTCCGCTGTTCGTTTGTTGGTCGCAGAGCACTGGAACCCAACCAATGCTTTCCAGATGAATTTGTTGCAAGCCGTCTGAGTGGTTACTCGTCAGTTTCAAGGCCAGGCAACTTTCTGCTGCATAAAATAAAGCACTTATCAACGCGTTCAAGAAAGGAGCTGTCATCGAAAAGGCACTAAGTCTCGTTCTCAGTAGCATGAGGACCATGAGGAGACTGGGAACATTACCGCTTCTACTGGACAGGATACTTATCAATCGTAATCAAATCCTATGATCTTTATCTGCACTTCAGCTGCGAACGTCTCTGTCTTAAGTCTGTTCTAAGCGTTCAATAAGTAAAACGGAGCGCAAAACTAAACGGCGTGGTAGTAACAGTGAAGCGAAAAAGGAGAGAGGCTTGGATCCGCAGGCATTCGCGTTCATCTTTTGCTCTTCCGCTACTCTTGTGTCGTTTACTTTCGCGTGTCGTTTTACGTATTGGACGCCTGGAACACGCTTCTGATATATGGGAAATACGAGGTTCTCTTGAAGAGGAAAATTTGGTTAAAAATTGATGTTACCTTTCTTGGAGAGGTTTTTGGCAAAGATTACCTTGTACAAGAGTTAAGAACTCACCTTTTTCGCAGTTTTCACCATGAAATCCACTTTGGCAACGACAAGAATAGCCATTGGTGATGTCGAAACAGGTGGCGTAGTTCTTGCAGGGGTTAGAGGCACAAGGAGTCGTGCCAAGCGGAGATGAATCTAAAAGGTGACACTATCAGGCGTTAGTTTATAGCTGCCGCGTTTCTTTTTTCGGTTTCGCTTGGTCTGTAGACTGTTTTCCCTTTTTCATCAGATATTTAAGTAAAATTTATATTAATATATTTATGAAAAGCCATACGTCATATAAACCAAGTAAAAATCTCGTCTATTTCTGTTTGATATTATTATTGCTATTATTATTATTCATTTAGTTCTGTTTTTTAACAATAGTATCGAATAACAGTAATATTCTCACCACTTTCACTTGTCGAGGCTTTTTGCTCGCAGTATGAACCACTGTAGCCCTCAGCACAGATGCATTTATTCGTATCGTTTTCCTGAATACATTTGCCGCCATTTTGACACGAACTGGCACCGCAGAGAACTGGCTGCAGTGAAAATATTTAACACGTACACAAGGCATAGTGATTGGAGATTTAGGACGGTAGACTCTGACTTGAGAGGAGTAGCTTTCGATGGAAGTATTTATTGGGAATAGTATAACCAAAGTGTGGTAACTATCAATGCTCCATTTTTATCTAGTGCTGTTGGTATAACCACAGTAAAAAAACAAGACATGCACCTACATACACAAACGTTTTGGTGCCTGATTGAGCGACCTTGGAAGCCTTTGAGATACTCAACTGCCAGTATCAGCCACTTTACCCTATCAAACACTTCCTGAAGGTTTTCTTTTCCCTTTTCAATAGCGAGACTTGTAAAATCTTTTCATCTCAGAGCAAAAACCAACCGCACAGGCCAGTCCGACATAAACCACAGTTTTCGAGTTTACATATTCTCATCTACGTTTAGTAATTTTCGATCACAAACGTTTTCGCGAATGCTTTACTCAAGCAAATGCTTCCTGACATACCTTCAACTCAAAATAATGAAATCCATCAACTGCAATGGAGCTCTGTGGGTCGTTTTGCTGTTTTTCGTTATTAATATGACAGGAAAGCAGGGATGATTTTGTGGCGCTCCCTTTACCATAGTTGAACGATACACAGCCACATTTGCGCATGCACCGTTGAGCGCATTGAAGCGCTGAGGCAACTTGATATTGAGCGATCACATGATTAATCAGAACAGTGTCTCATCGGGGAAAAGAAGAGAGAAAATAAAAAAAGCATTTTGAACTTAATTTTTTTTATCAAGCATTTATCTTTCCTTTTGCATAACCTTTCTTAACTGGGCTACTTAGTTGGCGTTAATAGTGTCGTATTACCAGGCAATGAAAATAAAGCTTTCCTTGTAGCTTCGAGGAAAGTGAAGTTTTTTTCTCAAAAGTGGTGGCCAGAAATTCCTCTCTTGAGAAGAGATAGGATCATGCAGCATATTTGCCAGCTGAACTTCCAAATGGAATGGATTCTTACAAAGAAAGCGAGGAATAACAGGGATGTGAAAGTTCACTCATTCGCTTCTCTTTATTTCTATTATTATTTTTTTCATTTTTTTATTTTTGTGGGGTTACCATAGTATTTTTTTTTTTCAGGTAAAGTGTTGCCTGGCTAAATGAATAAAACTTTTCAAGATTATTGATTGAAGTTTCTTCGAGAGAACTGATATAAACTTCCTGTTGAGATAAATATTTTGTTGGCGTTTCATTTTCAACCCTGTCGAAGAGAGGGATCTTTTGTGCGTCGTGAAACAAATTTCGGACTAAATAAATATGCTATTCCAATTAAAGGAGAGGATTGCTTAATTTGAATTCTAAACCAGACACATTTCTCAGACGTGTTCGACAGCAATCAAGAGAAACTAAAAAAGAATGGAGAAAAAACCTACCCATGCTGTTTTCATCGTAGTATCGTTACACTCTATAAGATGAAGTTGTGGGTGCCCGTTTTTCTACTAGTTTACTGTAACAGATTCTTTGGCAGATTGCTCTTAAGAATCTTTTCTTCTCAGTTTCATAGGAAAGTAGAAACTAAATTGATAGTAAAAAGCTGTTCATAGGTTTCTTTAATTTGCCTCTCATCTTTTGAATAAATGAATATGCTCTGCTTAAAAATCATAAGATTAGCACATCAAATCAACATTCTTACTTAGTTTTAAGAGGGATCACGCTCCAGAGAAAACAGGTGACACCAAAATTAAACGGTTTGTCATCTGAAGAAACTATTTTTTTCTCATGGTAACTTTTTTCAGTTGTCAGGATCTGATACACATGTATATTTTAGTGTTTTAGTGTTTAGTGAGGCGTGAGTGGTAACTTTTTTCAGTTGTCAGGATCTCGGTATATTATCCTGGCCGGGGCACAATTGTGGGCACTTTCACCTTATGCCGGATAAGACGAGAGTCTCCTGCAGGGTTTGGGGAAGGTATAAAATATATCTGTACCATCTCAAAAATAAAAAATGTACTACCAATAAAGTTGTTATTAAAAAAAGTATAACTATCACACTTGTTTTGTTAAGAACATCCAAAAATTTTCTGTGAAAAATGATTACTTTTTTAAGAACCTGTGAAATGATTGTTTTTCCACCAATGGTGACATGAAATTAAAATTTATCAGCGCTCAGGCCGAAGATAAATACTATATGCCACAACATGAACCCAACAGCGGAAAAAAATAGAATATTATTCAACATCAATTAAAATGGACTTACTTTGAGCTTTTCTTTCGAAAAATCCTTTGTGAACGCAAGCCTCGCTTCTCAGCTGATTGAGGCTTCTAGCGGGAAAAATAACAGCTGCAAGCACCAGTTGCAACATGAAGGACAGCATTTTTCCACAGATCTAGAGTTACGAAGAATCCATAAAAATTAATGCCTTAAGTACCTGCTCCTCAAGATCAGAATAATCGAAGAATGACCAACAAAACAACTTCAGCTACAGACAAGTGATTAAAGGGAGTAAGCGTCTGAAAAAAAGTATGGCGCTGCGTTTAACTTGAGTCACCGGTTTATGAGGTGAATTGGCCACTGGCAAGATTTTCAAGGGTAATTGCTGTTATCCATGTATCTGTTTCACTTCCAAAAGTTACTCTAGATCTGGATTGGTCTACAAAGTTTCATGGGATTTACTTACCGTGATACAACTAAGTCAGAAGAAAACTGTAGCAGACGGACTTACACTTCGAGATGGACTCATCAATTACAGCGTTTTCTTGAGAAGGGATCTGTTTCGAACGCACTTATTTTCAATCAATTGTTACTGAAATTGACATCGGATAATTAGCAAAAAAGCATCAAACATTGCTTTCGATGAATTTGGAAAAGGATTCTCATACAGGCGGCAATGAAAGTCAGTATTGACCAAAGCCGATGATTCGAAGTCTAAGGAGCGGACACTGATCGTTTTATGTCAATATGTTAGTCAGAATTGAAAACAACAGAAGACAATTAAAAGTAAAGGATGACTAATGGTCCACACTATTGTTAACTTTTGAAGCGAACTCTTCTCTTATGGCAGCAGTGACAGTATTGTTCGATGATATAGATTGAATTTTCCGGAAATGGCTTTTTTAATTAAATATCTATGACTTTTACCGCAATGGAATAGTCGCAATCAACACCTAATATACAAGATAGCGAGTTTAGTTGCATTATCTTTGAGCACTGAAAGCAAATTTCATCGTTAATATAATGCTATTAAGCCAGAAAATTATTCTTACATAGACTGATTTCTGATGTATTTGTTTAAAGAAGTGAAGTTCCATTTGATAAAAAGAAGCGAACTAGTTGTTTAAACAGCTACTGTCAATGTTGAATTAACAGAAAACAAGAAAAAGAAAGTTCTCAATAGTAAAGTAGTTACTGCGGTCAGTAGAGCGGGTTCCAATTCAATTACGCTAAAAAGAGTAGCAGCCGTTTTTTCTTTCTTTTTTTTTTTTTTCCCCGAAATAAAGAACGAGAGCGAACGATAGTTTGGTATCATTAGCATGAATTCGTCCACTGTTATGCAGTTCTTAGTTGGGTTCGCGGTAGCGAAATAGAAATTGCGAGTAGACAATTAATTTTTGGCAGTTCAAATTAAACGTGTCTAATATCATGTGTCACAGGCATATCAAAGAAATTCCAAAAATTTTAAACTGACAGAACTTTTGTTTGCTTTCTCAGCTCAGCCTCACAAAGGTGATAGCAGTGATGGAAAGACATTAATAAAAACCGCCTGTCGTGAATATCAGTTTGAGATGAGTAATGAGCGTTTTGAGCATGCGTGTGCAATTTTGTGGGGTGGGGAGGGAGGGGGGGGAGTTCCAGTGCTGAACGTGCACTCGGTTTTAACCCCCTTTACAACCTGCATTAGTCTCTGTATTCTCCACACTGTTCTCTTTGTATTTCCTAAGATGCCGACAAAGAGCACTTTTTAGCTGGTGATCATTTCCTTTATTCTTGTAACCTTACTGTGTGATTTAGGAGTGATATTATACGGAGAAATTAGATGCTGATCACTTTTAAGGCCCAAAGGGTTAATCATTCAATCGATTGATCATCAAATCCTTTATTTGAAAACGATATGCTTTGAGGCTCTGACAATTTTGGGGCTATTTGAATTTAATCACCTAAAGTATAAAATTAAATCTAACAGATAATTGACAATTATTGGCTAAAAAATTCTAAGATATTTAAAAGCGAATTGAGATTCCAGAATTGGATCTAAAATTAATTAATTGTTTAAATTATTTTGGAGCAACGGGAAAATTATCCTATCGTAAAATGTCATCGTTCACTTCTCTAATTTTCAAACTATCGGAATCGCTATTGTTTTTATTGCATGTAACATCAAGGTTATGCAAGACACATTCTGAACAATTCACAGTTGCAAAGATTGCTCCTCTATGTTTTTTTTCGATTCTCTATAAAACGATTATTGAAGGGTAAAAACGGTATCTGATATTACACACGGTCACGTAGTTCAATGCGTTAGATACCCGACTTCTTAACAGCTTCGAGATGGCACTCGTTCACTGATGCATTATCCTTAGCGTCTTGACTGGGGAGTTCCCTATTGACGTTTCCAACAGTGGCCGGATCCTCAAGCCCAATATCCTTGCAGTGCACTTCAATGCCTACCCCCTGCCTTGGATATCCTTGGGTGACCTTCCGGTACTCTCCGAGGCGCTTGTCAAGCAGCTCATAAGGCATGTCGTTAATGTAACCGCACTTCCCGAGTCCTTTGGGTACTGGTGCCACTAAGTTTCCCGCCCGCTTCTCAATAACGCTTGCCTGGATTTGGTACAGAGCCTGAGAATCTTCCATGACAGGGTGCCACAAAGATAATCCAAGGTCACTGAGGAGTTTCAGGATCCGATCAAACTCGTGTTGCGTAATCCAACCGGTGCAGAGAGAGAGATAGGCACCAAAGCCCATCCCAGTGGCCACAGCCTGACCGTGGAGCATTCCTGAAGCGAGTTCGTACCCAGCGCTCCAAGTGTGCCCATATGCATGTGGGCGACACTGATGCGTTTCAAAAATATTGCTGTATTCGGATCTCATGTAGCTGTAATAGAGAGAAAAGACAAATTGCAAATAGTTCTATGATTTGGTAGTATGTGGTGTGAATGCTAGGGTAACCCTACGAGTTCAGTGAAAGGGACTAAAAATTTGACATCCAAAGTCAACGTCAGGGCCGGGGAAAGTTATACCATTTAAGTTAGAGACTGGATTATGAATCGTAAGATTGCCTGCAGGGTAGGTGTCCTGACGGTTTTCCCAACAGCCCACAAAACCCGTAAATCGATTGGAAAACCCCTTTTAAAACCGAAGGAACAATACAAGTCCAGTTCGACTCAAAAATTCCAAATCCACTTTATTTCGTATGCGCCACAAAACATATTACGTCAGCTTAAATCTTTTGAATCAAACAATGAGCGCACACCTGCAATTCAACAATAAATATGAAACAAAGTCCGTAACTGCGTGCGCCAGGACGTAGGTGCCAACTGAGTTCTTTCAAAGTTTTTTTTAACAATTCCATAAATGCAGAAAAGGTTGCAACAACGGGAAAAAACTAAGTATTAAGTATTATTTTCGCTCACTTACGAATCTATTAAGGTTGCTTTCATCAGTCGTTCTAAAGAGTGAAGCAATATCAGACAAAAACCAAAGGGGCCTTATCATTGCACCATCAATGCACCATTGGCCGAATTTATACTAGAGACGAGTTACCCGTCAGAGACGAATCATCCGTCTCAGACGGATAACTCGTCTAAATATAAATTCGGTACTAAGACGAATTATGGAGCAAAATTCGTCTCAGGCTGATCCGTCTGTCAGCACGTCTTGAAGACGTGCTAACAGACGGATAGCTCGTCTTACACGGATCATCCGTCTCTAAATTTTTATCTAGACGGAAAACGAAGACGGTTTTTGACGAAGTGTCCATATGAGAGAGACTGGTTTCTATAGTTTTGCAAGGTTTCCTGGGATGCCTATTTCAAGATGGCGTCCGGTAAATTAATCGTCCCCTCGAAAGCAATCACAAAAAAGAAGGAGAAAGCAAACAAGAAGTTGACTTGGACAGATCAAGACACGGACGTCTTCGCAGAAGTTATATATGACCCACAATACAGAGGAAGTGATTACACCGTTGGTGTAATCACTTCCTCTTGTCTTCCTATCTTGAGCAAGATTAGCGAGAGAAAAGGGTAACATGAAGTTCATTAAGCTATTTTCCGACTCAAACATGCGCTTGACAGAGGAAATTCTTCTCTGATATACCGCCATATCCAATGCTGTTCTTCTCGATTTCATCAACAAGGCTACGAGAGCCGCCATATTTAAGCTCTCGTCAGGCTTCCACTCGGCTCAACACCGAGACACCCGTCGTGAAACTCGTGAACGATTTATATCTAGACAGATTATTCGTCAAAATTCGACTTCGGATTTATACTTGGACGGATTATCCGTATGACGGATGATCCGTCTCTAGTATAAATCGGGCCATTATTGCACTATCGTTGGACCATCATTGCACCATTATGCTTTAAGACGCGACAAAGAAGCATACCACAAGACGTAAAGTATTAAAAGCAAAGTTGGTTGTTAATAATTCCAAATGGTTTAGTTTCAGTCTTTGAACTAATCCCAATTATGATGCTGTTGTTACGGGGACAATAAAACAAAGCAACACGGAGTTCTTAGACTGGAACTTTTTCCTGCTGGTAAAATGAGCGATCGCACTAACGTAAAAGACAATCAAAATTTCACATACTACTCAAGAGCTTTGCCAATAATGAGATCACAAACGCGTCCAAAGGCCTCTTGATCTCCTGGGAAGCCTTCCATCTCTGTGCCAAATTTGGTAGACAAAAGATTACAGCCCTTCTGCTCTAGTAGGGCGAAGAGTTCTTCATCCTTCACCACTGCTATCTTTACAATTTCAGCAATGCCGTGACGCAAGCAAGCGCTGTGTTGGGAGCGGAAAAAGCTTCTGTCAGTTAGCGTCAGAACAGGAGGATGATATGCACCGAACAGGTTTTGAAGCCAAATCCGTCACAACCAGTGCGAGGAGACAGACCAGCGTCGATGCCAGCCACCACGCTGGTAGACAGCATGATGTAAGGTGTGTTACGATGATACATAGAGCATGCGCAACCGGTGACGTCATGTATGACGCCATTTCCCACGACAAAAACAGGTTCGTTTCGTTTGACTCGCAATTTTTTCAGCATTACAAGGAGGTTCTGTACTGTTGCTATGTCTTTGTCAACTTCGCCAGCGGTAATGACTACCTTCTGCAGCTCGATGCAGTGCTCATCGAAATACGCCTGTATTTCTTCTCCGTAAATTTTATTCACATTCCTATCAACAACTGCCACACACCTGGGGATGGAAAACAGAAATGAGTAAGAAATGTTAATCTAAAAATATTTTCTAATCTCATGTTTTACGTTTAATACTAAGCTGCTGTTGGAAATTCAATTTCGGGAAACTACCTCTTCATTGAAATAGTGCTTCACAACGAATCAAAATTATAGATCATCTAATAAATACACATTTTTATGCAAGAATATACATGCATTAAAGTGAATTTTGAACTGTCGGTCATTTATCAGTAAAAGCACCGAATATTTTCATATAAATAGAGCGTGGAAACCCCTTAAACTTAGATTATCACATCATACGAACCTCCCTAATGGCTTATACACGTTTTTCAACTCTGGATTGGCTGGGTCTAGTACTTTGTACACAATCTTTGCAGTTGTGGTCAGAGTATGCCTCATGGTACACTCGACTACCGATGCATCAGCTTTGGCCAAGATGTCTCCATCACATTTGCGGTAAATGGATGTTGGGTAAAGTCCGTGAGGGTCAAACTTTTCGAGGTACTCAGCATTGTCAAGATAACATTCTGGGCACCCAGTTTCCTTGAGGAAGCGGTGAACAGGCTTGGTACCAATGTTGTTTTCATCTACTACCATCTTGGCGATTTCATTCCACTTGGAAATGGCTTCTTTATTGCTTGAAATTCTAAGATAGAAATTGAAAGAAGAATGGCTCGTTGATATGAGACAATTTAAAGGTAGATAAACTTGTAAAATGAGAGGGTTTAAAAACGTATCGGGGATTTTGTTGACACTTCCGGGATCGATCGGAGATGCTTCTTGTAAATGCATCGAGCGAGTATGTAGAGTATTAAACTAGAAGACACCACGCGGTATTTTGTTCTTGCCCCTATTTTTCTTTCCTCTTGTCTGAGGTATGTGACGAAAATGATCTGTGACGACTCTTGACAAACACCATATGCATTAAATGAGAGAGACACTGACAAGAGTGCACCAAGGAATTTTAAACGTAACAGTTATACTATTTACAAGCTTTCAACCCATACCTTTCTAATAGACTGGCAAGTTGTTGCAGCACTGCTGCTGTTGGTTGATTGTAGAAATACTTAAGTTTCCTAATCAGCAGGAGCGATTCCAAGTCACAGCTCAAAGAATCTGACAACTCTTTGGAGAACACATCCAGGCGAGATGTGTATATAAAGAAATCACTCACTGCTGGAAGTGCAAAGATTTTCTTGGCAAGCTCTTTCACAGAAAGAGCTGCGTCATTAAAAATCTTCCACGGAAGGTCATTTAGAGACACAATCTTCTCTTGCAATGAATTCTAAAATAAGATAGAAAAGGAATCCATATATTATGAGAGCATTGGTGAGACCTTTATTAAATTAACAAAGCGACTTCTCTAAATACATAACGTTTACGTCAGCTTAATTGTAATTCATTAGTTTGCCTAGCTCCATACTGATCATATGCGCTCACAAAAGTTTGTTCTTGCTTATCACGCTTGCATCATGCAAAGCGTCTTGTATATCACGCTTGCATCATGCGGAGCGTTGACACCCACATAAAAAAAAAGCATAAACGATGAGTGATGGCACTTCACGGCGTTATGGGTATAATTCTTCACATAGAAGCCTCAACATGCTGCATGTGGTAGATTAAGGAAGGTTTCCAATCTTTATTGGAAAATAAAACATGAAAGTAAACCTTCAGAAAAGTAAATTTGTACGACCACTACCCATAATTTCGTTGGGTCTCATCGTTCATGGTGTCAACACTTACCAAAATATTTGCTTGTAATGCTATAAGTGAAATACCGAGCGCGTATACTTCTTCTGATAAGCTTCTTAAGCCCTTACGGAATGGTAGGAGAATGCGAGCAAAAAAATTGTTAGCTAATCGCTAAAAGTTTGAAATTACTCCAAAATTCAGGTAGTCCTTCAAAGCTTATATATTTAGTCCTAGTAAGAAACAGTCAAAACTATAGTGCATAAAGGGCAATTGTTAGTGCCTTTCATTCATATTTAAATAGCCTATGACAGAAAAACATAACAGATAGTTTTGAAAAAGACAAAAACAAACAAATGAAATTTTTGGAGGCGAAAGAAATGTCATACCTTCTCAACTTCCATCCCGACGAGGTCTAACCTACTTTTCATACACGTAGCTCTGCTATTGAAGTTTGTTCCTTAGCTTCAACAACGTATGTTGACCTTCCACCAATACCGGCGTATACAGCTTTGAAGAAATGATGCTCTTAGCCGGCTTGATTCTATTAAATACACAATCTTGAAGGACGTGACATGTTGAGTATCAAACACAATAGGAAGACCAACCTGTTGTCAAAAAAATAGTTATTAGTAATTTATAGCGGGCCATAAAAACAATTGACGAAGTATGATTATTCAAGATACTAGGGGAGAGCATTGATTTATACATGGCGAGAGAATTAAAATTTTTTCTTCTCCTTTAATAACTGGGAAGAGACTGACTGATCTAATTTAACAGAATTCGTTAGAAGTTCGCGTGCAAACGCCAAGAACTCTGTTAAGGGTTTTACTGTTTAAGAAGAGGTGGCGAAGAAGGGCTAACACTCGAAACGTCAGCTTTTTTACTCTTTACGGTGGCCAATTTACATTTTCAACTCAGTTGTTAACATTTAATTACCTGTTTTTAATTTTGTCTAGTATTTTCAAAGCGCCTCAACGTTAAATTATCACGATAGGATTTCAATTGAGTTTTTTCCTTTTTGCTTTAGGAAATGTTGCACTTGTTTGTGGTTTTGAAAGTTAGTTCTCTAATTTAAAAAGGACTTTCATCAACCTGTCACGTAATTTTAGTTTGAAAACTTGCTCTGGCCTCGAGGAAGTCTTTGAGCAAATACTGACGATTCGTGTCGGAATTTAATATGAATATTTATACAGCTCCACCTTGCGCGAAAGCCACGATGACCATAACTCACGGACGTCAAGAAAACGCAATACAAACGATCCGCTCAAACCTCAAGGGCTTCAGAGCTACAATACAAATTTAAGTTGACAATGAGGACAAGCAGATTAAACAAAACGCGATGTAAATTTACGCTGATAGGCCAAATACTTAAAATTTGTTGATAAATATTTTTAACATGACAGTTTTTAATGAGTCGTCGACATTGTAGTTCAAATGAAATTTATGGAGCTGCAAATATGACTATTTTTTTTTCACCATACACACTATCTTGAAATTTACTTACGTCCTTTTCATATTACTCATAGTATATTGAATTGTCGTCTGTCTTGTCTCACGCAACGTTAAATCAACACGTAATAATGGCTCGAAATTATTTGAAAAGTTGCTGTTCTTGTAAAACCGTTCATTTTTCTTCCTACGGCTTTGTCACCACAAGTTAGACAAAAAGCACGACGTTTTCCGTCCTTATGATAAATTCATCCTGACAATTTGTGCTCGATGAAACATTTAGCCTGCTTCACGCACTCCGTAGGAGTTTTAAAACATATTTTAGGCGCACTTTTACCAGAATAAACAATACATTTTCCCCCATTATTTAACATAGTAAATGTTTTGTTCAAGAAAATAAAATTTAAGGATAATGATCTTGTTTCTTTCAAGTGATCTTGTTTCTTTCAAGAAGCTGAAGATGTTTTCTCGCCAAGTGTTTGCGATACCCACATTTGGAAGCTCGGTAAATTTCATTTTCGTTTTATTTCAACTACACAGAAATAGGAGTTAAGGCTGAATATCAAATCTTACCATGGGGTGAAAGTCAAACTCAAGTTTTTCATGCATTAAGTACAGTCATCTCCTACCTTTCAAGATCCAACGTTCTTTGATGCCCAACACTAGACTTATTTAGCCAAACGCGTTTTCTTTTATTAGTCTGGTAGCTATGGTTGCGATAGAAACTGTTGGTTTCAAGCCAAGATGAAAATTAATATTAGAAATGAACTTCCCTCTTCCTGTTTGGGTTCTTTGCACAAAAGCTAAATTGGTAGAATAATACGCGGCGAAGAATTTAACTTAGTGCAACGGATTGACTGGAGTAATGTGTCTTGGACTATAAAATGTCATTATTAATTCCTTGAAAGTGTCGCACGTCACGTCAGGTGCAAAGGCATTATAATTATAGATCGTCTTTAGTAATTCATGTCAAACATACGCAATGCAGGTGAATTTGAGAGAAGAAACGAGAGACTTTAATAAGAATTAAAGGCAAGTCCAGCGAGAATGGTTTTGAGACTCACACAAACATAGATAAAGAGGAAAATTTTGCACTTCGTACTCCTTAGCTTGATGAATTTTATTATTTTATTAAATTGATTACAGTGTGTATATAGTTAATCTATGTTAATGAGACTGGAAAGACAGATGTTTTCTTTCTGTCATCCATAATTTTCCTTGTATGATTCTTTATCTTATTTTCTACAATCAGTTTATGAAATAACACAAAGATAAAATAATAAAGATTTGAACGGCTGCCCATGCACTAGAAGTGATTACCAACATTGTCTGTGTGCGTACAGCGTTTAAAGTCTGGTTAAACAGGTGTTCTTAGGCAATATTTCCTGATGCGTTATAGTTAAACAAACCCACTAGAGACTGGGCTCCACGCTGTGGTAGACCAAGCACACACCAGGGTAGGTGAGATCCAGATATAGAAACTTCTTCCCGTAGTGTAGAGGTAGTAAAATCATTGTGTTTTCGCTAAAAAATTGGGCTGAAATGGCCGTGACCAAAAGTTGCACTTGCTAGGCTTGAAATTTTGAGGACTATGTCACTCCAACCAATCTATTAATAAAGTTTTCATTGTGAGACATACGCCCTAGGGTTGTTTAGTGTTCCTCGCGAAACCAAACACCGCGTAACACAACGCGTGACGCTTTCATGAATAAATACATATGTGTTCGAGAATAAATCTTTCGTCTTTTTCGAGATGTGGGCTTGGGACGCCTCTGCTCAAACTCCTTAATTGCAAGCGCAACAACAACCTCAAGAAACCTCACCCCAGCACCCCGGGGTTGTAAGATTGCTTGTAAACGCGTTTTATTTTTCGACCACGGTTAGGCGGGTTACCTCACCTACCTGGGGTCCCTCACCTCCATGTAAACAGGCCCTAAGTAAAGTGTCTCGTTGACCGATTTTGACCACAAATTAAACAAATTGTTGCAAAACGACAAGCTTAAATTGGTTTTATTTACAAGAGTAAATCCCCCGCCACACTTTCAAATTCTTGAAAACGTTTTCGAGGGAATCATAACACCGACAGTAGTTCTGAATGAAACATTGCAACAATACCAGATGAATATTTCTTTAAATGTTTTTAAATTTTCAGCCTTCACTTTGAGAAGGGTCCATTGCAAATTGATCCGAGGATGGAAAGAGGTTAACGCATAATTGAATCAAAAATGAACGCGTGACACGTGAATTTTACAATAAGGCGCACGAGGTAAAGTGACATTTGAACTCGTAGTACGTGAAATACTGTCATTTTATTCTTGCATATACGTGACGCGTGAATTTGTGCCAGATTCACGAGTGAATCGGGATCAGGACACCCTTTTGCTATCCTCTGAAAGCACCCATGTTTCGGTGATAAAGAAAATTACAGGAATTACGTCATGAGTAATCTCCTCCTTTCCCGTCGATCAGTTACGTCGCGCAGGACGTCATCTCTTCTCACGTTAACGGACGACATCAGAACAAAATAGAGTAGGGTAAAACAATTGGCAGCTTGAAAGAAGAAGGATCAAGGATGTCTCAGGATGTAACAGAATTAAAAAAAGATAACAGACAATCAATGCAAATTTATTCTATTTCTTTTAGATAAAACAAAGTAACATATCCGCTCTAATTATAGAAGATTTTTACCCCAAGGTTAAAAAATATTGGAAAATAAACAACTAAACAAAGATAGCTTAACCCTAAACCTCTCAAGAAGAAATGATTCTCTGAGTTGGTAAACATAATTTCCATTGTATTATTAGGAAAATACGCCCATAGTTTCCTATTTCCATAATAAACAATCTTTAAGCAAATGATTGTCAGATTTCAAAATTAAATATAGGATATCCCAAAATTTGACACAATTGTGTTACCAACGTCTCAGTATGCGAATTCAAGTTTGTTTAATTAAAGCGGATACAGAGTTTGGTTAAAAATTTAAATCGACAAAGAGAATTCAATGTTACTTAATTACTTTCAGTCATTTACTCGATATTCGCTCCTCTGGGCAAAGATTTAAGCAAAGTTGATACATAAAAGAAATATTGAAAAGAAAAATGGAAGACAATTAAATGACCACGCTGTTTAAACTTTTTCGTCTAAACATGACGAAAGGCACTTACATCTAATGCTTTTTTGAAGCCCTAGGATTGAAATTAGCGTTAACAACTTCAATAAAGAGAAATGTTCACAGAGGTTACATCATTCTGATTGGATGAAGCGACATAAACGACAGATTAAAATCAAGAGCCTGCCTAACATTTTAGGAGGATTTTGTCCACACAATTAAAACGAGCGCTATAATTACTTTTGTTGGTTGTGCTGTGTTAAAATCGGTACCTTTGGCGAGCACAAAATTCACTGTGTTTGAGACCAAAAGTGGAAACTAGATGGCTTCGCTAGAACAACAACTTGAAGCGATGACGAAAGATATGCAGTCGAGAAGCACAGTTACAATCGTCTTAGAGTCATTGGTTTTTGCCTTGATTTTATTATTGATCTTCGTTGGAAACGCTGCCACCCTGCTGATTATAGCGTTAAACAGCGGAATGAGAACAACAACGAATATGTTCGTTGCATCACTGGCCATTTCTGATTTTCTTTTGGGAGTGCTTTCAGCGGGTCCTGTCGCATATCCTGCGCTACTACTGTCTAAATGGCCTTTTGACGATACGACATGTCAGTATCAAGGCTATATCGCTGTAACCTTGGCAGTTGCGTCGACACAAACGTTAGCCCTTATGGCAGTGAACCGATATTATCGTATTGTCAGGCCAGCAAAATACCGAGCCTACTTCACCATGAAGAAAACACTCATCTTGATTCTTCTTTCCTGGTTCTATTGCATGTGGGCTCCTTTGCCATATCTGCTTAGTGGTTACAAGATGGTGTTTCACCCTTTCAAATTCTTTTGCTACCTCCAGATCGACAGCGGACCGTTCACGGCGTTTTTAGTTACTGTGTATGTTGGCTTGCCGACTTTCATCATAGCCTTCTGTTACCTAAGAATATTTCAAACTGTTCGAAGCCACAGCAATAATTTTCAAGCTGCAAGTGGATCACACAATACAGTTAACGTAGAGGAAATCAGGATAACGCGCACACTATTTGTTATTGTTGTCTTCTTTAATCTCTGCTGGACTCCTATTCTGGTGATAGACATGGTTGACACCGTTCAAGGGAGGTGGTCGTTACCTCGCGAAGCTTACGTTGCATACAGCTTTTTAGCTGTGCTTAGTAGTGCTCTTAACCCTGTCATATATGGTGTAATGAATAAGAACTTTCAACAAGAGTATCTGAAGATTCTCCGGTGTAGATATTGTCGCTCACAAACATTTGTAGAGCCATTTAACTCAGGGGAAAGAGGCACTGGTTCAGTTGCGACAGCCACTTAAAAGCCAAGCTAACTCACTAAGCTCTGCCGAAGTAATTTTTTTCGGCAATGGGAAAGATATCCTCAATTTAAAGGAGATTACGATATGTAAGCTAAGTAAGATAAAGAAAATAAAAGCGGCAATGGTAGATTAAAAAGAACAAAAGTGATTGAGGGTGGAAAAGACTCAGACGAATTTGAAAAACGAACTTGAGCGGGTTTAATTCAGACAGGCACACCGGAAAATATGTCAGAGCTGATTGTGGGCGTTATGCGAGTATTTCTTTTTGAGGAATCACTTCTCAAGATGAAAAAAAGCTACAAAAAAATCCTTACATCTGCAGGGCATTGCGCAGGCAATTGAAAATTAACTATGATAATCACGTCGTGAAGAGATCCTTTCTTGTACCAGTTTTAATTTGAACTTTGATGTGAAAAAGACATCTGCTCAACTGCACATAGCACCTGTCCATGGTCTTATTATCATATTATGATTTGCAGTTCGAGTATCGATTTTTTCTTTTCTTTTCAGGAATGACATTGTCAGGAGAAATTCAGGAGAAATTAGATGCTAGTCACTTTCAGGGGTGAAAGGGTTAAGAAGAATGCTCAGCAATCCTGCATGATTTGAAAAGAGCCTTCATAACGATAAATACTGAGAGCACCTATATGCTTAGGATTAATTCTAGATAAGAGCAAAAAACAAAAAATAAAGACAGATGGACTTCAGTTCGCGCATCTATCCCGTTAAGTTGACGCGTAAGGTACTATAGATAAAACTGCTGCCGAGAAAATTTCCTAAGGGTGCATCATGAAATTAAAAAGATTGAAAGTTTGCACAAGTTCGACTTATTTGCCGACTCGCCTCGCAAGGTAAAGCAACCACAAAAATCTGTAGTCAATCTTGGTCATTGTATGTGCAGATTCATGATACATATTTAGCCTTCAAAACTTGGCGCCTGAAAGTTGAAGGAAAGACTTTAGAACATGACTCAGAGAAGCGCGTTTACAAGGTTTGCCCGCGAAATTTTGATTCATTCTGGTTCGCTACTAACTGGCTTAAACTGACTAGAGGTGTTAGACAAGGCTGCTCGCTCTCCTGTACCTCTTCAAACTTGGGGCTAAAATATTATCGAACAAGCTTCGACAGACAGTTGAAATCAAAGGGACTCATTTGTTCGGAAGCGAGGTTAAAACAAATCGGTTCGGAGATGATAATATCTAATTTTGCACAGATTTCATCACGGTAGATCACGCTCTTAATATGGTTGATAGATTCGGTGTCTTCTAAGGTTTAAAATTATATGTGAAAAAAACTAAGGTGATATGGTTAGGAAAGTGGTCAAAGAAGAAAACAAAACCCTTACAACAACAATGAACTGATGAACCTGTTAAAATTTTAGGGGTGCAGTTCTCCTATGATGAAAACAAGAGTAAGCTTTATAACATCGATCTTAAAATTCCAAAATTGCAGACAAAACTGGATTTATGGAAAGCAATTAAGAAACTTAACACTGTTCGGATTATGAGGAAGACAACAGCGAACGAGAGAAGAGGGGAACGGTTGAATTTTATAACAATTTTGGACGATCTTGAGTTTGCGGGCGACATCGCACTACTTTCATCCAAGTTTAATGACTTGCGTGAGAAAAGTGGGAGATTGACGGAGGAAGCACCCAGAGTAGACCATAAACTTAATGCGAGAAATTGCAAGACACCGAGGACTTAGTTTGCAAGGAACAGGGAGAACATCGTGGTGAATTGTGAAGAAGTGGAAGATGTCGAGGAGTTTGCCTATCTTGGAGCTATTGTAGACAAGGAAGGTGGAGGCAGTAAAGATATTAGGAACAGACTGCAAAAGGCACGTGGTGCATTCCAGAAACTATGGAAGGTGTGGGCAGCCAGAAAAATAGGAAGAAGAACCAAGATACGCCTATTGAAGAGTTCAGTCCGACCGGTCCTGTTATATGGTTGTTGGTTGTGAAACATGGAAGATCACAGAGACCGATGAAAGAAAACTGAACAGTTTCCAATGCCAGTGCCAGAGACGATACTTAGGTTTAGGTGGCAGCAAAGAATGACAGACAAGAGAGTAGTCGAAATGGCAGAGATCAATGAAATTAGCCGCGAGGTGCAAAGAAGAAGGTGGAACTGGTTAGGACACGTACTCTGGAGAGAGGGTGTGAACGACTGTTTTACGGCATTGGGGTGGACACCAGAGGGTCGAAGGGCGAGAGGAAGACCAAAGACCACTTGAAGCAGGACTGTCGAATGAGAAAGAGGCAAGGCGGGGTTGAAAGAGATGAAATGTGGCCAAGGCGGCGGCACGCGACAGAGGGGTTGGACAGACAATGTGACGGCCCTGTACGCCTTCTAGCGCAACTAGCGGTGATGATGATGATGACGATGACGATGATGACGTTAAGTTAAAAAGGATAGCCTACGTGAAGCACCCTCCCACTCAAACGGAAGGAAGGGTATGGATACACGTGGGCTAAAAGAAGAAGACCAACCAGTTGTCAAAACTATCATAATTAGTAATTTAAATTTGGCCATAAAAATTATTGACGTAGTATAATTATTCAATATGCTAGGGGGAAGAACATTGATTTGTACATTGCGAGGGAATTATCATTTTTTTTCTTTCCTGTAATTATTGGGAGGAGATTGACTGATCTGATATAACAGAATTCGTTTAAGTTCGCGTGCAAACGCCAAAATTTCTCTTCAGGGTTTTAACTGTATAACCCTTGCCTACGTAAGTGCTCACCCTAAGAGAGCAAGGTTATACAATCTAGGAATAAAGCGTTGCTTTTCGTTTCCTATCAAAATTGCCTCCATCGGGCGTTCACCATATCTCCTCTTCCACATTTTTTACATCCCCTTATACACTGGGGGTCAAAACCTATCTTTTCTACGTGAAGGCTGCTTGCACTGAGATGATACTGAATTTGTTTAGATAGCGTGCAAACGTCTAATCTTCTGCTCTCAACGAAGCATAAGTTATGAAATAAATGGGGTAAATTTCTAAAGAAACTGTGGAGCTGCGTCGGTGGGAGAGTATAGCAGGTAATTTAGTGTTGACAACTGAATTAAAAAATTTAAATTGGCCAACGTAAAGAGTAAAAAGACTGACGTTTCGAGCGTTAGCCCTACGTCAGAGCGATTGAAGCTATGAAAGACTAAAATTACCAGTTCGACCACAGGCATCCCAAGCTCACGTCTCGAGAAAAAGCAAACGATTAATTCATGAAACCGTCAACTGTTGCGTAATTCGGTGCTAAGTTACGAGAGGAACCGTTGAGAATTTGAATGCATTACATGAATAGTATGGGGAACGAAATAGGGTCGTTTTACAAAGATATGTATTTCGAAATATGAATATTTTGCAATTGAAATCATTAGCACTCACTCATATCTTGTGTGTCTGTTGTGGTTTCCGGCGTTCTCTGCCATTTTAAGCTTGCTTTCCTCCCTAGGACAAGCATTTCCTTTTTCCCTAAAGAGTCTACCATAGGTCACTTGAAGTACTAAAAATTTAATGTCTGCGTAACTTGTGCAACTTTTCTGTTTCCTGTTCAGTGACAAGCCATGGCAGTTTTCGCTGTGATTCCTATTGATAAGCCCGAGTTTTCCGAAATCTGCGGAAATACAGCGCCTTAGATGTTTCTGCCGATGTTCAAAAATTTTTCCAAACCATGCCGCACTAAGAAAAGTGTCTCGTTGACAGATTTTGACCACAATGTAAACATATTGTCGCAAAACGACAAGATTACATTGGTTTTATTTTACAAGAGTAAATCTCCCGTCACACTCTAAATTCTTGAAACGTTTTCAAGGGAATCATAACACCGACTGTAGCTCTGAATGAAACACTGCACCATTGCCAGATGAATAATTCTTTTAATGTTTTTTTTAATTTTCAGCCTTCACTTTGGAGAAGAGTCCATTGCAAATTGATCCCGGGATGGAAAGAGGTTGACGCGTGTGAATTTTACAGTAAGGCGCGTAAGGTTGGATGACATTTGACTCGTGGTGCGTGACAAACTGTTTTATGTACACGTGAAGGGTGAAATTGTGTAAAATCCACGAATGAAACGGGATCAGGACACCCTTTTGCTATCCTCTGAAAGCACTCATGTTTTGGTGATAGAGACAATAACAGGAATTACGTCATGAGTAGTCTCTTCCTTTCCCGTCGGTGAGTTACGTCACGCAGGACTTCTCACGTTAACTGACGACACTGAACAAAGCTTACAAAATAGACTAAGGCAAAAAAAAATAGTCAGCTTGAAAGGAGAAGGACTAAGGATGTCTCAGGATGAAACAAATTAAAAAATTATAACTGATATTCAATGTGACTAATTTATTCTATATCTTTTAGATGAGACAACGTGATATTCCGCTCTAATTATAAAAAAAATTATCCCAAGTTAAACAACTAAACAAAGATTGCTCAACCCTAGGTGAAATGATTCTCAGAGTTGGTAAACATAATTTCCTATATATTCATAGAAAAAAAACGCCCATAGTTTCCTATTTCCATCGTAAACATTCTCTAAGCAAATACATATTAAGACACGTATTATCTCAGCTTGCAATTTGTATAATATATGCGCTCTAATTATAAAATATTTTATTCCAAGGCAAGATAACTTGACAAAAATTGCTCAACCCAAGAGTGCTCAATGATTCTCAGAGTTGGTAAACATGATTTCCTAAGTATTCATAGAAAAAAAAAACCGCCCACTGTTTCCTTTTTCAGCTTTTTTTCACCGTGAACACCGTCTAAGCAAATACATATCAAGACAACGTATTATCTCAGCTTGCAGTTTTTAAAATAATCTGTCTTTAACACTGGACGAAAAAACGGATTTACACCATATTTGCGCAGTGCAAATGTGAGTAAATCTAGTCCAAAGCTGTAGCAAATGTGGTACAAATGGGGTAAATGCCACATTTGCACCAGGATTTTCCACCCCGTGCAAATCTAAAACAAATGTGGGATTTACCCCATTTGCACCACATTTCCTAAGGCTTTGGACCAGATTTACTGACATTTGCACTGCGCAAATATAGTGTAAATCCGTTTTTTCGTCCAGTGTAAATTGCATTGATACAGCTGCAAATGCGATTGGCCCTCGTTGTTCAGAGTCGGATCTTTCTATCTATCTTTTTTTATCAATCTTATCTATCTTTTAGATAAGACATCGTGATATATCCGCTCTAATTATAAAAGATTTTATTCCAAGGTTAAACAACTAAACAAAGATTGCTCAACCCTAGAGTTCTCAAGAAGAGATGATTCTTAGAGTTGGTAAACATAATTTCTTAAATATTCATAGAAAAAAAACCGCTCATAGTTTCCTTTTTCAGCTTTTTTCCACCGTAAACACTCTCCAAGCAAATACATATTTAGTTTAGACTGTTTTCCCTTTTTAATCAGATATTTAAGTATAATATTATATTAATATATTTATGAAAAGCCATACGTCTTATAAACCAAGTAAAAATTTCGTCTTTTTCGTTTTGCTATTATTATGGTTATTATTATTATTATTATTATTATTATTACTATTCATTTAGTTCTGTGTTTTTTAATAATAGTATGGAATAACAGTAATATTCTCACCACTTCCACTTGTCGAGGCTTTTTGCTCGCAGTATGAACCACTGTAGCCCTCAGCACAGATGCATTTATTCGTATCGTTTTCCTGAATACATTTGCCACCATTTTGACACGAACTGGCACCGTAGAGAACTGGCTGCAGTGAAAATATTTAACACGTACACAAGGCATAGTGATTGGAGATTTAGGATGGTAGACTCTGACTTGAGAGGAGCAGCTTTCGATGAAAGTATTTATTGGGAATAGTTTAACCAAAGTGTGGTAAATTATCAATGCTCCATTTTTATCTAGTGCTGTTGGTATAACCACAGTAAAAAAACAAGACATGCAGCTACATACACAAACGTTTTGGTGCCTGATTGAGCGACCTGAGAAGCCTTTGAGATACTTAACTGCCAGTATCAGCCACCTTACCCTATCAAACACTTCCTGAAGGTTTTCTTTTCCCTTTTCAATAGCGAGGCTTGTAAAATCTTTTCATCTCAGAGCAAAAACCAACCGCACAGGCCAGTCCGACATACACCACAGTTTTCGAGTTTATATATTCTCATCAACGTTTAGTACTTTTCGATCACAAACGTTTTCGTGAATGCTTTACTCAAGCAAATGCTTCCCGACATACCTTCAACTCAAAATAATGAAATCCATCAACTGCAATGGAGCTCTGTGGGTCGTTTTGCTGTTTTTCTTTATTAATATGACAGGAAAGCAGGGATGATTTTGTGGCGCTCCCTTTACCATAGTTGAACGATACACAGCCACATTTGCGCATGCACTGTTGAGCGCATTGAAGCGCTGAGGCAACTTGATATTGAGCGATCATATGATTAATCAGAACAGTGTCTCATCGGGGAAAAGAAGAGAGAAAATGAAACAAACATTTTGTACTTAATTTTTTTAATCAAGCATTTATCTTTCCTTTTGCATAACCTTTCTTAACTGGGTTACTTAGTTGGCGTTAATAGTGTCTTTTTTTCAGGCAATGAAAATAAAGCTTTCTTTGTAACTTCGAGGAAAGTGCAGTTTTTTCTCAAAAGTGGTGACCAGAAATTCCTCTCTTGAGAAGAGATAGGATCATGCAGCATATTTGCCAGCTGAACTTTCAAATGGAATGGATTCTTACCAAGAAAGCGAGGAATAACAGGGATGTGAAAGTTCACCCATTCCCTCCTCTTTATTTCTATTATTATTTTTTTCATTTTTTTATTTTTGTGGGGTTACCATTGTAATTTTTTTTCAGGTAAAGTGTTGCCTGACTAAATGAATAAAACTTTTCAAGATTATTGATTGAAGTTTCTTCGAGAGAACTGATATAAACTTCCTGTTGAGATAAATATTTTGTTGGCGTTTCATTTTCAACCCTGTCGAAGAGAGGGATCTTTTGTGCGTCGTGAAACAAATTTCGGACTAAATAAATATGCTATTCCAAGAAAAGGAGAGGATTGATTAATTTCAATTCTAAACCAGACACATTTCTCAGACGTGTTCGACAGCAATCAAGAGAAACTAAAAAAGAATAGAGAAAAAACCTACCCATGCTGTTTTCACCGTAGTAACGTTACACTCTATAGGATGAAGTCGTGGGTGCCCGTATTTCTACTAGTTTACTATAACAGATTCTTTGGTAGATTGCTCTTAAGAATCTTTTCTTCTCAGTTTCATAGGAAAGTAGAAACTAAATCGATAGTAAAAAGCTGTTCATAGGTTTCTTTAATTTGCCTCTCATCTTTTGAATAAATGAATATGCTCTGCTTAAAAATCATAAGATTAGCACATCAAATCGACATTCTTACTTAGTTTTAAGAGGGATCACGCTCCAGAGAAAACAGGTGACACCAAAATTAAACGGTTTGTCATCTAAAGAAACTATTTTTTTCTCATGGTAACTTTTTTCAGTTGTCAGGATCTGATACACATGTATATTATCTACACAATTGCGGGCACTTGTATGCCTGAGAGTCGGGAAGGTATAATATATATCTGTACCATCCCAAAATAAAAAATGTACTACCTTGAAAAACTAACTATCACACTTTTGTTAAGAACTTTTTCTGTGAAATGATTAGGGTTTTTCCACCAATGGTGACATGAAATTAAAATTTATCAGCGCTCAGGCCGAAGATAAATACTATATGCCACAACATGAACCCAACGGGGGAACAAAATAGAATATTATTCAACATCAATTAAAATGGACTTACTTTGAGCTTTTCTTTCGAAAAATCCTTTGTGAACGCAAGCCTCGCTTCTCAGCTGATTGAGGCTTCTAGCGGGAAAAATAACAGCTGCAAGCACCAGTTGCAACATGAAGGACAGCATTTTTCCACAGATCTAGAGTTACGAAGAATCCATAAAAACTAATGCCTTAAGTACCTGCTCCTCAAGATCAGAATAATCGAAGAATGACCAACAGAACAACTTAAGCTACAGACAAGTGATTAAAGGGGGTAAGTTTCTGAAAAAAAGCATGGCGCCGCGTTTAACTTGAGTCACCGGTTTATGAGGTGAATTGGCCACTGGCAAGATTTTCAAGGGTAATTGCTGTTATCCATGTATCTGTTTCACTTCCAAAAGTTACTCTAGATCTGGATTGGTCTACAAAGTTTCATGGGATTTACTTACCATTATACGACTAAGTCAGTAGAAAGCTGTAGCAGAAGGACTTACATTTCGAGATGGACTCATCAATTACAGCGTTTTCTTGAGAAGGGATCTGTTTCGAACGCACTTATTTTCAATCAATTGTTACTGAAATTGACATCGGATAATTAGCGAAAAAGCATCAAACATTGCTTTCGATGAATTTGGAAAAGGATTCTCATACAGGCGGCAATGAAAGTCAGTATTGACCAAAGCCGATGATTCGAAGTCTAAGGAGCGGACACTGATCGTTTTATGTCAATATGTTACTCAGAATTGAAAACAACAAAAGACAATTGAAAGTAAAGGATGACTAATGGTCCACACTATTGTTAACTTTTAAAGCGAACTCTTCTCTTATGGCAGCAGTGACAGTATTGTTCGATGATATAGATTGAATTTTCCGGAAATGGCTTTTTTAATTAAATATCTATGACTTTTACCGCAATGGAATAGTCGCAATCAACACCTAATATACCAGATAGCGAGTCTAGTTGCATTATCTTTGAGCACTGAAAGCAAATTTCGTCGTTAATATAATGCTATTAAACCAGAAAATTATTCGTATATAGATTGATTTCTGATGTATTTGTTTAAAGAAGCGAAGTTCCATTTGATAAAAAGAAGCAAACTAGTTGTTTAAACAGCTACTGTCAATGTTGAATTAACAGAAAACAAGAAAAAGAAAGTTCTCAATAGTAAAGTAGTTACTGCGGTCAGTAGAGCGGGTTCCAATTCAATTACGCTAAAAAGAGTAGCAGCCGTTTTTCTTTTTTTTTTTTTCGAAATAAAGAACGTGAGCGAACGTTAGTTTGGTATCAGTAGCATGAATTCGTCCACTGTTATGCAGTTCTTAGTTGGGTTCGCCGTAGCGAAATAGAAATTGCGAGTAGACAATTAATTTTTGGCAGTTCAAATTAAACGTGTCTAATATCATGTGTCACAGGCATATCAAAGAAATTCCAAAAATTTTAAACTGACAGAACTTTTGTTTGCTTTCTCAGCTCAGCCTCACAAAGGTGTTAGCAGTGATGGAAAGACATTAATAAAAACCGCCTGTCGCGAATATTAGTTTGAGATGAGTAATGAGCGTTTTGAGCATGCGTGTGCAATTTTGTGGGGTGGGGGGGGGAGTTCCAGTGCTGAACGTGCACTCGGTTTTAACCCCCTTTACAACCTGCATTAGTCTCTGTATTCTCCACACTGTTCTCTTTGTATTTCCTAAAATGCCGACAAAGAGCACTCTTTAGCTGGTGATCATTTCCTTTATTCTCGTAACCTTACTGTGTGATTTAGGAGTGATATTATACGGAGAAATTAGATGCTGATCACTTTTAAGGCCCAAAGGGTTAATCATTCAATCGATTGATCATCAGATCTTTTATTTGAAAACGATATGCTTTGAGGTTGTGACAATTTTGGGGCTATTTGAATTTAATCATCTAAAGTATAAAATTAAATCTAACAGATAATTGACAATTACTGGCTAAAAAATTCTAAGATATTTAAAAGCGAATTGAGATTCCAGAATTGGATCTAAAATTAATTAATTGTTTAAATTCTTTTGGAGCAACAGGAAAATTATCCTATCGTAAAATGCCATCGTTCACTTCTCTAATTTTCAAACTATCGAAATCGCTATTGTTTTTATTGCATGTAACATCAAGGTTATGCAAGACACATTCTGAACAATTCACAGTTACAAAGAGTTGCTCCTCTATGTTTTTTTTCGATTCTCTATAAAACGATTATTGAAGGGTAAAAACGGTATCTGATATTACACACGGTCACGTAGTTCAATGCGTTAGATACCCTACTTCTTAACAGCTTCGAGATGGCACTCGTTCACTGATGCATTATCCTTAGCGTCTTGACTGGGGAGTTCCCTATTGACGTTTCCAACAGTGGCCGGATCCTCAAGCCCAATATCCTTGCAGTGCACTTCAATGCCTACCCCCTGCCTTGGATATCCTTGGGTGACCTTCCGGTACTCTCCGAGGCGCTTGTCAAGCAGCTCATAAGGCATGTCGTTAATGTAGCCGCACTTCCCGAGTCCTTTGGGTACTGGTGCCACTAAGTTTCCCGCCCGCTTCTCAATAACGCTTGCCTGGATTTGGTACAGAGCCTGAGAATCTTCCATGACAGGGTGCCACAAAGATAATCCAAGGTCACTGAGGAGTTTCAGGATCCGATCAAACTCGTGTTGCGTAATCCAACCGGTGCAGAGAGAGAGATAGGCACCGAAGCCCATCCCAGTGGCCACAGCCTGACCGTGGAGCATTCCTGAAGCAAGTTCGTACCCAGCGCTCCAAGTGTGCCCATATGCATGTGGGCGACACTGATGCGTTTCAAAAATATTGCTGTATTCAGATCTCATGTAGCTGTAATAGAGAGAAAAGACAAATTGCAAATAGTTCTATGATTTGGTAGTATGTGGTGTGAATGCTAGGGTAACCCTACGAGGTCAGTGAGAGGGACTAAAAAATTTGACATCCAAAGTCAACGTCAGGGCCGGGGAAAGTTATACCATTTAAGTTAGAGATTGGATTATGAATCGTAAGATTGCCTGCAAAATTCGTCTCAGGCTGATCCGTCTGTCGGCACGTCTTCAAGACGTGCTAACAGACGGATAGCTCGTCTTAGACGGATCATCCGTCTCTAAATTTTTATCTCGACGGAAAACGAAGACGGTTTTTGACGAAGTTTCCATATGAGAGAGACTGGTGTCTATAGTTTTACAAGGTTTCCTGGGATGCCTATTTCAAGATGGCGTCCGGTAAAGTAATCGTGCCCTCGAAAGCAATCACAAAAAAAAAGGAGAAAGCAAACAAGAAGTTGACTTGGACAGATCAAGACATGGACGTCTTCGCAGAAGTTATATATGACCCACAATACAGAGGAAGTGATTACACCGTTGGTGTAATTGGAAGAAGTTGATAGAGAGAGGCGAGGCGTCATGGCTGACGGTCACTCATTTCGATTCTCCGGTTTTCTTTGTTTTATTCTCAGTTTAATTCTTCTATATCGCGGAAAAACGACTGATCAGGGCCAATCTCAAATGTTCCCGCGTTTAGCTGACGATTTCTTCTTGGTTCTACAAGATGATTTTGTAGTTTCAATGAACTTAAATATCTTCACAGCGTCCTGGACTAGGCGACATATTGTTTTGCCAATCCTTCGAAGAGGTTTTTCTTCGTCAAGAATCAGTTATTATCCTAACTCTGTTGCAAGTTACCAAACTATTCTTCTCCAGTTGAGCGGCGACGTAAACCCAAATCCTGGTCCAAATGGAGCCGAGCGGCACAATTTTACGGAACAGCAAAAGTCCTCTCGTCTTCTAACCTTTTATGCTAATGCACGAAGCATCGTCAACAAATCAAGCAAATTGGATTTAGCCATTGCCGCTCTGGGCTATGATATAATTGTTTTAACTGAAACTCATCTGGACAGCTCCATCCCTGACGGTGAAATCTTTCCTAGTAACTACTCGGTATTTAGGCGGGACCGAAAGCTCAATGGACGTCATGGAGGCGGGGTATTGATTGCTACGCGAGAACACATCAAAGCGGTTCCCCGTGATACTACACAGAACGATTCAGAGTTCATCTTCGTCGATCTTCTTTTCTCATACAATCGCAAAGTCACTTTGGGAGTTTTCTATCGTCCTCCCAATAACGATCCTAAGCCTTTAGAGGACTTACAAGCTGTTTTGCAAGAGTTTTCGACGAACGAGTTGATTCTTGTTGGCGATTTCAATCTTCCGGAGATTGATTGGTTGAATAACAGATTCTTGCGTCAATCTGATATTTACACACTCATGATGGACATCGTCCAAGACAATTTTTGACACAGTTGATAAATGAACCTACCAGAGACTCGAACATCCTAGACTTAGTTCTCACTACTTCGCCCGACCTCGTAAACCATTTGGTTGTTGGAGAACCCTTTTCAGATCACAATTCTATCTCCTTCTCGTTATCTGGTATACCTTACGTCCAGCGTAAATCACAGAAGTTGTTGTATTGCTATGGTAAAGCCGACTGGGATCACTTAAGATCGCTGTTATCTTATATTCCATGGCATTGCGCCTTCTTCGACAGCGATATTAATCATAATTGGGCTTGCTGGAAAGACTTGTTATTTACAGCAGTGGATGAGTGCATTCCCAAACGCAAGAATAAAAAGAGATCCAGTGCCCCTGGATTACACAGGAACTTATTGTTTTGTGCAAAAAAAGAAGAAATTATTGTATAATAGAGCTCGCAGAAAAAAAACAATTCAACTATTTGGGAAAAATATCGGCAACTCAACAATTCTGTTAAGAGACTTTGTAACACAGCTAGATGGTCGTATATAAAGAAACTTGCACTTGATCTACAGGAAAATGAAAACCCGAAACCTTTCTGGAATTTTGTTAAGTCCAAGAGAAGAGGCACTAATAATCTCATCTCTATAAGCGTCGATGGATGTGCTCTGACTGACGACTTCAGTATTGCTCAGAGTATGAACTCATATTTCTCTTCGGTGTTTACTACCGAAGATTATGCAAATTTTCCCACTCAAGACTGCACTGTTGACAAGAAACTTGCGAAAATTGATTGTTCTGTCAATGAGGTCAAACGCCATCTTCTGAAACTCAAGCCCAACAAGTCTCCTGGGCCTGACCATATCGCGCCGTGCATTTTTAAGTCGTGTGCTTCGGAATTAGCACCTTCGTTAACGTATATGATAAACAAATCGTTGTCTCTTGGCCTTTTGCCTGAGGAATGGAAACATGCCGACATTACTCCTCTACATAAGAAGGGTTCCAAATCTTCGAGAGAAAATTACCGCCCAATTTCCCTTACTTCAATTGCTTGTAAGATCTGTGAAAAAATTGTTTTTGATAGGATGATTAAGTTCTGGCGCGAAATCGACTTTATCAATAGCAACCAATTTGGCTTTTTACGAGGAAGATCTACTACAACTCAAATGTTATCAACGTTTAATGACTGGGCGAAATCCCGTAATTCATCCACTCCTACCGATGTTGTTTTTCTGGATCTTGCCAAAGCCTTCGACAGCGTTCCTCATGAGCGACTGCTTTTAAAATTGAAATGTAGCGGCATCGACGAATGTTTACTCAACTGGCTGAGACATTTTTTGGTGGGGCGCAAACAACGTGTAGTCGTTAGGGGATCTTATTCTGATTGGTCGTGCGTTACCTCCGGAACTCCACAGGGAACCATTCTCGGGCCCCTATTGTTTTTATTGTATATTAATGACATATCTGAATTCTTATCATCTACAGTAAAATTATATGCAGACGACACGAAGATCTACAGAGAGATAATTGACCCTATAAAAGATAGTCAGCTTCTTCAGGATGATCTTAATAATCTTAGCGCATGGGCTCGTAAGTGGCAGCTACGTTTCAACGCAGACAAATGCGAATCTATGCGAATCACGCATTTACGCGATAAGTCGGTAACTAATTATTTCTTAGAAAAGCCCCTGAAAGACGTGACTAATTTTAAAGATCTCGGTGTCACACTAACTAGAGATCTTTCATGGGGCCATCACATAAGTATCACTGTCAATAAAGCGAACAAAGTTTTAGGTTCCATTAAACGCTCAGTAGGCACCGCTAACACAAATGTTTTTTCTATGCTGTACATGTCTCTGGTACGGCCAATCTTGGAATATGCGGTACCTGTTTGGTGTCCTTACCTTGTTAAGGACATCCATGCCCTTGAAAATGTACAGCGAAGAGCCTCAAGACTCGCTTTAAATCAACGCAAAGGAGAAATGTCCTATGAAGACCGATGCAAACTGTTAAAATGGCCCCTCTCTCTGACCGTAGAACTTACTTATCTTTAGTCGAATGTTATAAGATAGTTTTTGGTTTTATCATTTAAATTTTGAAGACTTCTTTGATATTGCCACGATTCGGTCTACGAGAGCAAATCATCAATACAAACTCTATATTAAACCAGCTAGACTTAATTGTTACAAAAATTCTTTTTTTTATTAGGATTGTCAAATTATGGAACGAGTTACCGGGTGATATAGTGGAAGCTGACAGCTTTCAGCATTTTAAATCTAAACTTAAATCGTACTTAAATATTTGATTGTAATGATTTTGATTTATATTTTGTCTTTTCTTTTAAGGGAGTTTTTACACAGGGATAACCTCTTAACTTCCTTTTCTAGAAGTATTTTCTTTTTAGTTTTATTTGTATATAATAGTTATCATCTGCTTCTGGAATAAATAAAGTATGTATGTATGTATGTATGTATGTATGTATGTAATCACTTCCTCTTGTCTTCCTATCTTGAGCAAGATTAGCGAGAGAAAAGGGTAACATGAAGTTCATTTAGCTATTTTCCGGCTCAAACATGCGCTTGACAGAGGATATTCTTCTCTGATATACCGCCATATCCAATGCTGTTCTTCTCGATTTCATCAACAAGGCTACGAGAGCCGCCATATTTAAGCTCTCGCCAGGCTTCCACTCGGCTCAACACCGAGACACCCGTCGTGAAACTCGCGAACGATTTATATCTAGACAGATTATTCGTCAAAATTAGTCTTCGGATTTATACTTGGACGGATTATCCGTATGACGGATGATCCGTCTCTAATATAAATCGGGCCATTATTGCACTATCGTTGGACCATCATTGCACCATTATGCTTTAAGACGCGACAAAGAAGCATACCACAAGACGTAAAGTATTAAAAGCAAAGTTGGTTGTTAATAATTCCAAATGGTTTAGTTTCAGTCTTTGAACTAATCCCAATTATGATGCTGTTGTTACGGGGACAATAAAACAAAGCAACACGGAGTTCTTAGACTGGAACTTTTTCCTGCTGGTAAAATGAGCGATCGCACTAACGTACAAGACAATCAAAATTTCACATACTACTCAAGAGCTTTGCCAATAATGAGATCACAAACGCGTCCAAAGGCCTCTTGATCTCCTGGGAAGCCTTCCATCTCTGTGCCAAATTTGGTAGACAAAAGATTACAGCCCTTCTGCTCTAGTAGGGCGAAGAGTTCTTCATCCTTCACCACTGCTATCTTTACAATTTCAGCAATGCCGTGACGCAAGCAAGCGCTGTGTTGGGAGCGGAAAAAGCTTCTGTCAGTTAGCGTCAGAACAGGAGGATGATATGCACCGAACAGGTTTTTGAAGCCAAATCCGTCACAACCAGTGCGAGGAGACAGACCAGCGTCGATGCCAGCCACCACGCTGGTAGACAGCATGATGTAAGGTGTGTTACGATGATACATAGAGCATGCGCAACCGGTGACGTCATGTATGACGCCATTTCCCACGACAAAAACAGGTTCGTTTCGTTTGACTCGCAATTTTTTCAGCATTACAAGGAGGTTCTGTACTGTTGCTATGTCTTTGTCAACTTCGCCAGCGGTAATGACTACCTTCTGCAGCTCGATGCAGTGCTCATCGAAATACGCCTGTATTTCTTCTCCGTAAATTTTATTCACATTCCTATCAACAACTGCCACACACCTGGGGATGAAAAACAGAAATGAGTAAGAAATGTTAATCTAAAAAGATTTTCTAATTTCATGTTTTACGTTTAATACTAAGCTGCTGTTGGACATTCAATTTCGGGAAACTACCTCTTCATTGAAATAGTGCTTCACAACGAATCAAAATTATAGATCATGTAATAAATACACATTTTTATGCAAGAATATACATGCATTAAAGTGAATTTTGAACTGTCGGTCATTTATCAGTAAAAGCACCGAATATTTTCATATAAATAGAGCGTGGAAACCCCTTAAACTTAGATTATCACATCATACGAACCTCCCTAATGGCTTATACACGTTTTTCAACTCTGGATTGGCTGGGTCTAGTACTTTGTACACAATCTTTGCAGTTGTGGTCAGAGTATGCCTCATGGTACACTCGACTACCGATGCATCAGCTTTGGCCAAGATGTCTCCATCACATTTGCGGTAAATGGATGTTGGGTAAAGTCCGTGAGGGTCAAACTTTTCGAGGTACTCAGCATTGTCAAGATAACATTCTGGGCACCCAGTTTCTTTGAAGAAGCGGTGAACAGGCTTGGTACCAATGTTGTTTTCATCTGCTACCATCTTGGCGATTTCATTCCACTTGGAAATGGCTTCTTTATTGCTTGAAATTCTAAGATAGAAATTGAAAGAAGAATGGCTCGTTGATATGAGACAATTTAAAGGTAGATAAACTTGTAAAATGAAAGGGTTTAAAAACGTATCGGGGATTTTGTTGACACTTCCGGGATCGATCGGAGATGCTTCTTGTAAATGCATCGAGCGAGTATGTAGAGTATTAAACTAGAAGACACCACGCGGTATTTTGTTCTTGCCCCTGTTTTTCTTTCCTCTTGTCTGAGGTATGTGACGAAAATGATCTGTGACGACTCTTGACAAACACCATATGCATTAAATGAGAGAAACACAGACAAGAGTGCACCAAGGAATTTTAAACGTAACAGTTACACTATTTACAAGCTTTCAACCCATACCTTTCTAATAGACTGGCAAGTTGTTGCAGCACTGCTGCTGTTGGTTGATTGTAGAAATACTTAAGTTTCCTAATCAGCAGGAGCGATTCCAAGTCACAGCTCAAAGAATCTGACAACTCTTTGGAGAACACATCCAGGCGAGATGTGTATATAAAGAAGTCACTCACTGCTGGAAGTGCAAAGATTTTCTTGGCAAGCTCTTTCACAGAAAGAGCTGCGTCATTAAAAATCTTCCACGGAAGGTCATTTAGAGACACAATCTTCTCTTGCAATGAATTCTAAAATAAGATAGAAAGGAATCCATATATTATGAGAGCATTGGTGAGACCTTTATTAAATTAACAAAGCGACTTCTTTAAATACATAACGTTTACGTCAGCTTAATTGTAATTCATTAGTTTGCCTAGCTCCATACTGATCATATGCGCTCACAAAAGTTTGTTCTTGCTTATCACGCTTGCATCATGCAAAGCGTCTTGTATATCACGCTTGCATCATGCAAAGCGCTGACACCCACATAAAAAAAAAGCATAAGCCAGGAGTGATGGCACTTCACGGCGTTATGGGTATAATTCTTCACATAGAAGCCTCAACATGCTGCATGTGGTAGATTAAGGAAGGTTTCCAATCTTTATTGGAAAATAAAACATTAAAGTAAACCTTCAGAAAAGTAAATTTGTACGACCACTACCCATAATTTCGTTGGGTCTCATCGTTCATGGTGTCAACGCTTACCAAAATATTTGCTTGTAATGCTATAAGTGAAATACCGAACGCGTATACTTCTTCTGATAAGCTTCTTATAAGTCCTTCAAAGCTTATATATTTCCAAGTAAGAAACAGTCAAAACTCATAAAGGGCAATTGTTAGTGCCTTTCATTCATATTTAAATAGTTTATGAAAAACATGACAGACAGTTTTGAAAAAGACAAAAACAAACAAATGATATTTTTGGAGGCGAAAGAAATGTCATACCTTCTCAACTTCCATCCCGACGAGGTCTAACCTACTTTTCATACACGTAGCTCTGCTACTGAGGTTTGTTCCTTAGCTTCAACAACCTATGTTGACCTTTCACCAATACCGGCGTAAACAGCTTTGAAGTAATGATGCTCCTAGCCGGCTTGATTCTATTAAATACACAATCTTGACGGACGTGACATGCTGAGGATCAAACACAATAGGAAGACCAACCAGTTGTCAAAACAATAATTATTAGTAATTTAAAGCAGGCCATAAAAACAATTGACGAAGTATTATTATTCAAGATGCTAGGGGAGAGCATTGATTTATACATGGCGAGAGAATTAAAATTTTTCTTTTCCTTTAATAACTGGGAGGAGACTGACTGATCTAATATAACAGAATTCGTTAGAAGTTCGCGTGCAAACGCCAAGAACTCTGTTAAGGGTTTTACTGTTTAATCTTTGTTTACGTACGTGCTCACCCTAGGAGAGCAAGGTTATACAGTCTAGGGATCAAACAATGTTTTCCGTTTCCTATCAAAACTGCCTCCTTTGGGTGTTCATCATATCTTCTCTTTCGCATTTTTTACATCCCTTAATACTGTTTACGGGGGGTCAAAACCTATCTTTTTACTGGGATACCTGTGGTAGCCCAGTCATAAAATGCCTTTGTTTTTTTGTCGCCTTTTTTTTTTTTCCTCCGCCACAAAATGGAAAAATTGCGCAATAGTACCTAGTGGTCATAAGGCTCTCAACACCATGACAACTAACTGTGATCCAATGAAGTGTTCATATGCTGATCACGCGTGTTATCTTGATGATGACGAACCACAGGATTTTTGCCTATAAAATTCTTTTGTCAGTTGATTTGTGTTTCAATGTGTTTGGACTACGATCACCCAGAGCATCACGGCGCAAACGCTCAAAATACTTACAGACGCATACACAAGTCGTATTGTTCGAGGCCAATCCACGCTAAAAGATGTTATTGAGCGGTAATTTTGGAGCGGATTGAGTCGCCAACGCTTGAAAGCCATGAAAGCCTTGAATGCCTTTATGCCAAGTATGCCAATATCTTAGTTGAAAAACGTACACTTGTTGTAAAAAGCAAAATCTGAAATCTGAAACCAAACTGCAGATACTCTATGCAATCTGTTGAACAACACTCCTACCGTGAGACTAAAGAACAAAACTCTAATGGATGCAAACTGATAGTGAAGAAAGACGGCATGTTGGATTCACTTGATGCCAGCTAACGTAGCTACGATAACAGTGCGAATGATATTAATTTCACGATCAGAAAGGTGAATCTTATGTTTGTTTTTCGCTGTAGTTGTATGGATATTCTTTTTTAATAAATACACGATCCAAAATCCTGTGTTTTTTGTGTATAATGTTATTATGTCAAGTATTGTTTACGCAATTGTCTTGTCACAGGCGGCGCAAGCTCACGCCTCGAGAAAAAGCCCACGATTAATTCATGAACGCGTCACGCGTTGTGTGACTCGGTGTTAAGTTACGAGAGGAACCGTTGAAAATTTGAACAATAGTATAAGAAACAAAATATGGTCGATTTACAACGATAAATATTTCGAAATATGAACATTTTTTTTCGTAAAATCAATAAAAATTACTCATACCCTGTGTATCCGTTGTAGTTTTTGGCGATTTCTGCCGTTTTAAGCTTGCTTTACCATCACTGTTATTCACGTCATCTACTTTTCATGACTTTTATTACGTTGGTAAAATCTGCAAAGACATCACACTAACCAACTCGTGCGCAAAGTAAGAAGACTGTATTGAAGGCTTGAAATTATATTACGGTCGATATTTATCAAGAAATGGGCCAGGAATTTTCCACAATAGTGCAAATAATCGTGAAGGCTGATCGCGGAAAAGCGATTGCGTGACGCTCGGTAAGCTGTAAAATGACATGTTATTATATACCAGACGTAAAAACTCTTTAGATTCTCAGTCTGCATTTTGTACCCACTCTGCAGTCTATATTTCGTATCCGGTAGTACAGGATACAGGATACAGGTTGTAGTAACAGGTATCCGCGGCACCAATACAGTTTATTTTTGGTGACATTTATTCGCTCAACACACATAATCTACCACAAAATACCTGTGTGAGGTAATTCGACATTTTCGTTCTTTTCCGCGTTAATACTCTTCTTTCCTTTTGTAAGAATGTAGACCACTTACAATGGTTCAAGTAATCCACCCACCCTATAAAAAATAACTCTTGCATGCAGAACACGCTTGTGTTTTGAAATAGGCCAGACTTGAGCTCACTATTTCAGTATACTAGTCTGACACCCATAGTATCACTACACTTGATTCCAAGGATCCAGTACCATCCAGGTATCCCAGTTACCCTGCTCACAGGGTCTAGTCTATGTAAAGGTTGCTTGAACTAAGATGATATTGCATTTGTGCAGATTGCGTGCAAACGTCTAATCTTCCGCTCTCAACGAATCATAAGTTGAAAAAGATTAGCATCACCATTTCGATCACAGGCGTCTAGAGCTTACGTCTCGAGTAAAAGAAAGCGATTAATTCATGAAAGCGTCACGCGTCGTGTGACTTGGTGCTAAGTTACGAGAGGAACCGTTGAGAATTTGAACACGTTGTAAGGAATACTGATGGGGAACAAAACATGGTCGATTTACAACGATAAGTATTTCGAAATATGAACGTAAATCAATAGAACCTACACACATCTTGTGTGTGATCCTTATGATTGGAGTAGAGTGGACAGGGTCAATTGGGAAGGGTGGAACCCTTATAACATTGCGTAACCAATAGCGACCTAGGGAAACTTAAGGCTACTTAAGGTGACTTAAGGCGACTTAAGGCGATTTAAGGTGACTTAAGGTCTCAGAGTAGGCCTTGTGCAGCGTTCTCTGCCGTTTTAAACTTGTTAGTGGCCTCTCTCTAAACTGCGACTTGTGAGACCAACTAAAGTACCAAAAATTGAATGTCTGCGTAACTCGTGTAAATTTTCTGTTTCCTGATATGCCCTAGTTTGCCGAAGTCTGCATACCCCACCAATACGGCGCCTTTGACGTTTTTGCCGATTTTAAAAAAATTTCCAATCCGCAGAGTTAGGGCTGCACTAAGGGCCTGTTTACATGGAGGTGGGGGACCCCAGGTAGGTGAGGTAACCTGCCTGCCCATATAATTTCTTAAAACTTTGCACATTTTCTAGCCGTCTCAGAAACTGCAACGGACACACAAGGCGTGTAAAATGTTCACATTTCGGAATATTTAGCGTTGTAAATCGACCATATTTGGTTTCCCAAACTATTCCGTATAACGTATAAGTCAACAGTTCCTCGCGAAACCAAACACCGCGTAACACAACGCGTGACGCTTTCATGAATAAATACATATGTGTTCGAGAATTAATCTTTCGTCTTTTTCGAGATGTGGGCTTGGGACGCCTCTGCTCAAACTCCTTAATTGCAAGCGCTATAACAACCTCAAGAAACCTCACCCCAGCACCCCGGGGTTGTAAGATTGCATGTAAACGCATTTATTTTTCGACCACGGTTAGGCGGGTTACCTCACCTACCTGGGGTCCCTTACCTCAATGTAAACAGGCCCTGAGTAAAGTGTCTTGTTGACCGATTTTGACCACAAAGTAAACAAATTATTGCAAAACGACAAGCTTAAATTGGTTTTCTTTACAAGAGTAAATCCCCCGCCACACTTTCAAATTCTTGAAAACGTTTTCGAGGGAATCATAACACCGACAGTAGTTCTGAATGAAACATTGCAACAATACCAGATGAATAATTCTTTAAATGTTTTTAAATTTTCAGCCTTCACATTGAGAAGGGTCCATTGCAAATTGATCCGAGGATGGAAAGAGGTCAACGCATAATTGAATCAAAAATGAACGCATGACAAGTGAATTTTACAATAAGGCGCACGAGGTAAAGCGAGATTTGAACTCGTGGTACGTGAAATACTGTTATTTTATTCTTGCATATACGTGACGCGTGAATTTGTGCCAGATTCACGAGTGAAACGGGATCAGGACACCCTTTTGCTATCCTCTGAAAGCACTCATGTTTCGGTGATAAAGAAAATTACGGGAATTACGTCATGAGTAATCTCCTCCTTTCCCGTCGATCAGTTACGTCGCGCAGGACGTCATCTCTTCTCACGTTAACGGACGACATCAGAACAAAATAGAGTAGGGTAAAACAATTGGCAGCTTGAAAGAAGAAGGATCAAGGATGTCTCAGGATGTAACAGAATTAAAAAAAGATAACAGACAATCAATGCAAATGTATTCAATTTCTTTTAGATAAAACAAAGTAACATATCCGCTCTAATTATAGGAGACTTTTACCCCAAGGTTAAAAAATATTGGAAAATAAACAACTAAACAAAGATAGCTTAACCCTAAACCTCTCAAGAAGAAATGATTCTCTGAGTTGGTAAACATAATTTCCATTGTATTATTAGGAAAATACGCCCATAGTTTCCTATTTCCATAATAAACAATCTTTAAGCAAATGATTGTCAGATTTCAAAATTAAATGTAGGATATCCCAAAATTTGGCACAATTGTGTTACCAACGTCTCAGTATGCGAATTCAAGTTTGTTTAATTAAGGCGGATACAGAGTTTGGTTAAAAATTTAAATCGACAAAGAGAATTCAATGTTAATTAATTACTTTCAGTCATTTACTCGATATTCGCTCCTCTGGGCAAAGATTTAAGCAAAGTTGATAGATAAAAGAAATATTGAAAAGAAAAATGGAAGACAATTAAATGACCACGCTGTTTAAACTTTTTCATCTTAACATGACGAAAGGCACTTACATCTAATGCTTTTTTGAAGCCCTAGGATTGAAATTAGCGTTAACAACTTGAATAAAGAGAAATGTTGACAGAGGTTACATCATTCTGATTGGATGAAGCGACATAAACGACAAATTAAAATCAATAGCCTGCCTAGCATTTTAGGAAGATTTTGTCCACACAATTAAAACGAGCGCTATAATTACTTTTGTTGGTTGTGCTGTGTTAATAGCGGTACCTTTGGCGAGCACAAAATTCACTGTGTTTGAGACCAAAAGTGGAAACTAGATGGCTTCGCTAGAACAACAACTTGAAGCGATGACGAAAGATATGCGGTCGAGAAGCACAGTTACAATCGTCTTAGAGTCATTGGTTTTTGCCTTGATTTTATTATTGATCTTCGTTGGAAACGCTACCACCCTGCTGATTATAGCGTTAAACAGCAGAATGAGAACAACAACGAATATGTTCGTTGCATCACTGGCCATTTCAGATTTTCTTTTGGGAGTGCTTTCAGCGGGTCCTGTCGCATATCCTGCGCTACTGCTGTCTAAATGGCCTTTTGACGATACGACATGTCAGTATCAAGGCTATATTGCTGTAACCTTGGCAGTTGCGTCGACACAAACGTTAGCCCTTATGGCAGTGAACCGATATTTTCGTATTGTCAGGCCAGCAAAATACCGAGCCTACTTCACCATGAAGAAAACACTCATCATGATTCTTCTTTCCTGGTTTTATTGCATGTGGGCTCCTTTGCCATATCTGCTTAGTGGTTACAAGATGGTGTTTCACCCTTTCAAATTCTTTTGCTACCTCCAGATCGACAGCGGACCGTTCACGGCGTTTTTAGTTACTGTGTATGTTGGCTTGCCGACTTTCATCATAGCCTTCTGTTACCTAAGAATATTTCAAACTGTTCGAAGCCACAGCAATAATTTTCAAGCTGCAAGTGGATCACACAATACAGTTAACGTAGAGGAAATCAGGATAACGCGCACACTATTTGTTATTGTTGTCTTCTTTAATCTCTGCTGGACTCCTATTCTGGTGATAGACATGGTTGACACCGTTCAAGGGAGGTGGTCGTTACCTCGCGAAGCTTACGTTGCATACAGCTTTTTAGCCGTGATTAGTAGCGCTCTTAACCCTGTCATATATGGTGTAATGAATAAGAACTTTCAACAAGAGTATCTGAAGATTCTCCGGTGTAGATATTGTCGCTCACAAACATTTGTAGAGCCATTTAACTCAGGGGAAAGAGGCACTGGTTCAGTTGCGACAGCCACTTAAAAGCCAAGCTAACTCACTAAACTCTGCCAAAGTAATTTTTTCGGCAGTGGGAAAGATATCCTCAATTTAAAGGAGATTACGATATGTAAGCTAAGTAAGATAAAGAAAATAAAAGCGGCAATGGTAGATTAAAAAGAACAAAAGTGATTGAGGGTAGAAAAGACTCAGACGAATTTGAAAAACGAAATTGAGCGGATTTAATTCAGACAGGCACACCGGAAAATATGTCAGAGCTTAATGTGGGCGTTATGCGAGTATTTCTTTTTGAGGAATTACTTCTCAAGATGAAAAAAAGCTACAAAAAAAATCCTTACATCTGTAGGGCATTGCGCAGGCAATTGAAAATTAACTATGATAATCACGTACTGAAGAGATCCTTTCTTGTACCAGTTTTAATTTGAACTTTGATGTGAAAAAGACATCTGCTCAACTGCACATAGCACCTGTCCATGGTCTTATTATCATATTATGATTCGCAGTTCGAGTATCGATTTTTTCTTTTCTTTTCAGGGATGACATTGTCGGGAGAAATTAGATGCTAGTCACTTTCAGGGGTGAAAGGGTTAAGAAGAATGCTCAGCAATCCTGCATGATTTGAAAAGAGCCTTCATAAAGATAAATACTGAGAGCACCTATATGCTTAGGATTAATTCTAGATAAGAGCAAAAAACAAAAAATAAAGACAGATGGACTTCAGTTCGCGCATCTATCCCGTTAAGTTGACGCGTAAGGTACTATAGATAAAACTGCTGCTGAGAAAATTTCCTAAGGGTGCATCATGAAATTAAAAAGATTGAAAGTTTGCACAAGTTCGACTTAGTTGCCGACTCGCCTCGCAAGGTAAAGCAACCACAAAAATCTGTAGTCAATCTTAGTCATTGTATGTGCAGATTTATGATACATATTTAGCCTTCAAAACTTGGCGCCTGAAAGTTGAAGGAAAGACTTTAGAACATGACTCAGAGAAGCGCGTTTACAGGGTTTGCCTGCGAAATTTTGATTCATTCTGGTTCGCTACTAACTGGCTTAAACTGACTAGAGGTGTTAGACAAGGCTGCTCGCTCTCCTGTACCCCTTCAAACTTGGGGCTAAAATATTATCGAACAAGCTTCGACAGACAGTTGAAATCAAAGGGACTCATTTGTTCGGAAGCGAGGTTAAAACAAATCGGTTCGGAGATGATAATATCTAATTTTGCACAGATTTCATCACGGTAGATCACGCTCTTAATATGATTGATAGATTCGGTGTCTTCTAAGGTTTAAAATTAAATGTGAAAAAAATCGACATCGCACTACTTTCATCATAGTTTAATGACTTGCGTGTGAAAAGTGGGAGATTGACGGAGGAAGCACCCAGAGTAGACAATAAACTTAATGCGAGAAATTGCAAGACACCGAGGACTGAGTTTGCAAGGAACAGGGAGACATCGTGGTGAATTGTGAAGAAGTCGAGGAGTTTGCCTATCTTGGAGCTATTGTAGACAAGGAAGGTGGAGGCAGTAAAGATATTAGGAACAGACTGCAAAAGGCACGTGGTGCATTCCAGAAACTATGGAAGGTGTGGGCAGCCAGAAAAATAGGAAGAAGAACCAAGATACGCCTATTGAAGAGTTCAGTCCGACCGGTCCTGTTATATGGTTGTTGGTTGTGAAACATGGAAGATCACAGAGACCGATGAAAGAAAACTGAACAGTTTCCAATGCCAGTGCCAGAGACGATACTTAGGTTTAGGTGGCAGCAAAGAATGACAGACAAGAGAGTAGTCGAAATGGCAGAGATCAATGAAATTAGCCGCGAGGTGCAAAGAAGAAGGTGGAACTGGTTAGGACACGTACTCTGGAGAGAGGGTGTGAACGACTGTTTTACGGCATTGGGGTGGACACCAGAGGGTCGAAGGGCGAGAGGAAGACCAAAGACCACTTGAAGCAGGACTGTCGAATGAGAAAGAGGCAAGGCGGGGTTGAAAGAGATGAAATGTGGCCAAGGCGGCGGCACGCGACAGAGGGGTTGGACAGACAATGTGACGGCCCTGTACGCCTTCTAGCGCAACTAGCGGTGATGATGATGATGACGATGACGATGATGACGTTAAGTTAAAAAGGATAGCCTACGTGAAGCACCCTCCCACTCAAACGGAAGGAAGGGTATGGATACACGTGGGCTAAAAAAAAGAAGAAGACCAACCAGTTGTCAAAACTATCATAATTAGTAATTTAAATTTGGCCATAAAAAATTATTGACGTAGTATAATTATTCAATATGCTAGGGGAAGAACATTGATTTGTACATTGCGAGGGAATTATCATTTTTTTTCTTTCCTGTAATTATTGGGAGGAGATTGACTGATCTGATATAACAGAATTCGTTTAAGTTCGCGTGCAAACGCCAAAATTTCTCTTCAGGGTTTTAACTGTATAACCCTTGCCTACGTAAGTGCTCACCCTAAGAGAGCAAGGTTATACAATCTAGGAATAAAGCGTTGCTTTTCGTTTCCTATCAAAATTGCCTCCATCGGGCGTTCACCATATCTCCTCTTCCACATTTTTTACATCCCCTTATACACTGGGGGTCAAAACCTATCTTTTTTACGTGAAGGCTGCTTGCACTGAGATGATACTGAATTTGTTTAGATAGCGTGCAAACGTCTAATCTTCTGCTCTCAACGAAGCATAAGTTATGAAATAAATGGGGTAAATTTCTAAAGAAACTGTGGAGCTGCGTCGGTGGGAGAGTATAGCAGGTAATTTAGTGTTGACAACTGAATTAAAAAATTAAAATTGGCCAACGTAAAGAGTAAAAAGACTGACGTTTCGAGCGTTAGCCCTACGTCAGAGCGATTGAAGCTATGAAAGACTAAAATTACCAGTTCGACCACAGGCATCCCAAGCTCACGTCTCGAGAAAAAGCAAACGATTAATTCATGAAACCGTCAACTGTTGCGTAATTCGGTGCTAAGTTACGAGAGGAACCGTTGAGAATTTGAATGCATTACATGAATAGTATGGGGAACGAAATAGGGTCGTTTTACAAAGATATGTATTTCGAAATATGAACATTTTACAATTAAAATCATTAGCACTCACTCATATCTTGTGTGTCTGTTGTGGTTTCCGGCGTTCTCTGCCATTTTAAGCTTGCTTTCCTCCCTAGGACAAGCATTTCCTTTTTCCCAAAAGAGTCTACCATAGGTCACTTGAAGTACTAAAAATTTAATGTCTGCGTAACTTGTGCAACTTTTCTGTTTCCTGTTCAGTGACAAGCCATGGCAGTTTTCGCTGTTAAGCGAGTTTTAAGTTTTTGTTAAGCCCGAGTTTTCCGAAATCTGCGGAAATACAGCGCCTTAGATGTTTCTGCCGATGTTCAAAAATTTTTCCAAACCATGCCGCACTAAGAAAAGTGTCTCGTTGACAGATTTTGACCACAATGTAAACAGATTGTCGCAAAACGACAAGATTACATTGGTTTTATTTTACAAGAGTAAATCTCCCGTCACACTCTAAATTCTTGAAACGTTTTCAAGGGAATCATAACACCGACTGTAGCTCTGAATGAAACACTGCACCATTGCCAGATGAATAATTCTTCTAATGTTTTTTTTTTAATTTTCAGCCTTCACTTTGGAGAAGAGTCCATTGCAAATTGATCCCGGGATGGAAAGAGGTTGACGCGTGTGAATTTTACAGTAAGGCGCGTAAGGTTGGATGACATTTGACTCGTGGTGCGTGACAAACTGTTTTATGTACACGTGACGGGTGAAATTGTGTAAAATCCACGAATGAAACGGGATCAGGACACCCTTTTGCTATCCTCTGAAAGCACTCATGTTTTGGTGATAGAGACAATAACAGGAATTACGTCATGAGTAGTCTCTTCCTTTCCCGTCGGTGAGTTACGTCACGCAGGACTTCTCACGTTAACTGACGACACTGAACAAAGCTTACAAAATAGACTAAGGCAAAAAAAAATAGTCAGCTTGAAAGGAGAAGGACTAAGGATGTCTCAGGATGAAACAAATTAAAAAATTATAACTGATATTCAATGTGACTAATTTATTCTATATCTTTTAGATAAGACAACGTGGTACATCCGCTCTAATTATAAAAAAATTATTCCAAGTTAAACAACTAAACAAAGATTGCTCAACCCTAGAGTTCTCTAGGTGAAATGATTCTCAGAGTTGGTAAACATAATTTCCTATATATTCATAGAAAAAAAACGCCCATAGTTTCCTATTTCCATCGTAAACACTCTCTAAGCAAATACAAATTAAGACACGTATTATCTAAGCTTGCAATTTGTATAATATATGCGCTCTAATTATAAAATTTTATTCCAAGGCTAGATAACTTGACAAAAATTGCTCAACCCAAGAGTGCTCTCAGAGTTGGTAAACATGATTTCCTAAGTATTCATAGAAAAAAAAAAACCGCCCACTGTTTCTTTTTTCAGCTTTTTTTCACCGTGAACACCGTCTAAGCAAATACATATCAAGACAACGTATTATCTCAGCTTGCAGTTTTTAAAATAATCTGTCTTTAAATTGCATTGATAAAGCTGCAAATGCGATTGGCCCTCGTTGTTCAGAGTCGGATCTTTGTATCTATCTTTTTTTATCAATCTTATCTATCTTTTAGATAAGACGTCGTGATATATCCGCTCTAATTATAAAATATTTTATTCCAAGGTTAAACAACTAAACAAAGATTGCTCAACAAGAAGATTCAAGTTCAGTATCCAATGTTACTTACTTTACGTGAAGAACTCGATTTTCGCTCGAATTGGCCAACATTTAAGCAAAGTTGATACATAAAAGAAATATTGAATTTAAAAGAGAGAATACGTCAGAGAATATGGTAGAATGAAATAAACAGAGAAAAACGTAGAATAGAATGGAATCTTTATAGCCAATTTTAAGAAAAATAGAATGCAAGCTGTTTAAATTTTTTCTTCTAAACATGACCAAATTTATTAATTGAAGCCCGAGGCTAGGATTGACACAAGCGTTAATACCTTGAATTAAGAGGAGTGTTCAATAGGGGCTATATCATTCTGATTGGATAAGGCGACATAAACGACAAGTTAAAATCGAGAGGCTGCCTAGCATATGAGGATATTGCCCACACAATTATATCGAACGTTATACTTACTTTTGTTGGTTGCGTGTTGTTAATAACGGTACCTTTGGCGAGTACAAACGTCGCCGTGTTTGAGACCAATATAAGAAACACAATGGCTTCACCAGAACAACAACTTGAAGCGATGGCGAAAGATATGCAGTCGAGAAGTACAGTTACAATCGTCTTAGAGTCATTGGTTTTTGCCTTGATTTTATTATTGATCTTCGTTGGAAACGCTGCCACCCTGCTGATTATCGCGTTTAACAGCAGAATGAGATCAACAACGAATATGTTCGTTGCATCACTGGCCATTTCTGATTTTCTTTTGGGAGTGCTTTCAGCGGGTCCTATCGCATATCCTGCGCTACTGCTGTCTAAATGGCCTTTTGACGATACAACATGTCAGTATCAAGGCTATATCGCTGTAACCTTAGCAGTTGCGTCGACACAAACGTTAGCCCTTATGGCAGTGAACCGATATTTTCGTATTGTCAGGCCAGCAAAGTACGGAGCCTACTTCACTATGAAGAAAACCCTTGTCATGATTCTTCTTTCCTGGTTTTACTGCATGTGGGCTCCATTGCCATATCTGCTTAGTGGTTACAAGATGGTGTTTCACCCTTTCAAATTCTTTTGCTTTCTCCAGATCGACAGCGGACCGTTCACGGCGTTTTTAGTTACTGTGTATGTTGGCTTGCCGACTTTCATCATAGCCTTCTGTTACCTAAGAATATTTCAAACTGTTCGAAGCCACAGCAATAATTTTCAAGCTGCAAGTGGGTCACGCAATACAGTTAACGTGGAGGAAATCAGGATAACGCGCACACTTTTTGTTATTGTTGTCTTCTTTAATCTCTGCTGGACTCCTATTCTGGTGATAGACATGGTTGACACCGTTCAAGGGAGGTGGTCGTTACCTCGTGAAGCTTACGTAGCGTACAACTTTTTAGCTGTGCTTAGTAGCGCTCTTAACCCTGTCATATATGGTGTAATGAATAAGAACTTTCAACAAGAGTATCTGAAGATTCTCCGGTGCAGATATTGTCGCTCACAACCAGTTGTAGAGCCATTGAACTCAGGCGAAAGAGCCACAGGTTTAGTTGCGACAGCCACATGAACTCTGCCAGAGTCATTTTTCCAGCGGCAGGAATGATGTCCTTAATTTAAAGGAGATTACAAGATGTAAGCTAAGTAGGACAAAGAAAAATAAATTCGGTAAAGTAGATTGAATGGGAACAAAAATGGTTGAGGGTGGAAAAGACTCAGACGAATTTGAGAAGATGAACTTGAGCGGATTTAATTCAGAGAACTCGCCGGGCGATCTGTCAGAGCTGATTATGGGCGTTATGCGAGTATACGTTTTTGAGAAATCACTTCTCAAGATAAAAAAAAAAAAAATGCAACAAAAAATAATCCTTACATCTGCAGGGCGTTGCGCAGGCAAATGAAAATTAACTTTGATAATCACGTCATAAAGAGACCTTCGATGTGAAAAAAGACATCTGTTCAACAGCGCATTGCACCTGCCTATGGTCCAATTATCATATGTATTCTCAGTTAGATATTGACTTTTGCGGTATGGGCGACCTTATACATATCAACCCTTTACACCTAAAAATCAGTGTTCATATTCTACATACTATTCTTTATACATTTCCTATGGTGCTGACAAGGAGAACTTGTTTACCATTCAAGAGCTTCTTTAGTTGGTAACTGTTTCCTTTATTCTCCTGACCTTAAAGTTTGTTTCAGGGATGACATTGTCATGAGAGATTAGATGCTAGTCACTTTCAGGGGCGAAAGATTTAAGAAGAAAGCTCAGCAATCTTGCATGATTTTAAACATAGCCTCTATAAAGAGAAATTCTTAGAGCACCAATGCTTAGGATTAATTCTAGATAGGAACAAAAACGAAAAGAACAACAGAGGGACTTAAGTTCGTGTATCTATTCCGTAAACTTGACGCATAGCGAGTTGTAGATAGACTAATGGCTGTCGAGAAAATTTTACTAACGGCCACGTCAGGTAAAGGATTGAAAGTTTGCACAAGTTCGACCTACTTGCGAACTCGCCTCGCAAAGTGAGGTAACGGCATAAATCTGTCGTCAAATCTCAGTCGTTGTATGTGCAGATTTATGATACATATCTAGCCTTCAAAACTTGTTTAAGAAGCATGGTCGGCCAATTTTGAGCCATTCTGGTCCATTTCCCACCATATGAACAGGACGCTATTAAAGTCCAGCCCCTTGCCAAATGATAAACATTTAGCTAGCATTTTTTAAAAGGTAAATTCGTCGCCTTTTGCTCGATATAAGGGATAACGGCAAATTAAAATTAGAAAATAGTCATTTAGTGCACTTTTTATCTATTCTCTTTAACCTCTTTGTCTCCATTCAGACCAATAATGCAACAGTTATCAAGATTTTTCTATTTTGAGTTACTCAGTTCAAAAAAGAGTTTGCAAAAAACTTGCCGGATTACTGTTCTCCTTCTCTTTCCACATTCTGTTCGGCATAAACTATCATTTCCTATACTGATCTCTCTCTTGCTCAAATTTCGTTGTCCTGAACTGTTGTCTATAAATAAGTACATGTGTGCCACAACCCTGAATTACTCCTTTAAAATTTAGACCATATGACCATACCTTCATGAATCAAAGTCAATTGTCAATTCTCAAAAACTCTTTCGCGTAGAGTTGTTCAATGGATTAACATTATTAATTATTCTAATCTTCATCCGTCGGTTAAAGAAAAATTATTTAGGTTGTTTACTTCCTCTTCGATTATGAACAAAGCTCTCTAATGTAGATTCCATTTTACATATATGCGCTATTACAATTATAAATTGAAATATATACAGCTAACTTCAAAATCGATCAATTACTCTCTCGCGCTTCGTAGAAAAAAACTGAGCATTAGAGCGATCTTTTAGCAAGTGGCAGATGTCGGTTTGATCTTCTTTCGTCTTTCCATTAGTGCAAATGGCTCAACCGTCGGTTGCTTGCGGCAGTGTCTACATCGAAATAATTGCAGATACTCCCTTCGAAAATTGTTGTTAAGTAAACCGTATATAATAGGGTTTAGAGCACTGCTAACTGTAGCTAAGAAGCTGTATGCTACGTACGTTTCCCGAGGGAATATCCACTTGCCATCTATTGTGTCAACAATGTCTATCAACATTACAGGGATCCAGCAAAGATTGAAAAACACTACAATGATAAAAAGTAAACGAGCTGTCTTAATCTCTTCCACGTTTAGTTGGTTACCTCCAAATACAGTGCTATGGACATTATTAGTATGGCTTCGTACAGTCTGAAATATTTTTAGGTAACAGTACATTATAACGAGAGTTGGAGGGCCAACGTAAACAGTCACCATAAATGCCGTGAATGGTCCGCTATCGATCTGTAGATAACAGAAGAACTTGAATGGATGAAACACCATCTTGTGACCACTTAGGATGTACGGCAAAGGAGCCCAAACGGAATAGAACCACGACAAGCCAATCATGATGACAGTTTTCTTCTTGGTAAAGTAACTGCGGTACTTCTCTGAGCGGACTACTCTATAATATCGGTTCACTGCCATTAGGGCCAATGTTTGCATCGATGCAAGGGCCAAAACGATAACAGTGTATCCATGATACTGACAAGTCGTGTCACTGAAAGGATATTTAGACAACACAAGGGTTGGAAAACCGATGGGAACTGTTGCTAAAATTCCTAACAAGAGGTCCGTTATGGCGAGTGATGCAACGAACAGATTCGGAATAGTTCGCATGCGACTGTTTAATGCAATAACTACCAGGGTCGCTGAGTTACCAACAACCAAAAGGAGCAAAATGAGCGCGTAGAGTCCTGCCTCTAGGACAATTCTGACTTTGCCCCTCGAGTTGAGCTCCTCTAGCATTTCTGCCAATTGAATATCTGACGTCTTCATGATTTCGATTCAGAGTCCGGGAATTGATTCTTTACAGATTCAGATCCATGTAGCTGTAAAACCGACAAAGGCAACTCATCTAAATGCAATTAAGACACGACCGGTGCTATATTTGCATTCTAAATACAGTGATGTCAAATTTGTTGTTCTGTCCAATAGGAAACAGTCAGAAGTTCCCTTTAAAAGCTAACAGATCGGCAGGTGTGTGTTTCTCATTAAATTTAATGATTGTTTTGGTGTTTCTGTTTACTCTAGAGCTCTTCGCTCTTTCGCTGACACTGAGTGAATAAAGAATGGCCTCACTAAAATTATGTTAGTAACCCTGTTTACAACAAAGTTGGTAATTTAGTGTTAATGACTGAGTTGAAAACGTATATTGGCCACCGTAAAGAGTAAAAAGGCTAAAGTTTCGAGCATTGGTGACATAACTGACATATGCAGAAAATGGTGGTACGCTATTCATGGGAATGTGGTGACAAGAAAACAAGAATAAATTGACTGCATAACTTGCATTTATTGCAATAAGTTATATATTGGTGAAACGGGCAGACGACTAGATGACCGATTCCGAAAACACCTTCGCGACGTAGAAAGAAATGACAAGGAAGCATCCAAACCAGTCGCTAGACACTTTAATCTCCCTGATCATTTTAAACAACATATGGCAGTTTGCGGCCTTTCATTTGATCTAGGCAGTTCGGAAAGCCGCAAAACACTAGAACAAAACTATATCTTCCAAATCGGCTCTCTTAATCCCCACAGTATCAACAAGCGCTTTTCATTCAACTAATTTATTCTTGTTTTCTTGACACCATATTCAAACCCAGTAGCGTAGCTCCATTTTCTGCATATAAACCCACATACATCTCACAATTCCTCCAATCACTCTGACGAAGGGCTTACGCTCGAAACATCAGCCTTTTTACTCTTTACGGTGGCCAATTTACGTTTTCAACTTAGTTGTTAACACTAAATTACCCGCCATACTCTCCCACCGACGCAGCACCACAGTTTCTTTAGAAACTTACTTCCGTTATACAATAAAGTTTGCTTGGCTCAATTTTTTTCTCCGCGAGTACGCCTATGGGGATTACCTTGATGGTAGTAGTTAAATAGGTCTCACTGTGCATTGCAGCTCATCAGCTGGCTCAGGTTTTTTTCTTTCCGCTATTAAATCAATTGCTTATAATTGTTATTAGTTGTGTGAAGAGTGCGCGTAAATCATTTTATAAAATGTAGCATATTCGCCCCAAGTCTAATTTCGCTTTTTCGATTGTTTCAGTCGAATTTCGGTGGTTTTGTTTTCCACTTTCCAGACTTATACAATCTTGCCGAGTTTTAACATTTAAAAAGCTTAGTCCTCCAATTCCTAATTATAAATATGATGAATCGTTGCGTACATGACAGAAGAGAGGCACAAGAAAATTACTTTCTAATCAAGTATTCCGTGTAATAAATCTTTTATATAAGACAGTGCGATATTATCCATAATATGGAGAAACAAGAAGTAGTAGGTTACCAATCTTTATACATGAACATTACAGGATTAAGTTTACTGACATATGCCGTGCATAACACTAATCTCACAAATCAAAACTGTTTTGCTGGACTAAATGTACAAAAACTTTCCGTAACTTTGATTATGGGCTGTGGTGACAAAAGCATGCACGGTATGGAAAGTACTAATTGTGAATGATGTCGGTGTGCGGCATGAAAAAAAATGAAACTGTGCTCAGCCCTTATAGTCCTAACAAATAGAGTCGATGTCAGCAAGAATAACAAACATTATTTCAAACTTCATCTTTGCTTCTGACACTAGGTTAGTCTTAGTCCAGATACATGCCAGGTCCCATATGAATATGCAATTATCTTTTATGTCACTGCTGTTTTGACAAAATTGATGTTTCTAAGCCCTGGCTCTTCTTTAAAATTTGAATAATGCTTCCGCCATGATGAGGCCTTTCGTCAACGTCCTTTTGGCCACCTGCCCTATATTTCACGTTTGTAGGCCAATCACAAACGTTTAGGTCAGGGTTGAACAGGAGTCCCTCTGGACAATGCTTCCAATAGGTGATGCCATTGGTACATTGATAGAAGTTGCTGAAATCGTTTGGGTCAACATATAAACCATCGGCTTTTCCATTGCAAAACTTCTCATCTGGTTCTAGGTGGCAAAGAATAGCGATGCAATTTATTACTATGATGAGGGAACTTGAGGACTGAAACGGAAATTTTTTTATCTTAAGAATGGCCCTGAAAGTGCGCAATAAACACCTTGAAAAAAATCTTATCATTGTTATCATATTAAATGGAAAGGTGTACATCTTTACATAACTTCCAAGAAAAAATAAAAAGGTGTGTTAACTGAAAATTAAGGCAATAATAAAATACACCCTTTAGCTAAAAATTGTCCCACTGTTTAGAATGGGACCGGAAAGTAGGGAGGCCCCCTAACAGACCACTGCTTTTATCTGAACCTCTCGCCTCCACACGATAAAAATTACGAAAAAACCAAAAGGAGGACTGCATAGAGCCAGCGACAGATGATGGGGATTTCCACTTGGATACAACTTTTAGTGGAAAAATACAGAGCAGCATGGTCGACAGCTTACTGGTCATATCTTGGAGGAGAGAAGGGATCTATTGAAGAAAGTCACACTGATCAGTGCCTACCTCCAGGAGGTTTGGAAGTAGGTGATGGTGAGGGTTTATTATTTCCCCCAGCCGTTGTCAAAGGCGCTGAACTGCCACCTGCGGATGACCCTCCTGCCGAGGTTGGTACCTTGGATGTTGGCAGAGGTTGACCACCAGACGGACTTGTACTTGCAGCCGGGGTAGGCTTAGTACCTCCCGCCGTTCCTGAAGCTGGTGCATTTGTTGGACCGATAGCTATAGATGTATAGGTAAAGTCAATTTTAAGTCAGTAAACTTATCCCGGTTTTTTTGTGGCATTAAAAAATTAGGAGTATTTTCATTAGATAATAGTCCATATCAGTGGCTATCATTTAATGCAGCTAGATATAATAATCAAGACACTAGTGATGAGCCAGTATGACCAGGAGCTGTTGTTCAATATCCTTCCCTACCCCCCTCCTCCCCTCCTCCTTAGACCCATCTCAGTAGCCTGTAACTGAACTGAACTTTTTGATCGATACATTACTACGCAGAAGAGATAAATGTGTGACTAAAACTTTGGTAACGACATGTCACCATAATCAGACGGTTGTTGAAACAACAGTGTATAATGATGGTGTGGAAACATAGAAGAGAATGCACTTTACAATATGAACAGACTCGCTTTGGCGTTAAAAAAAAAAGTCGGCTCCTGCTCTTTATTGAAAGCATTTTTTAGATGAGAAGATCAAACTCCCCTCGGCATTTCTTGCAGATGTAAAACTGATTGCACAAATTGGTGCCTCTGATTATGTTGTTAATTGAGGTGTTTTTTAATTACAGATAAGTTGACTCTGCCGGCTCAAATAGACTCCACTCCAGCGAAACTCTTCTTTTACTACGTTAAATGTTTTTTTTCCCACACTTTCGTTATTTTTTATTTAATGATGTAGATCAAGGGATGACTTGTCGTCACCAAACAATGTTGTTTAAGTATCTTGGATCAATATCAGTATCTGGGCAACTGCCCACCTACCCCTCCCCTAACTCAATAACAGTCAATTGACAACAAGTTAAGGTTAATGTTGAGTTAGGGGAGGGGTAAGTGGGCAGTTGCCCAGATACTGATATTGATCCAGTATCTTAAACGTTTTACCCATTCTCTCATTACGTTACATCGAAGCCAAGTTAGATTTAAATATATGTGGTATGGGATTCTTTTCATTTACTGACGTTGTTCACTTTTTCCGTCTTGTCCGTAGCATTTTATGCTCTCTGGATTGCTGTCTACAACAGATATGAAAGGCAGAAGATGCATATTATTGTTGCTGCGGTTCTAAGTTTTATCCATTAATTTCAATTTCAAAGGAGGGCACTCAGCTTGAACTGAGTTGGTTTGGTTCGTCATGGAACCCCATTCTGGCCAGGGTGGCTCGTACCAAAGTATCAGCTTTCTCCTCACCCAGTTCCCCTCGGGCCACCAGAAAGGCTGACATCTCTGGCTACTTAGTTGTGGGAAGCAATCGTCGTTACTTGCCCGCCATCCCCCCTTCCAAACTGGTCACTACATACTTAAACGACGAGAGGGTAAAGGCTGCAACTAACGGCCACAAGAATGGATCAAGCTAAAGGATTTGTTTTCTTTCATAGGATGTCCCCCTAAAATTACTTCCAGTTTATTCCCGATGTCCAAAGTCCCAGATAATAGACATGCGGCATCTAATTTTTTTCTTAAGCCACATAGTCAAGCCACATGTAGATTCATTCCTAGCCTATACCTTAATTACAAGAGAACACTAAGGTTTCCCTATGGAATAAAGTCTATAGGGAGGAATTCACGTTACCTCCCGGTAATAGCTTTACCTGGATTGAACCCTGAGTACTGTATGTTCGTGGGAATATTCACATCATCTGTAACTTCAGAAACCATGGCTACCAGTTGCTCGCCACTGATGCTGGTTATCCTAAATTTCTTTGGAAATTTTATCTCTCCTAAGCCGTTGATGGTAAAATAGTTATCTGCCGTTCGTTTCATACAAACCCACTTGTTATTGTGCTCGATCTCCATACCAACAGTTACCACCCTAATAAGTCCGATTATAAAAAAAAAAAAAAAAAAATAAATTAATAAAAATAAAACTGACGAAGTAGGAAAGAGAAGGTCTTAAAACAGTCATTGATTTATACATGTATGTTTATCTAATCCATAGAGCAATTTTAAAATTGGTTCAGTTCGTTGAAAATCATTTCAATTCAGCAAGTTTTCGGCTGTAGTTAGAACCTGAGATGAATAGATATAAAAATGTACTTATGACGTTGGTTTTTGGTGTTTTAAAATAGTTTGTTTTTGTCAACTGCATGAGTTGGCCACCGTAAAGAATTTTTTAAAGCTGAAGTTTCGAGCGAAAGCCTTTGGCCAGAACGAATAGCTCATCATCAGACGAATGGCTAACGCGCAAAACTTCAGCTGTAGATACTGTTTACGGTGCCCAATTCAGCAATTCAGTAGATAAAACCAAATTATCCTGTTATAAACCCCACTGACGCAGCACCTAAGTTTTTGTAGAAACTTACTCCCTTTACTCATTGCTTGGTATTTTAGTCAGAATTAATTCGACTCAAACAGGCGCCCATTACTTAATGGGCTGCTGACTCAAACAAAGATGTATCTTAACTTCAGTCAACAACCATAGGTTACCTTCTTTGCGGTTTGAAGTTAACCTCCACTCCTCGAGTATAATTATTTAACAGCACTATGATATAATTCGTTTTAGGAAAGGACTACTGTTCGTCCACTGTACTAACTTTGAGTTCCGAGCTTGCAGTTTTATATACCAGTTGTCGCTGCCGGAAAACCTGAGCTGAATGTTTCCATCTTTACCTGGCACAGTGGGGCACTCGATTGCCTTGAATGAAGTCTTGTACTTACCAAAACCTTTTCTGTAAAAATCGAAACCAGCTGAATGGAGTAAAAAACAAAAACAAAAATACAAATTAATCGCAAAAATCAAAATTTTATAATAAAGTGAAAACGAAGAAAAAGGAGGAAAGAAGGTAAGAAGTCTAAATGAATCAACTGTCACTCATGCGCATGAGCACTGCACTGCTGATAGCAAACCTCTGGCAAACAGAAGCATTTTGGAGTTAATCCAACAGTGATAGAACACAATTTCTATCGATGTTATGCTTTACAAACCCCAGTTTATCTCGGCTCGATCGGTACATTTTCTTCTTGAGGAGCCTCCTTGAAACTTCGAGCGCAAAACGCAATTTGAGGAAATTAAAATATTCGTAAATTATTCAATAAATATCTAGATCTGAACTTTCGCAATTATTTCTAGGAGCTCACTTTGTCGGTAAATTTAGCTGTTATTGTTATCGTGGTTTTTATTCAAAAGCGCACGTGCTCAAAATTTTACAACAGACTTATAACCGCTGTACCTTGTTTGCATCCTCCACAGAGGTCCCAAATGGTTGCCTTATAGGTGCCTTTCATCGGTGTGGGTCCCCCGCTGGCGGCTGTGGCTTGTTCCCCGTTGGCCTTAATTTCAATGCACATACCGCACCCGAGGGACTCCTGATAGTCACCTTTACCAGCTGCAACCAGCATCCAATCAGGCTGCTTGTTCAGCGGTGATACAGGATCTAAAGCGCATGCTCCACCTCCTGGGTAGTCATTATAGTACGTGCTCTTACCAGAAAGAGAAAGTGAGAGAGAGAAAAAGAGAGAGGGAGATAGATAGGTAGCGATAATTAACACTAAATTTAACAGAAAGAATTACATAACATGCAAATAAGAAATTATAGAAAACCTTTCTCATGTTACACTAAGGTAAATACATAAAATACAACTGGAAGTGTAGTTCCAAATTTTTCTTCTATTCACGTTGGCAGCTATGTATTAAAAATTGCCTTTAGTTAACAATATTTCTGGAAATATTTTGGCCTGTGTTACTTTACATCTCTTCGGGAACACTAGGTTATCACAAATCTTGTTATTGTTGTAATTACTGTTTGTTTGTTTGTTTTCTGGTTTGTTTGTTTGGATTTCCATTGGCTGGCTGCAGAAAAGACGCCAAAGATGATTCTAGGCGCTGGCACTCATGTTTATGTGACCTATCTTACACTATCAAACCTTTAAGACTGACAGAATCGTTTCCAGTCGTTGCATCGAAAAACATCACTTACAAGTCCACTAGTGACTTTTGCATAACGACTCCATATTGCTTTCACATTTTCCATGCTTGTTTGCGCCTAAAATCGGGAACGAAGAAGAATAAAATGAATCAAGGTAGACAAATTAATGAACTACCACCTAACGCGTTTAAATTTTTAAATTTGGCGTACCAAACGAGGAATTCCTGAAATGGCGGGAACCTGGGTATTCTAACTTACTTGAAGGATGGTTCCTTTAAGGCATAGGAGAACGCAGATAAGCAACGAAAACTTCAAAACATCCATCTACAATAAAAGAAAGATATATGAGATCACAATTATGGACCCTACTGGTCCTGCGCACTCTTTAATACAAAAAAAAAGAGCAAAAATCCTCATTTTACAGAACAGGGGTTCTTACCTATAACCTGCCCCTTAAAAACGGTCAAAATTTCGCAAAACTTCGCCGCACTGGCTACTCAAAACAATGAAACGAGAAGACGTGTATTAATTTTCAATTAATAAATGGATTGTATCCATGCTTCTTTTATACCCTCTGACAAAGTTTGCCCAAAGTAAAATGATGTAAGAAGGCTTGAGTTTCATAAACATTCTTGACGAGAGGTTTTTAGTCAGTTGAACTCGGACTTTTCCATCGTTAAACGGAAATCGAGGAAATATGATATGTGAAATCTGGAGACGCAAGTTTGGACAATTCAATTGAGATTTGCTCTTTCGAATTACAGTTGTGCAGCGCATAACTTATTCCCATGAAAAGCCCCTCTTCCTTCCGCACGACTCGCCCATAAGATTCGGGAATTTAGGATCCTGGGGAAAGTAGGAAGAGAAAATTTCTGGCTTGATGTCACAACAAGATCGACTGTTTCTCCGAGGTTCAGTCTATTACATCAGGTAAAAGAAGTAACTTATTGGAAATCACTTCTCGTCCTTATTGCTATTGTGGATGTGCATCGTGTGAGCCCATGGCTTGAAGTAGCAAAAGGCTGAGCATAGGAAATGCTTTAAAATATTTACTTACTATATGAAAAAAAAATATAGACGATATCTTTTTCCATTTACGGAGCTTATATTAATTACATTAGCGTTTATCTCCCGCTTACGAGTACTGAAAACTTTCACGTATGTTTACTTTGTTTTGTACTTGACAATGCCAACGGACGGAATCGTACTAACATCAAATTTAATTCACTTACCTGGTATTTCGTGGGTGGCGAGTTCTTCTGTTTTCTGCTTTGCCGACCAAGTTTTTAGAGGTTTTTGCCTTTCGGGGGGGCTTTCGTTGTAAGCAGGTGGAAGAACTCGGAGGGTACGCCATTATGAAAAAATTAACTGGTGATTCTTTCATCGGATGACTGCATCCGTCTGAAGCACAACAGGAGAGTTCTTTGTATTTTATCCGACGGTATTCAAGTCTAAAGGAACATTTTTGCGGGTTATGGTGATAGATTTCCTTTTCTACTCCGCCCAGCAACAGACATCACTTATTTTTCCCTCCTTTTCGTTTCTCCTTGGGTGGGGAGGGTATGGCTACACGTAGACTATTCAAACCCACTTTTAGTAACAGGCAGCAGTTCGATGTTATTTGATAGGCCGAATTCTACACGCAGTTTGATTGGTTTTTACTTGGAGGACAGTTTGCTTCTTTTACTAAATAAAGAAAAACATATTCCATGCCGCCGTGGATTTTTACAGTAATAGAGCACATAAGACGTCAAAATATAATAAGAACATCAGTGACACACTGTGGTACTGGTAACTAGATACGGGATATTCTGATTGTGTGAAGGAGAGCAGAATACAATATGGCGATTTTGTGTAACAAATACTACACATTGCCTTGTGTATCACTCTTTGTTCTTACCACCCTTTGACGTCAACTGTGATCTATTACTTACAAACGCATGTCAACATGGAATATATTCGTTTTTTTTGTAAAAAGAAAAAAAGCGTGGTGGAGTAAGGAGAGTCAAAACCTAAATTTTTCTTAGTAACGAACACATAAAGCTACCACTGAGAATCTTTTCACGAAGTTTAACTGTTGTCGTCGTATACCTTCCGTGTAGAAAAAAGGTATCTTTCGAAAAAAATTTCTGAAAAACTTATCCAGAGTGTGGAGGCTCAGAGTCATCAAACAATTGGTGCCTTGATGTGAAAAAGCAATTGAGCGTCAACAACCCGGTCAGCAATTGCCTGAAAAAAAAAAGGGGGGGGGGAAATATTAAGCCTGGAACTTTATTTTCTCTTTGTCAACATTTCAAAACTGACGGCACATACGTAAAATTGACTCTTCCAAAAACTTCATGGCTGAGGACCCTATTTCTTTTGGTTTCCCACATGGGCCCCTTTTTCGCTTACTCTCTTTAGTCCCTAGTTTCAGTTCTTTTCAAGGTTGCGTCACAAGCCTGGTGTCTGGTTTGCGGAAATAGCGGAGACGGACGTTGCAGTGCATAAATCACTAGAAATTTCTTCTGTGACTTTCTTTTCTAACTACTTTTACGAAATAATTTCGACGACTCAAGAAATTTAGTTGTTTTCTGGTTCATTGGACGCTGTATTACGTGGGATTTTTATGTGAACAACAGAGTGTTCTCATCTGGCATTGTTGGGACATACGATTTATTCTCTCCCACAGTTTCGATTTGAAACCAAAGCCTCTTGATTTTTCCTGAGGGTACAGATCACAGAAAAAGTTTATTTACTAAAGACGATCACTTTTTGTGGTGGATTTGTTCAAAATGGAGATTTATTGGGTTATCAAAGCTTCCTTAGAGCTCATTTTTGTGATGGCGAGTATGGTTGTGATGTCTTCCGGTAAGTCTGATAATTTATCAGTTACGTTTGTTGGCTCAACACCTCACGTCAGGATTTCTGTTGTACCCAAGTTTGATATTCATATGATGTTCGTGTCTGCCTCATTTACAGGAGTAAGTAAGCTTGAAGCCCTATTTTTCAAATACGTTGAAAGGACGCTTAATTGATAACCACAAGACAGTTAGCATCGAACTCGTTTCATATGGTAAAAATAAACACATACATGTATGTTTAAGCTTACTTGAACAGAACGTCAATAATGTTCATGTTGCATACAACTGCATCTCCTTTAGGTATATAGTATAAAATCGAAAAGCAGCTCTCCGATCACAAAATTGGATTACAAAAGTTCATGTAATATATGAAATATCATGATCACAAATATATCGAATATGGCATATCATGTAGCATGTTGTCGACGTGTTTCTGTCACTACTCAAGGAATCACCAAGAACGATGTTTAGTAGATTTGTTGAAAATGATGTTCAAGTCTGTAGAAAGATTGACTCATAGTAAAGTTTACATGTACATGAAACTTTGGAAATGTATTCCATTTACAATATGACGTATGCGTTAAAATGCGGAATGCACCTAGTCGCTTACTGCTGCAAAAAATGTGATGAAATATGTTACGAATTGAGCCATTGTGCCGCTAAACTTACTATGCTTGTACAAGTATCAACCAAACTTCAGGATGATGCTTTACCTCTATGTCAACTAGTTGTTGGTTTTAAATCAAGTCACCAAGATTTATCCTAGGTTGTCAAAAGGTTTTCGGGTATAAATAAAACTGTGATACAAAGTAGGCAGAATAATGTCATGCTTCCATGCTGAAAATTGAATCTCAAGAATTTGGAAGAGCTGGTGTATTTTTCAGAGTAGAAGGTGAAAATTTATTGTGCTGGTTGCAAGGCCTGTTGCTTGCCTACTTTGACAACCTTATATATTCTGTAATCAGATATTAGTCTTGACTGAAAGTGCTTGAGAAATCAGTTTCTATTAATAATGCTGTACTCAAGTCCCTCATTGCAATATTTTTACCAATCACTTTCAGAGGCTGGAGATTTACCAGCACTACAGCACATGTACATGTAACTGTATAATGTAAACAAAAATACTAATGACTCAGACCTTGAACAAATTATTGTTGTTAAGTTGAGCTTTCAACATGCCATTTGATGTGACTAAACTTTAATGATATTTCCAACTTTCAATTTGCTACCACTCAATTAGAAAATTACTCCATATTTCTGTGAGTGAAGCTCGATTCCTAGCTTTGTGGGTATTCACTTTATTAAAATAACAAAGGGAAAACTCCAAGTTTTTTATATTGTTCTAATCTAGAAGTAATGCACTGAAAAGTTTCATTGCTGGCATGACAAATGCCGTCCATCAAGTATGGGAAACCATGAAAGTGCCCAATAAATAATCCTTAAAGTGGGGTTGTGGAGAAGAGTGAAGTAAATCTGTTTCAGGGGTCTATTTGCTATATCAGGAGTTCAATCCATTTCCAAGACCAAACAGGTGCTTGTAAATCTGTGGGTTCAAAGTAGAAGTTAAGGAATTGTTGAAATTCATCTCTTTCTGGTAAAGTTACATGTAGCCTGATTATCAAATTCTAACTTGTAACTCAGGAATCAACCTCTAAATTCACAATGCTTTGCATTTATTAGCTGATCTTATCATGAAAATATTTTCCAATCAGTTCTTCTGACATGCATTTTACGAACTTTTGAACAATCCCATCTCATGCTTAAGCGATGTTTTGCTATACATTGTTCACAACTGAGAATGTACAGAGGAAGGACCTAAGACCTAACTGTCACCTTTATTTGATTTGGTTATGTTTCTCTCTGTCAATTTCAGCAAATTGCCCAGATCCTGGCTTTCCTGCTCATGGCAATAGAACTGTACATGTATCTCCTGCGAGACGTCCAATGGATGACGGAACCGTCATTAGTTTCTCATGTGATCCTAACTATACTCTCAGGGGAGCCAAAAAGATCATATGCATGAAAGGACGTTGGAATGGGAAAAAACCAATATGCAAGGCATCAGGTATGTATCACCGTTTCCTAAAAATTTGTTGACTTTGAACAAAACAGAGTCTCGTACGTGAACATGTACATAAAAACCTCAGATTTTAGTTGGGAGACCAGTGAAAGGACAAGGTATTTCAATACTTTGTACTGTAGGATGCAACTGGTGAATCTTGTCTTTTGTTCAAAAGTTTTTGATGTGTCCATCTTGTGTATGATGGGGTTCTCTGGGATAAATGCTAGCAGTCACAACTTGGAAGTTAAGAATCTGTAGGGTTGAATCATAAGAAGTTGCAGCATGCAGATAATAATCATAGATGCTCGTTCATTGCTAATTTTCTTCTGCTTCTGAAGATAGGAGCTACATTGTAAGACTATGAGATTAGTGTAACATTCATGTAATGAGCTTAATAAAGATGGAAGTGACTTCTGATGCAAAGTCTTCTGACTACCACTCCCCTGTGTCTCTAGGGAATACAACACAATTTTTGAGGAGAATGTAGCATTTATCAGGATTCACTTTATTCATGCATTCATTAAATTTCAATATGATACTAATTCAAAATATGACAGTAATAATTTTTGTAATCAGTAATAATTATTGTAATGATAATAAGCTTTATTTGTGGAGGGGAACACCTGATAGTACTAGAAACACTGATTAAAGCTAGGCCCTTCTTGAATATTCTGTTACCAATGATCTGAATCAAAAGGAACACGATTAAAAATCTTAACTGAAAGGAGGAAAACTAGTTACCTTTTTACAAGTATGGTGAAGGAGTTAAACTTATGGCTAGCAAGAAAAAAATGGTCATTCAGAGCGGGATTCAAATCCAGGACTTCCCCATTGTTGGTGCCTCCTTAAAAATTTCCCTTAACTCCCAGAAGTGATTCACATGAAACTTCTCTCTGTGATGTCCATATGTTATCAAGCTAACTAGTAATGAGAATACTCAAACTTATCTGGTAGAAATTGTGATCTTGATCTAACATCAAATTCTCATAACTAATTTACAAAGCAATTTGTAGCAGCAAGAGGGGAGAATTAAAATTCAGATTTTGGGAGCTAGAGGGTTAACCCTTTACACGCTAGTATCAGTATACAGTTTGGAGGATATTTTCTTCATACTGTTCTCCATATATTTCCTGAGGTGCCCTGAAGGAGATTTAATTTTTCAATCAAGAGCTTCTCTTATTGGTGATCATTCCCTTATATTCTCATGACCTTAATGTGTGTTTCAGGGGTGATATTGTAAGGAGAAATTAGAAGCTAATCACTCCAAGGTTTCAAAGAATTGATGGTTACATTGTGCTGTTACTTTTCGCAGGTTGTTCTCTACCACCACCCTATTTTCCCAATGCACATCAGAAAAGTCAGTTGCCACAAAACACTATAGGGAGTTATGTAGAATATGAATGTATTAAAGGCTATACTTCTGAAGGAAGATCAACAAAGATCCTGTGCGATAAGGACCATGATTCGCAAGGGTATTTCTGGAATGGTAACATCACTTGTGAAAGTAAGTGTTGTAATTGTTATTGCTCCTACATGTAACATAATTAGTAGTTCCCTGGTATTCATATAAATTTATGTATTTAGAACTGAAGGTCCAATTGAGTGAAGAAAGTATTTTGGTGTATTAAACAAAATTATCCTGATTTGAACAAAATAGCCATGCTAAAGTCATAGAAAATATAGATGTGCTTGAAAGGGTGATAATCCACATCTCAATTGACACCTAAGGTATAGCTTTTAATATTGTCTATGATAAGATTATTATATTCTTACAATAGTGTACTTCTATGAGTTTTTCTTTTCATTAATGACAATGTATAGTATGTAAGAATTTGATACTGTAAAATATTTAATACTTGTATTGTATATTATGCAAAAATTTGATACTGTAAAATATTTAATACCTATAAAGAGCCAATGGATTTTTTAGTAGAAGTGGCATTATTATTATTATTATTATTATTATTATAATTATAATTATGATCTCTTCTATCACAGTCTTTGCTGGTGCTCTATTTGTGCATCAGCTAGGCACAAACCATGCACACAGCGCATCAGTCACTCAAGTCAATCATTCTGTTCATACGCTAAGCACCTCCCTGAGGATTCGTACTGATCCCGGCATGCAGATCCTATTATTATTATTATTATTATTATTATTATTATTATTACTATCATTATATCATTATCATTAATATGTCAACCTTCCCAAGAGACAAAGCTTTTGTCTTTTTCTACTTTCATAATATTTTTTTTTGCTCTGTACACGAACAATTTATGAGGGTACTTTGTACTGCAGTGACCTAACTCCATGAACAGAAATAAATGCACAAAAGAATAAGTGATCAGTTTTGATATACAAAAATAATTTAAAACAATGATTAATTTTGCTCAATACATTCCACTCTGAAATGCATTTTAACCCTTTAGCTCTCAAGATCTTATTATTCATAATTTTTCCTTCTAGCTGTTACAGATTTTCTTGTAAACTAGTTACTAGAACTTGGTGTTAGATCAAGATAATAACTTCTACTGAATAAGTTTGAGTATTCTCATGACCTGTTTGCTGGATATACACTGTAGTATGGATTTTATTGAGAGAAGTTACATGTTAAGTCACTCTTGGGAGCTAAAGGATTTAAAATGATCCAAATGAATAATAAAGATGACATTTTCTAAATGGTACTTATCTACATGTATGTGTTTGTGCCTTCCAAATGGAGACATATTATTCTTTTAAATCCAAAGAAATAAGTCTAGGAACTTAAATTGTGCAAGTGTAAAGAAGCAACTATTAGTTGTGTTAGGCCAAAATTTTGTCATTCTTTCTTAAAGAGATGAGTTCACAACAAAATTCAAAATTCTTACCTCACAGCTAATTTTCCACAGAACGGAACTAAAATACAATGGTACTCAGCTGGTTACCAGTCGAGACAACTAGCAAACATCCTCAGATATATTTAATGGTGCTACAGTATATTTATTACAGATTTGTCTGTATCTTTTACTAATTTATTTATTTTTTATATATATTCATCAGAAATAAGATGTGGTCCTCCTCCAAGGATAGCCCACGGCAACGTTACCACTGGCCCCAATTCGGATGGCACCCGAACATATGCAACATACCATTGTTTTTCTGGCTATGTGATGCTGGACTTAAACGATAAGCCAATACCGCCAACACCACCATTTTTAATGTCGTGTGGTGAAGGACGACCTTGGCCAAAGATTCGCACCCCTAAATGCGGTAAATATGTTATTTAGATCATGGAATTGCAAAGCTTTGAAGGCCACAGGCAATATATGTACACTGGACATGGTACAATGTGTTTGAATTTTTTCCCCAGAGAGTGACTGAAATAGGTCTCAATGTGTCTGTCTATCCGAGGGTCTGTTTGTTTATATATCTCTGTTTGGCTGATTTTATTGATCAATCATTTATTTCTTTATATGTAGTTATTTGTCTCTTATGTTTATATCTCACAATGTAGTTATTTGTTTAGTATCTTAGCATCCAAATATTTCCCAAGATAGAAGACTATGATTGGAATTTTTCATGCAAACCTGACTCCATTGACCAATCAAAATTGATAGCTTTAGTTTTAGTTTTAATGTGGAAGATTTCAATCTCCTGGAAAACTTTGCCAATTTGTGGGAGTTTGCTCGCAATGGGAAGACATTCCTTTTGGGAACGGTGGAAACACTCCTCGTTACTTCATGCAGAGGGATAGAAGTTTGGCAGAACTGGGCCAGTAGAGCAAACTTGGAACACTTGCTGTGTAAAGTTTATGATTGTGAACTGGATGTAACACATTTGTTTCTCTTCTTCTTCTCCCTTAGTGAAAACCTGCCCCACATCAGATGTAAAAATTGACCATGGTGGTATCCAAAGTGAACCCCGCTATACTACTACTGAACAAAAAATTTTCACTGAAAATGAGACTGCAACATTTTTGTGTGAACATCATTACAAGCTGGAAGGAAATCGGAAGCTGAAATGTATGAAATCTGGACTCTGGTCTGATAAGGCTCCTCGTTGTGGTATGTTAAAAAAACAAATATGTATTTGATTATTTTATGAAGTACTTTGATAGTGAATATATGAAAATCATATATGTGAAATGCAAATTAAGAAATGAGTATGAAAGCGATCCGCGCAGTTATGAACACTACCTAAGCAGTATTGAAAGTAAGGGCTGAAGAAAATTTAGGCGTGTAGGCGATTTTTTTCAGGCTTTATTTTCACATTTTCACTACTGCTTAAGTAGTGTTCATTACTTCAAAAATCGCTTTCATATTTATTGATAACGACTTTGTCAAGTAGCAGGGCCTGGGTATTCTAGTTTTGTTTTTGTTTCTTTGTTTGTCTTCCGTTTTGCTTTTGTTGTTTCTACTCTTTTCGTTATTTTCAAGATGTTTATATAAATGTATATATTTAAATGTTTTCTTTTTTTAATTTTATCATTTTTTTTAAATTTTATAATTTGTATGCACGTCACCCTATTCTCTTTGCGTTTCCTTTAGTATTTTTGAAAAAATTAACAGCTTATTTAATTGTTTATCATTTCTCTTAATATCATGACCACCTTCTTTGCTTTGTCAGCTGTGTTGCTGTAAGGATGAAATGGGTGCTGGTTACTATTATGGGTTAAAAAAAATTTGCATGTACATTTATAACCTTCTTAACAACATCCGTACATAAAAGCGTTTACGGTTGAATGTCGTAGAGATGAAACAAAACAAAGTAATTACATTTGCTAATTACAGCAAAGGAAGATGCCGCAAAAAACCTATGAAAAGTGAAAGTAAAAAATACAAAAGCGCGGGAACACGCCGCGAGTGACCAAGGCGAGATAGTTTAGCTTTGAATCTAATTGGTTGAAAAAGTGGCGCGAGCTTTGTGTACCAATCAAAGTAAAAACCACAAAAGCGCGGGAATACGCCGCTAGCGACTAAGGCGAGATGGTTAAGCTTTGAATCTAATTGTTTGGAAAAGTGGCGCGAGTTTTGTGTACCAATCCAAGTAAAAACCTCAAAATCGCCAAAAGCGCGGGAACACGCAACGAGTGACCAAGGCGAGATGGTTTAGCCTTGAATTTAATTGGTTGAAAAAGTGGCGCGAGTTTTGTGTGCCAATCACTCGATTACAAATGGTTTCATCCTGCAATTAAATAGTGAGAATGTACAACTTATAGACCAGGAGGAATTGTCTTGAAGTCATGTTTATCTGAGTTTTAAACGAATGTATAACAGCTTCATGTAGAAAGTAAAGAATCAATTTAACCTTACGGTATTATATTTTTCCCTTGATGCTTGCAGTTATAAACGTCTGTACAAGTCCAGGAGATATAGAACATGGCAGGGTCACGTTTGAAAACACTAAAGCCGATCGCACAACCTCTCCTATTGGGACAGTTGCCAGGTTCAACTGCAACGTTGGGTTCAAACTAGTTGGTAATAGTACACGGCAGTGTCAACCGGATGGCCACTGGAGTGGACAGCGTAACCCAATCTGTCAAAGTAAGCTGAGGAAATGATAGAAACCCAAGGCAAACCTTAACGGCGACGGGCTACGAGAACGTGGCAAAACAAAAGATCTACTGGGCAAAACAATAGTTCAGCATGTGCTTTTTAAACCTCTGTGCGTTTCTTGCGTGTCCTTTGCAAAATAAGAACGTGAAATCGCCAAAATTTACGTGTTGTGGGAACGAAACCCGAAGGCGAATTAAGTTCAGTTTCTATTTGGAACTCACTGCTGCTCACATACGTTGTGTTGAAGTTGAGGTGTGGCGCGGCAAGAGTCTTTAAACACATCCAGCCATTCGTGAAATTCAATCTAAAAACATAAGTTAATTTTTCAATCAACTTCTTCCCGGCGCTGCCGTCCTGACTGCCCAATGTCCCTTATACTTAGAGCCAATGACGGTAGGAGACCTGAAAGTGCTTACATGAGGTTTAGTTAAGACCTGATAGTTTAAGCCTAAAATTACTAAAGAGAATCACCTAGAAGTTAAGCCAATTTAAGGGCGTCGTAAAACCAAAGCCATGGTTAACTAGCAGTTTAATTAGGACCCTGTGTATGTGAGAAGCAATGTGACATCAGCTCTGGAAAATGAAACTTGAATTAACGCACAGCCAGTTCAGCTCTTTTGATTACTAATGTGATTACTTTCAGAATCTATGCTGAAATGCGAGCAAAAGAATCTTATCGACGGTGAATATCAACCCAAAAAAGCGAACTATTTCCTTCATGATAAAATAACACCGCATTGCAAACCTGGCTACTATCTATGGGGGCCGCCGAGTTTGACCTGCTGGGAGTACGACGCTGACGTAGCTGATTGGTATTATCCAGGCTGTGAAAAAGGTGTACATACGGAGTTATTTAATTGTAACGAGACCCCGGAGCCAGAGTGTGTAACTTCAACAGAATTCGATAAGAAGTGCGAAAACGTGGGCGGCCGTGCAACGCTTACACCGAAGAAAGGCAGGGATTCTGTGATCTGTGAGAAGTCACCAGAGGAGCCTGGTAAGTTACATTTTTTTTGTGTAGTACATCTGCGTACTACTTATGGGAGTGCGCTCTTGGTTACAAGACAAGGCCTCTCTCAACTCAGGAGTACTAATAGTTACTATAATATAGGAAAGGAAACCGCCTGGTGGAAAAGAAGCTGCAATTGAGAAGTCGAAAGTAGAACTGCCTCGAAACCCACTCTTATTTTATGGTTTGTTTTTTCTCTTTGTTTTTTATCCATTTGTTTGTTTATATGACTTTTGCTTCTCTCGAAGATGTGTCCGACGATCCTCAAAAGCCAAATAGGGAACTGGATAAGATGACAATTGTGATCGCAAGTACAGGCTCAACCTTGGGTGCTTTGGTAGTTTTATTAGCAGCCCTATATTGCTTTCGGCAACGAATCCGTCGATTGCGGCGCCCTTCGTACAGGAGCCGACGATACAGCGACGATGATAGGATTGCGTTCATTGCGTACGCAGGAGACGTTCATTTTATTTTGCCATCGTATGATGAGGCTATGAGTCAAGTGGAGCGCTCCCCGCCTCCGTTTGAATCAGTTGTAGGAGGCGCTCAAGGAAGTGCCAATCGATCTACAACAGACAGTAATGGTAATCAGAGTACCAACCAGTCTGGTAATACAGGGTTAAATCATACGGCTACAAGTACAAACCCCGCAACCGAAGACGGTGACTTAAGAACTTCTCACGAATTAGCACAAGGACAGTCGATCCGTGTCGTTAGTAGTCCATTAGCGGACAACGTGCGTGATACGATTTGTAGTTCAACAACACAAAACGTCGATCACGCATCCAGTAGCGAAAGCACAAGAAGAATTGGGTCCTCCGATGAACGTGCTTGTGTTAACGCTTCCGGTGAAGAGCCGTCGCCGAATCGTCCATCCGAAGATATTCCGAGCTGCTCCTCGGAAGAAGATCTCACATCCAATCAAACGCAGCCGTTGCTCCCGAACAGCCGGAGTGGCGTTAGGGCGTAATGAATATCTGGGATTTGATGTAACGGAACTTAAATGTATTGAAGGCTTGTATTCAGTGTCGGCTGCCGTTAAATTGTCGGTTCCAACAAATGATCAGTAGATAGAAAGAGAAAGGGAAAAAGAGAGAAAAAATAGGATCAAATGCCAAACCTTCGTGGCAGGGTTCATCTGTTTGGAGCAACAGCGTTAAAATTATGGGAACTCTAGGGCAATTTCTGCTCTTGAAATAGGACGTGATGCTTGATTTTTGTTTGTTTGATTGTTTATTTTTGCAATTTCTCATCTTTATTTTTATATTCATTGTTATTTCTATTCACTGTATTTCTTCCTTAGAAGTGCAGGGAATTGAAATGAACGCCGTTTTAACCAAAGGAAAGAGACAGGCCCCAACACGTTCTATTTCCCTGTCTCTTCTCTTTCTCTCTCGTTATGTCCCCTAACTTTTGATTGGTGCAGCCACCCCTGAATACAATATTAATAAAGGAAAGCTAAATTACATAATTACTATCTCATAAAATAAGTTATTTTTTCAATGAAACGATTACTGTTTTGCCTCAACTTATATTTTGAGTCCTCAACGTATGTAGCTACATGTATATTTTGGACAGATATTTTGTGTCCATGTCTTGTGATTGTTTTCTTTTGCCTGTAAAGCAAACTTAGGGAATCATTCAACTAACTTTTACCAAATATCGATCGTTCTCACGCCATATTTTCAAGTATATTAATAGGAATAACTGGTTAGGAAAGCCGGCTAACATTGAAGGCGATAAAAAGATCCAGTGAACCATTTTTCATTTTTTTTTTTTTTTCTTTTCTGAATGAATTTATTTAAGTGTGTTTTCCTTTTAGCTTAACACAATTGATATATTCGAATGCGTCGGGCTCAGTCATGTGCAAGAAACCAAGCAAAAACATACAGCAAAGAAATTTTGGACTCGTTTTGAGGGTTTCCTAAGCAGTTACTTCTGTTCATTATGGTTCAAACGAAGAACAAATAGTTTCCAATCATCGCCACCGTGAACTTAAGCAAACAATTTATTTGCTACCTTTCAATGTCTGAACATTTTCGTAAAGTGAGTAATCTAACAGCAGTAATGTAAATAGTCCATTCTCCATTGATTTTGGAAGATGTTATCAGCAGTAGGTTGGTTGAAAATTTATATTTGTTGATGTAACATCCTAAATTGTATCGGTAGTTTAGTTTACAGGCCTTATTGCATGAAGGTCTATTTTCGGTTGTAAAACCCTAAACATTTTCAACACTTATTCTCAATAAAAGACCCAGAGCTAGAAAGATTCTCAAGGACCTTTCTAAAAATGTCACTGGAATGATAACCAATTAATATTAAATTATTCAGGATGTGTTGAGCGCCTTGACAAAATTCATGTTACCCACTCGTTTTACTTGCCAAGGAAATATAATTATGGATCAGCTGATATCTAAATAAAACTTTCCAGACTGTCATTTGTCAGCTAAGTCGAGCCGCATTTACAAAAAAAGTTGCTCGTATTACCAATTTGATCTTTAATAGTTGCTATTCAACCTTGCCAATTTTTTTTTATTTTCGCCCACCAGAGAATCTGCTCGAAGGAATGAAACAAAAGTTTTCTTTGCTCCTTTTAATGTCTACCTTGCGGGGATAAGAAACTTAACCTATTACTCCGATAGTCTACGTAGAAATTAAAACTCTGTTAGCGGTACTTTTCTCGTGACTCGAGCTATGAGGATTCGGCGTTAAACCATGCAATATCTTATCTCTCTGTTCGCGACTGTATATATAAATATTGTATGGAGAAATTTCTCGCAGGTCTGCTAGGAGAGTGGAAGGGTTCATCTGGGTGCAGTTACCTACACTAGTTCTGCCTCTCCGATGCTCCTTACCGTTCACGAACTGAGTGCTCCTAAAAGAGTTGCAGTCGAAAGGAGTTGTCAACTAATTTCAATCAGTAACTAATTGAAGAAAAAAAAAGCAGCAAGAAAGAAAGATTTGAGAAATATCTCAACACCATGTGAAACGCAAAAAAAAAATACAAAAACTAATACGACTACCTTTAAGAAGTTTCAACCCGCGCATTTGACTTCCGGTTCTGTTTTTGAAAAACATTACGTTGAGATCTTATTTTTCAGTTTTGGAAAAGTTTTTAATTTAATTGTTTCTCATGCTCTGATAAGAAGGACATAAATCTAACCCATCTTTCTCGCTTTGAGGTCATTTAATTGGCGCTAAAAAAAAGTCATCTCTCAAAGTATTACTGAGAAAATGGTTAATTGCGTACTTGGTTTAGTCTCCAAAGGGATATCGATGACTGCAATAAAAAGCCTGCATGGCCTGGGAGTTAACCACAGTGGAAATGAACTTGATAGAAAAAATCGGGGGCTGTATATCTTGAGTAAAGTCAAGATCTTGATTGAGAGAATTAGTAGGTAATACGGACGAATTTTGAGACGCGTGGAAAAGGGTAGCTATCTTGTTCAGAAATGTAAGACGAAACTCGCCGATGGTCACTTACAGGGAAATTTAATTAAAGAAACAGCGTAGGACTTAGAATTGGTCATATGAATATTAAGATAACCCTTCACATTTGAAAGGGATTTGTGAATACATAATTAATCGCAACAAAATTAAACCGGCCTTTTGGAGGGAAAAAAAATAAAGAAAACTTAAAAAAACACAGACAAAAATTGCCAGGATTCTTATCTTTTAAAAAATTCCATTATTACTTTAAAAAATTCACCTATACACAGTTCCCTTAATAAGAGAAGCAATAAAAGTTGTCTTTCAACCATCGCTCGATGGCCAACTCTTCAACGATATTCATATGGGCGGTTACACGCCACGTAATTTTCAGTCAAGCGATTAATAAACCCTTAAATTGTAAAATCCAAATACTGAATACATAGAGTGTATAATATATTAACATCTACGAAAACAATATCAGTGATAACGCTAAACGAAACTCCATGAGTTCAATAAAGTCGTTAGATTCACCTGACCTTAAAAATGTGTGGAACTCTTGAAAATATACATTTCGAACTCCTTCACTTGAGATTATTCTGATAACCGAATCATATTATATTCCAATTTGTACATATAGTGTAAACTTTGTTCTATGTTATAACTCATAAAGTACATGCAAAGATTAAGCGAAGGCTACAGTAAAAGTAACTTTCCAAATTTAGTAATTGACTGTATCTACATTCAAGAGTGAAGTAATCTTACATCAGAAATATTCACCCTAATCTCTTAAGGTGAAATACTCCAATAGGAAATTGAAATCAATAATTACGACAATTTTATCTTTAACCGAAGTAGTGATCTGCGAAAAACTGCACTTGATCTTTCGGTAATCAACTAAGGTAGGAGGTTACAGTAATCAATTATTCATGTTGTTATTTTCATGAAGCAGTGTTACTTTCATTTGCGGATCCGTTGAGAACACTTGAATTCGATCATTTCCCCAGTCACTGACAACGATTTGGTCATCATTCAAAAGAGCGACGCCCATTGGGCGATCGAACTGCCCGGGTGATTTGCCCTTGGAGCCGAACGAATTCAAGCATATACCATCGAATCGGAAGAACTGAACGCGATGATTATCAAAATCGCAAACCACTATTCGGTCAAGTCTGTCCACAGTGATTCCACGGGGACTGTACAGCTCTCCTTTCTTGACTCCGGGCTTTCCAATACTGTACAAGAATTTTCCTTTAGGTCCGAAAACTTTGATAACGTTATTACCGGTATCCGATACGACAAATCGCTTTCGTACATTGCAAAAGGTCACGGCTCTTGGGTGCTTTAATTTGTTCTTCACTATATCTCCAAATTTAAAAAGAAATAGGCCATCAGAGGAGAACACTTGGATTCGATGATTGTTCCAATCAGCGACGATGATTCGACCTTCACCGTCCACGCAGATACCCGACGGGCCATCGAACTGTCCATCGCCACTTCCCTTTCGACCAATTTTTCGAATTAATTTGCCTGTTTTGATGCTGTACACAAGCAAGCGATGATTGTCCCTGTCAGCTACGATGATGCTCTTCTCGGTCATGTCGAACGCGACTCCTACAGGGTAACTAAGCTCGTCTCCTCCAAAGTCCGTTTTGCTCACACCATCTGGACTCAGCAGATGGACGCAGTGTTTCTGAGTGTCGGAGATGGCAATGTCTCCTGTGCTGCTTATGGCTAATCCGTGTGGTTGGGTATAAAGGCCATTTGCACCAGAGACGGAACCAAAAGACTTGCACGGCAGCATGACTGGAGGCTTGATATTAACCTCAAATGGACTCTCCTGTATATGCTGGTCTCCCACTTTAACAGACAAGGAGTAAAGGCCCTCCATCTTTGGAACATATGTGACTTCGTACAATCCGCTCTCCGTGTCTTTGACTTTAGCCTCAATGACGTCTCCGTTGTTAGACGTGGCGTGGACTGTGACGCGGTCTGCTAGACTGTAGCATTCATCGCCGTTTAAATCACGAGTCGTTACCACAAAGCACGATTCTTCCCCAACGAAGGCAGTCCTTAGCCCTTCGCCATCTGCAAAGCAGGAAAGAGGATCAGCTTTGCCAGTGACAATGTTACCGAAAGACGCAGATTCTTGAATGCTAACTAGCGACGGATTGGGAATGTACGCCAAGGCTGCCCCTTCCACTGGTCGCGTGTCGACAATTAAATCGCTTAAAGTCTCCAGTCGGGAGATCACGCGATCTCTCAGCATCATGACCTCCGCTGCGAATTCTCGACCCAGAAGAGAATCAACAAACTCGAGTGAACTTGTAGTTTGACTGCTTAGCCTCTCAAAATTTCGCTTCTGCATCAAAAGTTTTTCTTTCTTTTTCATTCGGATATCTTCTAACAGCTGAATCATTTCTTCGCCATGACTGTTGAGCACTTTCACCAGATTAGCAACTTTAGCATTCACTTCATTCTTCAGCTCGGCCACGCACCTATCGATTTCGTCCATGCGATTTTCCGTGTTGCGAATTCCCGTTTGAATCTCGCGGAATTTACCACGAACGATGGCGGCCTTCTCGCTGATTTCTACACTGCTTCTGTCGGCTATTTCTTGAATGTCGCTTGTGGTATGGTATTCTTCGTCGATGATGTTACAGAGGCCGCACATGTAGCTGTTACATTCCGGGCAATAAAACTCGATGCCCTCCAAATCTTTTCTTTCGTGTTCACAATAAATCGGTCGCCTGTAGAACCTTTCGAAGTCAGCGCTGCGGAACTCGCGCAGCTTCCGTTCCCGATGCTTCTTTTTCATAGTCATCTGCGTATGCGCTTTAGTACAGGCTGAGCAAAGATACGCATCACAGTCGAAACAGAACGTTTCTAGAAAGGTTACTTCATTACAGTTGTGACACTCGCCGGGTTGATCTTTCAACTTCTTAAGCGTGTTGAGGTCTAGGAGCCTATTGAGATGAAAATCCGATGGCGACTCTAATATTTCAAACTCTTGGCTTTCAACCGGTGCGGTCTCTTCGGTTTCGCAGACTGGACATCGGAAAGAACGTTTGGACGAATGCTGGCTCCACAATTGCTCCAAGCATTTGCGGCAAAAGCTGTGCAAACAAGGCGACAATCGAGGATCATTGAACGCGTCGGAACACTGAGGACAGGTTATTGAAGTCTTCAGGTTTTTGAGAATGCTTTCCATTGTATTGTTGTGCACAGGACCATTTAAGTCTGTCATATTTATCAATCACTTGTAGCTTAGGAACAAGAAGAGCTGCCGAACAGTCCTACAAAGCCGACAGAAACGTCCGTTGAGATCAAAAGGTGTAAATGGTCAACAACAATCACGTTGCGATCACAGGAAGCTTAAGAATTACGACAGCGTGTTCTCCGAAGTCCCGATATCTCGATATCTCGATATCACGACAAGCTATATAAATAGATACGTTATGGATCACGAACTACCAACCAACTTCGTCCCTTTTTCACGAAACAGACGATTTGCAGTCCAACCGGACATCAATGCACAAATCAACACAAAAAATAGCACAAATAGTCAACATAGCAGGCGGTTAAATATTATCTGATAGTTTATGTGTGGTATGAGGGTGCCTTTAAGCTGGATCACGGGTGAGTAATCACGCGCTTTTCGAGCCAATTTTTAAAATCGTTTGCATATGTAAATCTTCGGAAGATTAGCACCCACGCTAAGCAATTATATCGTGTGACGCAATGGTAAAAGCATTTGAACAACTTACTAATTTGAACTCTATCGCTGCCGATTCGTTAAGTCTTTTTTGACAGCATTCGGCTCGACATCTCGACGATTTGAATACCTTCCTGTCCGCGGCTGTGCTTTCATGTTTTTTTCTACTGTATTTTATATCTCTTTGCTAAATCAAGAGCGCCAGATGTGCATTAATTTTCACGCCCATATCATCCGATCGTCACCCGTATATCGGACTGTTTGCCTCGTGGAAATGAAAAAAATGAGTGGAATCGCTTTTTAGGACTTAGGTACCGAATATAAGCATCTCAGGAAGAAGTGCTCAAATCGAGTACTACTGGAATGAGTGAAAGGACCAACTTATTTCCGTATTCTCCTATTTCTGTAGAAAGGCTGCAATCGGTTGTTGGTATATCATTTCAACACTTCAAAAATTACATTTACACTCTTTACGTAAACGATCATTACAACGTAAAACTAAATAAAAACTCATGGGGAGGTACAATTAGAGATATATTGCCACTTAACCGAAAACAGTCATGAAATATATCCGCTTGTCAACGTGCATGTAGGATGCTCTTTTTCAATCCATTATGCAATAACTTTGAAGCCATGAAATTTATCCTGTTATATTTCCGCGGAAAAAAAAAGATGTTCATCAATTTATTCGCGTGATAGACTCACATTTCGTGAAAGAGGGTTTGCTAATGAGCCAAGAAATCCAATATCTAAACAAATCCTAAAATGATATCGGCTGGTAGAGGCTATAAAACTGAGACAATAATGCTATAATGGGGTGTTAATTCGTCTGTTTGTCACTTGTTATCATACATGCACAGTTTACCCTGAAACAGCTGTACATACGCGCATGTTTTAGAGTATGTTTAAAAATTATTCTCAACTAGAGCTAAAAATATACAATTAATAAGCTTCATACGTATCTTAGTTTATTTTAAACAAATACATGAACAGCAGTAGCAGAAATGCGTGATCATAAGGTCGACAACCAATCTGAAACAAATGAGAACACGTCCATGAATTAATTTTATAACATGGTTAGATGCAAAACATACAATATCAGTCACGATAAGGAGGAGCCATCCTTATCTTATAGAAAGTTTATCCCTTCCCCTGCAAGACAAACTTTCCGTTCAGGAATACCTCAGATCAAGTCTTTCACTGCTAAAATTTTTAGGTCAATATGGCTAGATATTATTCCAGGCCTTATTTCCGTATCTCTCTCTCACTGTCTTTATTTTTATCTAACTATTGATATACTTTTTTCACTATGTTTTAGACGGTTTTTCATGGTACGAAACTGCTTTCATAGACCGACTGAGCAACACTTCAGGTGCAGCTAAATATAACTGTCTCCTCACCTAAAACAGTCATAAAATATTTTCTGATATCAATGTGTGCAACACATTTGATAAGCGAATTTTTTTAAGTTTTAGTTATCGCTTTCAATTCTAATCAGTTTTCATCGCGTCGAGGAAATGAATGCTCGTGTATCAGCTAATGCCTTTTAGAGCGCTGATTTTTGTTAAAAAGAAGGTTGGCAACAAATTTGTACAAAATGAGGTATATATACAAACACTTCGATTGATATTACGGAAAAATAAACAAACTTTGTTTTTTCTCAGATCATTCCGTAAATGGGTCTTGATTAATACCTGTGACGTCAATGGAATTTCGACTGTTTGTTACTTGTCATGAAACTAATTCGCCGTTAATCATTTCTACATGAGTAAAGTCTATTTAAAGAAACTCCTATCAAAGCAAGTGGGATGGCCGTGTTTGTTAATTTACGACGAAACGAACTCTGCCCTCACTAGGGAGCCGCTTCCGGACATGATAAACGTCGCCACTTTGTTTACGTGCGCGCGCCACTCGCTCGCAGCAAGGAAGCACTTACAGTGAAATTAGTGTAAGACTGCTTATTGGCAAAAAATCTGTGTTCTTTAAAAATGAATGTCACATCGATCCAACTGAAAACAGCTCCAGATCCTTCGATCACCATAGGCAAATACGGGTGCGCATATACGAGAGTTCACAGTCTTGGATGGCTTGGTGCAAGGAGGCCTAACCAGTTAGTGATGTTGTCATGTCACTATTTGTGCTAGACTCCCCTGTCCTCTGCTTCTTTTACCAACAGTAATACCATCTTGATCTTTCAAGAGAGGATACACTTTATCCTCCCTTGGATCCTTGGATTAGTTAAGGGTTTTTCTTGTTTGAAATCTCCGAATGAAGAGCAGCACCTTTTTTATATATGCAGGAATGCTCGGCACTAAGGGGAATAGAGGCGGGCCTTTTAAGGCCCGAAGTAGTAAGGTAAGCTAGACTAAGGCATTTATTTAAGCCCGGAGTTGAGTACTATGGCTATACTCCGAGGAACCGGGATCCGGAACAGATTGAGATGATTTTTTCATTCATTTATTTATCATTATACACCTATACAATAGGATGGGCATAACGCTTATTTTGATCTAGGCTCGAGTAACGGTACCCGCACTCCTCTTTTATTTTCTTAGCCTGAGATTAGGTCCTTATCATATGCGCTTCGGCAGGATTGTTTTTTCGCTCGCGAGAAAATTTGAGACCGTAGGGCAACGGTCTCTAAGGGGTTTAGCACTGATAATTCGTTAGTGCTAAATCCATTGCCAACCTCTCCCTTACTCGTCTCAAATCTTTCCACGGGAGGAGAAACGCGCCTCCTGCGGCGCTATCAAAAAGATCCCTTTCTAAACAGACTCTAAAGATGATTTGTGGCTTTTGCAAAGTCTGTTACGAGTTGTTACACGTACACAATGCAAGGAACGCCATTTTTCGCAATTTCGCTCTCTTCGGAGTGGAAGGTCTTCAAATGAACGGAAACATTTCGGTTTATGTACTTTCGTGTGGACGGACCCGCTGCTTTTTTCTGTACTAAATTTCCTCTCCTCTGGGCCAATAAAGAAATCTTTTTATGTATACAATTCAATTAGGATAATATGCATGCTTCCGATATTCCGTTACGATTCTTCTAAAGTCAATGAAAACACAATCGTTTTGGACCCTATTTAGCCATACCTGCGCGGAAGAGGGGATCGACTGTTTCTCCCTCGCCAAGAGGAAAAGATAGCACAATAAAGCCGTTGCTCTTGCCGGATATTAAACTTGAGCGATACCAAGCATTGTTTTGACAGTTTTCTCTCCGGTCAGTTCACATCACTGTTGCTCCCTTTCAGATAAAACTCAATAAATAGCTAAACCAGCTTGAAAACTCTTCATAGGTCATTTAAAATAAGTATTGGATCCGCTAGTCACGCCATTGCGTGACACTTTTATGCCAACACTTCCAGCCAATAAAAATTAACCTTGAAGAACAGCTCCACCGATACGTAGAGACGATTAGTGCATTCTGTCAAGCGTAAATTTTACTGGCGTCTTGCTTTGGGAAAATGTTACACGTATCGTTTTTTAACGCGACATAACAAATCGAATCGATATGTCCGACTGTTTCCTGAATAACTTGTGGCTGAATAAATTGAGACATATTTTTCTCAGTGATACGGATGTTATTGGAGATAACAATAATATATTTAAAAAATACGAACTGTTATATTTGCATACTTTCCCTGTTGTTATAGTTTTATGGATATTTGAATTTTAGCAAAAGCACAACTCACGTTGTATAAAGTTCACTTTCTTTGTATGTATCATGTCAGTTATTAGCGAGAGAATACACTGTGTCACCCTACCATTAACTAGAAACAGAGTTGTTCTAGATAAGCAACCAACAAAGGCCACTTGAACATGTGGCAGGCGTCTCGTGTAATCATACTAAAAAAGATCGAGTAGACCAAACGTTTCATCAATGGATTAAATTCGGATTCGAACGATTCTCCAAAACTAAAGCAGTTTTTTGGCTTAAAACCGTGACCTGAGAGAACATGCGAAACTCCACGTGTTTTTTAATAGAAAAGATATAGTGAAATAGCATGCTAATCAATATTCAGACGTTGTGCCTTATCATTGATGTGGACATTGTTTTGTGAGGGAAAACAATAAGATTTCATTAGTTATGACAGTTCTTGGCGTGGGAGTATGCAATGTTTTTGAGAGGTTGATATATGGCGCGAACTTTACTCCTCAATGTTGGACTTTCATTCTCCATTGACGTTCTGGTGCATTCGTGCACGAGTAGAGTGAGATTAAAAAGAAACAGCTTCTCAATCAGAAGGCAAAAAGGAAACCTCAGGTTTTCCTTGTTTATGACAATAGCAGGTCAAGACAAAAGCAAATATACGACGAAAAGGTGTCTCAGTTGAATAAACAAGAAAAGATATATTTGCTTTCACTAACGTGTCAAACGATCTCATCTTAAAACGAAAGCCTTACTGTTTTGAGTGAGCAAATACCGTACATCTTAAGAACATCTTAAACATTCGATGGAGGTTTAGCAGGCGTTGATTGTGTAAACCCGATTATCGTTTCATAAACGTCTCCGACAGGCTCAGCGGTAAATATTTGTCATAACCAGCGGTATCTGTCTGTTTGATCTTAATTAGCAATTCTGTTTGCGTGGCGTGAAGACAGTTCGCTCGAGTAGGTAGACTTCGACACGGTGTTGTCAAAGAAAGACACAAAATGGAAATCAAAGAAGTAATGGAAACTCTAGAGGAGCTTGTAACGTGTTATCTTTGCTCAAATGTCATAAGGAATCCTAAAATTACGCCTTGTCTCCACACTTTTTGTTGTGAGTGTCTCAAAGATGTTGCTAGAAGTCGGCCATACCAGACCACAATCGCGTGCCCACTTTGCCAGTATGATATCCGCAAACCGGAGGGAAACAAGTTCGAGTCGCTTCCGACAAATTTTTACATTAAGCGTCTTCTTGACCTGCTCATCGCTAAAAGACGCAGTTATCCTGAAGCATCCTGCGGCAACTGCCAGAAGAAGTTGACACTCAGCGCCTTCTGTTTCGCGTGTGACACATTTATGTGCGATGAATGCCTCAATGCACATAACGTTATTACGCGAAGTACTGGCCATCGAACCGTGAACTTGGGAAAATTCAAGCCGCGAGACTACGAAGACATGCTACGGCGTCCGATGCTGTGCGCCCATAAGTTCAAAGAGAAAGGAGTTGTGGAGTATTTTTGTTATGATTGTGACGCTTCTGTATGTCACATATGCAATATCGCCATTCAACACACGCATCGTATTGTTGACCTTCACGAGGCCGCCAGCGAGCAGAAGCTGAAGTTTCGAGAAATGAGTACTAAACTTAAGGAGAAGATACGATTGGTGGAACTTGGTGTACATAATGTTGAACACCGCTCGATGGAGGTACAGGAGCAAGTTGATTACTTGAAGAAGGACGTGACAGAGAAAATGGATGAACTTGTGTCCATTATACGTGCCCACCAGGAGGAAATGATTCAGACACTGGAAAGTATTCGTAAGGACAAATTGGAAAACTTAACGTTCCAGCTGAAACTTTTCGAGTCAATGATGTCACAGACCGAAGGTTCTTTCAACTTCATCGAAGATTTGCTTCAGAGGAATATCAGCGAGGAAATTATGTACATCAAGAATCACTTAAAGTCACGCGTGGAGGAAATCACGAGTCTCGAAGTGGGTACCAATCCAGCAGAAAATGAACACATTGGCTACGTACCCAACACGGAAATGTTCGAAGGGCTCCAAAACTCAAAGCTGGGCAAAGTTGTTACTAGTCTCACGGAACCTTCCTTGTCCACTGCTGAAGGAGACGGCGTGGATGAAGTGTCAGCAGGAGAGGAAGCAGAGTTTATAGTGACAACCAGAAATGCACAGGGTGAAGTCAGCTATAGCGAAATCGACCACGTGGTAGTGGAAGTGAAGTCGTCGATGTGGGGCCTCATAGAAAGCAGAGTTCGAAATTATCGAAATGGCACCTACGATGTCAGCTACATACCACGTGTTCCGGGACCTCATCGTGTGCAAATCGAGGTCGGTGGCCATCTCATCCAGGATAGCCCCTTCATGATAGAAGTCAAGCCGCCCATACTAAGCCCGTTAAAGTCCTTTGGATCTCATGGAAACGTCGATGGAAAATTTACTCAACCACACGGAGTAGCTGTTTCAAACACCGGGCAGATTATCGTCTCTGACAGTTTGAAGCATCGGATCCACGTATTTACACCGGACGGCGGGCAGATCCTTGAGTTCGGCAGTGAAGGAACAAAAGATGGCAAGTTGTTCCACCCGATGTCAATAGCGCTCGACAAGAGTCAAAAGTACGTGTTAGTGGCAGACAGTGACAACAACAGAGTGCAGTATTTTGACTTGAAGACTGGAAAGTTTGTGAAAAAGTTCGGTTCCGAGGGAAGTGGCCATGGGCAGTTCAACGGCCCTTGCGGCATATCAGTTGATCAGAAGGACCGTGTCATCGTCACTGATTGGAACAATCACCGAGTGCAAGTGTTTAGCTCCGACGGCAAATTCCTCTTCAAATTTGGGGACGCCGGCAACGACAGACTAATTCATCCCAGATTTGCCATGTACCATGACAAGGAGGAACGCTTCGTAGTCGCTGATACTGGTAACGATGTAGTTAAAGTTTACGACCAAAATGGCGATCTTTTAAGAATTATAGGTAGGCATGGCCACAAGAAAGGGGAATTTTGTGGTCCCCGTGGCCTTGCCATTGATAAAAATCAAAACATAATTGTATGCGATTTCGAAAACCATCGTCTACAACTTTTCAATATCAAGGGGGTCGTTCTCAATAGTTTTGGCACGAACGGGAAGGGGATCGGTCAGTTTGCTTTTCCATTAAGTGTTTCAGTGGTTGGCGGATCGCGGGTTGTTGTGAGTGACTGGGGTAACAATCGCATACAAATATTCAAATATAGAGATTCCACGAACTAAAAGTGATAGTCTAGTCACTGCATTCAAGGTTCTGGATCCTCGTGTTGTAGGAAATTGCGATATTTTCAATTCATTCTAAATTTGTATTCGATCTGAACTTAAGAATTACAAAAGCAGGAAGTGCAGTTGAAGCTTTACGACGTATGATAAACAGCAATGATTGCTTTGCAACAATGAACGATCTCTGATCGGCTTGTCAAATTGGCACGAATTTCATCTTTTTTAATCCGAGTTTGGGTGTTAATGTTTTTTGGCAGTTTTCGTCCTGAGATTTTTCTGCGGCTTTTAGCCCTTCGATATTTAAATAACCTACATTCGAGAATATATCATAAAATGATAAAGCTTATCAATTGGTTTGAGGGTTGAAATGTTTTAGGCGCTATTATGACATGTAAATATATTATCTCGGAAATTGGGCGGTAACTGGTAATGGTGTAAAATTAGATACTACAATTATAGTAATAGATTAATCACTCTCCTCTGCCGGGATTAGTTTTACATCTCTGATCCATTTTGTCTAGACTGAATTAAACAAGCTGCGAGGGCTTAACATTTTAAGGCAATTAAGTTATTCAGCCTCATTGATATATAACACCAAGTCTTAACACTTTCACTTCCGGAAGAGCCAAAAATACAATTTCTCCGCGCAACATCAATGTATTTTCGAGAAAAAATATTAGCTAAGAAACGTTTCCTGATTAAACACTATATTCTCATAACTCAGTTATAAGAAATGTTTGGCAGGGAATTAACCCTTTGTACCCTTACATCAGTATCCAAATTCTCCATACTCGTCTCCACACATTTTCTTTAGCACGGACGAGGAGAATTTGTTTAACAATTAAAGCTTCTTAGGGTTGGCGATCATTTCCTTTCTTATAATGACATTAATGAATGATTCAGCAGTATTACTGTAAGGAGAAATTAGATCCTGGTCACTCTTAGGGTTTAAAGGGGTAAGGGTTACATATTGGGGGTAAAAGCAATTTTTTTTGCCATTTTTCGAGGCGAGCAAACTACCTTTCATCAAGGAGAACGGCTGAAAATATTCGTTTGCAAAGACAGGGTTTACACAGCGAAAGGTAATGATAAACTTAAAAATTAACAAACATGACCGTGGGTAGAGAAGATTAGAACGAACTTTAAAATTTGGACTCTTTTAGAAAACAAGAAACCTTGATTAACCCTGTTATGATCTTTACCAATGACTTCATATTAGAAGCATCTATTTCATAGTGTTTTTCAAGGTTTTTTTTTTTATCAACATTCCTCATTATTTTTCCGACGTAACAGAAACAAGGGTGGTATCGCAGGGCACCAGTAGTGCATCCCCCCACCCCTCGACTTTTTACTCCTTTCTCTTCTCTGCCTAATCGAAAGGAAAGGGGACTGCACAGGGCAACCATCGTGGAATGGTGAAAGGTAAAGCTGTGAAACCTGCCATTCAATTTTCCTTTGTACTGAAGTGTTTATCAAGTCGGAGGAACATTAATGTTGTAGAAAATGTTTTTTTCAAAATCACCACATAGATGTACTTTAAAATTTTAGAGTAAATGGGATGCCAATAAAAAAAAGTGTATAATTGAGTGATTTTGTTGTTGTTGTTTTTTTTTTGGTTTTTTTTGGTTTTTTTTGGTTTTTAATTTAGTACTTTAGTACCTAGTAGGTACTAAATTAGTTTGAATACCAGCGAAAGGTCCACATCTTTGAACTAACTTGAAATCTGTTTTATATTCATTGATTGTAAGCCTCCCTTTTTAGACTCACTTCAGTCGGAATGATATCAGCAGCACCTCAAAGACCACATACACCTCTTGGTAATGCTAAAGGGAATCTATCTGTATGTACGCTCTCATGGTGTCAAGCTCACCTTTGATGATTTTCCGTTCCCCTCCTCCCCCCTCCCCCCCCTTTCTCTGGAAGTTCCCTATTTAAAGTCAGTTGCAATCGTTAAAGATGAGTCGAATAACTTTTTTTGTGAAGTTCGTCAACTCTGCAAAGAAGGGAACTTCATTGTCTTTTTTCTCCTGATATGGATCCTTCAAAGAATCTAGGAAAACAGCTGCAGGCCAACACCTCTGACCTTTTAACTCTCGTGAGTGACCAAGACACAATTAATATCAATACAACATCGCGTTAAAATTTAGGTACATCATCCCTTACAAGATAGCGGCGAAAAAATATCGGAGAAAACAACCGTTGTCATTTTAATTTATTGTAACTATTATATTTGTCGCATTAATACACCGCGAGCATGTTTCCTCTAGGAAAACAGAGGACAACCATGCAACTAAAAATGAACTAACGCGGAAAATCTTATCTAATTAAAGGGCTATTTCCTCGAGGTATCAACATACTAAAGTTGTGCTCTCTTTGTGCTCATAAAACGTGAAGTAAAAAAAAACAAAAATTGTTATTTACTTTCTAAAATAGACCTGCTGTTTTGGGAGTCTGGTTACACTTTTAGTTGGCTCTTTTGCCAAAAAATTATTATGGATAAGATGCATAAAAAAGGTTATACTGATTTCCTCCGAGGAAACCCACTTCAAAACTGTTGGGTCTAAAATGATAAAATTACTGTAGATATTCGGATAAAATGCAAAGAAATGAACTCAGATTGACACGATGCAATAGCGATGTAAGGGAAAATAAAAGAAAACCTGAAAAGTGAAGTAAAATTCAAGCAGAATAAAAAAATGATGGCGGAAGGCCAGAGTTTATCTTCTCTCAGAGATGAAAAGTTTAAAAAAGTACAGAAGAAAGAGATGCTCTCTTTCTGCATGATGTTAAGTGCACCATTCAAATTAAACATACTTACTAGAGCATTGGGCAAACAATTTCGTTCATTAAGTATACGTTCTTCATTCGAATGTTCACCAAATTACTTTGTATCATTGTACATAGCATATTCCTTTTCGGGTCCTTCCAGTTCTTAGTGTTGTTCCATTGACCCTGGTGGAAGAGAACCTGGGCTCATCATATATGCACCATTAACAGCTGCCATCTCCATCCCTGAGATTTTTCGGGAAATTGACTGCTCTCTGTCGACTCGTTGTTTTGCAATTCTAAAATGAGAAAAACAGAGTTAGTGTCAATGCAAAAAAAAAAAAAAAATGTGGCCAAACATATTTAAGGGTGTGTCGACCTGAAGCATTTAAAGTAATAAACAATTCAGTTTTACTTTACCTGACGCTGTCATTGGTGAAGAAAAAGAAAAAGAAAATAAATAAAAACCATCCCGTTTGGGAACACTTGAAACAAATACCTCTGGGACTCAGCCCGAATTCGAATTCACTTCTGCCAATTTTTTTCTTTCATAATTTCTATCTCGCTGGGGCTGAGATTTCACACACCTAATGATATGCGACACATGCACGTCATAGATGGCGAAGATAACACATGCGTGGTAAATAACACGTGCCACATGGCGTAAACTCCATATTAAATGTTTCTTGGAAAATAAACTTTAAATGTGCTGCTCCTCAATACAATAATCCCCCTTCCCTACCTCCCCACCTGCACGGTGTTTGACCACAAATACTATGGCTCATTTCTGTCCAGGGTAGGAAGGGGTCGATGTAAAGGAATTCTGGACAAAATTGGTGTATTACTCTCGGGGATTGCGATCTTGCTTGATGGCCATGCTTCAACTATCTTTCTTATGGATTTTTCATTTACTAGTAGTCTTACTAGTAGACTTCTTCACCAGTAGTCTTCTTTAAAAATTTCACCAATAGATGGAGAAATGTTGGTAGAGTATAGGAGAACATTGATCACAGTAAGCAGAAGTTAGCACAGCAGTTTTTTTGCCCTATTAATTTGACTTCCTCTAAATTACCCTCTACTACCAGAAGATCGCGTCAAACAAGATGTGTATTGACATACCCGTTCTTCTTTATCTTCTTACAGTACCAAGCGGTGGCAATGATGACAAGAATAAGGAGCAAAGTAGCAGCAACACATCCACCAATGATGGCATGCATTTTGGATCTATCTTTTTCTGTCGGGGTAGCTGTGGTCATAGGAGTCGTTACCGTCGTTGTATCGGCAAAAAGGATTTGTACACTCGATATATTGGCATTTATGGAGCTCGAGAGTTCAACCAGTGACCCTTGAACGATGTTGGCCAGGACGTCTTTCTTTATTACGGGGACTGACGATCCAGGAGGAAATTGTACATAAAACGCAAGGCTTGCTAAGAGAGGTACTACAGATATTTGCTTTGGGTAACCGGGCAGAAAATGAACTTGGTTCTCGGTAAATGTGACGTAGCTCGCTGCTCTCTGGCGCCTTGAGCTGAAAAAAAGATGCAAAAGAAGTGCATGGGTGGATTTATATAATTGTTTCTTCTTCGATCTGAAATATGATGAAGTTTGAATTAAGTTTTTGGATCGAAAACCTTCAGACGCCGGTGTTGCTATATGACAGATGCCCTGCATACAGCTACAGCGTTGACGCCCTGGGCCAAAGAAATGACCTTGCTCTTAAATCTTTTGTTAATGCAGAACTATCGGTTCGATAGTCTGTCAGTCAGCTACGATTTATAAGCCTTCCGATCTCTACCTATGTCAAATTTGTAACCTGTTAAGCAGGCGATAGTTCGCAGTGATAGGCAGTCGGCTGATCTGAGTTTTATACGATGAATATTCCGTCAGTCAGACGGTCCATCAGTCAGGCGATCGGCAAGTCTGTCAGTCGGTCTGTTCAGTCAGTCAGTTCAGTCGGTCAGTCAGCCGGTCGATCAGTCAGTCGGTCGCTCAGTCGGTCTGTCATTTGACCACTTAGTCGGTTGGTCGGTCAGTCAGTCAGTCAGTCAGTCAGTCAGTTATTTAGTCGTTTGGTGCACCGTGATTAATTTGCCCAAAGTATTGACCCGGTAGGCAATATCTTATTCAGTTAGTGTGCCACGGTCGGTATGTCAGTCGATCGGCCATATTGTAGATAGACAGATTAAATCTCTACCTCGTTTTCTTATCTGTACAATCGTCCTTTGTCGCGCAATGTTTGGTTGCTGCTTCTGCTAGGGTAGTTTTGAACTTCTCTTCAACTTCAGCGTTCCACTAAGAAAAATAATTATTCAGTATATCGGTTGTGATTATTGAAAATGTCTCCTTTCTTAAAGGATAATCTGCCATACTGATGGTTCACGTGTCTCCCAAATTTTCAGAATGGCAAAAAAACAGTCGAAGACGCAAAGTCACTGTCATCTTGCTACAATCTTGCTACAATGTAGCGAGAAGGACTGTAAGCAGCCAGTGCAGTTTTTCACATGCAAGTATTCTCTGTTTCTTACCATCGAGATATTGAAGGCCACCTCTACGTTGACCGATTCACTCTTCTCCTCATCTGATGGTGCCCTTGGGGTTGAGGCGGGAAGGGGTGGAGGAGGAGCCTCGCCCTTTTCTAGCCCTAGAGAAGATGAAGAAATGTTATCAACCTCAAAACAGATTCACCTATTATCGCAACACAAATCATAACAGTCGAAGAAGAAAATGTGCGTGAAATTACGTATCTCTTACTGGCTTAGTGGTGTATTTTCGCGCTCAAGTATTCACGAACCTATGAGTATTTGATCGAGACTTTTAAAAATAGATATCAAACATACTAATTAAAAAGAATCCACCCTTAATTACAATCGGCAGATATAGCAGTCTAAAAGAAGCCCACCAGCCATCCCTATCACGAGATAAAAAGCCTAACTTATCATATGGTGGTATCCCATGATTTTGCTCTAGGAATTATTTAGCAGAATCAAACAGATTCGCTCACTTGTTTTCATCTGCTAAAGTCCTAGAAACTTGCAGAGTATGCTAACTAACTCACAGACAACCACTTGCACCTATAATTAGTTTCAGCAGTAATGACCGAAATTAAAAGCTCGATACGTCTCCCAGCAAGTAGTTCAGGAATTTCATTTGGGCAAATAAGCAAAATAATCAATTGGACAATAAGTCACCTTTGCACATGTTATCTATCCAATAAAGTCCTTCATCACAGACGCACTTGTAGGAACCAGGCGTGTTTTCACACTTCTGCGAGGGATCGCAATTAAATGTAAACTCCATACATTCGTCGATATCTGAGGTAGAAATAAAAAGAATTAAACGCAACACAGTTTGCCATTGTGACGTAAACCTCATTCTACCAAACGGAATACCTCAAATAGTAAATAAAGATGTGCCTCCTTCTTAAATAGATCGTTATATCCAAAATTTGTTAAACGGATCGTTCTTGAGAGATAATTAATTAATAAACTGTAGCTATTACCATTGCAAGCGTAACCATCGCTGTCAAGTTTAAACCCAGCCACACAGGAGCATTCATAGCTTCCAACTGTGTTTTTACAAGACTGACTACAACGGTTGTTGTCTCTTGAAGAGCACTCATCCACATCTAAAAAAAACAAAAAATACGGGTATAAAAAAGCAATGCATTTAAGTCACTTTGCGATATTGAGAATATCTCTTTAAAAAGCTACTAACAGATACATTCCAATGTAGATAATACAAGTCAAAAAGGACTGAAGAAAGAACAAAGAATTTGATAAATTCCCTTAATCTGTCTCTCTTGGAGTGATATCTACTCATGGTACAGCACCAATTTTTTTTTAAGAGGAGCATTTAGGATTTATTTTGAGGATTCATCTATGTGTGATCAAAAGTGTTCTTTTAAAAGGTAATTTCGTAAGATTTCTCAACCTCATCAGTAAAAGAAGAAAATAAAAAACGAGGGAAAGAAGGAAGAGCGAGAGAAGACTGATGGGCAAGAGATGGCTGGCTGCAGGAGTTTTGCATTGTTTTAATCTGGTTTTCTAAGGTGGTATGATGCGTGTGTGTGTGTTTGTGTGGTATGGTCTTAACAACAGAGACTCAAAAATGCCTAACAAATAAGTTAAAATCAACAGAAAAATGATCGATGTCGATTCATCAACACTGATTAAAGCTCAGGTATTCATGACACACCTGAGCAGGTTTTTCCATCCTCATTCAACTCGTACCCTGGATTGCATGAACACTTGTCTTGGCCGTTGGACTGGAAGCAGACATGCTGGCAGCCGTGATTTCCTTCACAAGGATTCACAGCTGTGTCATGAATGCAGAGTGTTAGTATAACTTGTTAAGCAGTAACGATTTCAATAAAATAATAATCACTAATGCAGGGACAAAAACGTTACTTATTCAGAGTAGTTTCAGAAAAATTTTTGGAAATATGAAGCAGGTTTTTTTTATATTGTGGGCGTCAAGAACTCCCTAAGAAGTATCAAAAACAATATTTGAAAGAAACACCATTTTCCAGAGGGTTTTGAAATACATTCACATGCCTTTCGCGAAAAAAATTTCACATGCATGTGAAATTTTCATGTAAAACAAGAGTGAAGACCGTACAAAGACTGTGCTTGGATTTTACCTTGAGAGCTCAACTGCAGAAAGATATGCATTTTGTCTTAAAAAAAATTTAGATTTCAGCAACTTAGAGATGAAATGGAGGCTAATAGAATAATTAAAAAGCCAGCATATCTCATAATCAAACATCTTCACAGGAAATACAACGGAACTTATCAGAAAAGTGACACTGAATTACTCACGTATGCATTTCTTTGAATCATCCGGGTCCACCTTGAAGTCTACATTGCATTTGCAGTTATAACTTCCCAGAGTATTTTCACAAATGTGCATGCAATCACCGACTGGAGAACACTCATTAATATCTAAAGATAAAGATACAAACGGCATCAAACAATGATTGTTGGCAAATACGAACAAGAAACTGGCCCCAAACCCTTTTAAAATGAAATAATTGGTCTAATGTCGAAACACCAAAGTTAACTACCAATGGACTTTATACACGAGTAATGCCACAGCAACACTTTAAATATCCGTGGTAAAACTTAATTTAGTACAAGAAGGGTGAAAAAAGTCAATATCCTGCTAACCCTTTAGGTCGAAATAAGAATTTACTTCGATGAAAATCGAAAATGGTTCAGGCTCTTCAACCACGAAGAATATAATCAGATATGCTTTTTTCTAAGATAAGAAAACAAAGCCTCTTTTCGTTTTATTTTGGATTACCTGCGCATGTCTTTTTGTCTATTCCGAGAGAGTATCCCGCTTTGCACTCGCATACAAATGATCCAGGGGTGTTGATACAGGTGTCACTGCAGCCATCAGTGTTCTTGGCACATTCGTCCACGTCTGAAAATACAAAAGAGGGCTTAATTACTTAATTAGAACTATAACAAAATTCTCGAACGTGGTTGATTATCACCAGCCGAAGTTGAGCGCTAATTGGACAGTGTACACGTCATGGCTTTGAAGTTGGACAGCACACTTCACGTGCGCACGCTGTCATCACACATCTAACTGTTATCACCGGTAGTTAGTTTGTTTTTCTACTTTTGATAAATTGGTGACAGGACTTTGTGTAGTCCAATTCTGTCTGTTGTTATACTCGTATGGTTAGAGACCTAATTGGACTACAATCAGTCTCATTAGTGATACTTGTCATCCGCTTTCTAAGATTAAGCATAACTAACTAACTTTTCTTATTTTCTAACTAATTTTGCTTGTAGAAATATGGAATTTCTTTTTAAACAAAGAGCAACCGTTACCTGAACATTCTAGTCCATCACCAGAATACCCATTTGGGCAGGGATCACACTTGAATCCAGTTTTATTTGCAGGCGCTGGCAGATCGTTACAAGTCACACCCGGGTAACAAGGCTGGAAATTTTCTTCGCAAGCATCGAGGTCTGCATCACAGAGAGTTCCAGCATATCCATTCTGACAAGTGCATGACAAAATACTAAATTTGTTCTCACTGCTGTCAGCACTATTTTCGGCATCGTCTTCCTCCACGGGTGTGCAAACCCCTTGGTTTTGGCATGCGCAGACGTTGATAGCTGGTTGTAAAACTGTACTAGTTGTTGCATCAGCCACTATGAATTGTATGTCAATCTGCCAGAAGGAGTGATATATTCTCAAACGAAGGTAATCTATTAAACTCACATGATATGCTGCCAGGTCCAACAGTGAATGGAAGGCGATAAATTAGGAACCAGGGATAGGCCTATTGTTGCTACTATATCATTTATCTTCCTCTCTTTCCTCCTCCTTATCAGTTAATACTCATTTCACTCAACCAGCTACTTCCCTTTGGTCCTGCTTTTCTCCATTCACTTCAACCTAAGCCCTTATCTCTGTGTTTACCGGCTCCTTCTCTTTGCTACTACCTCGTCCCAAGTCCTATCAGTACTCATTCTCAAGTCACACAACCACTTATCATAGCACAAAACGTTTTCTGGCAAATTCAAACTAGGTACCTTATCAGTGGTCACTTCCCATACAAGTGACATTGAGGAATCGGTGGTTGACGTTGTATGCCCCTTTGGAAGAGTCCCACTAACAGAGAAAGTCATCGTGTCATTGTTGGGATCCTGTGCCACAATCGTTACATTTGTTGTAGTGTTGACTGTAATGTTAAGCTCAGTTGGCCCTACCAAAATTTTTGGCGGGAAATTTTCTAAAGGATGAAAGAAAAAAATCATTTATTAGCATAAATTTGTAAGATTCCTATTAAGAAATGGTGCTTCACCCTCGTCATCTATGGCATGACAGAAATCTTGAGTTTATAATGTAATTGTTCAACAGACTGAAAGAAAACGAATCATGATGATTAATCAAAGGCGACTGTGGACGAATTTAACCCCAAAACAAATTAAAGCAATTGGATTAAAGTTTTTATATCAAGGCCTTAAATCATTATTGTCATTACGTCTACAGACAGCTAAAACCTATTTTCGATCGACTATTCTTCCAAAACTGCACTGTTTTCATAAATGCTTCACCTTTTCATAAATTTACAAGAGGAAAGGAAGCTTTTGTGAAAACACGATGACTGGCTTTTTATTTAAAGCCGAATCGCTGAACGCTTATTTGTAGATTCGTGGCAATTTTCTGAGGGTGCTCCGCCTGACTAACGTCTACAACGTTTATAAATGGCTAGGAATTAATGTAGCTTTGTTTACTTACGTAAGTCTTGAGATTCACTTTCCAACTGCACTGCAACTTGCTTGGTGCTAGCTCCTACGGCAACGTCTCCTGTAGATGCTATGTCAAACAAACAGTTGGCATCCCCGCCACATACAGCCTCGGCTTGCAGTTTCAGTTCGTCACTTGCAAATTGTATGGGCTCATCCAGAAAAATTGGAACAAATGATTCATTGACGAAAGAGCTCGTATTTTCCCCAGGTTTATAGGTGAAAAGGCTCGTGTTTGACGATACTTGCCCTGTAATATAGCGTCAAATACAGCTTATAGAATATGACAACTAAATAAGCTAAATATCGTGACTGTCTAAAAAACCTACGATAAACTTCAGAGTACAAATGCCCAGCTCTCCGTTTTTTTTGTTCAGATTTTTTCCCGCAAATTATCACGAATATAGTTGACGTGACTCAATGGCTTTGCAAGCAAAAAGTGATGTCTCCCTCGTACCTTCGCATATGTGTAACTTTTTGTCCAACAAGGCAAACGGAGGAGTACAGGCTTTCTTCGTTATAAGATAGAAAAGGAAGACTAAAAAAAAATCATAGGCTATAAAACTTACATTTCAACCCAAAGTCAAAATGTATCTGTCTGCCTGTAGAATTAGATGGTAACGTCGTGTTATCCGGTCTTAGAAAGTCGTCCTCCACGTTGTCGTTCCATGTGCCCAGAAGGCCCTTGGTTTGACCTTTGAAATTGGTTGGGGCAGCAAAAACTATGGAAAGTGATCCTTGCACTTCGGTGATTGTTACAGATATTCCAGACGGAAACGCAACGAGGAAGGAATTGTTCTCTGGTCGGGAAACTGACACAGACCCGTCGAGATTTATACTGATGTTGGTCAAGGTAGTGTAGTTCTGGAAGACAACACCATTCACGAACACCTCTAGACCTCCTGAAATAAAGAAAAAAGATTTAAGGGAATGAATCTCCCGCGAGTCTACTAGTTTATCGCTACCGTAGGTTATTCCGAATTTTCCATCATGAAAGATCGATCGTTTGACCCTCAGTTAATACTAGCTTCCTAGGGTTTTCACATTGTTGTCCCGGAAGCGATCATCTACTGAGATAGGAATTTTCTTCAGTATAATTCACAACACATATTCGACTCAGAGGTGGCAACGAATCAAAAAGTAAACATTTTAAAGAAGTTCTAATAGAACTTTTAATCTTATCACCATAAACTGGTACAATTTGCCATGAAAGCTTCCTGAATGTCGATCGCTTAGAAGAAAGGAATTTTTTTTTTCGTGAACGTATAATGTAGCATCTAAGTTAAATGCAGTTGACTTTTTTATTACAAGAAAACGTCGAGGATATCTTTTTTTTTTTTTAACTTACCTTCATCTTTCAAATTAACTTGGACAGCGCTTGTATCTTTTTCCTTTGCCACTGCTGCAACAAAAATGGTTGCTGTTCCTCCCCCTTTAGAAAGTTTCGTCCGAGCTTGCAACTGGAATGATCCATCTTGTAACTCCATCATAGTGTACTCCCCAAGCCCATTAAATGTGTAGTTTTGACCGTCTAAAGTAACAATGTGAGGATCGCCCCATAACCAGCCTGTAGCAAAATCAACAGACGTATAACTTCGAGAGTCAGAGAATAATAATCTAAGAGACTTAATAAAAATAACATTTTTCTCAAGAGACAAGAAAATGGAGTGAAAAATTACTTAACATGGATTTTAAATAAGGCTTATGTGAATGTTTTATAGCAATTTAGAGCAGAACATGTAAAGTTACTTTTGTCCCTGATCAACAAGTTATGTAAAAAAAATATGAATATGGAGGGCTGTTGTAGGTAAAGAGATGGTAGAGAGTGAAACAGGGTTAGTTAGTCATAGCAAATGCAATATCATTTAAGTGGCCTTTACTTTGTGACAAACAAAGCGAAAGTGATACCTCATGAGATCATGTTTACTTTGTTTACCTACTAAGTGGTTCATTGAATGCCGTGAAGATGATTGATATCGATTTGCCAAAAGTGGCTGCAAATAGAATGCGGACAAGTAACAGCGTGTTCATACTCCAACAAGTGAGAATACTTCCATTGGAATGAAAGAAAATACAGAAATAAACAATAATAACAAGAGTAACAAAAACTTACTCCACACAGGTGGCTCATATCCATCACATCCCTCAGATGGCCGTAATTCATAGTACCTGTTGCACAAAAATGGATTCTTAGCCTCTAGACAGCAGTGGCGGAATCCGTAGAGATCACTTGCTTGGTGTTGTTCTTTCAGTGACGTATTGAGGCTATGGTATCGGTGAAGGGAGCCTCCACCAGGGAATCCAATGATAAGTGCTGCCAGTTTTTCTAGGGTTGTATAGTAGCAACATTTGCGGCCACTTCCTTGTCTGGGGAATTTTGTGTAAAAACAGTAGCTAAAGGGGAAATCCGCCTCGACCCATTCATATCGATCATCAAAGTATCCTTGCACTCCGGTACAGGGACACGGATCTGGCTCTCTGCTATAACCGAACACATATCTCCTTTCTTTGGCATACCAAAGTAAGCATTTCAAGTCGCTGTCTTCTTCTCCATTCGAATTTTCAAGTCGGAAGATCCATCTTCCAGGTATCTCAGCATTTCCAACAAGATTATCAATAGCTTCAGCTTGAATAGTTCCTGACCTGTGCATTTAAGTTATTATGTTGAGTAAGAGAGAGTTGACAGTTATTTTGCAACAGTGTTTGTAACCAGAGTAGTTCGATATTTGATTTAAAGGCTAAACGTGCGACAAAGATGAATGAAAATTAATGGAATGGAAGTATGAGCAATGATAGTGGATATTCTCTATACCGAAGAACCAAGTAAAAACTCATGGCCATTGCTGATACCATTGCGCCAGTTATAAAATAAATTGAAATACTAGATTAATAAACAAACAAAAAGCTCTACAAGTATTTGGTTCAATATCACGTTGTATTTAGGACTGCAGTGGTTTGCTTCTACACACTTTAAATTCGCTCCTCGTCTTTCTTGTTTATCTCGCCCGTATATCGCCCCCCTTTGAACCCAATCCTACCCGAAGTACAAACTTATCTGGCGGAGCGCTAGGACTCAGTCAAATATGTTGGGGTGGCATCATAGAGATAGACTGAATTACTTTAAATGGTGGGCACTATCATTATTCTTTATTATTCTTTTATGTAGGTGCAAATTCGCCTTCTTAGGCTAGCATTTCTAACAAGAATTCTAATCTTTCAACATGGTTTCAAGGCAAGAAAGGCAAATATACATGAATACAAACTAATACAAATTATAGGCCCACGATTTATGAAAGAGATCTCAGAAACCCTCAATAGAAATTCTGAGTCATTGTACAGAGCTTTGTGCTTTGTGACAAAAACCGATCAAGGTAAAATCCCGCTTTCCCTTAAAGAAAGGTTATCTCTCATACCTTGGGTGATTAAAGTAATTGTTGTCTCTATCACCAGCATTCCAGCCAATAACAGGCAATGGTTTATAGTTGGCGAAATATTCATAATATTCACTGAAAACAAAAAATACAAAGAAACTAACATCACTTATGCAAAGAGCAAAATGAAAAAGAGAAGAAAGTATTACCGAAACATTACCTTATTCGGATCAGACTAAGACGGTTAAATATCAGTTTTACAGAACTTCAGTCTCATAAAAATATTCCTTTATCACAAGAAAAGAGCGAGTACGCAGAGAGGAGGGTGATGGCGATAACCACTAACAGTTATTATGTTCGCTCACGGTTAACTTCCTTCCCTTGCACTTAAAAGAGAAGTTTTTCAGTTAACTTTTATTACGACCAACTAATCAAGGCTAACTGATGTACAGGTATTACGACTCACCGTGTTATCGGTACAGAATACTGTATTCCGTTATGGGGGTAGTTAAACATGGCAAAAGAGAATATGCCATCAGTAATCAGGAGAGCTTGAAATGTATTGTGCTGAAACAAAAAAGACCAAGGAAATATATGAAAAAGGTAAAGTTGGTTTAGAGTTATGGACAATTTGGCAAATCTCTGCAGTTATTGGACACTTGTCTCATACAATCAAGAAATTAATATATCGATAAACTATTCAATCAATCAGTTCAAAAATTATCCACAATGAATCAAGAGCTATATTTATCGTATTAGTCAATTAATCCATCAATTAATCATTCATTTGATAGATCGTTAGTCAATTAGTAGCTCAGATAAAGAATTAACAAATCTACAAATCGGTCAGTCGGCCATCTATCTGGATCGGTTGGTTAGGGAAGGGAAACAATTAAAAAAAATCATTTTTAGCATCTTTTGGTTTCACATTAACAAACCATAAGACTATAAACGTTGTTACTCAGTGTTGCCGCGAACGGTAACTAACCATTTGTGATATGAAACCTTCAATCCACGAAGGCTTTGAGATAACTCACACAAAATTTTACATTATTAGTTTAACATTAAGACCAAAAAATCGAGAAACTGAGCGAGATAGTGAGGTTTCAAATCGGTAGCCTCGTGGCACCGTTCGAGGATACCCGACACCGCGAATACACAAAAAAAGCTTAAATGTCCCGTCGGGTAACCAGGCGACGGCAGAGCTTATGTTCACCATCTTTTGGTGACTGCTCTTAAACCAATAAGGCAGAAAAGATTTGCACGTGTTACTCACCAAATTCTTGTTGATATTATGTAAGACCTTGTGACGAATATCTTTCCACGTAACTACGAGCATCCAAGATGCATTGAATGTTTTTCCTTGTGGCAGTTTCCCGCCGAATTTACTGAGGACATCAGAAGTAGCGTTCTCTAAGATTGCAATGGAATCCGCCTGTCCCGCGTAATACAAATGATAGAAAACCTTCGAAGGGCCACTAATGAACGACTCAAGGTTGGTCGGTGCCCAATAAGGAGCAACCATTGACACATATCTAAGCCAAGGTCTTTGACCAAAGTTGTATGACTGCTCATTGAATCCGTCTCTTTCGAACTGGATAGCTCCATTTGGACATATCTAATGTGTTAAAAAGGAAGAAGTGAATAAGTCTAGCCCAAAAGTAGCCCTAGCTTACTACGCGATACCTTGATTAAAAAGCTATTCATTAATAATTTTTGAATTTCAATATATTGAGGTAGGACTATCTATAAATAACCATAGCGTCTATATGCAGGTTGACAGAGTTGTTTTTATTGGAATAAAAAGGACAAAACATGTGAGAAATTTCAATAAATAAACAGTTTGAGTTATTCTAGCACAAAATGGATTGGGTGCCGTTTATGCTCCTGTTGTGGAGAATTGATCCTTATCTATGAATGCCTGGAATTATAGGTTAGAAGCTGCAACAACTGTCTTTCGAAGGAGCATTGTTTCTGTGGAACGAAGGGAAGTAAGTAGCAACTTGCCAATACTTCTGCTACCACTAGAAAAAAAGGAAAATGTATGAAAATTTTCTCATATTTTTCGAAACGTTTCCCATGGACAGAGCCATTTATTTGAATTCCCACTTAAATGAAATAATAAAGTTTTGTGAGCTCTCAGTTTCATGACTTACGTGAAGTTTTCTGTGCCTTCTGTCATACAGCGGAATACCTCCAGTGTCAAATTTTTCTCTGCCAATTCTAAAGCAACTAGTTCTTGACGGAAATGTAATGATTGAGTCTCCAGCGTCAACTCCGTATGGATACATCCGGTGGATTGGGGCTAAGAAAAAATATAATCATAACATGTTTGCTAAGAGACCATAATGGATTCAACTATCGATTACAAAAGAAACCTTAGCAAGGCGGAGAAAGAGGACATTAAGGGAATGGAAAGAAAACTGAAGAGAGGTCTTGAAATCATCTATGGTGAAGGGAATCAAAGGAAAGGGGAAAAAGAGAAAGAATGAAGAGAAAAAAGATTAACATTTTATAATAATTTACCCGGTTCTGGAGCTTTAGTTGGCTCACCATCATCATCCAAATCTGCAGAGAGGCATGAAGCAGCAATTTAATTTTTTATTTTGTCAACATCATTTACTTCCGATAAATACAAGAAGATTTTTTCCCAAGGACTTACAGTAAATGTCTGTAAATCGGTATTTATATTACTATGGCAGTTTCACAAATCAAATTTTATGAGAGATTACAAAACACAACAACCTTTCCCTAGTTCAGTGTTTGGGTCACCTTTGGTGCATATAAACCTTGTCTAACACCTGTCCAGAACATCGGAATGAGAGATGTGAAGTCCTTTGGTTCGATTCCTCGTGAAAGCCTCGGAATTTTCCTTTTCTCACGTTCGCGAAAAAGCGAAAATTCATTTCCTCGTTAGATAAAAAAGCACCTCACGTCGTAAACAATAAGCTTACCTTTTGTGGTAAAACGATATATCCTACTCGCGTAAACTTCTCCGCGATCAGTGTACCCAACTACTCTTACTTCGTAGTCTGTTAATGGTTGTAGCAATACTAGTGTAGCTGACAGAGTTACAGTCTTTTTAAATCTCCAGATTTCTTTTTCCTTGACTGGTTTATAAAGCACATAATACTCTTCAATATTGCCTTCATCTTCGGAGGGTTCCCAAGTCATCTTAACCTCAAAACTTTCGGTGGCGCCAATCGAAGCAGCTGTAAAGAAGAAAAAAAGCTTTCACGTGCACTTAGGCATTTCAACTAAACAAATGTATGTTATTATGTACTTTTTCATTCTTTCTTTGACTCGCCCAAAGTGTGAGTTCAAGGCTACAAATAGTGATTTGATTACTGTTTCTGCTCCTTCAGTATTCTTTATATTGGTTGACTTATGTTAGCGTCTCATGCATAGAATATTACCCAATAAAAGAGACTATTTGAGTTATCATGAGGTAAGACATGCTATTGTTTAATTTTGATATATTTTGGTTTATATCAACTTAGCTAGCAGCAAAATGCAACTAGAATATTGCAAGAAAATAGAGGCGGGAACACAACCATTTTTTCAGGCGTTCTGGCAGGCAAGTTCGGCTAGCCAAATAATCGAAATTGCGTTCAAAACTTCTTCTTCCGGATATTCAAGATCTGAGCAAAGATCCTAATGACGCGAAAGTAAGTGCATGTTTAGGCCAGGAAATCAAGTAGCCATTGAAGAAATAAGCGTCAGGTGAGTAACCCGAGCCATTTTAAAGCCGTCTGTCTTCATCTCCCCCTAACCATCCTACCTCGGATGAAAAGGCTTGCTGAGGTCGTGTTCTCTATGTAACATTTGTAACTTACTGATTTTGGGCGAGTCCGTAATGGCAAAGTAGGTAGAGGTGAAACCTTTGAAAGCAAGTCCATTGTTTGAGCGGAAGTAGAGCAGAGCAGGGCGATGTTGGTAACTCTTTGCAGCCAAGGCAAAAGGGCTATGAAGTCCACAAAATGGACCGGCAGCTACGCGTAATGGCTCAAGATTGAACAATCCAATAAAATCTGTTATCCAATTCCTAAAAGGAAAACAATGAATACAAATTTACAGGACTTTCTGTTTCTTCAATCAAAATTCAGCACCGGCAAAGGGAAGGCTCGAGAAGGGAAGGATGGGCTTCCCCTTAGCCTTTCTTGGCTTTTGCTTTTTTGTTTATGCTATCAGCAAGAATCTGAATAATTATTGGAACATCTTTAATAACATACGTGCAATTTGCTCCTCCATCCGGTTCCTCTGTGTGAAAATCTTCGATCACAACGACCACATCAAATACAAGCATTTCCTTCTCAAAAATCCAAAAACATTCCGCGTCGTTAGGATAGGTGTTCGGATAGCCAGGAGATGATATGACGCGCATGTCGCTGCGTATACTGGTTTGGCAACCTAGAGAAGCCAAAGCAATTACACCAAAATGTGCATAATGGTGCCCAATGGTAAAATTAGATTCAAGTTGATTTGCCTATTACAGCGCAATTTTAGATTGATCATATTTTTTTTTCTAAGGCAGGAGATCTTGGCAAGTCCTATTGTATTTTTTAAAGAAGATCTCACGCACGGTTGGCAATGCATTTTAAGTGATGGCTACCTGGAGTACCACATGGTTTTCATTGGATATCTATGTATTTTAATACGTACAAATCATTTTTTGGATTCCTTTTGTGTAGAAGACTTAGGCTAGGAACTGTTTAATAAATTGTAGGATTATTTTTGTTTTTAACTTTTCTGGCAGATTGTTTTATATTTCTGCTCCTCTGTATTGTATTGAAAATGTTTCATAATCAGTTCAGTCCTCTCTTGTCGTAATTCAACGAACTTCATGAGCCACACAATGTCTCTAAAAAATTCACTAAACACAATCACTTACTCATCACTTCAGGGGTTTATTACGAGCCAACATAATGGCCAGCTCCTAGTTGGCTTGTTAGCTTGGTTGGTAGAGCACTGCACCCGTATCGCAGAGGTCATGGGTTCAAATCATGTGAATGCCAGAATGTTGTTCAGGACTTATTTTCACTAATGCTTATGTAGTGTTAGTTATTGCGGAGATCGCTTTCATATTTATATAACACAACAGTATAAAAAATTCTTGCATTTACCTGGTCTGCTATGGGTACGTTCGCTAAAAGCCCCCACTCCCGCAGCAGTGAAGCCAGCAACCATCAGTTCATAAGTCTCGAAATTGGTCAAATTCCCAATCCTTGCTTCAAAGGCAGTATGATCGACGTCGATGAAGGAAAACTGATCGAGGTCGAGCTCGTGGTCATCCATGTGGCTGTCATACAAGCGATAGTAGATGCGGTAGCCAACTAACACTCCGTGGATGTGATCACTCGGAATATGCTTCCATGTGAGGATTATCGCGCCATCGTCAGAACTTGCTTCGACGTCTCCCGGAGGCTCACTTGGAACTTGAATTGAAAGTAAAATATTTTGATAAGACACACTAGGTTAGGTTTTTCTTATCGCTAAAAATAACAAAGATCGATTTGGTGGACATGGGACGGGTCTACATCACGACTTCTGAAAAATAATGATCATCAGGATGACTAGATTATTGTTCGAACAAGAATGATTGACGCAACACAGCACCCAGAATCACTAATCCTCGTTTGGTGAGCAATGAGGTGTGTGAGGCTGGCTTTCACTCATTTGAAAATAAATGATATACATCCCCGCCTCAACCCCATTCCCACCTTCCCCCTCTACGGCTTGATCTATTCCGAACTTCTTTAAACAAACTGCATTCATCTTACCGCCTTCTTTAGTTGTGAAGGATACTTCCTCACTTCCTTTAAAACTCATCTCGCCAACTTCACTTTTGACTAATGCAATAACCTGGGCAGTATAGTCGGTATATGGCTGCAAGCGCTTTGCAGTTGAGTTATCGATATCCTTCACCACGGTTGTTATGGATGGTCCTGCCTCATGCAAAGTTGGTGTGCAGACGATTGCATATAAGACAAGTGTCTCTCCTGCACCTGCTGAATAATGTGACCATGTGATTTCTGCAGTCGACGAGGCGACGTTGGAAGCTGTTATTACCCAGCTTGCTTTACGTTCAGCTACGAGTTGAAAAAAACCGTTTTTAAATCAGTAAATTTTATGTTTTTCACAAGTAAAGGTTTCCTATAGTATCTAAGTAGGCTAGAAATATCTTAGAGACTCACAAGCATATCACAGTTGTAGCATTTAAGAATTAAATTCTGCTTAAAATATCATATAAAAAGTGGAAGACCATTTTGTTCTTATCAGTTTACCTTCTGAGACAGAATGATTTAGAGTCATGTAGTGCAGTTGAAATCCTATTCTGTCCCCGTGAATTTCGTGTTCAGCGTGGGAGAGAAGGAGCACTTTCTTTGCCTGCACAAGAACGTCAAATGGCTCCCTAGCACCGCAAATCAGCTCAGGTTCAACGCCACTACTATCCCCAACAGCAGCATAGAAATCTCTGGAAGAAAACGAATGCATATAATGGTGAATACTATTGCAGTTAAAATTAAAACAGCAAAACTGAACCAAAAACTGATTTGCATTGATTAAAATTGCGTTTAATCTGCCTGAATAATTTTAGCACTTCAACATTTGAACATGTGAGATTCCTGATTGGAATGCGCGCCCCTCTTTTGCAAAGAAATATTCTATACCGCCTGGGATGACTTCAGAGAAAACTTCGCAACTAAAGATCAGATAATTAACGATCATCCTAACAAATTTTAAAAAATTAAGAAATTAACTTATGGCCTGTACCAGAGCGACTTGGTGTCTCTCCTTTTTTTTCTTCTTTTCTCCTCTTACACACACTCATACAAAAATTAATTACAGTTGTTTACAACAGTCTAAAATAATAACTATAATAATATCATTATACAAGAATCTATACTTAATCCAGATAAAATTACAATTTAGGGTCATTTAAAAGAAGTGTGGCGAGGCCCAGCAGATGTTAGAAGCCTATCAAACCTGGGTTCCTTACACGATGTGGAAGACAGAGAGGGTATTTACGGGCGGGCGTGTTTACTTTAGTTTTCTGTCAATGAGGAATTTTTTAAGCGAAGTCTTAAAGATGGAGAATCTGTAGGATGGGATAAGATCACGAGGTAGAGAATTCCAAACCTTTGGACCTTGGTGCATGATCATAAACTGCTTGATATTAGTTCTGCAATAGTGTGTACGGTAGTTTCCGTTATTCCGTGTATCGTACGTATGAATTTGATGATGATTAGAAAAAAGAGTATCAAAAGCATTAGGAAGGAGGTTAATATGATAGGAATCATAATAATAGGCTCCAGTCGTGAACGAGTTGTACCAAATTGTACAAACTGTTGCCTGTTTGTCAAATAGCTGGAGATCCAGTCATGAGTTTGTCCTCTTATTGCATAATGATGAAGCTTTTTGAGAACTATTTGGTGATCAATAGTATCGAAGGCTTTAGAGAGATCAGGGAAAACTCGAACAGCTGTTTCTTTGTTGATTATAGAAGAAGCGGAGTAATGTCTGCGAAAACCAAACTGGTTATTGTACAGATTGAAGTCCGTTAGATATAATATATAAATACCATTATACACTACTCTTTCATAAAGTTTAGAGAAGGCTGAAAGAATAGAGATGGGCCTATAATTTTCTTTCCTTTCTGGATCACCGGATTTGAATATGAGAAGAACTTTCGCTATTTTAAGGGTGTCTGGAGAACACCCACTCTCTAAAGAGAGCTTAATAACCTTTGTTAAGGGCCAACAATAATTTCAATAGTAAGTTAAAAATTCTCGTGGGAATTTTATCAAATCCAGGGGCTTTACCATTAGCGAAGGTGTGAACTATTTCTTTAAGTTCTTCACTAACGAGCGGCCGAAATCCCAAGGGTTGATACAGAGGACTCATTAGATAGTCTTCAAAGTTCGCACTGGAAGTTGCTATTTTTGCTGCTAAATTAGGACCAATATTTGAGAAATATTTACAAAAGTTGTTAGCCATAGAATCTGGATCAGAAGTAAGTTTACCGTTGTTCTTAAAGCAGACTAGCTAGTTTAATTTGAGCTTCTGTTTATTAATTACCTCGTTGAGTATTTTCTATGTGGCTTTGAGATCCTTTCAAAGTTTCAAGTTTTTGATCATAATAATTTCTTTTTGCTATTCTGATGAGATGATTTAACTTGTTTTTGAAGATCTTGTACACTTTTTCATTACCAATATTTGGATTTTTGAGAAACTGTTTGTACAGTTTCGCTTTCTTCCTAATAGATTTCAAAAGGCCTTTAGTAAGCCAAGGATTGTGAATGGTTTTGAGGCGCTTACGTTGCATGAATTTAATTGGAAAGTTTTCGTCATATAGTTCACTAGATGTATTAGCAAAAGAGTCTATGCAGAATTTGCATTCGATCTATCGAGGTTTTCCCAGTTAAAATGATTTAACGAGGCACAAAACATTTTCAAAGTATTCCGGTTTAAAGTCACGTACAGTGATGCGTTCTCTTTTTGTAGGTGTGTCCAAAATCACTATAGCTTAAGGAAAATATTGGCAAGTGGTCAGATAATTCATTAATTATTAGTCCATTTCCAGAAAAACAAGTGATGTTGTTAGTGAAAATGTTCTCAATGAGAGAAGTGGCGGGTTGGCTTTGCGATGAGAGGATAAAGCAGGTGAGAAAACATCAGTTCAACAAATTCTACTGTGAGAGAACGTTGTTCATGGCGTAAGAGGTCTAAATTAAAGTCGCCCATAACATAGCAGATTTTATTCTCTTTAGTGACAATTGTCAATAAGTTTCGCATTGATGCAACAAACTCATTGACATCTTGATCAAGAGGCCGATATATCGCGCCTACTATGACACATTTTTATAAATTATGAGATGAAATGATGTATCATCTAGTTGATTAAATGGAAAAATTTCACTCATAAAGTCATAGCATAGCCAGCTCAGATGCTCTGGTGCTCTAATATATAAAGTCATGGAGAAAGTTTGAACTTAGATCACGATAACAGTTCCATCATACCTGCATCCATCACTTTCTGGAAGGTTGAGATGCTCAAAATGTAAAAGAACGCTTTTGTTTTTTGGGTGAATGTCCCATAAGCAATCACCATATGTGATCCTTAATGGAAATACACGGCTACGGATAAGACCATTCCTTTCGTACATTGGAGCCCCGCATTCTAAAAAAGAGTGTAGAAATTAATCGTGTGACGGAAATACAATGCAAACACAAACCTTTTTTAATATATTCATTATCCTTCCACCTCATTCCATCAACATTTTACTAAATTTCGAGGGCATGTCTTAGTCACTCACGATGACGTAAAATAAAAGAAATAATTAGAAAAAGCTGAGGCCCTTTCGATTTCACTTTTTCTTTGAGGCCTCCCCTGTTTTTCATATTTAGAACAGGATACCCAACAGTTCATTGGCATTTCTTCGGTAAGGATCCTGTTCAAACACCAATGGCCACCATGACGAAATAATCACTCTTAATCTTAAAAGACCATGAAGAGACCTCTGTTAAACCTTATGAATAGTTGCCTCGCAACTTACAGGACTATGAGTATCATATTGAATTGTTTACCCTACGAGACATTTATCACTAAAAAAGAAGGAAAATACACGAAAGAAAGAGATTAAAACCTAGTAAATGCTCCTGAAGTCTACCGAGGAACACAGTTGAATAATGTTATCATATAAAATCACATTTTTATAACAAGGAGTGACATCTCACTTGTCTTCACCCAACGCTCATGTCTCTGGTGACCTTCCCCAATCGATGTAAACGCCGTCACCCACACGAAGAATTCAGTTCCTGCGGGTAACCCTGTAAGCGTCGTTTCCGTTTCCTCCGGGCCAACGGTCACGCTATCATAGAAGCCTTGCGAGCAATCATAGTTGTTGGCCTGAGTGATGTGCACTCGATATCCACGTATGGTGCCGTGGGAATAGCGTTCGTCCACCCTATGCCACTTGACCCATATTGTGCTGTAGTCAATGACTTCAACCTTATCGATGAACGGGTTGCTTGGAGGTACTAAGACAGTCAAGAACATAGATGGGATGAGCATACTATCAGCTTTATGAAAAAAAATTGAGTGAAACTACCTGTCATTATAATATTAAGGAAATATTATATATTTGCATTTAAATGTTCTCTCACATGATTGACCCCCTACACTTTCAAAATCTCATCAGTTACTCTCCCTACTGTCGACCATAAAATTCCTAGGATGTTAGCTCGGAGAACTTGATGTTGGATCAAGTAATATTCCCCTGTACGATATGTTTCTTTATTCTCATCACTTGCGGGTTTGAATTCGTATTGATGTCGTAAGGGGAAATTCTGTATTTTTCTCTCCTGGAATATAAAGGGTTAATTGAATTTATGGTATGGCCGGAAACATTTTTGAAGTTCCTTCTGTTCTACTATAAAACACAAAGGTTTTCCTTGCGCATTTGGAAATATAGAGATTACTTTGTTATCAATTGATGGACAGAGAAGCTAGTACGCTCTGTATTTTATCGTCATGCAATGAAAGATTTACGTAAACAAAAGTAATTTTCGAGAAACATAAATTTGCTTTACCTCCCGTAGTCCTAAACTTGATCCAGTCCGTGCATCCACGTCTCCCATCTTTTAGCACAGTTATAACTTTCAGGGTATAATTTGTCCAAGGAAATAGCCACTCGTATTTCAGCGTCTTTTCCTCCGCTGTTACGTTCTGCGGTACGTATATCCTATCAGACCACCCTCCCACTAAGACTTGGTAATAATTTACAGAAGAAAGGCTGATAAAGCTGCCTGGTGGCTCAGGCCAGGATACTATAACAAAGGTTTCGCCAACGTCCATTTGAAGTCCAGACCATGACTCAATCACTTCCCCTAGTTATTACCAAAATGACAGATATCGAGTGTATTGACTATTGTATTTGGATTGCATGCGTTCTGCTTTTCTCCCCTTTGTAATGAGTTTAGAAGAAAATTGTGCCTCCTTTGCAATAAGACAGAAACGAAACTAGAGAACAATCGCGACAAGGTCGGTTGCGTTTCTCGCACTTTCTTCAGTTTAATTTTATCACCAGTTCTCGCCGACTCTTTGTTATAATTTGTTTTGCTCTGATTGAAAACTCGACGCTCGAACGAAATTTGCATAAACGGGGTAAGTTTCTGAAGAAACTGTGCTGATGCGTTGGTGAGAGAGTATGTGCTCTAACATGCTTTGAATAAAAACCGCTGTTTAGACTCCGAGATGAAATAGGGAATCCTTTCGGTTACAACGAAAATGCTATGCGCGATGCGAATTAAATACAGCCACAATATGTTTCTTTTGATATCCGCCAGAATTGTTTATACAAACAGCATAAGAATATTTTGAGTGGATACGAACTATACTTTACCTGTCACAGTGGTAATCTCGCCTTTTACAGCCTCATAGTCGATCAAAAATTTGGTTCCGTTGCGATACTCTTCCGCGTACCGTTGATATCCAAATCCCGACGCTGTTAGATTGAGAACTTTATCTATTACCAGCATAGTGAGGTTTTCTGGTATATGTCCACAAAGGTCAGTTGCGTGGTTCTCGTCGTTTTCTGAAATGCCGGGAAAGTACATCCTCAACTGGCCACTACAAACAAGGAGGAGAATGATAAGTATGATTTTTTTTTGCGTAATTTGAGGGTTGGGGGAAGAGAAGCAACAGGAGGTTGTCATACCACAAAGCAGTTCAAAGCATAAGGACACTGGCTAGATCCAAAATTTGGACTCTAGCCAAGTCCTAAACTCGGGGTACAAATTTATTTTGAAAGCGAGTCTAACTTATGCTGTACCGGTCCGCAGTGAGAGTTAATGGGGATTTCGCGCGTCGAGTGGTCAATTTTCTTACACATTTGGCATAATGCTCTGCTGAGACGGATCCACAACAAACAAAAGAGCAATTTGTAACGAAATGAATTTCATTCGACCTCCTGATTGAAAATCGAGTGAGGTGGGATTAGAACTTGTGCCTCCCAGATTCTAATTATTACCCGCTATTACCCGCATTACAAATTGTGATCGCATATACCTCCTCGGGAAAGAAAAAAAACTCCAAAACTTGCCGAGCTACCAGTTTGGCATCGTAGCTCAATTCGAGGCTAACTCGTCGTTATCGGGACGAACTAGTGAAGGATACGATTACAATGTGGTGAAACCTCCTCAAACCCCTAAAATATAGCCTTATATAAAGCCTCTATAGATAATCGAATGAACGTACTAGCATCGGTTTCCTTCATATTTGTGACCAAGGAAAAAATGTCTGACAGTGAGGAATATTCCCGACACGTTAGACTTAGGTGCAATGTTCCAGTAACATTTCGGGTTTTCGTCCCGCTGGTCATGACCAATATACGGAGTACCAGGATAGTTGGGACTCATAATCTGGCCGGCATCTGCCTCCATATCATCACCACAAACTAAGAGGCAGAAAGATATATCAATGATACAGCTAGAAGTATCATATTTAAATTCTTTTACAATCACTTGGGAAACAAGTTTGGCTTAACGAAGACATTATTGGTTAATATCAACGCTACTTTTTTTTTATCTTTCGAAACAAGCACGGGGATAAGAACGATGATGGAGAGGATGTGGAGGGGTCGATAAAAGATTAATGGAGGAGAGATGGAAGCATGAGAGCAAGAGTAGGAGGGAAGGGAGGGAAGAGAAAAAAGAGAGGGAAAAAAGTTGTAAGAAGGAAACAAACAGAGCTTTGAATCTTGGTCTGTACTGCTCCGTAAATATGTATGATAGAAATCACACGAAATACTCTCCGGCATTCCGTTTAATTTCCCAGGGCCCAACTGATTTGTAATTTATCCTCTACTAAAAGTGTTACATCATTTGCCAGATCATAACTTACAAGTTGCCCCAAATGATCCCATAACACCCATTCCTTTGCTTGTATATCCACCAATATAAACGGCATACGTGAGACTGTCAGTTAGATTTTCTAACGTGACTCTTCTGGTATCTGCGTCCACGTCCATAGTTTCTAAGTTCTTTGGATCACAGCAGGGACCGTACATGATACGATAGCCCAGGACTTCACCGCCACGGTATCTCCTCTCGATTGAACTGAGTCGGAACGAAACGCTGTGGTTGTCCGAGTTGGTGGACCAGTCGTGAGGATAAGGAAACCTAAGTGGCACTTTGAATAAAGTACGAAGATTTCAAGTGTTAAATTAAAAAGCTCGCTCTTCATTACATATGACATAAAACTGAATAGTATATTGTCTGTTTCTAGAAAGGTCTCATGAAAAATTACAGAAAACAAAAACGAAAAGTGATGTCAGTGGGTAGAAAGATAACAGACTGATTAAGAAATTCAACTGATGACGAATCAATCAAGGGGGATTATCGAGTAGTTTTGGTCACAATAATAATAACAACTATAGTTCTTCACAATATAGTTTTCAGAAACAATTAATGAGTCTATACTCACTGACCGGGGCAATAAATGCCGTGAAAACATTGGTAACTATGGAGCTTTTTACTATCCAAAAAGGGGAATAGCAAATACATTAAAAGTCAGGAACAACCCGTTGTCTTTTAACTTCTTGTTCACTTTTCTCATGTTCTCATCGATTGTGGATTTTCAGGGTATTTTGATTATAACTACAAATTTTTCCTAGCACTGAAGGTTTTCTTAAAGGGTACCAACAATATGAATGACGTAGCAGTTAGCTAGACTTAGAATTAGTAATTTCACTCATCAACACAAAAATCTTGACGAGGACAATGTTGTCAAAATAACTTACCTCCCTCTTCCGTCGAGATCATAAGTTTTTCACTCTTGTAAATCTCATTGTTTTTATCTATCATGTAAACTGTGGCTACAAACTTCGCAGCTATTGGAAGGTCCGTTATGTTAACGAAAGTCTTAGATGAGTTGACGATTTTAAGAAAACGAACCAACTTGTTTTCGTTGTTATAGTAGTGATAGTAGTGATCGTCGTCCTTCACGTATGGGGAAAGCTCCGTTTGGTTTAGAAATATAGCAAAGAAGTTAATGTCGTGGTTGCCAGGGGAGCCACTCCAGTCCAATGAAATAAAACTGTTCCCTTCATTTCCGTTGATATTCCAAGTCACCTGTGTTGGTTTAGCTATTGTGCAATATGGAAGTTGTTAAGCAGACTTATTATGGTACTTACTTTACATCCTAACATTAGCATACATATTCGCCTTACTGTAAATTTCTTAAGGGCTTCTTGAGTTGTTGATCATTTTCTTCAATCTCGTGAACTTAATTTGTGATTCAGAGGTGAAAAATGAGAAATTTCAAAGGATTATTAGCAGTTAAGAACACACCTCGGAATCATTTGAGAAATAGTAATTATTTTTCTCTCTGAAAAATTTGATGTGCTGCGTCTGTGCCAAAAGGAAACAGAAGATTGATTATCCGTACTTATTTAAGAATATTTAAGAAAATTAATAGTTAATTGTACTCCAGCAAAGGCAGTACGATGCAAATGATCAGCTTAGTCTTTATTTTTCATTATTTCGGGTGTTTTTTTCCTATCTTACGGCGCTAATTCTGTTCTTCTTAAAATTATGAATTATTGTGAAGTTAGATATGAGGTGTGCATTGGGGAGCTTTGGAAATCGCAACCATGCAAAACATTTCTATTGAGCACATCACTAAGTGTTCTTTGTACTTGCAACAATGAACCGCTCTTAAATTAATGGTGACTTTGCCTTGTTTTCTTCCTTTCAAATTGCATATCTAAGTGTCCCCGAAGCGAGAAAATATTGCATACCTGAATGGAGACCTCCTTTCAAAATGGCAAGTTCAGTGAAAACCTTGCTGTCCATACTTTTTATCAATACTTCCGCGTGTATAACGTCTAAATCACTAAAAGGTATTTCATGTACTTCTCCACGAACTGTTGAGCACTCTTCATGATTAAGAATGACGCCATCTTCCGAGTAGACCTTGGCGTATTCATAACTGAGGATCAAATAGACATCGGAAATATCAAAATCTCATCTCAGCTTGCGTTCTAGAAGGAAATGCAATACTATTTTTTCAATCCGGAACTAGATTGTTTACTGATACGTTTCCTGGGTTGACCGGGCACTGCAATATGTTTATTTCCGTGGACTAGTCATGGTAATAATATCAAGTCCGAGATTTATAAGGTTAATGTTGGGGTTGGGGAAACCCTCCGTAGCTGGAGGTTTTAAGGTCGTTCAGTGAAATTGACGGCGTCAGCCGGACCCGCGAAAACGAACAGTTTTAAACCTTCATGGTTCCTTCACCTTCCAAGTACATACACCTAATGCTAAGGAGGCTAGGCTGAACTAGGCTGAGAACAGTGAAGAATGAAATTTACGGCTGACCCCAGAATCCATACTTAAGTTCTGCTTCTAACCCTGACACAACCCCTGCTTGAAGAGCCAAGTAGTTACATGGATCCGTCCCTTCTGTTTCCTTAAATTCTATAACTGTGCTTAAGTGGAAAAGAATTCAGAGGTGAGATTTCACATTACCCGCAATAATCCAAACGTAGGTATTGCACCGAAAGGAGTAGGACTGCATTGCTCACGCCATTGTCGTATATTCTCCATTTGCAATGATTCGTATCCCAGTCTGTATTATAGAGGCTTATAACTGCAGCGGTTTGATTGATGACTCCACCACAACCTATATTATCATGCCATAAAAATTAACATGGGATTCATTTAAAACGCAGTCATCTGTCAAAAGCAGAGCCCACTTTTAATGTGACGTTACATGGATGCATCTCGCACACTCTTCTTTTTACACGGTCGTGGTGCTCTTCTTAATGTTTTCCTCACACAGTAAGGCTTTGGAATCTAGACTAATTGTACCTCCACTGCGAGAAGCTATGCAATAAACTGAACGGTTCAACAAGTCAGAAATATCCCTTTCTGCTTTTATTGAAAGATCAACTTGATCGCCTCAGGTGAAAACATCTAATGCACACTGAAACAACTGAACCACTAGCGCGTGGTAAAAAAAATTTCAATACCTTTTCTTAAGCTCAAAGTTTTAGTTGACTCGCGTAGTTGGGTAGAGATAGTCAAAGGAACACGCATAGCTATACATTAAGTCACATTCTAAAGACCTAAAGATTGAGCTGTGGGCTTAAAAATGAGAAATGCATTTTTAAACAAAAAGAATGTTTAACCTACTGACTACCCGACAACAATCCTTACCAGGAATAACTTCTATCTCTTCCGATCGAGGTCCTTCCATGTTATTGAATGCAGTCATTGAAATCTCGTACTTTTTCATAGTCTCTAATCCATCTATAATCACTTGTCTCTCTGATGCGCCGATAGTGATCTTCTTTCCTTCGTGGTCATAATAATGATCTCTGTTTCTATAATACACGTTATATCCCTGGAGAGGACCGTTATGGTGACTTGGGGGAATGGGATCGAATATTACTCTAATGCTGTTTTCGGAGAGGCTATCCGCGCGTACATTCAATGGAGACATGCTTGGAGCTGGAAAAAAAGGAAACTTCCATGGGAATCACTGAATTATGTCATTGAGACGGTAGCAAATATTTATAACAAAATACACGAATTTTTGATAAGGTAAGTTTGAGCGACTGCAGGCCAGGACTCATTCCTACAGTTTTTACCAAAAAAGTTTGATCCCGAGCCCTGTTTATCCGCAGAGCCTGTTCCCTCCCAAAGGATTCCACTTTGCTGAAAGTAATTAAAAAGGTTTACTAGTTTGTCTGTGATTGGGTTAAGGAATAAATAACAGAGTGACTTTAGTCATCCGTTGAAAAGCTCACGAAAAGCAAATACATATCCGCTTCTGGCTTGTTTACCATTTCTTTGCGAGATTTTCACAGTGTATTTTCAGAATATCTAAGGGTGGGTAGCACATATTGTGTTAAATAACTCTGGCCTGAAAAAGGTGCATTACTTGGGGTGCAGCATTTACGTCTACAGATTGCCACCACTGTTCATTAAACTACTCACATTACAGTGTACACCTACATTCCCCCATCCTAAAACCCTCCTCTTCTCTCCGATTGGTTATTTCCTGCTTGAGATAGAAGGTCAACCTATTCAAAAGTCCATCATGGTTTGAAACATTACCTCCTTCGCCGGTCGTCATGCTGACGTTTTCACTGGTGTATATCCCATCTTCCGCGAATGCCATTATCTGTATAAAATATCTACGGTTGGGGCTGAGGTTCTCTACGCGGGGATTTCTTTCATAATGTGGAAAAGGGACCAATATCGACACGCGTTTGTGTGCTTCAGTGACTCTCACGAAAAAGCTTTTCACTTGTTTATCGTGATGTATAAAATCATCAAATGATATTTGAGCCGTTGTCGAATCTGTGTGATTGACTCTGAGTGACCAAGAAGGCTCGTGAGTTTCTTAAATTAAAAAAAAAGTAAAAATAATTAACATTTTATGACTGAACATCCGATCCTAAAAGAAAGCTTTTTGTCGTCAGTTTGCTAGTTGCTGTTGCTTTTCGTTTTTTGTTTTTATATGTATCTATATGTTTATATACATATATATATACACGTATATGTATATTTTTTTTCTCTACATGTGTCCTTCTTTTTCATAAAATATTCCGGATAAGTAGCCCGTCTTCACCAGGTACAGTTTGAAGCCGACAATGGTTACTGTTTTGTTAAGGCTGTTTGTATATTTCTGGCCCCGGTTGTTCGAAGGTCGGATAACGCTATTCACTGGCTAAATCTATATTCGGTAGAATTCACACTGCGTTTTGCCATCACTTATCCGTTGGGTAGCCATCCATCGGTTGGATAGCGTCATCCGCTCTTTCTACAATTGGGCTTTGGTTTCTACTGTCCTTATTGCCGTTCATGTTGGTTTTATTGTTCAGTTGATTGGTATTCAAAGTAAACATAGCATTGGAAATGAAATTCATTTCCGAAATGACACACGACTCAATACCTGGAATATCATATTCTAGGGCTTTGTACCACGCACGAAAAGCATCGCCCACGTTATACTCTCGGGCATAAAACCCGATCTCAGCTTCGTCATTTGATATTATAAGGTCAAAGAAATCCATGTGACCACAAAGTAAGGTATCATTATTGTAGCGCCCTGCTGTAACACTGAGCCATGTGTTCTTGCTGTGTGATAATGATAACAAAAAAACAATTAATAAATGTAAAAAAAAAACTAAGAGGAAAACGCCACCAATAACGCTAGTCTCTGTTCGCTCGCTTACAGCATAGATTTCATTTGCCTTCCTTTTATCGATATTCTAGTGATTAGATAGATACAGCGCTTTTTGATTAAAACCAAAATCAAAATGACCACAACGGCCAATCAGAAGATAGGAAAATATCTCAAGAGCCAATTAGAAAACCCAAACTGCCTAAAGCGCGGGAAAACGCGGGCGACCCAGTCGTGATTGGTTATAGTTTTGCCTCCGATTGGTTCAGAGAGAGGCGGGAGTTTTTTGGACCAATCACAGATCGAAGTAAAGCATAACCAATGCAATTGCTTTACATTGCAATTAAGAAACCAAAGCTGCAGAACTAGGGTCTTAGAAAAATAGATTTGATAGCGCTATGCAGTGCAGCGCGCCAACCGTCGTGCTTCCGAGTCGGCCACGCCATATATATTTGATATGATCTAAATCTCATATGTCCGGGGGATTGAAAATATCTTTTTTAATCTCAGAGGTATGCTGCAGTCACCCTTTACCATTTCGAGCTCCAAAACCAATTTACCAAACAAAATAGAACAAAGCCTGCGCTTAACACACAAGTGTACAATATAACAAAAAAAACAAAAAGGAAAAAAAACAGCAACAACCAACAGACTGCGATAACATTTACTTGCAGTACTCGTGACGATCCAAACGGAAGTTTACGATTGTTATCCATATAACTTTGGTGGGGCCGCTTGGCTTGATGGTCCATCGACAGTATTGAGGCCCTCGGAAGCGACAGGGGTAGTTGGGACTGTAAAAGGTTCCATTAACTTCTGTCAATTCTCTTGGATCTCCACAAGCTAGGAAGCGAAGGAAGGTCTTTTTAGACTAATGGATTGAATGACAATTGATATTAATAGAACTAGCTATCAAATTTCTCAAGAAACACCTTCGAGCACTGAAAAAGAGAACCTGTGGTAAGTTGTCTCGCTAAGCCTGAAAATCTTATCAGCGGAGCAAATGCAATTCTCTAATATTATTTCTTTATTTACTGGATTATATGATCTACGTCAGTTAAACCGCAAATATATCCATAAGATTGTGTCTTCGTGGCTAAAGGTAACTATTGCATAACCAAACAATTGACGGGGGGGGGGGGCCTACGGTTTAACGATGACAATGAAACGAAAAACAAAAACAAACAAAAAACAGGCGGTCTTTGTAAAGCACCACTGTGAAAGCAATACTTTGAAAATTAGAACTAATGGTAGCTCACGGGTAAAAAACTCTATATCCCTGTGCTCTCCAACTCCCCCTGCCGTAAATCCAGCGATATATACTCGATACTTGGTTCCTGGCTGAAGACCAGTGATAGTATGGCTTCTAAAAGATAAGTCGACTGTCAACTGTTCAACATGTTGAGAATGAAAGTTCTCTTTAAAACATTCGGGAAAATAGGTGATATTGTAGCCAAGAAGTTTTCCATTGTGATATTCTGGATATATCTCGGACCATTCGATGATGGCGCTGCTTGCTGACAGGACTTTGTACCACGTATAAGCAGGTCCTTCACTAGGAACTAAAACAAAATAACATTTTCTCATAATTGCACCGATATGGTCCCTCGTTTTCTTTTCTTGGCGATGCTTTTCAGTTCTTACTGTCACCCTTTTAAGTCTGTTTGCGGGTCTATGTGTTAGGCGTGGGCTTCCGTTGTATCTGAGGAGCTCCAAAAATTCAGTGCTCGTTCGAATGTTTTACCAAACTAAACCAGTTCTTCATTTTATTAATTTCTAGGCGATACGTTTCTTCTTTTTTTTCTTAACTCAATTTCTCAGTTTTAGATATTGGAAAGCTTCTCTATATGAAAGTGTAAGTATGGCTTGGCTAGGTCTATACCCCCATTTCTCTCAAAACGAAGCAAATCAGAGCACAAAATGCTTAAAGAAAAAAAATGAGAAAAATAGTTATCGGTAGTACTCACCACCTTCCATCGTCTCCATTAGAAATTGTTCACTTTTGTAAATTTCATCATTTTTGCCAACGAGGTAAACAACAACCGTAAAGCTGCCCGATACCGGAAGACCAAACACTTCCTTCACGGAATTCGACGAATTTACCATGTGCAGATAAACTGGAGGTTGCTTGTCGTCATTCCCATGATGCCCCCTGCAACCGGGATTCTCTTCCGTACTATTTAGAGATATAATAAAGAAGGAGGCTCCTTTATCTTTGGGGAAACGAGACATGTCAAATATGACACTCCCGACTTCAGTGTTGCTTGCTGTTACATTCCATGGAGGCTGGAAAGAGGCAGCTGAAAAAAACAATTGATCTGGGTCAGATGAGATTTTTATAGTAAGGTATTCCGCTATGAGGTGCAAACCATTACCCTTTCTATAAACCGCCTATGACCAAACTCATTAATTTAATCTTTATGTATTCATTTATTTATTTAATTCTGCAGGATAGAAAGGACATTGAGTCAGTGGTCTCATAGGCAAGGGTTTGTAATACTTCAGGCTAGAAATAGAGAATATGCAGATTAGCTAAAGATAAAGAGATACTTTTTTTTTCATGCACCTTAAATAAATAAGAAACGAATCCATTTTTACCTTTTCATACAGTGTAACAAGGAAAGTTAAATAAGGTAAACGAGGCATTTTTGTCAATGATCGACCAATTTAACTGAACTAAAGCAACTAGAGCAAAATTTGGCAAAGTTCACGTATTTGCGGATTTTAACCAAAAAAAAGTTGTCTTTCGACTTTGTTTATCACTCGTATGATTACATACTGAATTGGACTTCACGCGATCCTGTTACCATTATTAACTGCAACATATATGGTAAGTGCGGTTGTTAGCATGAGAACAGCTAACAGTGCTCAACTATACCTGAATACAGAGCTTTCCCTTGTTCCAAAAGAACAAATTCTGATATCACTTGGCTTCCTCCGTATTCTGTATGAAGCTTGAGGGTCAAAAAGTCAGACCCGTCAAAAGGAACCTCCACTATATCACCTTTTACCGTTTCATAATGACAACCATCATAACTCCATAGCTCGTTCCCATCACTTCCAAAGATCTTGGACGAAGATCTGTTTATACCAAAGGTGAAAGAGTTTGCAGGTAAAAATGGAATGTGAGAAGCAAGGTTTATTTGACTCGCTCTTTACGAGAAGAATCCTGATCAATTTATCTGAATGATCTTAAATGATACTTATTACCATCCACACGACAAGTCTACGCAATCAGCATTACAAACATAATTGAGGTAGACATGAATGAGATTTAAACCAAATCGTTACTTATCGCCCAGGGGAGAGGATTTTGGGGTAAGGGGAGAACATGGTTTTGAGGGGGAACGGATAGAGGGATCAGTCCTCTCCAACAGAATATGAATTAAGGACTATAGAAACTTGGCTGCCAATTAACTTCCAATAAGGGGGTAAACGTGAGAATTTGGAATGGGGAATCATGTATGGGGGATCAGCAAATTTCAATGTAACAATTAAAATCCTCCTTGTCCCCCCTACCCCCCCTCCCCGTGCCCCTTCTGTGCCCCCTGCCCCCCAAATGATAAAAAGTGACCTGTCACTTACTCGCAAGATTTAAGTTCCACGTATTGTGCAGATATGATCATCACGGGGTTGGTAAGGCCAGGATTGTTAATCCTCCACGAACAGTCTAGTCCAGCCCAGCTCCATTGTGTAAGATTGAATGCTCCAAAGTAACCATGGAAAGTTCCGCCACAACCTGACAAAAGCAATGCGTTATTAATGATGTTGATAGGATCAAGGTAAGTCGAATTCCTTTTATCATCCCACAAGTCTTAGACAAGATTTTACAATTGCGATGGGGTTCGATTTGCCAGGCAAATGTAAAGTTCCGGACAGAAATGGAAGGCACAAGGTCGGGTTGCGAATTTATTTAAGATAAAAGGGTGATAACGAACCTTATTCTCTATAAAATGAACCTAACAAGCGTTGTTTAAACATGTTATTTTGAATGTGCAAACTGTTTATTACTCTTAATAATCGGCGGCCGTTGATAGCCGACCAAGCCTAAGAATTTCATTGTAATTTTGATGAGGGCAAGCATTGATTCGCAAAAGAAGTAGAATGATTTAGTGGATGATTGAATTGAACAAGGATTCGAGTTAGCTGATGAAGTGTAGTTGGGAGAATGATTTCTTGAAAGATTGGAAAACTGGATAAGTCCTAGATGAATTTTGTTGGTTGACATAACGCATCTGAAGGATTTATTCTTTTCAGTATAAAATACGTATTTATAAAATTATATTAAAATAAGCAAATCAATTAAAACACGTAAATTTGTAGATTGATTCTTGCTCATCGATGTAATGCAATGGAGAATTAATTTCTTGTTTACCAATAAGTACTGTTTCCCAGTCTGATTTCGGTCCATCATCAACGGTGAATGCCGCAACCGCGATTTGATATTTTCTTCCTCCGTCCAAGCTCTCGAGAGTAAGGTGGGTATCCGTAGAATTCACCCTGATAACATCTCCCATATCCCCGTCGTCATACCACCATTCATAATGGCTTTTCCATTCCCTGATTTGGACCTTGTATCCAAGGAGCTTGCCATTTGCATATTTCGCTTCAAGAGGATCCCATGTTACTTCGACACCGTTATGGTCCAGGAGTTTAACGTGCACATTTTCCGGCGCTCTCGATGGAGCTGAAAGGTAGGTGAAAAGATCATTTTTGTGACTATATCGAAGTTCTGGATTGAATTCTCAGAGTTGAATTCATCTAACATCGTTGATTAATGCTACACTTTCACTTTGCACAGGCGTGAAACAATGCAGAATACATAACCGCAACACCAACAATATTTTATTTAAGTGCGCTACACCGAGAAGCACAAGGCTCGTAAAACATGTGCGTGAAAGTAACTACTTGAAAAAAATAACAATGATAAGTTGGATAATATAGACTGCGACGATGTAAATTCTACCATATACAACTATGTACCATCTGTACTATATACCATCTTTTTGTGCAACCAGAAAGTTTTCCACAAATCGTGGATGTCTCTATGAAGGGGCATGAATGGTTACATGATCAAAGTGAAAGTTATGTTCTTTGAGAAAGCGGCATAGCTTTCAGCTTCACGAATTTTTGCGATTTCTATCCCTTCCTCGTTATTAAACTTTTAGCTTCACGATTTATACGTTCTCCCTATAACAACAGCTCCTGACCTTAAAAGAACAACCCTTTTTTGGGGGAATTCAAACTAAACAAGACAAAACTTTGGAAATTATGCAGATCTTAAAACACGCCTTGTTTTGGTTACATACCTCCTTCTTCGGTGGTAATTGAGACATTATTACTTGAGTAAATATCGTCTCCGATGCCGCCCACAAAGGCAATCATCTGAATGATGTACTGACGGCCAGGCATAAGCAAAAAATCTATGTCGTCTCCCGAGTTGTGTGTTGCCGTGGGAATCAAAACAATGATATCCTCATCTGCTTGTTTGAACGCCATGTACAGGTCTTGAATTGGGTTACCTAATGGAAAGGCGAACCAGTCTAATCTCGCAGATGACCCATGTTGCTGGACTATGACATTCCAAGAGGAAAGTTGGGTTACTGCAATCACATGATAAATGCAAAAAATAGTAAAATTGAGAAATTATGTCATTTGTTCTGGAATAACTTTAAGCCTATTTGACATGATAATCTTAACCCGATTATATTAAGCATCAATATATCAGTGCTTACCAAGCACTCACTTTCTCGTTACAGTGTCGTGGCTGAATCAAATATCAAGGTCATGAAAATAAAGCAAAAAGCCATCCAAAGAAGCTCTCAGTAATTGTTAGACAAATTCTGGTTTTCAAAAATATAGAAAATGTAAAGAAAACAGTATGAAGAACATTTATATTGATGTTAGGGAGTATAAGGGTTGAGCATGACATTCATGGCAAAAGGAAGAAAATGAACCTTGATTTGTTCACTTTCCTGATAATGATAATGATATTAATAATGAAAAAATTATAATAATGAAAATAATAGAGAAAGCAGTTAAAAGTATCACCTGTGAATTTGCTGTCGACTGCTTCGTAAGACGCTGTAAACCCTTGACTCCCTCTCATAAGTCTCGTGTGAAAGGCAACATCGAGGTGACTGCTTAAGCTTACAATAACGAACTTATTATCCATTCCTCCATGACGGCAGACTAAGACGTCAAAGCTAATGTCCGTAGTTGAAAACGCCACCGCATCATTCTGTCTAAGAAACCAGATCAGTTAAAGGGAATTGGTAACAGTAACTTGTCAGCAAAGTGTCGTTCGGTAAAAAGTCAAAAAAGTCATGGTCGAGTAAAAAAAAAGTTTAGTACACACACTTTTTTTTGCCAAGAATTTGTATTCGAACTACGGTGAGATAAAAAAAACAATGAAGAAATAATTAAATCTTAATGAACCTCCTGCTAAAAATTAGAGCGGAGGGCTCTGCAACCAATTCGTGTACTAGATACTTACCCACAATTTCGGTCTCCGTAATCATCATAGGCAAGATAAAAACCTTCAAACCACATCCAAATTGTTTCAATTGGACTACTTGAATTGGGCTGGATAGACCAATGACAATCTTGCTCTTCCCCATATGAACAAGGCGCATTGGGACTTTCTATTAAGCCGTTCAACTTTGTGAGGGTGCCTATTCCACCACAGCCTAAAGGGAAACATGAAAAGAAATTGACGCAAGTTGCTATGCGACTAATTTTATAATGGGGGAGGGGGGAGGGGGGAGGGGGGTGGGATAGGCAGTGAATAGAGCGCTGAAAAAAGACTTAACCCCAGCCGCAGGCGCACGGGGCAGCACTCACGTCATCCCTTGCAAGTTTTGTCACAGGAAATAAACCACGAAAGCTTTAACTTTGTAGAACAAAAACGATCAAGAAAGCAAGAAAAATTTTATTGATGTCGTTTTGCCATATTTATTTGTTTAATATGACTTCTGGTCCTTTTCATTTATTTTTTTTTCCTGAAAGAATTCTTGTTTTGAGGTTTTCAGAGGAAAAAAAATTGGTACTCACGAGTTGTATCGCTGAGTATTGGTTATCCACTATGAGTAAGTCTATTCTAGTAATAATTACTAATAAACGAACAACGATGAGTGATAATAGATCCAGTTCCACAGCAGGATAAGCAACCAGTCATTAGTTATCGGCGAAGGGTGGTTTGAGGATTTTGGTCGTATCGCCATGATTTTTCCTGCTCTTTCCCCACTAAGGTGTGTGGTATTCTAGTGATCACCCTCACCCTCATTGGCGGTCAATTTTCTACGGGCTCCCCTTTACAATCTGTTTGTGACGAATCACCCCCTTTCCGTCCTCCCTCAAACCGTGTACAGTGCAATTCTCCCCAAAAATCCTCCTACCCCTCCCCCCCAAGTTATACATAATGAAGAAACCTTAACACTGACAACGTTACTTACTTGCATAGGTGTCTCTATGAGTAGGCGGCCCATTCCCCTTTGAGGTAAATCCCTCCAGTTCAAGGCGATACTTCAATCCGGGACGTAGATTACAAAGCGAGATATTGAAAATGGAAGCATCTACTGTCACGTTCCCCTCGTGTCCATCATGCTCTGGATCATTCTCAAAACAGGTAGCGATGTACGAGAGGGTATACCCAAGAATCTGACCCCCACGTTCATACTCGGAAATGGGATCCCATTCGACCTTCACACAGCCCATTTCATCGGGATAGCTGTCATGAATATGAGGGCCAGACATTGGCACTGCAAAAAAAATATGTTATATAAAGAAACGTTTACTCGTTTTGGCGCAACCACATTCTGGACCATCTTTTATTTAGGAGAACGTTTTATCTAGTGGTTGATTTGTATGAAAAGTGTAAAGGAGGCTTATAGTGAACACAGGAAAAGTATTTATTCATTTCAAACACTAAGTGTCATTCATCCTAAAAACGCTACTATTGTTGTAAACGCAACAAAAAGATGGAGCAAAGTCACTTGAAATGGATGAGTGATTCACTGATTCACTGAGAGATCATGATGATGACTATGGTGGAGACAACATAATTTCAAACTCGAGGCTAATAAAATATTTTTACTTTCGACGAAAACTCAACTTTGATAACGATTTAACGATATTTCATAAAAAATACCTGACTCGTGGGTGGATTTTATTATCTCATTGCTTTTGTGAGGCTGACCTAAAACATCCACAGCTACAACTGATATGTTATATTCATGGTAAGGAATCAAACCGTGCAGCCACAAGGATGAAGTGGATGATGTCACAATCCTTCCATTCACAACGTCATGTCTCGTTGTGGAAGCAACGATTACAACATAGACTTCCACTGACTGATCGATCTCAGAGGTCAGCGCTGTCCACTCGATTTGAAAACTGTCCTCTGTGATATTGATCACGCTTACATCCCAGCCACTGACCTGTGGAGCTGACCAGACAAAGAAAAACTTTAGTGCAGTGGACGAAAAATCGAGATTAAAGCGGTAACGCCACTGGAAGTTGAAGAGGTAGCAATGCTGTCTCTCATTCGCCAGCCTGGTTTTGTTTTGTTTTGTTTTTTTTAACGTTCGTTTGCTTCGTTTTTGTTTTTTGTTATCAAAAAGGAATTTGGATAACCAGTCAAAAACTCAATTCATTTATTTTGATTTTGTCTCTTTTATTCTTTAAGTTTTGTATTTGTGCTAACATTAAGGATTGTGGTGTTCTTTATCAATGTTTTTATCATGCAACAGAAAGATTTGGTGAATATGAAGGCGATTTTCGCAGTAGTGACTACTACTAAAGCTGTAGTGAAAATAGGGCTTTAAAAAAGTTCAGGCCTGTACGGGATTGGAACCCATAACCTTCGCGATACCGGTGCAGTGGCCTACTACCTGAGCTAACAAGCTAACCGGGAGCTAATCACTTTGTTGGTTCCTGAATTTATTTCAGGCCTTATTTCCACTACTGCTTGAGTATTGGTCATTACTGCAAAGACCGCTTTCATATTCGCTCCTTTTATTCGCAGTTCACATGTATGATTTCATATATTCACAGTCAAAAAAGTTAATGCCACTTTTAAGAGTAGAACGATGAATAAGATTAAACATTTCGTTTAGCTGTGCTGTACAAGGCTCACCGGATTCATAACTGCCTTGAAGAAAGACATAAGCTCCGTCAAAAGAGACATTGTCGACAAGTTGTTGATCAATTGTCACAAACACTTTCGGGGCGTCATATTCAATTATTTGGGTAGTCGTCTCCCGGCACATTATCACATGATCATAGTGTTGGTCAGGAAACATCTGGATGTTTAGTTGCGTTCTAACAAGAAATAAAACAGTGTACCATAGAGTAAATTCTTTCATATGTTTTTAGTCAAGCATAACCTTTAATATGAAAATAAACTGATTTAGTCGATCTGGGTGGCCAGCACTCAGTCGGAGCATATCCCGGTTTCCTTAGCAGGCAGCAGCTTTCAGAGTATGAAGTAATTCCCACGTGGAACGCGTATATCTATTGGACAATTTCTATACCCTTAAGTGCTTCCTAATTGCAGGCTCTACGACATATTATCGATAATCCCTTCGGTAAAAACGATTAAACGTTGGTAAGATCGCAGTAAGATGTATCTGATATGTACTATAATGCAAAGCATTCTAGTGACGCGCACCTGGGAATGACGGCTTCGATCCAATAATACGAGTGAGTCATCCTACCACCTTACTCCCTCACCCCTCTATCACTCCCCCTCCCCCTACCGTTCTTGCAGTCTCAGCTGCTAACCTCTCTTCGTGTGTAGTAGGGACAGATTGAAAATTGGGTGCTCATACTTTTCAGCGGCAAGTAGAGTAGATAAATCATTTCGAGAAAACAAAAACACCGGAAGAAAAGAAGCGCTCGTCGTTAACGACAAAAAAAATTGAAAGGAAAATGGACAATGAACATGACTTACCCACATTTAGCTCCTCTTTTTACATATGTGTTAATAATGACATGATCTCCTTTCGGGTCTCTTTCATCCCCAATTATCCATTCACATCTCCTCTCCTGCGGCTTTGAACCCTTCATGAAATGTAATGAACCAGAAAGATCTGTTCTGTTCGAACCACCATCGCATTCTGTTTGATAGAATAAAACAACATATTTGAATGATAAAATGTTTGGAGACTACGGGAGATTTCTTTGTACCTTCATTTCCCCAATAAAAAGGTCTCAAATCCAGGAACATGACCGATTCTTTTGTAAAACAATAAAATGAGGTTAAAAGCATAGGTGACACACCTGTCTATGTTTTCACTAACCTATTTATCTATTTTAAATATTATCTTTTTTAATCATTGTCATCGATATTATCATATCTTTTTCCTTTTTGTTATTTTGTTTGCTTTCCAAGTTACCTGTGATCTATTGATTGAAGAGAAACGCTTTGTAAAAGAAAAGGGAAACTCAAAGTAATGCAGTTACCGTAGATTCATTAAAATGTATCGCAGCCTCCACATAAAAAACAACAAATAGCAAAGTATCCCTTCTAGCCGGTAGAAAACCAACTGAATAATAATAGATAAGAACGTACAGTTGACCTCGAGACGATAGAGAGCAACTCAAGTTACAGGTCGCGGGGAGATACGGAACATGGAACTACTGAGCTTAAATAAGGCGCCCGCTGCCCTCGATCATTCTACTTCTTAGGTATAAAGGAATGTGTTCTTATAGACCTTTATACAGTTATCAATTTGATGTCGGACTTACGTGCATAAGCAAGCTCCCCACATGAAACCCCTACTGTTGCGTCCTCATCACAGTGACTATCATAATACTCTTCATGGCGGCAGTCCAAAAGTGGTGTGTCTTCGCTATCGCATTGAAATTCTCTAGGTAGGTACGAGTAGTTACCCGTACCAAAGTCAGAGTCATAGAACCTACTCTCCGGATCTGGGAGACCGAGCGTTCGGCACACAGATGTGAAAGCTTGGTGATTAAAATGGCGTTTGCAAAGCCTCCACCAGGTCTCGTTGAAGTAGATTTCTATTCGTCCCTGGTTATCGCTTCCTCCGTCAACAAGTCGCAAGTCGCCTGGTAAAGAACAAAGTCGTAATCCTTCGTTCAAATATTTTTAGTTGATGGCTTAATACAAGATAGGCCTTATGCCAGAGGTTTCGATCAAAGCCGGTTACTGACGGTCCACCACCGCCCGTAAGACATATTTAGCCTGAGCAGGCCCTCGAGTTTGGGTATCTCTTTACGCCCCTTTTCAGGGCACAGCCTCCTATTACACCATCTACAGCCACGTGTCGAAAAAGTATTGACATTACTGCCATATGCACAGTTTTTCTTACCCCCACACCTAGCCAGGCGCGGACCGCTGGATTTTAATAGGAAAGTGCTCCCACATATCCGCATGAAAACAACAAGAAGGGACAGGGACTCATAAAGATTTTGGTGCAAATGAGGCTTAAATAAAACGTCTAATAAAATATTCCTTTCTGTATTTTCTTTTTTTTCCCTTGTACCGGTGGAGTTTTTTTCATGCTTGGGTTGTGCGATTAAGTCGACGTTTTCGATGCTACTGGAGCTACGTTTTGTTTTGGGCATCTTCGGAGATGTTCGTCCTAAATTTTTTAATTTCGTCATTTACCATCTATGTCAGTGATACCCGTTCTAATTTCTGAGTTTTTCCAGGTTTACCTCTTTTAACATTTCTATGTTTTTCCTACGTTGAAGGTAACTTAACCATCAAAAAGAAAAAAGTAAAAGTTCATTTTTTTATCCTTACAAGAGGAACTCAATCCCCTTCCCCGGTAAAACAATTCACAACAACTTCGGACTTATAGCTAGAATAACTGTAATAAGGTGGGTATTTATAAGCTTACTCTTAAAGGGGGTTGTGGCAATGAATTTGTTGGAGGTGGTTTAGGTGCCAAGTTTATCAGCCTTTTGGCTATTAAGTACTACCCTCTTTAAATAAAGAGTTTACTTACTTACTCCCTAAATAGACTTTAAAGAAACCCTAAACCCGCTGGAGGTACAGGATAAGATAAGATAAGTACAATTCTACATGCTTTAACTCACCCTCTGTTAGACTGGCCTCCACTGAATTTATCACTGCAAAAAGACAAAAACGTTAACAATTAAAACGACAATCGAAGAATTAGCCATGACTAGTAAAAAATTTTGAATTATCATGTGAGAAGTAGATGATTCCTTGAAATCATCCCTGCATCAGTGTGCCCTGCACAAGCAGTTTTCAAAGCTCAACACTCCACGTCACACATCAAAGTGCTCTGTGAGCAAACTCGTGAATTGACAGATGACTTACATGACTTTTTGGATTATGTTTAATGTTATCTGGTTTACGGAAATTTTGTGGTTATTGTCATACCTAAGAATTTATCACTGCAAAAAGACAAAAACGTTAACAATTAAAACGACAATCGAAGAATTAGCCATGACTAGTAAAAAATTTTGAATTATCATGTGAGAAGTAGATGATTTCTTGAAATCATCCCTGCATCAGTGTGCCCTGCACAAGCAGTTTTCAAAGCTCAACACTCCACGTCACACATCAAAGTGCTCTGTGAGCAAACTCGTGAATTGACAGATGACTTACATGACTTTTTGGATTATGTTTAATGTTATCTGGTTTAGGGAATTTTGTGGTTGATTGTCATATCTAGAGTACGAGCAGTAGTTCATGATCAGTGTTCGCTAATAATGTGGCAAAGAAACAAATTTACGTTGGAATTAGAAGCCACTGCGATTGTAATGATCATGCTATTACATTTGACAAGGGTGGATGACGTCGTTTCTTTAACATAAATCATTCTTGTTTCTGGTTCAAAAGAAAAGGTTGGTAATAAATGTGGGTGAAAAGTAAAATTTACTGTCTATCGTTGTAAATATTGGAAAATCAAAGCAATACTGTATTAATGAAACATTGACGATTCTCTCTTTATCAAATGAGACAAACGGAAACGAGTTTTGAGTGAAATAACTGAGCCCAGACTGCCACCGTTATTTTGGATTTCCGCCTTGGTAGATTTTGGTCACGTGCTAAGCAACGTATAATCAAGAAAAAGATCGAATCTCATTTCAGGCCTATTTATCAATTTTTGTGGTGTACAACTTTAAAACATAAATGGAGTTCCGCTTTGTGATTCTTACATTGACCCTCTTCGTGAAAAAATTATTGATAACAAAATTAACATTATCTTCAACGTACAGTATGTAGATGTAAAAGATGGAAGAGTGACGCCACTATAAATCATCCCTTAACAATTTCGGATGCAATCTAACTCAGGCAAAACAGAAAAATCTCTCGGTCCAAGAAAAAGGGCGATAAAATTAACTGATTACATTATTGAAATTTGTGTTCTGTATTTATCTTTGCTGCCTCGTTTTCCTTGGTCTGTCTGTTTTCACCTCTTTGGTGTCTATATTTCACAGCTATCTGTCAACACCTGTGGTGTTTTCTTGCCATTAGGAGAATGCTAAGTTACACAGATTACAAATATGATAATTTTCGTCACTAATTGATATCTCGGAATATTTAGCCTTAATTTTGCAAATTTATCATTGGTGATCTGTCTTGATTCTTATCATACTCAACCATTCTCGTTTCACCAGGACTATTTCTACTTCTTGATGATTGCCTTCCCTTCATCAAATTTTTACCTCCGTTTGACGGAAATTTTCAACACTGCAATAATGATGCAATGAAAAGTGGCACAGTTCTTAAGCTACCGATTTAACGCCATTTGATATCTTAATCTGTCTCAGTAAACACTGATATCATCAATATTAAAAATCACCAAGACTTTGAGTTAAAGGGGCATTGATGGTAAAATGCGAAACGCCCGGGGGGCCGAGACCCATGTTTGAAAATCCGAGAGCGACGCTTGAAAATTGTAAGCATACAATTCCTCACCATTACCGTTGCTTATCTCAGATTATTGAAAGATACTACTAATACCAATAAAATTTTGGCTTCAACATTTTGAACAGTTTTGTGTTCGTTTTGATCACATAACAATACATAGCAACAATAGGAAAGGAAAACAATCATAAACAGATTTCCGTCTCTAAGCTTCTCTTCTCTAATCCACCCCAGGCAACAACCGTGAAAGCTCAACACGAATTTCAACATAAAACTACAAAAGCAGACTCAAAAATTTAAAAATGTGTTGTTAAATCCCATCATCATCATAATAATTATTAGAATTTAGTAACAGAATTTTGTCAATGCCTATGACTAATGATGAAGGCTCGAAACGAATTTAAAGTGTTTCTTCAGAAAACAAACTCAAAGCTAAGAACAAGAAGAATATGAAAGTTAAATATGAAAGCTCGACGAACAATTTCACATGTACAGGTGTTTATTCCAGTTCAAACCCGTAACTGTATCAGGTCTTTTGGTTTCGAAATGCGTTGTCACAAAATCAATGTTAAAAAAACGAAGTCATTCCAAGTGGATGTGATAATGATGAAAGTTATAAAGCGCGTGGTAACATGCATCTTCAAAAGCAAACTCTAAACTGCAAAACACGCGGCAATAAGATATTTTTCTATATCATCATTTCTGTAAATCATAAACAGAGCCAGATTATTAAGGCGAAGTTTTGATAATAGAAGCTTAAAACGCACTCAAGAATATCTGCTCAGAGTGTGAGTTTCGAAACTAAACAATAAAGATTATCTGAGCCAATACTTCTAATTGTGGAAAGGCTTTCAGCAATGAGAACCGACCAAGAATACTTAATTATACCTGTCATTTGAGGCCAAAATAGTATGAGATATATAAGCAGCTGCTGAAGACATGTGAAAATCATAACGCCCGCTTGTATGGTGAATGTACAAAAGAACTACTTCTGTTTCACAGCCATCGACTTTCTTAGTTTGAATGCAAACTCTCCAACGCGTTTTGAATAGTTTTCACACTTTAATGAGCGTGTCATTGCTGTGACATGCAACAGAAGATATAATCTAAACTTATGATACACAGTTTTTCATAAGTTCAGAAATCTGTTAGAAATGCTTTCTAAAAGACTGGAACAGAGAACCTCTAACCAAAATGAACTGATATCAGATATCGTGTTATTTTCCTAAAAAAAGAGATAATACGGTCTTTATATTCCGGTTTGCTATTAAAGTACTTAGTATGCGGCAAAACTGATCAAAGAATCTATTTCATGGTTAACGCGTGGTGGAACTTTTAGGCTGAACTTCTCAAGCTAATGATTTGCAAACCTATTCAATTTTTTTTTTTACATCCGTGAACTAAATTTATTTGGTTTAAACTTTCCAGTATTAAGTAATTATTTACACCAAATAATGATAGGAATCTATTAGCAGATAAAATTACCCCCTGGGTATGTACATGCCCAGAAGCCGAACAATTCCAAAAACATTTGCACTGTTGTTCAGCTATTTGCTATTAAAAAGAATTTGGCTCTTTCCGTTTTGCTACCACAATTGCGTGTCAAAAATAAAATTTTTGGTTTTCAAAACGTTTAGGGCTGATTCGCATAGAGAGCAGAATTAATGAATCAGGTAACATTTCGTGATCATGTCCTTCCAACCCTTAACTCGAGGTTATTTACAAAACAATGGAAAAAATGTTTAGAAAAAAACTTCGTACTTGACTAATTAGGATAACACATTCACACTAAAGTTTTGATTCGATTTAGCGACGGTGTCTAGACAAAGTATTCAAACAATGCAACATTATCCGAAAGGCTGTATTCAAGCACTGAAATGAGGGGAGCCATTATGATCGTGTGAACAGTAATGGAGTCTTCTACCATGGCAGATAAAATTACCCCCTGGGTATGTACATGCCCAGAAGCCGAACAATTCCAAAAACATCTGCACTGTTGTTCAGCTATTTGCTATTAAAAAGAATTTGGCTCTTTCCGTTTTGCTACCACAATTGCGTGTCAAAAATAAAATTTTTGGTTTTCAAAACGTTTAGGGCTGATTCGCATAGAGAGCAGAATTAATGAATCAGGTAACATTTCGTGATCATGTCCTTCCAACCCTTAACTCGAGGTTATTTACAAAACAATGGAAAAAATGTTTAGAAAAGAACTTCGTAATTGACTAATTAGGATAACACATTCCCACTAAAGTTTTGATTCGATTTAGCGACGGTGTCTAGACAAAGTATTCAAACAATGCAACATTATCCGAAAGGCTGTATTCAAGCACTGAAATGAGGGGAGCCATTATGATCGTGTGAACAGTAATGGAGTCTTCTACCATGGCAACACTGCCTTAACTCTTTTATGCAAACTTTTGAAAGCCATGTTTTGTGCAACCATTTTATAGTGTTAGCTTTGCGTTTCATTCATGAAGTATTTTTTCAAAGATTTTTCGCCTGCGGGTTGGTAATTTACATGACAGTAAAGATTGATTACAAACTTCAAAAAAATGTCCTGAAATCTTCAACATTTTTTAACATCTCAGTGGAATGTTGAGACGATGCAGGTACAACAAGGGGACCCTGGAATTTCACAATTTCCATCAGAATGTTGTCGTCCTGATCATAAATATCACAAATTGACGAGGTCTAAAGGAGCGTCACTAGTGCATACATGTCTGACAATTAAAACACGCCTCTCTTATTTCTGTAAATTTTCCAACGTAGCGCAGAAAGTTCCCAATGCAGCCCTCTTTCGTGTTTCCGAAAATGAATTCTAAATTCTCCTTTTCTAAGATTTTTGATTTGAGATTTGAGACGCCAGAAGAAGGAGGGAATAAAGTTAAGTAAGAACCGCCCCAACAGACTCAACTGTTCCTGAGAGCAGAAGTATTTTTGGATGAATCAAGAAGATCACCTATGAGAGCAAACGTTTTGCTGGTCATGACAGAAGTGTCGAAAACTTAAAAACACGAACACGCAGATATGCCAAATGACAACGCTAACATTATGCATATGTACCGAAACCTTCAATAACTCGAACGTAAATGAAAATTTCTTGGATCTGCTTTTTGTATTGAGCATGATTTTACTATAAATAGATCCAACGCTTTGGTAACTCGAAGTGATTTCGCATTACCTCTGACTTTTTTGATGAGTTGAAATTGAACTATATAGTTCACGAATCCAAAAATCGATGAATCATTATTAACATTATTGTTTTGTTCCAGGTCTGTTTTGTCGCTTAATGCCGTTTCCTTGAATACTGCATGGGCCATATGGTTTGCTTGTTACTGCTAATATCTGAAAATTCTAGAGTAAACAAAGTTTTCCTTTGAAGCCTGGCATTCCGCACCACACAACAAAGCAGCAGAGGTTCAAGGATGATGATTGTAGCTGCATTCTAATGCAGATAAGATCCTTGATCACTCTGTTCACTCCGATCGGAAGGAAATAAGTTAAATATGACCACAGACAACAACGTGGTCTCACCTGCTAAATTCATGGATAGACAAATCCAATACCACAACAATATAAACCCAGAATAATAAAGAGGAACACCGAAGCTCATTTATACATGACAACGAGAAGCTCTTGATTTATTTTCAAGGGACCTCTATACCCTTTCTGCATGCGCATGGCTTTCAGTTTTCCGAAAAATAGCGCAGTCACAAACAGGAATAATTTCAGCTCCCAAACACGAGCATCGGTCACGCGTACTTAGCATCCGAAACGTTTCATTTCACATGTTATATAACCTCCTCAAAGGCGTTTTCAAAATGTCCTAACTACTGCTGAGTATGCAAAAGCTAAAAGAACTCTCTATCGACCACGTGATAGTGGAAGTGAAGTCGTCGATGTGGGGCCTCATAGAAAGCAGAGTTCAAGTTCGAAATTATCGAAACGGTACCTATGACGCCAACTACATACCACGTGTTCCAGGACCTCATCGTGCGCAAGTCGAGGTCGGTGGCCATCTCATTCAGGATACTAAGTCCGTTAAAGTCCTTAGGATCTCATGGAAACGTCGATGGAAAATTTACTCAACCACATGGAGTAGCTGTTTCAAACACCGGGCAGGTTATCTTCTCTGACAGTTTGAAGCATCGGATCCACGTATTTACACCGGACGGCGGGCAGATTCTCGAGTTCGGCAGTGAAGGAACAAAAGATGGCAAGTTGTTCCACCTGATATCCATGACGCTCGACAAGAGTCAAAAGTACGTGTTTGTGGCAAACAGTGACAACAACAGAGTGCAGTATTTTGACTTGAAGACTGGAAGTTTGTGAAAAAGTTCGGTTCTGAGGGAGGTGGCCATGAGCAGTTCAACGGCCCTGGCGGCATATCAATTGATCAGAAGGACCGTGTCATCGTCAATGATTGGAACAATCACCGAGTGCAAGTGTTTAGCTCCGACGGCAAATTCCTTTTCAAATTTCGGGACGCAGGCAACGACAGACTAATTCATCCCAGATTTGCCTTGTACCATGACAAGAGGAACGCTTCGTAGTCGCTGGTGCTTGTAACGATGTAGTTAAAGTTTACGACCAAAATGGCGATCCTTTAAGAATTATAAGTGGATATGGTCATAAGAAGAGGGATTTTGTGGTTCCCGTGGCCTGGCCATTGATAAAAATCAAAACATAATTCTATACGATTTCGAAAACCATTGTCTACAAGTTTTCGATATTAAGAGGGTTGTTCTCAATAGTTTTGATACAAACGGGAAGTGGATTGGCCAGTTTGCTTTGAGTGTTCCAGTTGTTGGCGGACTGCGGGTTGTTGTGAGTGAATGGGGTAACAATCGCATACAAATATTCAAATATAGAGATTCTATGAACTAAAAGTGATAGTCTAGTCAATGCATTCAAGGTTCTGGATCATCGTATTGTAGGAAATTGCGATATTTTCAATTCATTCTTAATTTGTATTCGATCTGAACTTAAGAATTACAGAGCAGGAAGTGTAAATGAAGCTTTACGACGTATGATAAACAGCAATGATTGCTTTGCAACAGTGAGCGATCTTTGATCGGTTTATCAAATTGGCACGAATTTCGTCTCTTTTAATCCGGGTTTGAGTGTTAATGTCTTTTGGCAGTTTTCGTTCTGAGATTTTCTACGGCTTTTAGCCCTTCGATATTTAAATAACCTACATTTGAGAATAAATTATAAAATAATATAGCTTATCAATCGGTTTGAGGGTCTAAATGTTTTAGGTTCTATTATGACATGTAAATAAAATTTTTTGGAAATTAGGCGGTAACTGGTAATGGTGTAAATTTAACTACTATAGTTATAGTAATAAATTTATCACTCTCCTTTATCAGGAATAGATTTACATCTCAGATCCATTTTGTCTAGATTGAATTAAACAAACTGCGGGGGCTTCACATTCTAAGGCGATTAAATTATTAAGCCTCATTGATATATGACACCAGATCTTTCACTTCCAGAAGAGCCAAAAACGTAATTTCTCGGCGCAATATTAATGCATTTTCGAGGAAAAAGGTGATGAAAAAAAATATTTCCTGATTAAACACCATATTCTCATAACTCAGTTATAAGAAATGTCTGGCAGGATCAGTATCCAAATTCTCCATACTCGTCTCCACACATATTCTTTGGCACGGACGAGGAGAATTTGTTTAACAATTAAAGCTTCTTAGGGTTGGCGATCATTTCTTTTCTTATAATGATCATAATGAATGATTCAGCAGTATTACTGTAAGGAGAAGTTAGATGCTGGTCACCCTTAGGGTTTAAAGGGGTAAAGGTTACATATTGGGGGTAAAAGGAGTTACGTAATAATCTTTTTTGCCATTTTTCGAGGCGAGCAAGCTACCTTTCACCAAGGAGAACGGCTGAAAATATTCGTTTGCTAAGATAGGGTTTACACAGCCAAAGGCAATGATAAACTTAAAACTTAAAAAAATTGGCCATGGGTAGAGAAGATAAGAACGAATTTCAAAATTTGGACTTTTTTAGAAAACAAGAAACCTTGTTTAGCCCTGTTATGATCTTTACCAATGACTTCTAATTACAGGCATCTATTTCAGAGCGTTATTCAAGGATTTTATTTATCAACATTCCTCATTATTTTGAGGAAGGTCCACATCTATGGGCTAACTTGAAAACTGTTCAATGTTCATTGATTGTAAGCCTCCCTTTCTAGACTCATTTCAGTCCGAATGATATTTGCAGTACTACAACGACCACATACGCCTCTTGCTAATGTTAGGGGGAATGTATCTGTATGTACACTCTCATGGTGTCAAGTTCACCTTTAATGATTTACCTCTCCTCTACCCCCCCGCCTTCCCCTTTTTTTCTCCTGATATGGATCCTTTAAAGAATCTAGGAAAGCAACTGCAGGTTAACACCCCTGACCTTTTAACTCCCTTGAGTGACCAAGACAGAATTTCTCCTTGCAATATTAATACAACATCACGCAAATAAATAACAAGAATAAAGAAAAATATCAATTATGGGGATTATTAGCTGATTCAATACCAAATTCTCCAAGCTAACATCACATGAATTGTATGGCAGACAGTAAGGAGAATTACCAACGATATCTTGGGAGGAAAAGGGTTAAACCATGTGGTTAAAATTTAGGTACATCATCCCTTACAAGAGAGCGGCGAAAAAATAAAGGAGAAAACAAACGTTGTCATTTAAATTTATTGTAACTATTTGTCGCATTCATTCACCATGAGCATGTTTCCTCTCAAAAAACAGAGGAGAAACATGCAACTAAAAATGAACTAACGCAGAAAATCCTAGCTAATAAAAGGGCTATTTCCTCGAGCTTTTCCTCGAAGTATCAACATACTAAAGTTGTGCTCCCTTTGCGCTCATAAAACGTGAAGCAAAAAATACAAAAATTTTCGTTTACTCAGAGAAAAACTTTCCAACACAGATCTGCTGCTTTAGGAGTCTGGTTACTCTGTTAGTTGGCTCCTTTGCCAGAAAATTATTATGGATAAGATGCATAAAAAAGGTTATACTGATTTCCTCTGAGGAAACCCACTTCCAAACTGTTGGGTCTAAAATGATAAAACTACTGTAGATATTCGGATAAAATGCAAAGAAAAGAACTCAAATTGACACGCACACTTTTTCCCAATAGCGATGTAAAGGAAAATTGAAGAAAACCTGAAAAGTGAAGCAAAATTCAAGCAGAATAAAAAAATGATTGCGGAAGGCCAGAGTTTATCTTCTCTCAGTGATGACAAGTTTAACAAAGTGCAGAGGAAAGAGAGGCTCTCTTTCTGCATAGTGTTAGGTACATCATTCAAAACATATACTTACTAGAGCATTGGGCAAACATTTTCGTTCATTAAGTATATGTTCTTCATTCGAATGTTCATCAAATTACTCTGTATTATTGTACATAGGATATTCCTTTTCGGGTCGTTCCAGTTCTTCATATTGTGGTTCCACTGACCCTGGTGGAAGAGAACCTGGACTCATCATATACGCATCATTAACAGCCGCCATCTCCATCCCTGAGATTTTTCGGGAAATTGAGTGCTCACTGTCGACTCGTTGTTTTGCAATTCTAAAATGAGAAAAAAAAAGCAGAGTTAGTGTCTATGAGCAAAAAAAAAAAAAGTGGCCACACATATTTAAGGGTGTGTCGAGCTGAAGCATTTAAAGCAATAAACAATTCAGTTTTACTTTACCTAACGTTATCATTAGTGAAAAAAAAAAAAAAAAAGTACTTGAAACAAATACCTCTGGGACTCAGCCCGAATACGAATTCACTTTTGCCAATTTTTTCTTTCATAATTTCTATCTTATCTTCAGTGGGCTGGTCAGATTTAAAGAACCCACACACTTGTAATGATATAGTTCCCGTGACACACATTTGCCACGTCATAGATGGCGAAGATAACACATGACGTGATAAATTAATTGTAAACATGAGACATGGTGTAAAAACATCCATATTAAATGTTTCATTGGAAAATAAACTTTAAATGTGCTGCTCCTCCATATTAAATGTTTCTTGGAAAATAAACTTTAAATGTGCTGCTCCTCAATACAATAATCCCCCTTCCCTACCTCCTCACCTGCACGGTGTTTGACCACAAAAACTATGGCTCATTTCTGTCCAGGGTAGGAAGGGGTCGATATAGAGGAATTGGGGACAAAATTGGCAAATTACTCTCGGAGATTGCGATCTCGTTTTATGGCCATGCTTCAACTATCTTTGTTACGGATTTTTCATTTATTACTATTCTTAGTCTTACTAGTAGACTTCTTCACCAGTAGTCTTCTTTAAAAATTTCGCCAATAGATGGAGAAATGTTGGTAGAGTATATGAGAACATTGAGCACAGTAAGCGGAAGTTAGCACAGCAGTTTTTTGCCCTATTTATTAACTTCCTCTAAATTACCCTCTACTACCATAAGATCGCGTCAAACAAGATATGTATTGACATACCCGTTCTTCTTTCTTTTCTTACAGTACCAAATGGTGGCAATGATGACAAGAATGAGGAGCAAAGCAACAGCAACACATCCACCAATGATGGCATGCATTTTGGATCTGTCTTTTTCTGTCGGGATCGCTGCGGTCACAGGAGTCGTTACCGTCGTTGTATCGGCAAAAAGGATTTGTACGCTCGATATATTGGCATTTATGGAGCTCGAGAGTTCAACCAGTGACCCTTGAACGATGTTGGCCAGGACGTCTTTCTTTATGACGGGGACTGACGATCCAGGAGGAAATTGTACATAAAATGCAAGGCTTGCTAGGAGAGGTACTACAGATATTTGCTTTGGGTAACCGGGCAGAAGATGAACTTGGTTTTCCGTAAATCTGACGTAGCCCGCTGCCCTCCTGCGCCTTGAGCTGAAAAAAAAGATGCAATAGACGTGCATGGGTGGATTAGTATAATTGTTTCTTCCTCGATCTGAAATATGATGATGTTTGAATAAAGTTTTTGGATCGAAAACCTTCAGACGCCGGTGTTGCTATATGACGGATGCCCTGTATACAACTAAAGCGTTGACGCCCTGGGCCAAAGAAATGACCTTGCTCTTAAGTCTTTCGTTAATGCAGAGCTATTGGTTCGATAGTCAGTCAGTCAGCTACGATTTATAAGCCTTCCGATCTCTACCTATGTCAAACTTGTAGTCTGTTAAGCAGCCAATAGTTCGCAGTGATAGGCAGTCGGCTGATCTGAGTTTTATACGATAAATATTCCGTCAGTCAGTCTGTCTGTCAGTCAGACGGTCCATCAGTCAGGCGATTGGCAAGTCTGTCAGTCGGTCAGTCGGTCAGTTGGTCGGTTGGTCAGTTCAGTCGGTCAGTCAGTCGGTGGATCAGTCTGTCGGTCTTTCAGTTGGTCAGGTAGTCGGTCATTTAGTCGGTGAGTCAGCCGGTCGGTGAGTCGGTGGGTCAGTCAATCCGTCAGTCCGCCAATCAGCTTGTCGGTCAGCCGCTCAGTCGCTCAGTCGGTGGGTCGGTCAGTCGGTCTGTCATTTGGTCAGTTGGTCGGTTCGTCGGTCAGTCAGTCAGTCAGTTAGTTATTTAGTCGTTTAGTGCACCGTGATTAATTTGCCCAAAATATTGACCTGGTAGACAATACACGGTCAGTATGTCAATCGATCGGCTATATTGTAGATAGACAGATTAAATCTCTACCTCGTTTTCTTATCTGTACAATCGTCCTTTGTCGCGCAATGTTTGGTAGCTGCTTCTGCTAGGGTAGTTTTGAACTTCTCTTCAACTTCAACGTTCCACTAATAAAAAGAATTATTCAGTATATCAGTTGTGGTTATTGAAAATTTCTCCTTTCTTAAAGGATAATCTGCCATACTGACGGTTCACATGTCCAAATTTTCAGAATGGCAAAAAAACAGTCGAAGACGCAAATTCACTGCCATCATGCTACAATGTAGCGAGAGGGACTATAGGCAGCCAGTGCAGTTTATCACATGCAAGTATTCTCTGTTTCTCACCATCGAGATATTGAAGGCCACCTCTACGTTGACCGATTCACTCTTCTCCTCATCTGATGGTGCCCTTGGGGTTGAGGCGGGAGGGGGTGGAGGAGGAGCCTCGCCCTTTTCTAGCCCTGCAGGTGTAGAGAGGATGAAGAAATGCTATCAACCTCAAAACAGATTCACCTACTATCGTAACACAGTACAAAAGTTGAAGAAGAAAATGTGCGTGAAATTACGTATCTCTTACTGGTATATTGGTATATTTTCGCGCTCAAGTATTCACGAACTTATGAGTATTTGATCGAGACTTTGAAAAATAGATATCAAACATACAAATTAAAAGGAATCCACCCTTGATTACAATCGGCAGATTTCGCAGTCTGAAAAAAGCCCACAAGCCATCCCTATCACGAGATAAAAAGCCTTACTTATCACATGGTCGTATCCCATGATTTTGCTCTAGGAATTATTAAGCAGAATTAAGCAGATTCGCTCACTTGTTTTCATCTGTTAAAGTTCTAGCAACTTGCTGAGCATACTAACTAACTCACGGACAACCACTTGCACCTATAATTAGTTTCAGCAGTAATGACCGAAATTAAAGGTTCGATACGTCTACTAGCAAGTAGTTCAGGAATTTCATTAGGGCAAATAGGCAAATAATTAATTGGGCAATAAGTCACCTTTGCACATGTTATCTATCCAATAAAGTCCTTCATCACAGACGCACTTGTAGGAACCAGGCGTGTTTTCACACTTCTGCGAGGGATCGCAATTAAACGTAAACTCCATACATTCGTCGATATCTGAGGTAGAAATAAAAAGAATTAAAGGCGACACAGTTTGCCATTATGACGAAAACTTCATTCTACCAGACGAAATATCTCAAATAGTAATAAAAATTTTCCTACTTCTTAAATAGATCATTATATCCAAAATTTGTTACACGGATCGTTCTTGAGAGATAATTAATTAAAAAACTTTAGCTGTTACCATTGCAAGCGTAACCATCGCTGTCAAGTTTAAACCCAGCCACACAGGAGCATTCATAGCTCCCTACTGTGTTTTTACAAGACTGACTACACCGATTGTTGTCGCTTGAAGAGCACTCATCCACATCTAGAAAACACAAAAAACGGGTATAAAAAAGCAATGCATCTAAGTCACTTTGCTACGGTGGCAGATAAATCCCAATGTAGTTAATACAAGTTTAAAAAGGACTGAAGAAAGAAAAAAAGAATTGGAAAAATTCCCTTACACCATCCCTCTCGGAGTGATATCCACTCCTGGTACAGCACCAATTTTTTTTAAGAAAGCCATTTAGGATTTATTGTTAAGATGCACGCATGGATGCGGTGTTTTTTTATTATTAATATTAATATTATTTTACATCTATGTGTGATCAAAAGTGTTCTTTTCAAAGGTAATTTCGTAAGATTTCTCAACCTCATCAGTAAAAGAAGAAAATAAAAAACGAGGGAAAGAAGGAAGAGCGAGAGAAGACTGATGGTCAAGAGATGGCTGGCTGCAGGAGTTTTACATTGTTTTAATCTGGTTTTCTATGGTGGTATAATGCGTGTGTGTGTGTTTGTGTGGTATGGTCTTAACAACAGAGACTCAAAAATACCTAACAAATAAGTTAAAATCAACAGAAAAATTATCGACTTCTATTCATCAACACGGTATAAAGCTCGGGTATTCATGACACACCTGAGCAGGTTTTTCCATCTCCATTCAACTCGTACCCTGCATTGCATGAACACTTGTCTTGGCCGTTGGACTGGAAGCAGACATGTTGGCAGCCGTGATCTCCTTCACAAGGATTCAAAGCTGTGTCATGATTGCTAAGTGTTAGTATAACCCTTTTTAAAGCAGTAATGATTTCAATAAAATAATTATCACTAACGCACAGACAAAAACGTTACTTATGCAAAGTAGTTTCAGAGGAGTTTTCGAAAGTTTGAAGCAGGTTTTTCTATATTGTGGGCGTCAAGAAGTATTAAAAATGATATTTGAAAGAAATACCATTTTCCAGAGGGGTTTGAAATACATCCACATGCCTTTCGCGAAAAAAATTCACATGCATGTGGAATTTGCATGTAAAACAAGAGTGAAGACTGTACGAAGACTGCGCTTGGATTTTACTTTAAGAGCACAACTGCACAAAGATATGCGTTTAGTATAAAAAAAAATAAGGTTGCAGCAACTTAGAGATGAAATGGATGCTAATAGAATTGTAAAAGAGCCAGCATATCTCATAATCAAACATCTTCACAGGAAATACAACAGAATTTATCAGGAAAGTGACACTGAATTACTTACGTATGCATTTCTTTGAATCATCCGGGTCCACCTTGAAGTCTGCATTGCATTTGCAGTTATAACTTCCCAGGGTGTTTTCACAAATGTGCATGCAATCACCGACTGGAGAACACTCATCATTATCTAAAGATAAAGATATAACCGGCATAAAACAATGATTGTTGGCAAATACGAACAGAAAACTGGCCCCAAACCCTAAAAAATTTAAAAAAATTGGTGTAATGTCGAAACACCGAAGTTGAATACCAATGGACTATACACGAGTAATGCCACAGCAACACTAAAAAAACCTAATTTAGGATAACAAGGGTGAAAAATAGTCAATATCCTCGCCAACCCCTTAGATCGAGATAAGAATTGACTTCGATTAAAATCGAAAATGGTTCAGGCTCTTCAAACACGAAGAATATAATCAGAAGAGCTTTTTTCTAAGATAAGAAAACAAAGCCTCTTATCATTTTCTTTTAGATTACCTGCGCATGTCTTCTCATCTATTCCGAGAGAGTATCCCGCTTTGCACTCGCACACAAATGATCCAGGAGTGTTGATACAGGTGTCACTGCAGCCATCAGTCTTCTTAGCACATTCGTCCACGTCTAAAAATACAAAGGAGGGGTTAGAGGCAGAGATATATTTCATACTTAATTAGAACTATAGGAAAATTCTTGAACGTGGTTGGTTATCACCAGCCGAAGTTGAGCACTAATTGGACAGTGTACACGTCATGGCTTTGTAGTTGGACAGCACACGTCACGTGCGCACGCTGTTGTCACACATCTTGCTGTGTTAACTGTTGTTTTTCATGAAAACGTGTCACCGGTAGCTAGTTAGTTTGGTAACAAGACTTCGTGTAGTCCAATTCTGTCTGTTATTATACTCACATGGTTAGAGACCTAATTGGACTACAATCAGTCACATTACTGATACTTGTCATCCCCTTTCTAAGATTAAGCATTTTCTAACTTTTCTTATTTTCTAACTAATTTTGCCTGTAGAAATACGGAATTTATTTTTAAACAAAGAGCAACCGTTACCTGAACATTCTATTCCATCACCAGAATACCCGTTTGGGCAGGGATCACACTTGAATCCAGTTTCATTTGCAGGCGCTGGTAGATCGTTACAAGTCACACCCGGGTAACAAGGCTGGAAATTTTCTTCGCAAGCATCGAGGTCTGCATCACAGAAAGTTCCGGTATATCCATTCTGACAAGTGCATGACAAAATACTAAATTTGTTCTCACTGCTGTCAGCACTATTTTCGGCATCGTCTTCCTCCACGGGTGTGCAAACCCCTTGGTTTTGGCATGCGCAGACGTTAATAGCTGGTTGTAAAACTGTACTTGTTGTTGCATCGGCCACTATGAATTGTATGTCAATCTGCCAGAAGGAGTGATATATTTTCAAACGAGGCAATATATTATACTCACATGATATGTTGCCAGGTCTAATAATGAGTGGAAGGCGATAAATTAGGAACCAAGGATAGGCCTATTGTTGCTACTTTATCATTGTATCTTCCTCTCTTTCCTCCTGCTTATCAGTTAATACTCATTTCACTCAACCTGCTACTTCCCTTTCGTCCTGCTTTTCTCTATTCACTTCAACCTACGCCCTTATTTCTGTGTTTACCTTCTCCTTCTCTTCGCTTCTACCTTCGTCCCAAGTTCTATCAGTACTCATTCTTAAGTCACAACACTAAGTCACACGACCACATATCATAGCACAAAACGTTTTCTGGCAAATTCAAACAAGGTACCTTATCAGTGGTCACTTCCCATACAAGTGACATTGAGGAATCGGTGGTTGATGTTGTATGCCCCTTTGGAAGAGTCCCACTAACAGAGAAAGTCATCGTGTCATTGTTGGGATCCTGTGCGACAATCGTCACATTTGCTGTAGTGTTGACTGTTATGTTAAGCTCAGTTGGCCCTACAAAAATTTTTGGCGGGAAATTTTCTAAAGGATGAAAGAAAAAAATCATTTACTAGTATAAATTTGTAAGTTTCCTGGCAAAAAATGGTGCTTTACCCTCATCATCTATGGTACGATAGAAATCTTGAGTTTATAATGTAATTGTTTAATAGACTGAAAGAAAACGAATCATGATGATTAATCAAAGGCGACTTTGGACGAAGTTTACACCAAAACAAAGCAATTAGATAAAATTTTTTGTATCAAGGTGCCTAATCATTATTGTAATTACGTCTACAGACAGCTAAAACCTATTTTCGATCGCCTATTCTTCCAAAACTGCGCTGTTTTCATGAATGCTTCACCTTTTCATAAATGTACAAGAGGAAAAGAGGCTTTTGTGAAAACACGATGACTGGCTTTTTATTTAAAACCGAACCCCTGAACGAGATTCATGGCAATTTCCTGAGGGCGCTCCGCTTGACTAACGTCCACAACGTTTATAAATGGCTAGGTATTAATGTAGCTTTGTTTACTTACGTAAGTCTTGAGATTCACTTTCCAACTGCACTGCAACTTGCTTGGTGCTAGCTCCTACGGCAACGTCTCCGGTAGACGCTATATCAAACAAACAGTTGGCATCCCCGCCACATACAGCCTCGGCTTGCTGTTTCAGTTCGTCACTTGCAAATGGTATGGGCTCATCCAGAAAAATTGGAACAAATGATTCATTGACGAAAGAGCTCGTATTTTCCCCAGGTTTATAGGTGAAAAGGCTCGTGTTTGACGATACTTGCCCTGTAATATAGCGTCAAATGCAGTTTATAGAATACGACATCTAAATAAGCTAAGTATCGTGACTGTCTAGAAAACCTAGGATAAACATCAGAGTACAAATGCCCAGCTCTCCGCTTTTTTGTTTAGATTTTTTCCTGCAAATTATCATGACTACAGTTGACGTGACTCAATGGCTTTGCAAGTAAAAAGTGACGTCTCCCTCGTACCTTCGCATATGTGTAACTTTTTGTCCAACAAGGCAAACGGAGGAGTACAGGCTTTCTTCGTTATAATATAGAAAAGGAAGACTAAAAAATCATGGGCTATAAAACTTACATTTCAACCCAAAGTCAAAATGTATCTGTCTGCCTGTAGAATTAGATGGTAACGTCGTGTTATCCGGTCTTAGAAAGTCGTCCACCACGTTGTCGTTCCATGTGCCCAGAAGGCCCTTGGTTTGACCTTTGAAATTGGTTGGGGCAGCAAAAACTATGGAAAGTGATCCTTGCACTTCAGTGATTGTTACAGATATTCCAGACGGAAACGCAACAAGGAAGGAGTTGTTCTCTGGTCGGGAAACTGACACAGACCCGTCGAGAGTTATACTGATGTTTGTCAAGGTACTGTAGTTCTGGAAAACAACACCATCCACGAACACCTCTAAACCTCCTGGAATAAAGAAAAAGGAAGATTTGAAGGAATGAATCTCCCGCGAGTCTACTAGTTTATCGCTGCCGTAGGTAATCCCGAATTTTCTATCATTTTCGGAAGATCGATCGTTTGACCCTCAGTTAATACTAGCTTACTAAAGTTTTCACATTGTTGTCCCGGAAGCGATCATCTGCTAGGATAGGAATTTTCTTCAGTTTAATTCACAACACATATTTGAATCAGAGGTGGCAACGAATCGCAAGGTAAACATTTTAAAGAAGTTCAAATGGAACTTTTAATCTTATCACCATAAACTGGTACAATTTCCTATAAAAGCTTCCTGAATGTCGATCCCTTAGAAGAAAAGAATTTTTTTTTTCGTGAACGTATAATGTGGCATCTAAGTTAAAACGTAGTTGACTTTGTTATTACAATAAAACGTCCATGATATCTTTTTTTTTTTTTTTAACTTACCTTCATCTTTCAAATTAACTTGGACAGCGCTTGTATCTTTTTCTTTTGCCACTGCTGCAACAAAAATGGTTGCTGATCCTCCTCCTTTAGCAAGTTTCGTTCGAGCTTGCAACTGGAATGATCCATCTTGTAACTCCACCATAGTGTACTCCCCAAGCCCATTAAATGTGTAGTTTTGACCGTCTAAAGTAACAATGTGAGGATCGCCCCATAACCAGCCTGTAGCAAAATCAACACACGAATAACTTCGAGAGTCAGAGAATAGTAATCTAAGAGACTTGATAAAAGTAACATTTTTCTCGAGAGACGAGAAACTTGATTGGAAAAATTGCTCACGGATTTTTAATAAGGCTTATGCGAATGTTTTATAGCAAGTTACTTTTGTCCCTGATCAACAAGTTATGTAAAAAAATATATGAATATGGAGGGCTGTTGTAGGCACATAGATAGTAGAGAGTGAAACAGGGTTAGCTAGTCATAGCAAATGCAATATCACTTAAATAGCCTTTACTTTGTGACAAGCAAACCGAAAGTGATACCTCATGAGATCATGTTTACTTTGTTTACCTACTAAGTGGTTCATTGAATGCCGTGAAGATGATTGATATCGATTTGCCAAAGTGGCTGCAAATAGAATGTGGACAAGGAACAGCGGTTGTCCATACTCCAACAAGTGAGAATACTTCCATTGGAATGAAAGAAATACAATAATAACAATAACAATAACAACAATAATAATAAACAATAATAACAAAAGTAACAAAAACTTACTCCACACAGGTGGCTCATATCCATCACATCCCTTAGATGGCCGTAATTCATAATACTTGTTACACAAAAATGGATTCTTAGCCTCTAGACAGCAGTGGCGGAATCCGTAGAGATCACTTGCTTCGTGTTGTTCTTTCAGTGACGTAGTGAGGCTATGGTATCGGTGAAGGGAGCCTCCACCAGGGAATCCAATGATGAGAGCTGCCAATTTATCTAGGGTTGTATAGTAGCAGCATTTGCGGCCACGTCCTTGTCTGGGGAATTTTGTGTAAAAACAGTAGCTGAAGGGGAAATCCGCCTCGACCCATTCATATCGATCATCGAAGAAGCCTTGCACTCCGGTACAGGGACACGGATCTGGCTCTCTGCTATAAGCGAACACATATCTCCTTTCTTTGGCATACCAACGTAAGCACTTCAAGTCGCTGTCTTCTTCTCCATTCGAATTTTCAAGTCGGAAGATCCATCTTCCAGGTATCCCAGCATTTCCAACAAGATTATCGATAGCTTCAGCTTGAATAGTTCCTGACCTGTGCATTTAAGTTATTATGTTGAGTAAGAGAGAGTTGACAGTTATTTTGCAACAACTTTTGTAAGCAGAGTAGTTCGATATTTAAAGGCTAACGTGCGACAAAGATGAATGAAAATGAATGGAGTGGAAGTAAGAGCAATGATAGTGGATATCCTCTATACCGAAGAACCAAGTCAAAACTCATGGCCATTGCTGATACCATTGCGCCAATTATAAAATAAATTGAAATTTATGAAAGAAATTAATAAACAAACAAAAAGCTTTACAAGTATTTGGTTCAACATCACGTTGTATTAAGGACTGCAATAATTTGCTTCTACACGCTTTAAATTCGTTTCTCGTCTTTATTGTTAATCTCGCCCATATATCGCCCCCCTTCGAACCCAATCCTACCCGAAGTACAAACTTATCTGGCGGAGCGCTTGAACTCAGTCAAATATGTTGGGGTGGCATCGCAGAGATAGACTTTAAATGACTTTAAACGGCGGGCACTATCATTATTCTTCTATGTGCGTGCAAATTCGCCTTCCTGGGCTAGCTTTTCTAACGAGAATTGTGATCTTTGAACACGTTTTCAAGGCAAGAAAGGCAAATATACATGAATACAAACTAATAGGAATCATAGGCCCACAATTTATGAAAGAGATCTCAGAGACCCTCAATAACAATTCTAGGTCATTTCCCAGCGCTTTGTGCTTACCGCGACAAAAACCGATCAGGGAAAAGTCCCGCTTTCCCTTAAAGAAAGGTTATCTCTCATACCTTGGGTGATTAAAGTAATTGTTGTCTCTATCACCGGCATTCCAGCCAATAACAGGCAATGGTTTATAGTCGGCGAAATATTCGTAGTATTCACTGGAAACAAAAAGTGCAAAGAAATTAACGTCACTTATGCAAAGAACAAAATGAAAAAGGGAAGAAAGTATTACGGAAACATAACCTTATTTAGATCAGACTAAGAAGGTTAAGTATCAGTTTTACAGAACTTCAGTCTGCTGAAAATATTCCTTTATCAAAAGAAAAGAGCGAGTACGCAGAGAGGAGGGTGATGGCGATAGCCACTAACAGTTAAAAAGTTGGCTCACGGTTAACTTCCCTTTCTTGCGCTTGAAAGAGTAGTTTTTCGGTTAACTTTTATTACGACCAACTGATCGAGGCTAACTGATGTAGAGGTATTACGACTCACCGTGTTATTGGTACAGAATACTGTATTCCGTCATGGGGGTAGTTAAACATGGCAAAAGAGAATATGCCATCAGTAATCAGGAGAGCTTGAAATGTATTGAGCTGAAACAAAAAAGACCAAGGAAATATATGAATAAGGTAAAGTTGGTTTAAAGTTATGGACAATTTGGCAAATCTCTGCAATTATTGGACATTTGTCTCATACAATCAAGCAATTAATAGATCGATAAACTATTCAGTCAATCAGTTCAAACAAACAAACACAATGAATCAAGAGCTATATTTATCGTATTAGTCAATTAATCGATCAATTAATCATTCATTTGATAGATCGTTAGTCAATTAGTTGCTCAGATAAAGAATTAACAAATCTACAAATCAATCAGTCGGCCATCTATCTGGATTGTTTGGTTAAGAAAGGGAAACAATTTTAAAAAATCATTTTTAGCATCTTTTGGTTTCACATCAACAAACCATAAGACTATAAACGTTGTTACTCAGTGTTGCCGCGAACGGTGACTAACCATTTGCAATATGAAACCTTTATTCCTCGAAGGCTTTGAGATAACTCACACAAAATTTTACATTATTAGCTTAACATTAAGACTAAAAAATCGAGAAACTGAGCGAGATAGTGAGGTTTCAAATCCATGGCCTCGTGGCACCGTTCGAGGATGCCCACCAGCGCGCATACACAAAAAAACCATAAATGTCCCGTATGGGTAACCAGGCGACGGCTGGGCGTGGACCAGCTGCAACACTCAGGTTGACAGACTATCGGCTTATGTTTACCATCTTTTGGTGGCTGCCCTTAAACCAATAAGGCAGAAAAGATTTGCATGTGTTACTCACCAAATTCTTATTGATATTATGTAAGACCTTGTGACGAATATCTTTCCACGTAACTACGAGCATCCAAGATGCATTGAATGTTTTTCCTTGTGGCAGTTTCCCACCGAATTTACTGAGGACATCAGAAGTAGCGTTCTCTAAGATTGCAATGGAATCCGCCTGTCCCGCGTAATACAATTGATAGAAAACCTTCGAAGGACCGCTAATGAACGACTCAAGGTTGGTCGGTGCCCAATAAGGAGCAACCATTGACACATATCTAAGCCAAGGTCTTTGACCAAAGTTGTATGACTGCTCATTGAATCCGTCTCTTTCGAACTGGATGGCTCCATTTGGACATATCTAATGTGTTAAAAAGGAAGAAGGAAATAAGCCTAACCTTGAAGTAGCCTCAGCTTACTACGCGATAAAGGCTATTCAACCCAACACGCGAGTTATTGAGATTGAACGGCAAATTCGCTTGTCCTTGAACACATTTGTGGCCATTTCAAGGAGAACTTTATTTATTTATCGTTACTTAAACACTTAATTTTTAAATTTCAATATATTGAGGTAGGACTATCTATAAATGCAGATTGACAGAATTATTTTCATTTCAATAAGAAGAACAACACATGTGAGAAATTTCAATAAATAATAGTTTGAGTTATTCTAGCACAAAATGGATTGGACGCCGTGTAGGTTCCTTATGTGGATAATTGATCCTTATCTGTGAATGCCTGGAATTATGGGTTAGAAGCTACAACAACTGTCCTTCGAAGGAGTATTGTTTTTGTGGAACGAAGGGAAGTAAGTAGCAACTTGCTAACAATTTTGCTATAACTAGAAAAAAGGAAAACGTATGGAGATTTTCCCATATTTTTCGAAACGTTTCCCATGGACAGAGCCATTTATTTGAATTCCCACTTAAATAAAGTAATAAAGGTTTGTGACCTCTCAGTTTAGTGACTCACGTGAAGTTTTCTGTGCCTTCTGTCATACAGCGGAAAACCTCCGGTGTCAAATTTCTCTCTGCCAATTCTAAAGCACCTAGTTCTTGACGGAAATGTAATGATTGAGTCTCCAGCGTCAACTCCGTATGGATACATCCGGTGGATTGGGGCTAAGAAAAGTATAATCAAACATGTTTGCTGATAGACCATAATGGATTCAACTATCAATAACAAAAGAAACCTTAGCAAGGCGGAGAAAGAGGACATAAAAGGAATGGAAAGAAAACTGAAGAGAGATCTTGAAATCATCTATGGTGAAGGGAAAGGAAATGCGAAAAGGGAAAAAGAGAAAAAATAAAAAGAGAGAAAAGATAAACATTTTAGGATAATTTACCCGGTTCTGGAGGTTTAGTTGGCTCACCATTATCATCCAAATCTGTAGAGAGGCACGAAGCAGCAATTTAATTCTATATTTTGTCAACATCATTTACTTCCGATAAATACAAGAAGAATTTTTCCCTATGACTTACAGTAAGTGTCTGTATATCGGTATTACTACGGCAGTTTCACAAATCAAATTTTATGTGAGACTAGACAACACAACAACCTTCCTTAGTTCAGTGTTTGGGTCACCTGTGGTGAATGTAAACCTTGTCTAACGCCTGTCCAGAACATCGGATTGAGAGATGTGAAGTCCTTTGATTCGCTTCCTCGTGGAAGCCTCAGAATTTTCTTTTTCTTACGTGCGCGAAAAAGCGAAAAACTCATTTCCTCATTAGATAACAAAGCACTTCACGTCGTAAACAGTAAGCTTACCTTTAGTAGTAAAATGAGTTACCCTACTCGCGTAAACTTCTCCGCGATCGGTGTACCCAACTACTCTTACTTCGTAATCTGTCGATGGTTGTAGCAATACTAGTGTAGCTGAAGGAGTTACAGTCTTTTGAAATCTCCAGATCTCTTTTTCCTTGACTGTTTTATAAAGCACATAATACTCTTCAATTTTGTCTACATCTTGGGAGGATTCCCAAGTCATCTTAACCTCAACACTTTCGGTGGCGCCAATAGAAACAGCTGTAAAGAAGAAGAAAAGCTTTCGCGTCATTCTTCCCTTCACTCGCCTAAAGTCTGAGTCCAAGGTAACAAATAGTGGATTGATTACTGTTTTTGCTCCTTCAGTATTCCTTACATTGCTTGACTGGTTTTAGCGTCACATGAATTTAATATTACCCAATAATTTGAGTTATCATCAGGTAAGAAATGCTATTGTTTAATTTTGATATATTTTGGTTCTTATTTACTTAACCAGTAGCAAAATGCAACTAGAATATTGCAAGAAAATCTAAGCGGAAACACAGTCCTTTTTTCAGGCGCTCTGGCAGGCAAGTTCGGCTAGCCAAATAATCGAAGTTGCTTTCAAAACTTCTTATCCCGGATATTCAAAATCTGACCTAAGATCCTAATGACGCGAAAGTAAGAATATGTTTGGGCCAAGAAATCAAGTAGTCGTTCGAACGATAAGCGTCAGGCGAACAACCCAGGCCATTTTAAAGCTGTCTGTTAGGGCCCGTATAATACACGAACAAAGATCACCTCGCCTAACCACGCTACCCCGGATGAAAAGGCTTGCTGAGGTAATGTACTCTATGTTGTATTTGGTACTCACTGATTTTGGACGAATCCGTGATAGCAAAGTAGGTAGAGGTGAAGCCTTTGAAAGCAAATCCATTGTTTGAGCGGAAATAAAGCAGAGCCCGGCGATGTTGGTAACTCTTTGCAGTCAAGGCAAAAGGGTTATGAACTCCGCAAAATGGACCGGCAGCTACGTGTAATGGCTCAAGATTAAATAATCCAATAAAATCTGTTATCCAATTCCTAAAAGAAAGACAATGAATAAAAATTCACAGAACTTTCTCTTTCTTCAATCAAAATTCAGCACCAGCAAGGGGAAGGGTCATGAAGGGAAGGATGGGCGTCCATTGGCTTTTCTTGGCTTTTTGCTTACGCCATCAGCAAGAATCTGAATAATTAATTGGAATATCTTAAACAACATACGTGCAATTTGCTCCTCCATCCGGTTCCTCTGTGTGAAAATCTTCGATCACAACGACCACATCAAAGACAGGCATTTCCTTCTCAAAAATCCAAAAACATTCCGCGTCGTTGGGATAGGTGTTCGGATATCCAGGAGATGATATGACGCGCATGTCGCTGCGTATACTGGTTTGGCAACCTAGAGAAGCCAAAGCGATTACATCAAAAATGTGCACATAGTTTCTAGCGGTAAAATTAGATTCAAGTTGATTTGCCTATCACAGCGAAATTTAACTTTAATCATATCAATATGTTTTCAAAGGCAGGAGATCTTGGCAAGTCCCATTGCATTTTTCAAAGGAGATCCCACGCACGGTTGGCAGTGCATTTTAAGTGGCGGCTGGCTGGAGTACAACATGGTTTTCATTGGATATCTATGTATTTTAACACGTACAAATCATTTTTTGTATTTTTTTTTTGTGTGTATAAGTCTTAGGCTAGGAATTGCTTAATGAATTGCAGGATTACTTTGGTTTTTTAACTTTTTTGGCAGATTGTTTTATATTTCTGCTCCTCTGTATTGTATTGAAAATGCTTCATAATCAGTCCAGTCCTCTCTTGTCGTAATTCAACGAACTTCATGAGTCACACAATTGCTCTAAAACATTTACTTATTCACAGTCATTTATTTTTCACTTCAGGAGTTTATTACGATCCAACATAATGACAGGTCCTAATTGGCTTGTCAGCTTGGTTGGTAGAGCACTGCACCCGTATCGCAGAGGTCATGGGTTCAAATCACTTACAGTCCGGAATTTTTTTCAGGACTTAATTTCACTAGTGCTTAAGTAGTGTTAATTATTGCGAAGATTGCTTTCATATTCATTTAACATAACAGTATAAACTATTCCTGCATTTACCCGGTCTGCTATGAGTACGTTCGCTAAAAGGTCCCACTCCCACAGCAGTGAAGCCAGCAACCATCAGTTCATAAGTCTCGAAATTGGTCAAATTCCCAATGCTTGCTTCAAAGGCAGTATGATCAACGTCGATGAAGAAAAACTGGTTGAGGTCGAGCTCGTGGTCATCCACGTGGCCGTCATACAAACGATAGTAGACGCGGTAGCCAACTAATACTCCATGGATGTGATCACTCGGAATATGCTTCCATGTGACGATTATCGTGCCGTCGTCAGAACTTGCTTCGACGTCTCCCGGAGGCTTACTTGGAACTTGAATTAAAATTAACATATTTTGATAAGACACACCAGGTTCGGTTTTTCATGTCGCCAAAAATAACAAAGATCGATTTGGTGGACCTGGTAAGGTCTACATTACGACTTCTGAAAAGTAATGATCATCAGGATGGTTAGATTATTTTCGAACAAGAATGATTGACGCAATACAGCACCCAGAATCATTAATTCTCGATTGGTGAGCAGTGAGGTGTGTGAGGCTGGCTTTCACTTATTTGAAAAGAAATGATTTACATCCCCGCCTCAACCTCATTCCCACCTTCCCCCTCTAGGGCTTGATCTATTCCAAACTTCTTTAAACAAACTGCATTCATCTTACCGCCTTCCTTAGTTGTGAAGGATACTTCCTCACTTCCTTTAAAACTCATCTCGCCATGTTCACTTTTGACCAATGCAATAACCTGGGCAGTATAATCGGTATAAGGCCGCAAGCGCTCTGCAGTTGAGTTATCAATATCCTTCACCACGGTTGTTATGGATGGTCCAGCCTCATGCAAAGTTCGTGTGCAGACGATTGCATATAATACAAGTGTCTCTCCTGCACCTGGTGAATAGTGTGACCATGCGATATCTGCAGTCGACGAGGCGACATTGGAAGTTGTTATTACCCAGCCTGCTTTAAGTTCAGCTACGAGTTGAAAAAAACCGTTTTAAAACAGGAAATTTAATGTTTTTCACAATAGTAAAGGTTTCCTATAATATCTAAGTATGCTAGAAATGTCGTAAAGACTCACAAGCACGTCATAAGTGTAGCATTTAAGAATTGATTTTCTGCTCAAAATATCCTATAAAAAGTGAAAGATCGTTTTGTTCTTATCACTTTACCTTCTGAGACAGAATGATTTAGAGTCATGTAGTGCAGTTGAAATCCTATTCTGTCCCCATGAATTTCGCGTTCAGCGTGGGAGAGAAGGAGCACTTTCTTTGCCTGCACAAGAACGTCAAATGGCTCCCTAGCACCGCAAATCAGCTCAGGTTCAACGCCACTATTATCCCCTACAGCTGCATAGAAATCTCTGTAAGAAAATCGAATGCATCTTATGGTGAATATTTTTGTAGTTAAAACTAAAACAACAAAAGTGAACCAAGAACTGATTTGCGTTGATTCAAATTGCGTTTAATTTTCCTAAATAATTTCAGCACTTCAACAGAATTTGAACATGTGAGACTCCTGATTGGAATGCGAGCCCCTCTGTATCTTCTGCAAAAAAAATATTCTATACCGTCTGGGATGAGTTCACAGAAAACTTTGCGACTAAAGATCAGATATTTCACGAACACCCCAATAATTTTCAAAAATTAAGAAATTATCTTATGGCCCGTACCAGAGCGACTTGGTGTCTACTTGATCTTCTGGTGCTATAACATATAAAGTCATGGAGAAAGTTTGAACTTAGATCACGATAACAATTTCATCATACCTGCATCCATCACTTTCTGGAAGGTTGAGATGCCCAAAATGTATAAGAACGCTTTTGTTTTTTGGGTGAATGTCCCATAAGCAATCACCATATGTGATCCTTGATGGAAATTCGCGGCTACGGATGAGACCATTCCTTTCGTATAGTGGAGCCCCGCATTCTGAAAAAGAGTGCAGAAATCAATCGTGTGATGGAAATACAATGGAAACACAAACCTTTTTCTATATATTCCTTATCCCTCAACCTCATTCCATCAACTTTTTTATAAATCCCTGGGGCATTTCTTAGTCACTCACGATGACGGAAAATAAAAGAAATAATTAGAAAAAGCTTGGGTCCTTTCGGTTTTACTTTTTCTTAGGCCTTCCTTGTTTTTCATGTTTAGGACAGGATACTCATCAATCCATTGGCATTTCTTCGGAAAGGATCTTGTTTGAACACCAATGGCCATTACGACGAAATAATTACTCTTAATCTTAAAAGACCATGAAGAGACCACTGTTAAACCATATGACTATTTGCCCCACAACTTATGGGACTATGAGTGTCATATAAAATTGTTTACCCTATGAGACATTTATCATTAAAGAGAAGGAAAATACACGAACGAAAGAGATTAGAGACCTGGTAAATGCTCCCGAAGTCTACTGATTAACACAGTTGAGTACTGTTATCAAATAAAATCACATTTTAATAACAAGGAGTGACATCTCACTTGTCTTCACCCATTGCTCATGTCTCTGGTGACCTTCCCCAATCGATGTAAACGCCGTCACCCACACGCGGAATTCAGTTCCTGCGGGTAAACCTGTAAGCGTCGTTTCCGTTTCCTCCGGGCCAACGGTCACGCTATCATAGAAGCCTTGCGAGCAATCATAGTTGTTGGCCTGAGTGATGTGCACTCGATATCCACGTATGATGCCGTAGGAATAGCGTTCGTCCACCCTATACCACTTGACCCATATTGTGCTGTAGTCAATGACTTCAACTTTATCGATGAACGGATTGCTTGCAGGTACTAAGACATAGCCATGAACATAGATAGGATGAGCATACTATCAGCTTTATGAAAAAATTGAGTCAAAGTACTTGTTATTATAATATTTAAGGAAATATTATATCTTTGCGGTTGAAATGTTCTCTCACATGATTGACCCCTACACTTTCAAAATCTCATCAGTTATTCTCCCTACTGTCTACCATAAAATTTCTAGGATGTTAGCTTGGAGAACTTGATGTTGGATCAAGTAACATTCCCCTGTGCGATATGTTTCTTTACTCTCGTCACTTGCTGGTTTGATTTCATACTGATGTTGTAAGGTGAAATTCTGTCTTTTTCTCTGCTGGAATATAAAGGGTTAATTGAATTTATGGTATGGCCGAAAACATTTTTCAAATTTCTTCTGTTCTACAATAAACGCAAAGATTATCCTCGCGCATTTGAAAATATAGAGACTCTTCTGTTATCAATTGATGGGCAGAAAAGCTAGTATGCTCTGTATTTTATCGTCATACAATGGAAGACTTTCGTGACCAATAATGATTCTCTACAAACACGAATTTGCTTTACCTCCTTCCGTAGTCCTAAACTTGATCCAGTCCGTGCATCCTCGTCTCCCATCTTTTAGCACAGTTATAACTTTCAGGGTGTAATTTTTCGAAGGAAACAGCCACTCGTATTTCAGTGTCTTTTCCTCCGCTGTAACGATCTGCGGTACGTATATCCTATCAGACCACCCTCCCACTAAGACTTGGTAATAATCTACAGAAGAAAGGCTGATAAAGCTGCCTGGTGGCTCAGGCCAGGATACTATGACAAAGGTCTCGCCAACGTCCATTTGAAGTCCAGACCATGATTCAATCACTTCCCCTAGTTGTTACAAAAATGACAGATATCGAGTGTATTGATTATGGGATTGCATGGGTTCTGCTTTCATCCCTTTGTAATGAGTCTAGAAGAAAATCGCGCCTCCTTTGCAATCAAACAGATGGGAAACTAAAAGCAATTGCGACAGGGTCAGTTACGTTTTTTCGCACTTTCTTCAGTTTAGCTAATTTTACCACCAGTTCTCATTGACTCTTTGAGATAACTTGTTTTGCTTTGATTGAAAACTCGACGCTTGAACGAAATTTGAAGAAAGGGGTTAAGTTTCTAAAGAAACTGTGGTGATGCGTTGGTGGGAGAGTATAGCATGGTAATTTAGTATTAATATTATTAAAGAGTTTCAAAGCTTACGTCAGAGCGACAAAGGATTGACGCTCCAAACGTCAACTGTGAAACCCTTTACGGTGGCCAATTAACGTTATCAGCTCAAATGATAATACAAAATAAACCCGAGATTCTCGAACACGATTTAAATTAAACCCACTGTTTAGATGAAAATGGGAATCCTTTCGGTCACCATAAAAATGCTATGTGCAAAGCGAATGAAATACAGCTACAGTATGTTTCTTTTGTAATCTGACAAAATTGTTTCTATAAACATCATAAGAATATTTTGAGTGGATACGAACTGCACGTTACCTGTCACAGTGGTAATCTCGCCTTTTACAACCTCATAGTCGATCAAAAATTTGGAACCGTTGCGATACTCCTCGTAGCGGTGATATCCAAACCCCGCTGCTCTAAGATTGAGAACTTTATCTATTACCAGTATAGTCAGGTTTTCTGGTATATGTCCACAAAGGTCAGTTGCTTGGTTTTCATCGTTTTCTGATATGCCAGGAAAGTACATCCTCAGCTGACCACTACAGACATAGAGGAGAACGATAACTACGATTTTTTTCTAATCATCGGGGGAGTGGGGGAACGGGAACAAGGGGAATCTACGTCACACCACATGGCAGTTCAAAGCTAAGGACACGGGCTGGATCCAATTTTTGAATTATTAACAAGTCCTACACTCAGGGTACAATTGCAACTTGAAAGCGAGTCTGACTTATGCTGCACCGGTTCGCAGCGAGATTTAATGAAGATTTCGCATGTCGAGTGGTCAATTTTCTCACACATTTGACGTAATGTTCTGTTACCGCGACGCGTTGGAGACGCGAATAACAAACAAAAGAGAAATTTATTATGAAATGAATTTCATTTGACTTGCAAATTGAAAATCAAACAAGGCGGGATTCGAACTCGTGCCTCCCAGATTCTATTTACTGCCTGCTACTACCTGTATCCCAAATTGTGATCGCAGATTTCTTCACGGGAAAGAAAAAATGCTCCAAAATTTGCCTCGCTACCAACGTGTTGCTTCGTAGCTCAATTTTTTTATGCGTGACGAGGCTAACTCGTCGTTATGGGGACAAACTGTTAGAGGATAAGATTGCAATGCGGTGGAGCCTCCTTAAACCCCCAAAATTAGCGTTATGTAAAGCCTTTACAGATAAGTGAATGAACGCACTTGCATCGGTTTCCTTGATCTCTGCGACCAAGGAAAAAATGTCTGACGGTGAGGAATATTCCCGACACGCTAGACTTGGGTGCAATGTTCCAGTAACATTTCGGGTTTTCGTCCCACTGATCATGACCAATATACGGAGTACCAGGATAGTTAGGACTCACAATCCGGCCGGCATCTGCCTTCATATCATCACCACAAACTGAGAAGCAGAAAAATATATCAATGATATAGTTAGAAGTACCTGATTTAAATTCTTTTAAGATGGCTTGAGAAACAAGTTAGGCTTAGCGAAGACATTATTGGTTAATGGCATCGCTACTTTTTTTTAACTTTCGAAACAAGCAAGGGGAAAAGAAGAGCGATGATGGAGAGGAGTTGGAAGGGTCGATAAAAGAGCAATTAGAGGAGGAGAGATGGAAGCATAAGAGCAAGTGGAAGAGGGAGAGGAGAAAAGAGAAAAAAGGGAGAGAAAAAAAGTTGCAAGAAGGAAACAAAGAGAGCTTTGAATCTTGGTCTGTACTGCTTCCGTAAATATATATGATGGGAATCAAACGAAATACTCTAATTCCGTTTAATTTCCCAGGACCCAACTGATTGGTATTTATCCTTTACGATAAATGTTACATCATTTGCCAGATCATAACTTACAAGTTGCCCCAAATGATCCCATAACACCCATTCCTTTGCTTGTATATCCACCAATATAAACGGCATACGTGAGACTGTCGGTTAGATTTTCTAACGTGACTCTCCTGGTATCTGCGTCCACGTCCATAGTTTCTAAGTTCTTTGGATCACAGCAGGGACCGTACATGATACGATAGCCCAGGACTTCACCGCCACGGTATCTCCTCTCGATTGAATTGAGTTGGAACGAAACGCTGTGGCTGTCCAAGTTGGTGGACCAGTCGTGAGGATAAGGAAACCTAAGTGGCACTTTCAATAAAGTACGAAGATTTCAAGTGATAAATTAAAAAGCTCGCTCTTCATTGGATATGACATAAAACTCAACTGTCAAGTTGAGTTTTAGTTTTAGTTCTAGAAAATCCTCATGACAAATTACAGAAAACAAAAACGAAAGGTGATGTCAGTGGGTAGAAAGATAAAAGACTAATAAAGAAATTCAAATGATGACGAATCAATCAAGGGGGACTATAGAGTAGTTTTGGTCACAATAATAATAACAACTTTAGTTCGTCATACTATAGTTTTAAGAAACAGTCAACGAGTCTATACACACTGACAGTGGCAATAAATTCCGTGAAAACATTGGTAACTATGGAGCTTTTTGCTATCCAAAAGGGAGTGGCAAATACATTAAAATTCAGAAATAGCTGGTTGTCTTTTAACTTCTTCTCCACATTTCCCATGTTTTCGTTGATTGTGAATTTTCAGGATCTTTTGAATTTAACTGAAATTTGTTCCAGCAATGAAGGTTTTCTTAAAGGGTACCAGCAACATGAGAGAGGGAGCAGTTAAAAAGACGTATAATTAGTAACTTTTCTTATCAGCACAAAAAACTTGAAGCAGAAAATGTTGTCAAAATAACTTACCTCCCTCTTCCGTCGAGATCATAAGTTTCTCACTCTTGTAAATCTTATAGTTTTTATCTATGATGTAAACTGTTGCTATAAACTTCGCAGCTATAGGAAGGTCCGTTATGTTAATGGAAGTCTCAGATGAGTTGACGATTTTAAGAAAACGAACCAGTTTCTTTTCGTTGTTATAGTAGTGATCGTCGTCCTTAACGTATGGGGAAAGCTCCGTTTGGTTTAGGGATATGACAAAGAAGTTAACGTCGAGGTTGCCAGGGGAACCACTCCAGTCCAATGAAATAAAACTGTTCCCTTCATTTCCGTTGATATTCCAAGTCACCTGTGTTGGTTTAGCTATTGTGCAATATGGAAATTGTTAAGCAGACTTATTATGGTACTTACCCTTTACATCCTAACATTAGCATACATATTCGCCTTACTGTAAATTTCTTAAGGGCTTCTTAAGTTGTTGATCATTTTCTTCAATCTCGTAAACTTAATTTGGGATTCAGGGGTGATATGTGAGGAGAAATGCGACGCTGGTCACTCTAACTAATTCTTATTCTTTGTACTTGTGAGTAAAACAGAGCCTCCATACAACACAAAAACAATTCCAATGAACCGCTCTTGAATTAATGGTGACTTTGCCATGTTTTGTTTCATTGAAATAACATATCTAGGTGTCCCAGAAGCGAGAAAATATTGAATACCTGAATGAAGACCTCCCTTCAAAATGACAAGTTCAGTGAAAACCTTGCTTTCCATATTTTGTATCAATACTTCCGCGTGTATAACGTCCAAACCACCAAAAGGTATTTCATGTACTTCTCCAAGAACTGTTGAGCACTCTCTATGATTCAGAATGACGCCATCTTCCGAGTAGACCTTGGCGTATTCATAACTGAGGATCAAATAGACATCGGAAATATGAAAATCTTATCTCAGCTTGCGTTCTAGAAGGAAATGCAATACTATTATTCAATCCGAGACTAGATTGTTTAAGCTGTAATATGCGTTTCCTGGGTTGACCGGGCACTGCAAAACGTTTATTTCCGTGGAATAATCATGGTAATAATATCAAGGCCGAGGTTTATAAAGTAAATGGTGGCGTTGGGGAAACCCTCCGTAGCTGAAGGTCTTAAGGTGAAATTGACGGCGTCAGACCCGCGAAAACAAACAGTTTCAAACCTCCATGGTTTCCATCACCTGACGCTTCCAAGTACATACAACACCTCCGGTTAAGGAGGCTAGGTTGAGAATAGTGAAGAATGAAATTTACGGTTGACCCCAGAATCCATATTTACGTTCTACCTCTGACCCAGACACAACCCCTGTTCGAAGAGCCAAGCAGTTACATGGATCTGTCCCCTTTTTTTCCCTAAATTCTGTAATTGTGCTTAGGCGGAAAAGAATTCAGAGGTGAGATTTCATATTACCCGCAAGAATGAAAACGTAGGTATTGCACCGACAGGAGTAGGACTGCATTGCTCACGCCATTGTCGTATATTCTCCATTTGCAACGATTCGTATCCCAGTCCGTCTTATAGAGGTTTATAATTGCAGCTGTTTGATTGATGACTCCACCACAACCTATATGATCATGCCATAAAAATGAACATTGGATTCATTTAAAACGCAATCATCCCAGGTGGCTATCTAACTCTTAAAAGTTGCCAGGCTTATTTTTAAGTCAAAAGTAGAGCGCAGTTTTAATGAAACGTTCCATGGATGCATCTCGCACACTCTTCTTTTCACACGTTCGTGATGCACTTTTTAAATGTAATTTTTTCCACGTACACTAAGGCTTTTAAATCTAGACTAATTGTACCTCCTGTGCGAGAAGCTGTGCAATAAGCTTATCGGCTCAACAAGTCATAAATACCCCTTTCTGATGCTTTTCAGTTATTGACAGATCAACTTCATTGCCCCTGTGAAAATATCTAAAGCACGTTGAAGCAAATGAACCACTAGCGCGTGGTAAAAATTTTGTCAATACCTTTTCTTGTGCTCAAAGTTTTAGTTACATTCATGACTCGCACAGTTGGGTAGGGACAGTCAAAGGAACACGTATAGCTATACATTTAGTCACAGGGCTTCAAAATGAGACATGCATTTTGAGCAAAAAGAATGTTTAACCTACTAACTGCCCGACAGTAATCCTTACCAGGAATAACTTCTATCTCTTCCGATCGAGGTCCTTCCATGTTATTGAATGCAGTCATTGAAATCTCGTACTTTTTCATAGTCTCTAATCCATCTATAATCACTTGTCTCTCTGATGCGCCGATAGTGATATTCGTTCCTTCGTGGTCATGATGGTGATCTTTGTTTCTATAATACAAGTTATATCCCTGGAGAGGACCGTTACGGTGACTTGGAGGAATGGGATCGAATCTTACTCTGATACTGTGTTCGGTGAGGCTATCCGCGCGTACGTTCGATGGCGACATGCTTGGAGCTGGAGAAAAAGAAAAATTCATTTTCCATAGGAATCACTGAATTATTTAATTGAGACGTTAGCCAATATTTCATAACAAAAGACACGACTTTTTGATAGGGAAATTTGAGCGACTGCAGGCCAGGACTCGTTTCCTACAGCTTTTACCGAAAAAGTTTGATCCCGAGCCCTGTCTATCCGCGGAGCCTGTTCCCTCCCAAAGGACTCCACTTTGCTGAAAGTAATCAAAAAGGTTTGTCTGTGATTGGGTCAAGGAATAAATAGCTGAGTGACTTTAGTTATCCGTTGGAAAGCTTGTGAAAAGCAAATACATATCCGCTTCTAACTTGTTTACTATTTCTTTGCGAGATTTTCACGGGGTATTTTCAAAATATCTAACGTTGTGTAACTCATATTGTGTTAAATAACTCTGGCCTGAGAAAGATGCAATACTTGGGGTGTAGCATTTACGTCTACAGATTGGCATTACACTGCACATTACATTGGCATTACACTCCACATTACACTGTACTCCTACATTCCCCCATCCTAAAACCCTCCTCTTCTCTCCGATTGGTTATTTCCTTCTTGAGATAGAAGGCCACCCTATTCAAAAGTCCATCATGGTTTGAAACATTACCTCCTTCGTCGGTCGTCATGCTGACGTTTTCACTAGTGTATATCCCAGCTTCCGCAAATGCCACAATCTGTATAAAATATCTACGGTTGGGGCTGAGGTTCTCTACGCGGGGATTTCTTTCATAGGATGGAAAGGGGACCAACATCGACACGCGTTTGTGTGCTTCAGTGACTTTCACGAAAAAACTTTCCACGTGTTTATCGTGATGTATGAAATCATCAAACGATAATTGAGCCGTTGTCGGTTCAGTGTTATCGACTCTGAGCGACCAAGAAGGCTCGTGAGTTTCTTAAATAAAAAGAGGTAAAATTACTCAACATTTCATTACTGAACATCCAATTCTACAAGACAGCTTTTTGTCGTCAGTTTGCTAGTTTCTATTGGTTTCCTTTTTTCGTTTGTATGTGTATCGATATATTTATTTATTTATAGATATATTTTTTTTCCTCTAAGTGTGTCCTTTTTTTCGATAAAATATGCCGGATAAGTAATCCGTCTCCACCAGGTATAGTTTGAAGCTGACAATGCTTACTGTTTTGTTAAGGCTGTTTATATATTTCTGGCCCCAGTTGTTCGAAGGTTGGATAACGCTGTTCATTGGCTAAATCTCTATCTGGTAGAATGCGCAGTGAACTTTTCTACCCCTTATCCGTTGGATAGCCATTTATCGGTTGGATAGCATCATCCGCCCTTTCTACAATTGGGCCTTGGTTCCTACTGTCCTTATTGCCGTTCATGTTGGTGTCATTGTTCAGTTGACTGGTATTCAAAGTAAACATTGCATTTGAAATGAATTTCATTACCGAAATGACGCACAACTCAATACCTGCAATATCATATTCTAGAGCTTTGTACCACGCAACAAAAGCATCGCCCTCGTTATGCTCTCGGGCATAAAACCCAATATCAGCTTCGTCATTTGATATTATAAGGTCAAAGTAATCCATATGACCACAAAGTAAAGTATCATTATTGTAGCGCCCTGCTGTAACACTGAGCCATGCGTTCTTGCTGTGTGATAATGATAACAAAAAAAGATTAATAGTTGTAAAAAAAAAACTAATAAGAAAAAAAAGTAATAGGAAAACGCCAGCAATAACGTTCGTCTCTGTTCTCTCGTTATAGCATAGATATATCATCTGCCTTCCTTTTACCGATATTCTTGTGATTAGATAGATAAAGCGCTTTTCGATTAAAAGCAAAACCAAAATGACCAAAACGGCCAATCAGGAGATGGGAAAATACCTCTAGGAGCCAATTAGAACTCAAAGGTAAAACAACTAATCTGCTTAAAGCGCGGGAAAACGCAGGTGACCCAGTCGTGATTGGTATTAGTTTTGCGTCCGATTGGTTTAGAGAGAGGCGACAGTTTTCCGGATCAATCTGTGATTGAAGTAAAGCAAAACCAATGCAACTGCTTTAAATTACAGTTAAGAAACCAAAGCTGTGGAACTAGGGTCTTAGAAAAATAGACTTGATAGCGCTGTGCAGTGCAGTGCAGCGCGCCAACCGTTATGCCTCCGAGTCAGCCACGCCTTATATATTTGATATGAACTAAATCTTACATGTCCGGGGATTCGAAATATCTTTTTTTATTCACATAGGTATGCTGCGGTCTCCCTTTGCCATTTCGAGTTCCAAAACAAATTTACCAAACAAAACAGAAAAAAGTCTGCGCTAAACACACAAGTGTACAACATAACAAACAAACAAAAAATGAAAAGCAACAACAACCAACAGACCGCGACAACATTTACCTGCAGTATTCGTGACGATCCAAACGGAAGTTTTCGATTGTTATCCGTATAACTTTGGTGGGGCCGCTTGGCTTGATGGTCCATCGACAGTATTGAGGCCCTCGGAAGCGACAGGGGTAGTTGGGACTGTAAATTGTTCCATTAACTTCTGTCAATTCTCTTGGCTCTCCACAAGCTAAGAGGCGAAGGAAGGTCTTTTTAGACTTATGGATTGAATGACAATTGATATTAATTAATAGAGCTAGCCATCAAATCACTCAAGAAACACAATCGAGCATTGAAATAAAGAACCTTTGGTAAGTTGTCTTTAAACTGCTATCTAAGTCAACTGCTACTTTAGTTAAACCGCAAACATATTTATAAGATTGTGTCTTTGTAGCTAAGGGTAACTATTGCATAACCAAACAATTGACAGGGGGTTACTGTTTAACGATGAGAAAGACACGAAAAACAGAGAAATAAAAAAACACAAAAAAAAACACAAAAACAAAACATGCCGAACAGCTTTCTAAAGTCTTTGCAAGCACCATTTTGGGAGCAATACTTTGAAAATTAGAACTTATGGTAGCAGCTCACGGGTAAAAAACTCCATATCCCTGTGCTCTCCAACTCCCCGTGCTGTAAATCCAGCAATGTATACTCGATACTTGGTTCCTGGCTGAAGACCAGTGATAGTATGGCTTCTAAAAGATAAATCCACTGTAAACTGTTCAATATGTTGAGAATGAGAGTCCTCTTTAAAACATTCTGGAAAATAGGTAATACTGTAGCCAAGAAGTTTTCCATTGTGATGTTCTGAAGATATATCAGACCATTCGATGAAGGCACTGCTTGCTGATAGGACTTTGTACTCCACATGACCAGGCCCTTCACTAGGAACTAAAACAAAATAACATTTTCTCATAATTGCACCTATATGGTCCCTCGTGTTCTTTTCTTAGAGATGCTTTTAAGTTCTTACCATCACCCTTTTAAGTGTGTTTGCGAGCCTGTGTGAAAGTGTAAGTACAAAACAATATGGCTTGACTTGGTCTATACCCCTCAGTCTGGCTTGTCAACCGCCACGTCACTATTTCTCTCAAAACGAAGCAAATGAAAGCACAAAATGCTTAAAGAAAAAAAAAATGAGAAGAATAGTAATCGGTAATACTCACCACCTTCCACCGTCTCCAGAAGAAATTGTTCACTTTTGTAAATTTCGTCATTTTTGTCAACGAGGTAAACAACAACCGCAAAGCTGCTCGATACCGGAATACCAAACACCTCCTCCACGGAATTCGACGAATTTACCATGTGCAGATAAACTGGAGGTCGCTTTTCGTCATCCCCGTGATGCTTCCCGCAACCGGGATTCTCTTCCGTACTATTTAGAGATATAATAAAGAAGGAGGCTTCTTTGTCTTTGGGGAAACGAGACATGTCAAATATGACACTCCCGTCTTCAGTGTTGCTTGCTGTTACGTTCCATGGAGGCTGGAAAGAGGCAGCTGAAAAAAACAATTGATCTGGATCAAATGAGATTTTTATAGTAAGATACTCCGCTATGAGGTCCAAACCATTACCCTTTCTATAAACCGCCTATGACCAAACTCATTAATTTGATCTTTATTTGTTTATTTATTTCTGCAGGGTAGAAAGGATATTGAGTCAACGATCTATTAGGCAAGGGTTTGTAATACTTTAGGCTAGAAACAGAGAATATCCAGATCAGTTAAAGATAAAGAGAACCTCTTTTCATGTGTTTTAAATAAATAGGAATGACTCCATTTTAACCTTTTCATAAGGTGTAACAAAGAAAGTTAAATAAGGTAAATTTTAGCAATGATCGACCAATTTAATACATTGCACTAAAGCAACAAGAGCAAAATGTAGCAAAGTTCACGTGTTCGTGGATTTAATCAAAAAACAACTTTTCTTTCGCGAAAACTATAAACATAATTCCAGTATCCTTTTGTAAGCACATTGTTTAAAAAAGATACGATATTAAACCCTCCCTTCACCCAGTGAGGATGATGAAATCCACACAATTACGTTTCGTTGTCAGGGGAATCAGTCACTGATCCTCCGAAGAGGTAATTTTCTATAAAAGGTGCAGGGCTAGCTACCACGGAAGTCATATAGCAATGTAATCATAGCTATTACAATTTCCTCAAATGTGATGGGGGAATTAGCTGCTTTATTTTTCACTAATAATTTTGTAGAGTTGTAATGGAACAGTGTAATCGGACAGTTGGCTGTAATTAGACACCTGAAAACGGACAGCGGAAGAAAATGTTTCACTTTAGACACTGTCTCTACCGGAGATGTTTTGTCCTAAATGTATTCTTTTTTTAACGGAAATTGTAACGGTTATGATTTATTGGTAAAAGGACTTCGTGTCGTCCAATTCTGTCTGTAATAATAATCATGCCCTTTGGGGTCGTTCGACTTTGTTAATCACTTGTATGATTACAGGCAGAATTGGACTTCACTCGGTCCTGTTACCATTATTCACTTCAACATATATGATAAGTGTGCTTATTTGCATGAGAACAGCTGACGATGCTCAACTATACCTGAATACAGAGCTTTTCCTTGTTCCAAAAGAACGAATTCTGATATCACTTGGCTTCCTTCGTGTTCTGTATGAAGCTTGAGGGTCAAAAATTCAGACCCGTCAAAAGGAACCTCCACTATATCACCTTTTACCGTTTCATAATGACAACCATCATAACTCCATAGCTCATTCCCATCACTTCCAAAAATCTTGGACGAAGATCTGTTTATAGTAAAGTTACACAGAAGATGAAAGAGTTTGCAGGTAAAAATGTAAGGTGAGAGGCAAAGTTTATTTGGCTCTCTGTTTCCGAGAGGAATCCTCATAAATTTATCTGAATGATCTCATAAATGATATTTAATACCATCCACAAGTCTACACAATTACCACTACGAACATAATTGAAGTAGACATAAATGAGATTTACGCCAAATCATTATTTATCGCCCAGAGTAGAGGATTTTGGGAGGAGGAGAGAACATGGTTTTTAGGGGAACGGATGGAGGGATCAATCATCTCCAACAGAATATAAAGTGAGGACTATAGAAACTTGGCTGCCAATTAACTTCCAATAAGGGGGTAAATGTAAGAATATACTAGCCTTATGGGGATCAGTAGATTTCATTGTGACAATTAAAATCCTCCTTCCTTTCCCTTGTACCCCGTGCGCCCCCCCCCCCCGTGCCTCCCTACCCCCCCAAGTGATAAAAAGCGACCTGCCACTTACTCGCAAGATTTAAGTTCCACATATTGTGCAGATATGATCATCACGGGGTTGATAAGGCCAGGGTTGTTAATCTTCCACGAACAGTTTAGTCTTCCATCCCAGCTCCATTGCGTAAGATTAAATGCTCCAAAGTAACCATGGAAAGTTCCGCCACAACCTAACAAAAGCAATACATTATTAATTATGTTGATAGGATCAAGGGAAGTCGAATTCTTTTTATCATCCCACATGTTATGGACAAAATTTGACAATTGCGATGGGGTTCGATTTGCTGGGCAAAAGTATAGTTACGGACAGAAATGGAAGGCGCAAAGTCGGGGTAAGAATCTATTAAAGATAAAAGGTGATAATTCACCTTACTTCTCCATAACATGAACCCAACAAGCGTTGTTTAATCATGCAAGCTTGAATGTTTAAACTGTTTGGCACTCTTAATAATCGGTGGCTGTTGATAGCCGATCGAGCCTAAGAATTTCGTTTTAATTTTGATGAGAGCAAGCATTGATTCGCAAAAGAAGTAGAATGATTTAGTGGATGGCTGAATTGCACAAGGATTCGTGTTACCTGATGAAGTGTAGTTGGGGGAATTATTTCTTGAATGATTGGAAAAATGAATAATTCTTGGATGAATTTTTTTGGTAGACATAACGCATCTGAAGGATGTATGCTTTCAGTATAAAATACGTATATATATAATCATATTAAAATACGCAAATTAATTAATATGCATAAATATATACATTGATTCTTGTTCGCTAATGCAATGCAATGAAGAATTAATTTCTTGTTTACCAATAAGTACTGTTTCCCAGTCTGATATCGGTCCATCATCAACCGTGAATGCTGCAACCGCGATCTGATATTTTCTTCCTCCGTCCAAGCCTTCGAGAGCAAGGTGGGTATCCGTGGAATTGACCCTGATAACATCTCCCATGTCCCCGTCGTCATGGCCCCATTCATAATGGTTTTTCCATTCCCTGATATGGACCTTGTATCCAAGAAGCTTGCCATTTGCATACTTTGCTTCAAGAGGATCCCATGTTACTTCGACACCGTTATGATCCAGGAGTTTAACGTGCACATTTTCCGGTGCTCTCGATGGAGCTGAAAGATAGGTGAAAAAAATCATTTTTATCGAAGTTCTGCACTGAATTCTCAGAGATGAATTCATCTAACATCACTTTCACTTTGCGCATGCGTGAAACAATGCTGACCATATAACGACAACAACAACAGTACTTTATTTAAGGGTGCTACATCAAGAACCACAAGGCTCGTAGAACATGTGCGTGAGTGTAAATACATCACAAAAATAACAATAATGAGTAGGATAATAAAGACTGCGAAGATGTAAATTCTACCATATACAGCTACGTTTTACCAAATTAACAGTTTGTATCGGCTCAAATAGACTGGAAAATGATAGGGCAGATCTCTATTCAATCTTTGCACGAGTGAACATTAACAGATGGAGTAACTGAAATTATTCAAAGAAAATCTGCCCTTACACTTCAAAACAAAAAAAAATTTCTGAAGCGGACTTTTTCTCAACCCTGTGTTGGAGAGATCGCTTTCCAAGCAATTTTAAAGAAAAGAAATAGTCCTAAAGGAATAATTCCTAAGCGATCCTTTCAGTGGTAAATATATTTCAAAACACTTGGTTTAAAGAAAATTCAATCACAGTTCTATTTCCTTACCTCCCTCTGGTGTTGTCACTAAGTCACTTTGACTAAAATACATTTTATCTTCCGTGAAAGCGACGACATTAAGGACATAGTCGCGGTTGGGCAAGAGCATGTTCTCCAGGCGGTAGAATTTTTGGTGTTCACTAACAGGTACCATTATGGAAACATTATCTTGAGTGAATCTTACATAGAGGCGATGAACGTGCTCATCCGGGGGAAAGTCGCCCCAAGATAGATCAGCTGACGATGAATCTAGACTCGACGAGAAGCTCCATGAGTCCAGATAGGTCTCTGAGGCGAAAGAAAACATTTGCAGTAAGACTAATCCATACCTTTTTGTTCTGCTTTGCATAGGTCTGTTTGTTTGTTGAATCTATTTGTATGCTTCTAACTGGTTGATTTTTTTTTCTTTTTATCCTTTTTATTTCGGCAGGAAAAGATAATTAGAAAAAAAAGATGACAAATGATATAATGATAGATATATGGAAATAATGCTACTAAATATGATCATAACCGAGCGCACGGCTGATGTCCGTGTGTAAATTTCTGGTGCGGAATAGATTTTATTCTTCGGAGACACTTTCAACAAAATACTGAGGGTATTTGACAAAATTCTATACTCCTGGGAATGAGGAGGAGTAGGTAACTTATGGTGTACAGGCAACCCGTTAATAGTGATCTATCTTCATTAATTACCTCTGAGGATTGTTGTCTAACGTGATTATTGTATGGGAAAAGATTGTGGCCGAGGCATTGAGCAGCTTGGTGCGAAAGCGCTAGCTGCAAATAACGTCGCCAAAAGGGAGGCAGTAGAGTAGAAAATTCCTTCTAACGAGCAGGGTTGTGTACTCCACGGCCGTCAGAATTCTGCGGCAAATTTATGAATGAGAATAGAATTGCAATTTTATCCCTTGGGCAGACTAAATTGATATTTTTCAAAGTAACTTCAAACCATGTTAGGCATGAGTTCTTCTGATTTGAATTAATATCTTGAAAAGGCTGAAAAAAACCTCCCCTGATCAATCGTAGGGCACACACCTTCGATCTCGTCAGAGAGTCCGTAGTACAATGCGTTAAAACCATGACCATGTCTATAATCCTCTCGTCCTTGAGCGACGAAATTAACATCTGCCTGGTCACTGGACACGATAACATGGAAGTGATCAAAGTATCTGCATACTAAAGAAGGTGTGCCGCTGTCTCCCGTTGAAATACCAACCCAATCATTCAACCTAGGAAGAAGGAAAAGTTTTAAATGATTAACTGATAACGTTATAAATGGATGGTCAGCCAAAATAATCAACAATTGGTTGTTTGTAGAAAAAAAGACTGAGGAAGAATGGAAGAACACTAAAATGATCGTTGAGGGAAAATAGTAGATTGTATTGGTACCGAGGCAATGAAGGAAAAATAAAAAAAAGCGTTAAGCCTCTAGTCGAGCCACTAGGCCCAAGCACCCAGAGCTTATCCCGATTTCCTAGGCACGAAGCAAACCTCCCACCCCCCAACCGTGTGGGATGTCAGTCTATTGCAAGGTTATATCCCTTAGCATTTCATCGGGCTTCCCTGAAAATTAGCCGGTATCCATTTAAACCTCTGGGTAGAGAAAGGAACTGCGAGAGTCTAGTGTTTTTCCTAAGAACACAACACATTGACCCAGGCAGGTCTAGAACCCAGACCTCTCCACCCGGAGTTCAGAGCACCAACCAGTAGGTAAACACCAATGAGGGAAAGGAGCTAAGTGTACAAGGATAATAAAGAAAAACATTAAGAAGAAAGGACAAAAATAAACGGAATATCAAATTGCAACCATCTGTAATATTTATAGTCTTGATCGTCTGCAATATTGACACGAAGCAAGCGTAGCCTAATTTATGGACGAACCGCTCCAATATAGACAGATTCTCACCAGCATCCTTTGTCATGTTCATATTCCTCCAGACGGAAATCGTAAAACGTCATCCATATGTTCTTGACTGGCTCACTGACATTTGGTGTAATAGACCAAAGGCAATTTTGTTTCCCGCCGTATTGACAAGGTTTATTAGGGCTGTCAATTGTCCCGTTGATTTTAGTCAGAATGCGTGGTTTCCCGCAACCTTATGAAAGAAAAAAATAACCTTCGCTAAACAGTGACATTCAGGTCAATAAATTACGTATTGGTGGCGTTTTGGGGATTAGGGTTCGATGGGGGCGGAGAGGTATTCGTATTTTCATGTAAATCCGGCTTTTTTTTCTTCCATTGACGGCCAGCAACTTTGAACGATCACTTTGAATATTATGTAGACCAAGTATAACTTTCGTCGAGAGAAAAATAAATTCCAGAATCAAGTCACAAAATAAACAACAACGATTGATAGATTGACCTAAATAGAAAATTAAATCACCCTTAACCAGAGCTATAATTGTCTGTCATTACTTACTTGTAAATACTTCTCTGTCATTAAATTTCCCGACTCCTTTCGAAGTGAACCCAGCAACATGTATACGATATTGCAAACCCGGATGAAGATTGCAGACTTTTCCATAGCGTTGACTTGGATCGTTGACGTCCAGGCTTCCATAATGTCTTCTTGGGTCGTCCTCAGAGAAACAACTGGTTTCATAAAAAATTCTGAAACCAATAATTTCGCCATTTCTATTCTCTTCGGATATTTCATTCCACTTGATCAGCACGCACCCGTCTGCCATTACCTCGTAATACTCAATGTGAGGTCCTTCGCTGGGAACTATCAATCGTTACAAAGATGTAAATTGTAAAAATTAAGCAAAGAAGACCAGCCATGCATTATTAGCATTCTATGATTGCATAATTTCCTTGGTTAGAAGTAGCATGGTTCTTAGAAAAATACCGCAGAGCCTTGATATGATTTTTTTAATGTCCATTTATGTTTTCTGGTACCACTTTTGCTAGGCGGGTATCTTGGTCACTTGGTATTACCCAATTAAATAAAAACATGTACCTCTCGATGCCTGAATTTAGTAGTATTCATGGTACTTTGGGACGTAAAAAAGCCATACTGCGAAAAAAGAGTACTTACCTCCCTCATCAGTCTGGACAGGAAACAGAGGACTTTTATAAATCTCATTAGTCTTGTCTACGAGGTACACGGTGGCGGAGAAATTGCTCAGAACTGGCAACCCACGTAAGTCAGCAGACTCCTCCGTAGCATTGACCATGAACATAAAGTAACCTTTTTGAAGTTCATTTTTATAATCATGATGGTCCTCTTGATTTTCTTCCTTTGTCATATTCAGAGTTATGATAAAGAAATTAGTGTCTATGCTGTCAGGGGAATCATTAAGATCCATAAGGACTCCTCTGGCTGTAGTGTTGTAGGGTATATCCCAATGAGGTGAAGGAAGAGCTTTAAAAAGAACCATGATTATTAGTAATGCGTAATATGCTCTCTGTTCTTAACCTATTCCTTCATTTCGTATCACATATGTATATGTAGGTCTCAGGCCCATTTGGAATGACTGAAGAAGTACGATGACGATCTAAAATCTAGAATTTCAGAGAAATAGCATTTTCCACTTCTCGTGTCATGTTCCACTTAATTGAAATTTCTCACCAGAGTGGTGGGATTGAATAGTGTACATTCAAATGGATGAGCAATAACACCATAAGTTGGATAAGTGACAAGAAAATAGCGTCTTTAATGGCTAATTCACCTGAATAAAGATATTTGTCTTGCTCTAAAAGGGCGAATTGCGATCTCGCGTAGCTCCCTTGGTATTCCGTGTGAAACTTGAGGGTCAGAAATTTGGATCCACCGAATGGTATTTGTTCTACGCGTCCAAGAACATGCGAGCACCCACTGTGATTAAAGATCTCAGAACCATCACTGTTGTAAATCTTTGTCCAACCCCTAAAATTAGAGAACGGTAACTTAAGGTAACTTTTACATGAGAGCTTCATGAAATACGCAGAAAGAATGTCCAAAAAAGGAAGGAAAAGAGGAAAAAGGTGAGAACACGAATATAAATAATTACAATAGTGAGTTTAGGCTCTAGTAAGATTTAATGCGAAAATACCTTATGTGAAAATATAAGCAGTTATGTGTGGCAGACTGTTTTTGATTAATCAAAAAGAATTGAAAGCATTTGAAAAATCACCAGAAGTTTGTCGTTCGACTCAATTCCCATGCTTGAGTCCTGTTTGAGAAATTAGCCTGAAATGAGCCTGAGAGTGTAACAAAGAACCGCACTCCAAAGAGGAGAAGAGGGGTGTTGGAGGATTTAGGTGGAAATCACATGGTTTCAGTGAGAATGGAGGGAATGACGGTCATCGCCAATAGAGTATAAAGGGAGAACTGTAGAATGTTGGCTGCCAATAAGGGGGGGAGGGGGTTGCTAGAATACTACAGAGCCTTCAAGGGGGGCACAGGTAAATTTTAAGATGATGTAAACAAAATCCTCCCTCCCCTAGGGTGATAAATGATGATTGATCCCTTACTCGCAAGATTGTATCCGCACGTCGATGGCACTGAGGTACAGAACAGGGTTTGTGAGGCCGGGGTTATTGATCCGCCATTCGCAGTGGAGTTGTTCCCAGCTCCACTGTGTAACGTTAAACACTCCAATATAGCTAGTAAAATTTCCCTTGCAACCTAAATATGAATAAGTAGGTGAAAAATGTCAGTACATTGATGAAAAAACAACCTAGGTCAATAACTAGGCGTGACACTTTGTATGTGAATTAATAGCTATAGCGGGTAAGTACATCAGGATTGCATGCATGGATGCACATCTATCTTTTTGCCGTGTAATTCAGCAAAATATGTTGGCGTTTTGTGGAGTCGCTGTATCCAACTTCAGCAAATGTAAATGATCCTACATTTAACGGATAACAGCTAAAATATATTTTACTTTGTTACTAATTCATAATGCACCTCCCTAATATATCTCTACTTCTACTTCTTCTAATACTACGACTATTACTACTACTACTACTACTACTTCTACCATTACCACTATTGCTACAGACACTGCAACTAACATTACTGAATTACTCCTACTTCTGTTGAAACTGCTGCTACCACTAAATTCAGCACCATTACCAATGTCTTTCATCCTAATCCCCTTCAAATCACTTACCCACTCTTATTGTTTCCCAATCTGATCGTGGCCCGTAGCCGATAGTGAACGCAGCCACTGCCACATCTACCTTTCGGGCTCCATCCAAGCCATGAAGAACAATATGGGTGTCAGGGAAAGTAACGTTAAACCTTTTATATTCTCTCTCATCATGATTGTAGTGGTCCCGAAGGTACACTGTATACCCACGTAACTGACCATTTGCTTGGTGTGGTGGGAGTTGATTCCATTGAACCAGGATGCTGTTCTGTTGCAGCTCCTCCACGTGTAAATTTTCGGGTGACCCGTTAGGGACTGAATTAAATCAAAAGAGAAAACTGAAATCGATAAAGGCTCAGTCGTATATAGCAAACTGCTTTTTGCGATCGTGATTGGTTTGCCTTGCATTCATGTAACATGGAAAGTACCCGACACCCCCCTTGCCTCCCCATTAGAGAACCAAATCCTACCCTCAAATCAAGAATATTTGTAGTTTGTGGACTTTTCTATTCTATTTTTTTTTTGGTAGTGTGAGACATGACTGTATCTTTTCAGTTGTTAATTCACCCAGTGCCACCTCTCCTCATCATTATCTCCTCATCATTATTTGATTCTTCTGTTGATAATAATTCTCTTTAAAACACACCTCCTTCAATCGTTTGAACGGTAACATTTTCACTTGCATAGATTAAGCTTCCTATTTCTTCTCCCGTGAACGCAAGAAGATCAAAGGTGTACGTGTGGCTTGAAACCAGCAGCCGTTCCACACTATAGTGCTTGTCGTGGCCGTTCACTGGTAGAAGCACTGATACGTTGTCTTTTTTATCCGTGAATCGCACATAGTATTGTATGATTGACACACCAAGAGGAAAATCATCCCACTTCACATCAACTGAGATTTCACTTGTGGTCACCGTTACAGTCCACGATAGCTGCGTTACTGGAATAAGACACAACAAAAGCTCTTAAATCATATATCCGAATTCCGTATTAAGAGATAATGCTTGCGAAAGAGACTGTCTCGCTACTTGAATTTATTTCGTTATTTCTGTTGCAATAAGCGACTGAAAAGGAATATATCCTGTCCTTATGGATAGTCTTCCTCCAGAATTTCAGTTTACTTATATCCATTAACACATCTTGGTGAAGGAAGGAATTGTGAGAGAGGTATCTGGTTCAAGAACACATGGTCATGATTATGGCCTAGGTTCCTCACGATCCTTCATTCAAAGGTCTGATCTTTCAGAAATACTCGTCAGCAATTTTAAACGTAACGGTCATTTTAAGTGCCTCTATCTCTTTTTCAGCATACTCAGAACTCAAAATTAAATCTTAACAACTGGGTTCAAGTCCGAGATACTAGTACGTCATGGTACACAATTACCCTGAGCTAGTAAATAACTTGAACCCACTAACCCCCAACCCCAACCCCCCCTAAAAAAATAGCACCAACCCACAACCCCAATCCCCCCCTCCCTTAAAAAAAGCACACAGACATACACACACAAGATATCCAAGGAAAAAGTGAAAGTGAACCGCGATAAGATTACCAGATCAGAGGGTTGGCTACCATAAAATAATATAGTATGCTTCCTCTTGGCGAAGTGGATGTAAAAAATTTTTCTCGATATCCAGACATACCATTCAGGTCTTCGTGGGATGCTATATACCGAGCATAAAATCCATCACCACGCCTGTACTTGTCCCTTGTATGAAAACTGATGTCTGCATGACTGTCCATGATAACAACGATGAATTCTTGCAAGTGTCTACAAACTGATACATCACTGATATTTCCTTTCGTCGAAATCCCAACCCAGTCATTCGATCTGTGAAGTGTAAAGTTATTGTTGAATACCTCATTAGAATATAAAAATAACAATCGGAACTGGTGTGGTTTGATTCTCACCTGCAATTGGAGTGATGCTCGTGCTCCTCCAAACGGAATTCTTTAAAAAACATCCAGATCACTTTGATCGGCTCATCGGTGTCTGGTGCGATTGACCAATAGCAATGTTGTACTCCTCCATAATAGCATGGCTGATTAGGACTCGCTATCACGCCGCTACTGTTTGTCAGCGTCGCTGGGTCTCCGCAACCTTAACGAATGAATTACGCCCTTAATTTATTAATTAATTTACTTGTTAGGATTTTAGATTTTCGATCTCTGATTTTCTGGCAAAAGTCGAAGGTTGAGCATTGAAGATTTGAGTTCAATGACGCATCGCTTGATTAATCTATTAACTGCTTGATTAATGTATCGATCAATTAATCTTTGGATGTATCGACTCATTGATAAATTGTTCGCTCGTTTGTTACTTTTTGCTTTTGTGTGTTTGTTATCTGTTTTTGTGAGCTGAGTCATGTTACATCTCGCGTTTGATTTACACGAAAACGGCTTACCAGCGTAAATATCATCTCTATCAGAATATTCTCCGGCTCCTTTTGACGTAAACCCAGCAATACGTACACGATATTGCAATCCTGGGTAAAGGTCGCATATTGTGGCACTCAGGGTATCTGGCGAGGTGATATTTAAACTTCCGGTATGGAAGATATCGTGTTCTGGGTAATGGTAGCAAGCAAGTTCGTAATAAATGTTGTAGCCTTGAATGACGCCATTGCTACGCTCCTCAGAAATTGGATGCCAGCTAATTTTTACACAGCCATCTCCGATGATCCAGTAATCGTAGATGCGGGCACCCTCACTGGGAACTAATATTAATGAAATATCCATTAAGACCACGAATGAGACATCAAGGTAAAAAACGAACAAACAATAACTGACTCTTTTATCGCCAAATCAAGGGTGCTTGAAATTAACTTTAGCAGGAAAACTGCTGTCTATATATGCTTTGGACCTAAGAAAGAAATTATCTGTGATTCATTTGCCTTCTGAAGTCCTCCCTACAGTCAAGGTTAAATAAAGAAATCGTAGTGCTTATCGATTCTTTCTCCAGTTCGGATCGAGCAGCTAACAGCTGATTCAGACGTAATGGCACATTTATTTAGACGAAAAGGGTGCGTAAGAGTTGCTTGCGGTATCTGAAAGTTACTCTAGCTCTTAACTGCTTCATATCTAAATGTTCGCATAGCTACTTATGTGTTATTTGCTGTTGTGCAACATTTTCAACGCTTTAGCTGAACTGTTGTCCGCAAATAATTCCCTCACAGCAATATCTGACACATATTATCAGATTTCATTCACAATGGGAGGAATACGAAGCAGGAGATTGAGCTTGATGTCATGAATTTATCATCTATGTTATGAATTCTGTGAATTTTGTGAGCGATTCGGATGCTTAGGTTATGATGACTCACCACCCTCCTCTGTTTGGATTTCGATCTCTTTACTTTGGTAAAGCTCATGGGTGATTTCTTCAACAAGATAAACAGAAACAGTGAAATTGGTAAACGCTGGAAGGCCCATCACTTTTGCAATTGTCACGGATGAGTTCACCATGTGTAGATAATCCCTCGGCTTGTAGTCGTCATCATGATGATGGTAGTAGTGGTGGTGGTGGTGGTCTTTGTCGTCGTCACCATCGTCTCTCTGAGTCTCGTTTATTGATATAATGAAGAAAGTGTCAAATAAGTTATCAGGGTGGCCTGAGAGATCGACAAGAACTGCCCCGTCGCTTGAGATGTTTGAAGTTATATCCCATTCAGGAGATTGATGAGCTAGAATTGTTGTAAAATATTATAGATTAGGTCAGGGCATTCGATTCCACCACGATTCAATTCGTTACTTTATTATTTGAAGAAAAGATTATAGCATGTATAAAATACCTATACAATACCTAACCGCCAAAATGTTTAAATGTATCGAATTAATTAGTAATGACGTACTGCTTGATCGATCAATCGATCCACTGATGATCTGCTGGTTTGTTTGTCGCTGTGAATGATTAATGGCTTGAAAGCTTACTGGTTGCTAATTGATTGATTGATTGATTGACTGATTGACTGACTGACTGACTGACTGACTGACTGACTGACTGACTGATTTACTGACTGAATGATTGATTGATTGATTGATTGATTGATAGACTGACCAACTAATCGATCGATTGATCGATTTACTGATTGATCGATTGATTGATTAATTGATACGATTAGTCTTAAAAAGCAATATTTGTTGCAATTGAGGTTAGGTTCTTTGGTTGCTTGTAATTCGAATTTTGTTAAAAATGTGACTCGTGTGCAAGGGGACTTTACCTGATTTGAGAGATTTCCCCTCCTCTAAAATAGCGAATTCCGATCTTACGAAGCTTCCCTGACGGTCTGTACGAAGCTTGAGAGTTAGAAAATCTGATCCTTCGAAAGATACCTCCACTATTTCGCCATACACCCTGTGATCATTATGATCACAACCATCATGATTGTGTAACTCGGTGCCATTACTAGAATAAATCTTAGACCAGGATCTGCCAAAATTAGAAAGATGCATAGTATACAAGATTATTATTATTATTATTATTATTATTATTATATTTTTTTACAAATAGAAACACTCCAACTCTTCGTACTGACTATTCTTTTTATTGACATCAAAGCCAACCGCAAATCAAATGAAAACAAATGTAGACAATATAGTTTTCAACGAATTATTCTCGACAAGTGGTACATCATTCTATGAGCCACGTATCTCCTTTGGAGCACTTCAAAACGTAGGATGAAATCTGTTATTTTTCCGTCTCAGCCGCTACACAAGAAAAATAAGGAGGAAGTGACACCAGAAGTATGCATGGTAATCTCATTAACTCAAATCGTGATATAACCCAAAACGGTCATATCATGATCAGTGATTTAAATAAGGCAACAAAACATTAATCCACGTTTTTTATTGATACGTTACCCGCAGGACTCGAACTCGACGTGAAAAGCGGAGATAACTAGAACAGGATTGTCAAGACCAGGGTTGTTCAACTTCCAGGAACATTCTAGTGATTCCCAGTCCCACTGCTTGAGTTTAAATGATGCAAAATACCCATCCAAAATACCTCCACAACCTGAGAAATACAGGATAAAACCATCAGTTATACTATTGGAGCTCAAAGCTTGATTTGGCTTCCTATGCTGGTAACTGTACTAATGGATGAAATACCAGCGATACTATAGCAAAATCATGTCGACCTTCGCCTCTTCCTTCCCCCCTGAAGGGCTAATTGATTTCGAGTACGAAAAACATTCCAGTTTCAGCTCGGAGGTGTGGGGGCACTTTAAGCCACCTTGCATAAGGTCAATATTTATGCTCATCTCTTTTGGCGTGCCGTTATGGCTATGTTCCAATAACTTTGTTCAAAAGATTGTTTTTCCACGTTTTTCGGCAGCGGGACCGAGACGCCTCGGTCCCATAGGTGAAAGGAGTGACAAAGATTAGATATATTGCACCCGAGTTGTAAAAGTAGACTTTATAAAGATCTATTTCTAAGACATATTCTTCCGAAACTCCACACGAACCTAAACCCTGGATCCTGTTTAAAGAAAATACCCTCATCCAAACGTACCAACAATGAATTCCTGCCACTCTGAATGAGGCCCTTCCTCAACTGTAAACGCCGTAACAGCGACGGTGTACTTCCTCCCTCCATCCAAATGACCAATGACAATCTGCGTTTCCGAGGAACTAACATTATACTTGGTTGCTGACTCTGGGTCATGATTGTGATAGTCTTTTATGTACACTGTATAACCGCGTAACTGGCCGTTTGCAGCCTCACTAGATATGGCATCCCACATGACCAGGATTCTGTTGTGTTTTAACAGTTCCACGTGTACGTTCTCGGGCCCTCGGGAGGGAGCTTGCAAGATAATAAAGGTTAGGTTAGACCCAGCCACACAATTCCAAGTAAGATAAACCATCGGGTTCTGTTTGTTCAAAGGGTGAAAAACACTATCCACTGGTTAGTGCATTAAGTTTGTTTACCACATACTCTCTGGGAGGTGATTTATTTGTTGGATAGCATTATCCACCATTTGAAAAAAAATAATTTTTACGTTAACATGGTAGATAGTTACTGTTAGAGCGTATCCGCTTTCTGAAGCTTGAAACTTTTACTTCTTCCAAACAAAGAAGTAATCTATTATAGATACGTCTCCTCAATAATCATGTAAGTTACAAAGCATCTTGAGTTTTTAAACAAATGAAAATAAAAAGATCCTAGTTAGAGTTCAGTGCTAAACATCTTAATGCCCAATCTTTTTGTGCAAGCAGAAGAACAGCCCTTTTGGGGGAAATTCAAACTAAACAAGACAAAACTTTGGAAATTATGCAGATCTTAAAACACGCCTTATTTTTGTTACATACCTCCTTCCTCAGTGGTAATTGAGACGTTATCACTTGAGTAAATATCGTCTCCGATGCTGCCCATAAAGGCAATCATCTGAATGATGTATTGACGCCCAGGCATAAGCAAAAAATCTATGTCGTCTCCCGAGTTGTATATTGCCGTGGGAATCAAAACAATGATTTCCTCATCTGCTTGTTTGAACGCCATGTACAGGTCTTGAATCGGGTCACTTAATGGAAAGCTGGACCAGTCTAATCTCGCAGATGAGCCATGTTGCTGGACTGTGACATTCCAAGAACGAAGTTGGGTTGCTGCAATTACATGATAAATGCGAAAAATAGAAAAATTGGGAAATTATGCTCTGGAATAAATTTAAGCCTATTGGACATGATAACTTTTACCCAACAACGCAGGACATGTGATTTAAACATGAACTTGTTTCCCAAGAAACCTACAAGCTTGTTAACATCCATGGCCAGAAATTTTGCTCTCTGAGCATATTGCCTTTCTAATCCCTGTGCGACGTTGTTCAGGGATCGCACGTACTAATTAAAATGGTTGGCGTTTAACTATTTCTTATAACATTGAACGGGTCAATGGTTGATATCGAAACAAACCTTTTTCCATGTAATGTTTAGTGTTGAAGTATACCCTACCTGCAACAAATTTCTTATGGCTCAGTTGTCAACCATTCGGCGACTGGCTGTCTTACCTGGGACGTGGGTTTGATCTTCCCTGTGGAAGTTTTTCTTAAAAGTCCCCCCCCCTTCCACTAAAATAAAATTTATAAAAACAAACAAATAAAACGTTCCTGGGCTCTAAGCCGAGTCGAGGGGAGCACCTGTCAAAGCCATTTCATGAGATGAACTCTCTATCCCCAAGTTTAACAAGCGCTCACTTTCTCGTCACAGTATCATGGCTGAATCAAATAATGAGGTCATGAGAATAAAGCAAAAATCCATCCAAAGAAGCTCTCAGTAATTATAAACAAATTCTGGTCAGGAAATGTAGAGAAAACAGTATGGAGAACATTTATTCTGATTTTAGGGAGTATAAGGGTTGAGCATGACACTCATGGCAAAAGTAAGGAAAATGAACCTTGATTTCCTCACTTTCCTAATGATGATAATGATATTAACGATAAAAAATGATGATGATGAAAATAATTGTAAAAGCGGTTAGAAGTATCACCTGTGAATTTGCTGTCGACTGCTTCGTAAAACGCTGTAAACCCTTGACTCTCTCTCATAAGTCTCGTGTGGAAGGCAACATCAAGGTGACTGCTTAAGCTTGCCATAGCAAACTTATTGTCCATTCCTCCATGACGGCAGACTAAGACGTCAAGGCTAATGTCCTTAGTTGAAAACGCCACTGCATCGTCCTGTCTAAGAAACCAGATCAATTAAAGGGAATTAGTAACAGTAACTTGTTAGCAAAGTGTCGTCCGATAAACAGTCATGGTCAAGTGAAAAAAAAATATTTTCAGTAAATGAGAGAATGAAGAGGTATCAACATTCCCACGCACTTTTTTTGCCAAAATTTTGCATTCGAATTACGGTGAGATAAAAAAAAATGAAGAAGGCTGATTGAAGGGATCTAAAGCTGGTTGACTAAAAACTAAAAAGAAAACCAATTCAAAGTATGCATCACCCACTTCGTTGAGCAATCATGAAATCTAAGTGAAATTTCTGCTAAAAAGTAGAGCGGAGGTACTTCGCGTTTTAGATACTTACCCACAATGTCGGTCTCCGTGACCATCATAAGCAAGATTAACACCTTCAAACCACATCCAAATTGTTTCAATTGGACTACTTGAATTGGGCTGAATAGACCAATGACAATCCTGCTCTCCTCCATATGAACAAGGCTTATTAGGACTTTCTATTGAGCCGTTCAACTTTGTAAGGGTGCGCATTCCACCACAGCCTTAAGGGAAACGTTGAAAGAAATTGATGCAAGTTCCTACGCACTTAGTTTTATAATAGGGGGGGGAGGGTAGACAGTGAACAGTGCGCTAAAAGAAGACTTAATCCAGCCGCAGGCCCACGCGGCAGCGCTCGCCTCATCACTCGGAAACTGTGTCACAGGAACTAAACTACGAAAGCTATAACTTTGTTAACAAAAACGATCAAGATAGCGACAAAAATTCTGCTGATGTTGTTTCGCTTATATTTATTTGTTCAATATGACTTCCGGTCCTTTTCATTGATTTTCTCTTCCTGAAAGAATTCTAGTTTTGAGGTTTTTAATGGAAAAAAAAAGTGAAGGTACTCACGAGTTGTATCGCTGAGTATTGGTTATCCACTATAAGTAAATCTATTCTAGTAATAGTCACTAATAAACGAACAACGATAAGTGATAATAAATCCAGTTCCACAGAAGAATAATCATCCAATCATCTTTTATCGCCTAAGGGGGGTGGGGTAAGGGTTGTTTGAGGATTTTGTTTGTACTGCAATTAATTTTTCTCTTCTCCCTCCTCTAAAGTGTGTAGTATTTTAATGATCACCCTTATTGGCGGTCAATTTTCCATAGTCTCCCCTTTACACTCTGTTTTGTGACGAATCAACCCCCCCCCTTCCGTTCTCCCTCAAACCGTGTAATCCTTCCTAAAAATCCTCCAACCCCTCTTCCCCCCCCCAAACTATACATAAAAAAGAGACCTTAACACTGACAACGTTACTTACTTGCGTAGGTGTCTCTATAAGTGGGCGGCCCATTCCCCTTTGAGGTAAATCCCTCCAGTTCAAGGCGATACTTCAATCCAGGACGTAGATTACAAAGTGAGACATTGAAAGTGGAAGCATCTACTGTAACGTTCCCCTCATGTCCATCATGCTCAGGGTCATACTCAAAGCAGGTAGCGATGTACGAGAGGGTATACCCAAGAATTTGACCCCTGCGATCGTGCTCGTAAATGGGATCCCAGTCGACCTTCACACAGCCCATTTCATCGGGATAGCTGTCATGGATATGAGGGCCGGACATTGGCACTGCAAAAAAAAAAGAGCTGTTTTATACAGAAACGTTTACTTGTTTTAGTACAACCACATTCTGGACCGTCTTTGATTTGGGAGAATGTTTTTTCTTAGGGTTGATTTGTATGAACAGTGTAAAGGAGGCTTATTGTGAACACAGGAAAATCATTTACTTATTTCAAACAATAAGTGTCGTTCATCCTAAAAACGCTGCTTTGTTGTAAACACACCAAAAAGATGAAGCAAAATCACGTGAAATGGATGAGTGATTCATTGATTCACTGAGAGTCACGATGATGAGAATTATGGTGGAGACAACATGATTTCAAACTCGAGGTTAATAACATATTTTTCCTTTCGGCGAAACGTTCAACTTCGAGAACGATTTAACTATATTTCATAACAATTACCTGACTCGTCGGTGAATTCCGTCATCTCGCTGCTTTTGTGAGGCTGACCTAAAACATCCACAGCTACAACTGATATGCGATATTCATGGTAAGGAATCAAACCGTGCAGCCACAAGGACGAAGTGGATGACGTCACAATCCTTCCATTTACTAAGTCATGTCGCGTTGTGGAAGCAACGATTACAACATAGACTTCTACTGACTGAACGATCTCAGAGGTCAATGCTGTCCACTCGATTTGAAAACTGTCTTCTGTGATATTGATCACGCTTACATCCCAGCCACTGACCTGTTGAGCTGACCAGACAAAACAAAAGGTTAATGAAGTGGACAAAAAATTGAGATTAAAGCGTTAATGCCACAAGAAGTTGAAGAGCTCGCAACGCTGTATCTCATTCGCCTGCCTGGTTTTGCTCTTTTTTGGTTGAAGTGTTCGTTTACTTCGTTTTTATTTTTTATTGCCTATTTTTGGCTTGTTTTTGTTGTTGTTGTTGTTGTTGTTTATGTTTTGTTTTGTTTTTTATAAAAAAATTAATTTAGAAAGCCAGTCAAAAAATTAATTGATTTATTTTGCTTTTTTCTTTTTTTTTCTTTACGTTTTTGTATTTGTGCTAACATTGAGGATTGTGGTATTCTTCATCAATGTTTTCCTCATGCAACAAAAAGATTTGGGATAACTGACCAAAAAGTTACTGTCGCTTTTAAGAGTAGAATACTGAATAAAATTACACATTTTGAACAGGCAAGGGCCAATTCGAAGAAAACACAAAAGGATACAAGAATAATGAACATGCAAGGGCCAATTCGAAGAAAACACAACACGATGCCTTAGCAAATATTTTTACTATAACGTTAGAAAAAATTAAATTCCTACAAGAGCGAAAAAATAATAGTTATAACACGGACAAACTACCTAAAAGCCACTGCAAAACGAAATTAAAGAAAACGATGAAAATGAAGCCGCTTACCAAATGCTGAGGATAAGTCGAGTTGGTGGTTGGAGAAAACGAACTATATAACTAAATTTACTTACAGCACGTAAAGAAGGAGCGTAATTAACAAAATACCGAAGAGCAAAAAGGAGAAAAAAAAAAGTACACGGTGACAAGTAAGTGAGAAAACGAAAAACAAAGGGAAAAATTTGCCGCAACACATTTCGTTAAGCTGTGCTGTACAAAGCTTACCGGATTTATAACTGCCTTGAAGAAAGACATAAGCTCCGTCAAAAGAGACATCGTCGACATATTGATCTATTTCCACAACCACTTTCGAAGCGTCAAATTCAATTATTTGGGTGGCTCTCTCCCGGCAGACTTCAGAATGAGGAATGTAATGGTCTGGAAACATCTTGACGTTTACGTACGTTCTAACGAAAAATAAAACAGCATGCATGTAGTAAATCTTTTGATATGTCTTCATTCAAGCTAACCTTGTTCCCTTTTGTAAAATGACATCATCATCTGTGGAAGGGTTAGGAATCTGTTACTATGATTTTACTATTTGTTCAATAAATTATTTGTTCTACAAGATATTATCAAAGCATAACCTTCAATATAGAAATAAACAGATGTAGTTGATCCGGGTGGCCGGTATCCGCGGGTTTCGCCCATAACGAGTTTCGCCCAAGAAGCGTTTCGCCCATAACGAGAATGGTTTCGCCCAGGCATAAATTCGATTCGCCCAACTTGACTAGTTTCTATCTCTTTTCCAATTATGTGTTGCCGTTACCTATGTCAGAAATACAATCTTTAACTCTCGATTCCTTTGTTTTAGTATTCACGAAACCGTATTCACATGTATTCATAAGCTGGCGTGCGGAACTTATCTTCCGTGTACAAAAGATTTGCAACGATGATATGTTCCACGCGCAAGTGTTTTCAAAAGCGTTTAATTTAATTCTCGAGTAATGCTTTTACGACAAACGGACGTCTCTGCAGTATTTCGTGCGCGAATTACCTTGAACCACAGTGAAATTATAATTGACTTGTTCGTTTCAGTAACTTTTCGTTTCAAAATTTCATGAAGGTCAATCTTTTCTTCAATACAAACGTTTATAAAAACCCTTAGAAAGTTTTCCGAAATTGGGCGAAACGATATGTGCGAAACTCGTTTTCTTTTTCTCCGGGCATATCGGTTTCCTTAGCATGCACTTTAGTATGAAAAAATCAACTAAAATAAAACGAATTGAACTGGAGGTTAAGATCAACAATCCCTTCAATACAAAATTCCATTTTTCTTTTAGGTGTATCTGCAAAAATTTAAAACGTTTAAAATGCAATAAATTTATCTTAGGTGTATCTGATTTGTATTAAAATGCAATGCATTTTAGTGACGCTCACCTGGAGTAATACGAGTCGGTCAACCTGCCACCTTACCTCCTCTAACACCCCCCCTCCCCCCACCTTCCTTGTAGTCTCAGCTGTTAACCTCACTTCGTGTGTTGTACGGACAGAGTGAAAATTGGATGCTCATGCTTTTAGGCGGCGAGTAGAGTAGATAAATCATTTCGAGAAAACAAAAACGTCGATAGAAAAGAAGTGCTCGTCGTTAACGATAAAAAAATTGGAAATAAAGTGGGAAATGAACATGACTTACCCACATTCAGCTCCTCTTTGTACATATGTGTTAATAATGACATGATCTCCTTTCGGGTCACCTTCATCCCCAATTATCCATTTACATCCCTTCTCCTGCGGCTTTGAACCCTTCATGAAATGTAATGAACCAGAAAGATCTGTTCTGGTCGAACCACCATCGCATTCTATTTGATAGAATAAAGCAACATATTTGAATGATAAATTGTTTGGATATTACGGGAGATTTCTCTTTACCTTTATTTCCCCATTAAAAAGGTCTCATAACCGATTCTTTTGTAAAACAATAAAATGAGGTTAAAAGCATTGGTGACACACCTGTCTGTGTTTTTAGTAACCTATTTATCTATTTTACTTATTACCTTTTTTTAGTTATTGTCATTATTATTTTCAAATCTTTTTTCTCTTTGTTATATTGTTTGCTTTCCAAGTTACCAGTGACCTATTACTTGAAGAGAAACGCTTTGTAAAAGAAAAGGGAAATTCAAAGTAACGCAGTTACCGTTGATCCATTAAAATACATCGCAGCCTCCACATAAAAACAACAAATAGCAAAGTATCCCTTCTAGCCGGCAGAAAACCAATTGAATAACAATAAATAAGAACGTACAGTTAACCTCGAGACGGCAGAGAGCAACTCAAGCTACAGGTCGGGGAGAGATACGGAACCTGGAATTACGGAGCTTAAATAAACCGCCCGCTGCAGTCGACCATCCTACTTCCTGTGTATGAAGGAGTTTACTTTTATAGACTTTTATACAGTTATCAATTTGATGTCGGACTTACCTGCATAAACAAGGTCCCCGCATGAAACCCCTACTGTTGTGTCCTCATTACAGTGACTATCATAATACTCTTCATGGCGGCAGTCCAAAAGTGGTGTGTCTTCGCTATCACATTGAAAGTCTCTAGGTAGGTACGAGTAGTTACCCGTACCAAAGTCAGAGTAATAGAACCTACTCTCCGGATCTGGGAGACCGAGCGTTCGGCACACAGATGTGAAAGCTTGGTGATTAAAATGGTATTTGCAAAGCCTCCACCAGGTCTCGTTGAAGTAGATTTCTATTCGTCCCTGGCTATCGCTTCCTCCGTCAACAAGTTGCAAGTCGCCTGGTAAAGAACAAAGTCAAAATCCTACGTTCAAATATTTTTAGTTGATGGCTTAATACAAGATAGGATTTATGCCAGAGGTTTCAATCAAAGCCGGTTGCTGGCGGTCTACTGCCGCCCGTAAGACATGTTTAGCCTGTGTAGGCCCTAGTGTTTGGGTATCGCCTTACGGTCCCTCATCAAGGCACAGCCTTCTATGACATCATCTAAAGCCACTTAGGAAAAAATTATTTACACTACTGCCACAGTTTTTTTTTTTTTTTTTAACCCCTAGGCTTTGCCGGGCGCCGACCGCTGGATTTTATTATAAAAGTACTCTCACATAATGAAATTAGAGGAATATCCACATGAAGACAAGATGGAAGGAACAGGGGTTCAATTTTGATGCAAACGAGGCTTAATTAAAACGTATAATAAACTATTCCTGGCAGCAATTTTTTTCTTAATTGCACGGGTGAAGTTTGCCTGTGCGATTAAGACGACGTTGTTGATGCTCTTCTCAAACAGCAGGAAGCTATTTTTTTTTTGGCGAAGCTACGTTTTTTCTGTGCATCTTCGAGATGTTCGACCTGAATTTTTGAATTTCATCATTTACCATCTGTGTCAATGTTATCCATTCCAATTTCTGTGTTTTTCCATTTTACTACTTTCAACTTTTCTATGTTTTTCCTGCTTTGAAGGTAATTTAACCATTCACAATCTTGTGAAGTTCATTTTTTTTATCCTTACAACAGGAACTCAACCCACTTCCCCGATAACACAATTCACAACAACTTCAGACTTATACCTAAATGTAATGCAGAAATGTAGACATAAGAAATAGTTTCTGAAGCTAGAAAAACTGTAACAAGGTAAGTATTTATAAGCTTACTCTTGAAGAGGGTTGTAGCAATGAATTTGTTGAAGGTGGTTTAGGAGTAATGCAGCCTACCCAGTGCCAAGTTTATTAGCCTTTTGGCTATTTAGTGCTACTCTCTTTGAATAAAGAGTTTACTTACTTACTTACTCCCTAAAAAGACTTAAGAGAAACCCTAAACTCGCTGGAAGTAGTAGGATAAGATAAGATAAGTACAATTCTACATGCTTTTAAACTCACCCTCTGATAAACTGGCCTCCACAGAATTTATCACTGCAAAAAGACAAAAACGTTAAAAATTAAAACGACAATTGAAGAATTAGCCATGACTAGGAAATAATTTTGAACTATCATGAGAGAGGTAGATGATTTCTTGAAATCATCCATGCTTCAGTGTCCCCTACTCGAGCAGTTTTCAAACCTCAACACTCGACCGCCGTTACAAGGAATGATACAGCGGCAAATTTTTAAGGTAGGTTTGCCTTGTAAACAAATCGATATGATTTCGAAATGATCATGCAGTTTAACAAACAAATATAGATGGAGTTCCGATGAATTCATTTCAATTTTATTTCTTCGGCTTTTATCCTAATTATTTGCTAATTGCTTTATGATTCTTACATTAAGGCTCTTCGAGAAAACATTATTGATAACAAAATTAACATTATCTTCAACATACAGTATATAGATGTAAAAGACAGAAGAGTGACGTTACTATAAATCACCCTTTAACAATTTCGGATGCCACCTAACACAGGCAAAACAGGAAACTTTCGGTTCAACAAGAAGGGCGAAAAAAATTGACTGATTACATTATTTAAATTTGTGTTCTGTATTAATCTTTTCTGCCTTATTTTTCCTTGCTCTGTCAGTTTTTACCTCTTTGGTGTCTATATTTCAGAGAAAACGACTACTGGTACTTCAAACCTTTATTAGACTAAAGGGCAATTTTCTATGTCGTTAGGAATAATTTCAGATACCCTGACAAGTCTCCTTAAAAACTTAATGAGAAATCGGAAACGAATCTAGAAAGAGTGCTGCTCTTTTGGCTGTTCGACCCTTTTTCGTGTGAAACACTCCAACATGGTTGTGCATGCACATAGGCACGTGTGATATTAGGCAGGTGCAATGGAAAGATGTTATCTATGGAACTCCGCTCGTATGCAAGAAAAACCAAAGAGATAAAACGAGTGTTTTCTAATAGTGCAATATTGGTACACTGATAAAGATCATAACAGGGCTCTCCACTAAAGAAAGGAGACTGTTGTGCTTAGGAAGCCAAAAGAAAGCATGATTGACAGGTATCTGTCATTACCTGTGGTGTTGTCGTGCCATTAGGTAAGTGCAAAGTTACGCACATTACAAATATGCTCATTTACGTCACTAATTGACAGCTCAGGGTATTTAGCCTAAATTTTTCAAATTTATCATGAGTAATCCGTCTTAATACTTGTCATACTCAACCATTCTCGTTTCATCAGGACTATTTTTCCTTCTTGATGATTGCCTTTTCTTCATCAAATTTTACCTCCGTTTGGCGGAAATTTTCAACACTCCAATAATGATGCATGAAAAGTGGCACAGTTCTTAAGCTACCGATTTAACGTCATTTGATATCTTAATCTGTCTCAGTCACCACCGATATCATCAATATTGAAAATCACTAAGACGTTGATTTAAAGGGGCGGTGATGGTAAAATGCGAAAGACCCATGTTTGAAAATCCGAGAGCGACACTTGAAAATTGTAAGCATACAATTCCTCATCATTACCGTTGCTTTTCTCAGATTATTACAAGATACTACTAATACCAATAAAATTTTGGCTTCAACATTTTGAACAGTTTTGTGTTCGTTTTGACCACATAACAATACATAACAACAATAGGAAAGGAAAACGATCATAAACAGATTTTCGTCTTTAAGCTTCTCTTCTCCAATCCGCCCCGAGCAACAACCGTAAAAGCTCAACACGAATTTCAACATAAAACTGCAAAAGCAGACTCAAAACTTTGAAAATGTGTTGTAAAAGTCTATTATTATTATAATAACTATTTATTAAAATTTAAGAACAAAATTTTGTCGATGCAAAACAAACTAAAAGCTAAGAACAACAACCTACAAAATCAATTTTAAAAAACAAAAATCAATTTCAAGATGAAAGTTAAAGATGGAAGCTCGACGAACAATTTAACATGAACAGGTGTTTATTCCAGTTCAAACCCGTAGCTGTATCAGTTCTTTTGGTTTCTAAATGCGTTGTCACAAAATCAATGTTAAAAAACCAAGCCATTCCTCCAAGTGGATGTGATAATGACGAAAGTTATAAAGCGCGTGGTAACATGTATCTTCTAAAGCAAACTCTAAATTGCAAAACAGGCGGCAATAAGATATTTTTCTATATCATAATTTCTGTAAATTATAAACAGAGCCAGATTATTAAGGCGAAGTCTTGATAATAAAAGCTTAAAACGCATTCAAGAATATATGCTCAGAGTGTGAGTTTCGAAACCATACAATAAAGATTATATTAGCCAATACTTCTAATTTTGGAAAGGTTATCAGCAATGAGAACCGACCAAGAATACTTAATTATACCTGTCATTTGAGGCCAAAATAGTATGAGATATGTAATCAGCTGCTGAAGACATGTGAATATCATAACGCCCGCTTGCATGGTGAATACACAAAATAACTACTTCTGTTTCACAGCCATCGACTATCTTAGTCTTAATGCAAATTCTCCAACGCATTTTGAATAGTTTTCACACTTTAATGAGCATTTGTCATTGCTTCGACATGCAATAGAAGATATAATCTAAACTTATGATACATAGGTTTTCATAAGTTCAGAAATCTGTAAGAAATGCTTTTCAAAAGACTGGTACAGAAAATCTTTAACCAAAATGAACCGACGCCGATTAAGCTCTTCGCACTGGTCAGATATCGTGTTATTTTCCTGCACAGAAGAAATAACGCGGTCTGTATATTCCGGTTTGCTATAAGAGTACTCGGTATGCGGCAAAACTGATTAAAGAAGCTATTTCATGATTGTCACGTCGTGAAATTTTTAGACTGAACTTCTCAAGCTAATGATTTGCAAACCTGATCAATTCATTTTCTAACACCCGTGAACTAAATTTATTTGGTTTAAACTTTCTAGTTTTGAGTCATTATTTACACCAAATAATCATAGGAATTTATTAGCATATAAAATGACCTCCTGGGTATGTACATGCCTAGGAGCCGTTGTTGTTCCGTTATTTGCTATTAAAAAGAATTTGGCTTTTTCCGTTTTGCCTTTTGCTTTTTCCTACGACAAGGTTATTACAATTGCGTGCATCTTGTCAAAATAAAATTTTTGGTTTTCGCAATGTTTAGGGCAGATTTGCATATAGTGCAGAATTAATGAATCAGGTAAAAAATTTCGTGATCATGTCTTTCCAACCCTTAACCTTTTAAAGTTATTTACAAAACAATGGAAAAATGTTTTGAAAAAAACTACGTAATTGACTAATTAGGATAACACATTCACTCAAAAGTTCTGATTCGATTTAACGACGGTGTCCAAATAAATTTTTCAAAACAATGCAACATTATCCGAAAGGCTGTAATCAAGCTCTAAAATGAGGAGAACAATGATGATCGTGTGAATAGTAATGGCGTCTTCTACCATTACAACACTACCTTAATTCTTTTATGCAAACTTTTGAAAGCCATGTTTTGTGCAACCATTGTATAGTGTTAGCTTTGCGTTTCATTTATCATATAAAATATTTTTTCAAAGATCTTTCGTATGCGGGTTGATACTTTACATGACGGCAAAGATTGATTATAAACTTTAAAAAAGTGCTGAAGCCTTTGACATGTTAAACATCCTAGTGGAATGTTGAAACGATGCAGGTACAACAAGGGAACCCTGGAGTTTCACAATTTTCACCAGCATGTTGTCGCACTGATCATAAACACCACAAATTAACAAAGTCTTAAGGAGAGTCATTAGTTCATACGTGTCTGACTATTAATTCACAATTTCCTCGCTTATTTCTCTAAATTTTCCAACAAAGCGCAGAAAATTCTTAATCCAGCCTTCCTTCGTGTTTCCAACATGAATTCTAAATCCTTCTTTTCTAAAGGATATTAGTTTTGAGACGCCATAAGAAGGAGGGAATAAAGATAAGTAATAACCGCCTTTTAGACCGACCTAACTGTTCCTGAGAGCAGACGTATTTTGGCTGAATAAAGTAAGATCACCTATGAGAGCAAACGTTTTCTGGTCATGACAGAAGTGTCGAAAACTTAAAAACACGAACACGCAGATATGCCAAAAAGGCAATACTAACATTATGCATATGTACCGAAGCCTTCAAAATTTGAACGTAAACGAAATTTTCCTGGATCTGCTTTTCATATTGAGCATGATTTAACACTAAATAGATCCAACGCTTGGTAACTCGAAGTGATTTTGCATTACCTCTGACTTTTTTGATAAGTTGAAATGGAACTATACAGTTCACGAATCCAAAAATCGAAGAATCTGCGTGCAAAGCTACGCAAAATAATTTCTATTACTCTGTTTAATTAACATTATTGTTTTGTTGCAGGTCTGTTTTGCCGCTTAATACCGTTTCCGTGAATATTGCAAGAGGTATATAGTTTGCTTGTTACTGCTAATTTGCGAAAGATTCTAAAGTAAACAAAGTTTTCCTTTTAAGCCTTTGCCATCGACATGACAACTTAAAGTTGTCCGAGCTGGCATTCTTCGTCACGCATCACACAACAAAGCAGCAGAGGTTCAAGGTTGATGATTGTAGCTGCATTCTAATGTAGATAAGATCCTTGATCACTCTGTTCACCCCGATCGGAAGGAAATAAGTTAAACATGACCACAAATATGACCGTGGTCTCACCTGCTAAATTCCTGGATAGACAAATCCAATACCACATCAGTAGGAACCCAGAATAATAACGAGGACACATCGTTCACCCGAAGTTCATTTAGACATGACAATGAGAAGCTCTTAATTTTTTTTCAAGGGACCTTTATACCCTTTTCTGCATGAGCTCAGCTGTCAGTTGTTCGAAAAATAGCGCAGTCACAAACAGGAATGATTTCAGCTCCCAAACACGTGAATCAGGTCACGCGTACATAGCATCCAAAACGTTCCATTTCACATGTTATATAACCCGTAGGCGTTTTCAAAGTGTCTTAATTATTGCTGAGTATGCAAAAGCTAAAAGAACTATCTAATCTGTTATTTCAACCTAGAGCGAGAGCTATAAGTAGTTGAAATTCAGTGTCCAAATTTTTTTAGGGTTTGACTGAATTATTTTTGTCGTTTGTTGACGCAATATTTTTCAAACCTCGCTCTTTCATGGGAAAAGATTCTGCCCTTTATTTTATGCCTTTAAAGGAAACGTTCCAACCACAAAACGATAGTAGAACTCGCACAATATCAGCATGATCGAGTCCAAACTATACACTCGAATGTTAGACCATGACCGAGTTTATGTTGCAGTTAAAAGCTGAACACTTCAATTGCATTCAGACACATTTTTAACACAGTGTTGATGTCTCGGTACAAAATCAGTTGATAACGGCTAAATCCCTTGGAGTAAAATTCTGGGGCACGTACGACGTTACAAACTCCAACACATGCATTTTAATTAATTCCCTTTTTCTTATGGTTTCTGGGGGGCGAATTTGCTAATCTTCCTAGAAGATGACCCACTCTCCAATGCAAATCATTTGACACAATCACTAGTATAAGTGCTTTGTACTTAGATATGAAATAAACTTGGTGCATTCTTAGAGTTAATTTTGTATGGATACACTCGGGAAGTTTGGAGAATACCAAAGAAGAGTCAGTGTTACTCAAAGCGTAAGTGAGGACAACTCGAACTACCCGAGTGCTCTTTAAACTTTCTTAACACATCCATACGTCGATGTACGCACAGCTAAAAGCAGGTATCAATTCTTAGATAACATTTGTAATATGTTCGGATATTACGCGCGCTGTCAGTGGTTGAAAGAGCGTGATCTATCATAGTATAAAACATAAGGCTCTATATTGATTAATCATTATTTATACAACATTTTTACCGTGTATAAATAATGATTAATTAATAAGAGCTGTCGCGCCATCTGCCAAATTGTAAAGTCCGATCATTTTTCGGACTTTTCTCTTGCTCCTTTTCGCCATTGAAAGAGAAATTCGGAACAAGCGAGTCGGCATATAACAACGGAAGAACCAAACAAATATTTGATTGCAAGGTTACGTACAGTAATAAAAATCAATCACTGCAACTAACACTCGTATAGTGTATAAACTTTCGTATTTAAAAACGAAACAGAACCAACAGGAATTATGAAAACTATAGCCAAACTGGCATTAATGTTAAAATTCATTCTAATCATGACGGTGTCAGAGCGACTGCGATCATGCCGAGGGTCATCACGGCTAGCTCATCATGGTGATCTCCGGTCATCGCAGCAAAGTAAGCCTCAGAAATCAAATCGGCCGCCCTTCGAGTGAACAACTGGTAAGAGCTTGCTCTGATATCCTCTCCGAATCGTTTTAATGGAAGACCACATCAGTCACAGCAGCCGAGTTTTACGGCGCTGTCATCTCGAGAAATCTTCATGTTTCTTTAAATTCGGCTGTCGTTCATTCACAAAGCGCGCACCTTGATCAGTTTGTTTTCTAATTGCCATGTGAAAAAAACTCGCGTGTTTTTATGAGCTTCAAATTGGCCGGATTTCAATGAACATTTCACTTCCAGATTCTGTATTAGAGACTAAAAAACTTCAGGCAAAAGTTTAAAATTCGATCTGCCGAATTGTTTCAGTTTGTGAACTATTGCAGATTGTGAACTATGATGGTTTGACATTTCTGACAGCTTTGGTCTTGTTCAACCAATGAGATTACTTGATCCATTCTAACAGGGATTCTGATTGGCTTATTGTAGCGTGTTTTATAAGGATAGAGCATGCTGACGACATAGTTGTTCACTTTGGAAATAAAGTTTGTTTTGGAGATTGAACGTAATGCGTGAGGAATTTAACGGATTCTTTCTTATGGCACAAATAGAGAAGCCTTGACTGTGCTCTGTTCTGTTGTAAAGCACTCAAGAAGTGAGGAGAAACTCTCGACTACGTCTCATGTTTCTCCCTACGCTTCTTTCGTGCCGAGCACGCTTCCTGCGTGCTTTAAAACAGAAAAGAGCACAGCCAAGGCTTCTCTACCTGTTAAATCAGACATATCGTTCTCGTGCGAGTGCTGGTTTATCTAAAATCACTAATTAAAATTTCCAGTTTCTTTTAACAAGTTGTCCATACAAAATTTTCATCTTTGAAGGAAAAATGAGAGCAAGCGAATTCAAAATACCTACGTTCTAGTGTCAGTCTTAGCTTAATAAGGATCCAAAGAAGGGTTTTGATTTTCAAAATGGTATTAGTATTGCCTCTCGAGGTGTATTTCAGTGCTGAAGATGGACTCCTGGAAACAAGCAAGTTTTCTTTGGAGAGACCATTACGCAGTTATTCTAACGGTCAGTGATAAAGGTTAAAGAAGACTCAGATGTCCTAGTATCTTCAATTAGCTGACAGAAAATTTTGGAAACAGTAACACGAGTCTAAATGAAGGGAAATTTGCAACAAAATGCAACTGCTCAAGT